AGGCCTATAGCGCGTAGTATAGTCGACTAAGCAAGTAAGGAAAGCTTTCTATTCTTTACTCTTACTACTCTACTCTCTTACTCTATTCTCTACCTACCTACGAACGTCTATACTTCCTCTAGTACTATACTTCCGCTATTCTACGATTCTGCTAATCTAAAATAGCTATTCCTGCTTTTAGGAATACTTAACCGAGCTAGATAGTAATATAAGAGATTATAGGACGATACTTCTAGATAGTAAGGCGTAGTATTTAGGACGACACTTAATAGCTAGAACTCTTAAGTATAAGGCCGTAGCTCTATATACGCAGAGTTAGGAAAGCTAGTCTCCGTTACTATTCTATAAGATTACTATATCTTAGCGCTATAAGACTATAGTCTAAGCTTCCTCTTTCGCTCTAGCTATAGTAGAATACTTTACAAAAACCGCAATACGATTAGGCTCGGGTACTTAGCACTCTATAATAGGAAGAGAGTTAGTACTATCGCAGGACATAAAGCCGGAAGTACCCGCCGCTACCCGTAGTATATTTACTCTATACCTCTGTCGCTACGTAGCTTCTATTAAACAATAACTATTATATATCTATTTCTATAACAAACGGGTAAAGGCGGGACTATATAGTGCGATACGAGCCTTTATAATAGCAAGGTAGCGTTATTGTTATAATTGCAAGGCAGCGTTATTATTATCTAGGTATAGCCTAGAGAGATATAGAGGAAGCTTTAACTTCTATACTTAGCAAATTGCTTAACAGAGGAAGCTCGGACTGCTAGCGCACTCCTAGCCTTGTATAGCTAGTTAAGCCGAGCGTAAACCCTCTCGCTACGAATCGTATTTAGCGATAGAGACTGCGAGAGGTCGGCTGCAGAAAGTATCGAAGTTAACATTTTTATCGTGTTGCATCCCGCAGGATCAGAATAGCGGTATAGCGTGTCCGCGGTTAACACAAAATACAATTCTAGACAGCGCGACTTTGTTATTAGTCTTCTTTGACGATAGACTTGCTGCTAACGAGGCAGTGCGAGAGGCAAGGCGGATGCTCAGTGAATTAGTATGTTCCACAGCCACTAGGGGTGCCGTGCTATAATATGTACCTGCGTTGCGCTAAGCTAGTTGGCACTTTGTCCGTAGGAATGATGCACGACGGAACTTGAACTCGAGTTGCTACAATGGCCTCCGAAGGGAATGCTGCTACTAGCAACGCGGCTAAGAGCAAGGTTATCCGAAAATTACAGGCAGACAATGCACGCCTCGAGGAAGGCAACGCGAAGCTTGAAAGGACAGCCGGAACTTGCCATCCAGAGATCAAAGACGCGAAAATTGCAGAATTGAGTAGGGAGAACAATCGACAGTCACTGCTTGGCACACTGAGATTTCGAGCAGAATAGACAGAGCTAGTCGATCGTAGGGGCTCTATCGGCATTAAGCGTAGGTAGACCTTGTACAGCGGCCTGCCGGCAGCGCCTTGTCTAAGTTCGGCTGCGCCAGTTACTATTAGTACTGCTATATTGCCTCGCGCTCGGTATAGCTCCTAAAAAGCCTGCTGCTCGTTGCTTAGCTCGACCTGCGAAGCGTGTGCAGGCGAGGACAGCTACGCCACGTCGAGAGAGCGACACTGAGATGCCAAGACGGTGCACGAGCTGACCAAACCAAGGACACGAGCAGTCTTGCTTGGCTGTTTTATCGGCTAAGCGTCGCAGCCTTCGAAGGACGCCAATGCATCGGAGAGGAGCGCAAACCGTCGGCCACAGTGGTAGACTCCCCGGGTTGCTACGGCGTAGGTCAGCGAGCAGAACTGCTGCAGCAAACGCCGATCGTCGTTATTCTCCAAGATCATGTAGCGAGCGGCCTGTGCAAAGCGGCCGTTTCTCCGGAGTGACCTCGGCCGAGAAGCTGCAGGTGTCCAGTTGTGTCAATCAGTTGAGATTCCTGCCACTCGCCATTACCGTAGAGACGGTAACGCGCGGATCTGTTGTCAGCGCACCAGTTTGAATTAGTACAGCGGAGCAAACTGTTCGAGATCCAGAATGGTTGCAGGTAAGTCGATGAATGAAGCGCCTTCAAGTCTGTGGACTGCTGTGCCGCTTTGTACCAAGGATAATCAAAAAGGAAGAAAGAGCAGTTGCGGATGCTACTGCTGACCTCCAATGTCATCGAAGACCCGCTCGCATCTCACACGTTCGAGAATTCGCAATCGGCAGGAATCGCGGCAGTTTTCATTGCTTTGGCAGCTTCGAGAGAATTCTCGATGATGGAATTGGAAAGCGCCAACAGAATTTGAGTGGTTTGACCTGACAGAAGAGGCAAATCGAGAAGAAACATTTGCTATGACCTGTCAGCAGGACATGAAACAAAAGTAGGATGGGCAGTGAGTTTGAACATTTCATTCAGAATCTATCTACAGCGCGCTGGTCTGGCCGCCGAGGGCAGCGAGTGCACCAGCATGCAGCAAGACGTTTCCTGGAACCTGATGCCCATGAAGAGCAGCAGGATCAGTACACGTCAACATCCGAGTGCGTGCTGGACGAGCAGCAGGCAGTCGAGATGTCAGGAGAGAAGAGTGCGTGCTGGTCGTGCAGCAGGCAGTCAAACCCTCCCGAGGAAACACTTGCATGAGTGCGTGCTGGGGAGCAGGCAGTCAGATCAAGCTTCTTTAAGGTCACAAGCCAACGTGAGTGTATGCCGAACGAGCAGCAGACAGTCAGGTTGAGCTTGGCTGGGGTCGTAAGTCAACGTGATTGCGTGCTGGGTGAGCAGCAGACAGTCAGGTCGAGCTTGACCAGAAGCCAACGTGATTGCGTGTTGACGAGCAACAGGCAGTCAGGTTGAGCTTCTTGAGCACGATACACAGCAAGATGTGTGGTGCGCAGAAATCACGACGCGGGTGGTGGTGGCTGTTCACCAGCAGCCTGAGCCGGGGCCTGATCCTCTTGCAATAGCGTGATGCAAGACGGGTCAGCTTCGAGTGGGTTGTTGTCTTTGTGGCCCAGCTCATAAGCCGACTTATCGAGCCTCGAATCCTTGGGTCGCTTCTCATTGGGCTTCAAAAATCCCTGATCATCAAGGATGTCCATCTCCAGCAGTGCCTCTTCAACTTTCAGGGCGACGTGCTCGACCTCGATCACATGCCTCAATGTCTTTCGTAGCACCTCGCGGTTGCTCCTGGATCGTTGCCCAACGATTTTCACAGCGCTGAGAACGTCTAGACCATTCTTCTTTATGCGTACGATGTCGTTATTGATCTTTTCAATAGCCTCATCCTGGCTTTTGATGGTCTTTTCCCGCTTTTCGACAGTCGTGCGAAGTGTCTGAAAGTCGGACGAGTTCGAGAGAACGAAATTGGAGTGGTCCTTTCGCAAAGTCTCCATCTCGCTGGCGTTCGAAGTCTGCTGTTGCTTGAGGTGACCAAGCGTGGTATTGGCGTCCGTAACATGCTGCCCCAGCTGTTTGCGGAATGAGGCAACAGTCGCTTTCGCCTCGTCCAACTCCTTCAGATCTATTTTCGGTCAGTATGAACGACAGCGTGGTTGATGGGGTAGCTTACGAGGCTGAAGAGCTTTCTCGCACTGTGTCTTTGTCGTGTTGTCGATGCGCGCGTTGATGTTGTCGATGCGCGCGTTGAGTGTCGCCTCAAATTCTCGCTGCTGCTTCTCGTTGGCGCTCTCGTGAGACTGCACCCTCGCGTCGATATCCTTCTTGAATGAAACAAACATTCCCTTCAGTCTGCGATTGACGACCTCGTCACTGATCGCTTGTGCCAGAGGACCAGCACGGTCCAGGGCTTGTTGGTCGAAGTCGTCGAGGCGCTTTCGCAGCTCATCGTGCATGGCCTGCACCTGGTCGAAAATATGGTCGAGTCGTTTCTGGTTCATGGTGATGGTGTGGATCCCCAACTGGAGACCCAATGCGTCCAGTAGCGACTCCACAAATCGAGGGACAGCGGTATTGATGGCCTCAAATGGAGTTTTCTGAAGCCGCGAACCATGGAATGCGGGAGGCTGTCGGAGAGTCTGTCGAGGATTCGTTTCATGTCCGATATGGCTTCCGGTGGAATCACGGTGAATCTCATTCTGTCAAGCATCTACCGCCCACGTCAGTTTGCTGCACAAGTTCAGAGCCAGCCCTTGATGGAAGAAGGTCTTACCTCTGCCCAGATTGTCGTGTTTCCCAGTCCGCGAGTCTCGAGTCCAGGGAACAGGTGCGCTACCAGGTACTCCCGATAGTCCTTCTGTTGTTCAGTTGTCAAGTTTCTAAGAGTCATATCTGTACAGGTCAGAGAAAGTCTCAATCACAGTCACCAAGGCACAAACTTGTCAGAACTTGGCTGAAGTTCGGTCTGTCATTCGTCGTTCTCATCGCGTTGTTGTTCGCGCTCGGTTGAGCGCCGTTCGTGGCCATTGTCAAGAGCTTCGCGCGCGAGAGTCTTGACGATGGGGTGGTGTGGGTGAAGGTGAGTACGAGTTGAGTCGCGAAGGGCGCGGAAGCGGAAAAGGTGGTGGGCAAGCTTGGGCCACATCACGACGGCTTGGCTCCGCACATTGACTGCGGCGCGTGCAAACGGTCACGTCACAGACGCGTTGTTGACCTGACCGTTGACTGATTTCACGAGAGTGCCCGATGCTACAGCCGACCCACTCGAGCCTGCTAGCTTCACTCGAGTTTCTCAGAGACCAGTAGCCTTGACAGCGCGCTTAATACCGATCTGCAGGAGAGCATATGGGAGCCGGGATGGAATCTGAGAAGGATAGGATCGAATGGGAGGAAAGCCTCATTGATGATATGTATTCGAAAAGTTCTCGACGCTCGTGACGCATTTCTACATTCGTGAATGCCTTTCGCTCTGAAGCGCGGCACCCGTTCTGGTGCAGGCCTGGTGTACCTCATGCTTCTGGAAAGATCGCGGACCACGAGCACCTCCTGGCACTGTCTGGCTCAGCATGGAGAGTGATCAGGCCGCGGGAGGCCAGTCACCACTTGGTATCGGCGGTGCGCGTCGTGATATCCTCCAACGTCCTCCAGCTTCACAACCTGCCTACTATCCGCTCCTTGTATTGTGACAACCATCATCATTGTGCAGTCCTTCCTCTTCGTTTACGTCTGACGATCAGGCTTCTTCGATGCGAGCGTTATTGTGGCGCTTCGGTGGTGCGGGTGCTGGTGCTGATACTTCGTCCGATACTGGCCGAGTAGCTTTCCTCGCTGCGTGAAGTTTCTAGGTATCGAGTCCTCTTCGCCTCTCCTACTCATTAGCACAGGCACTGAGTTTAGCAGCATCTACTGCTTCCATGACGCAGCTTTGACGATCGCATGAGGGCCGACGCATAGCCTAGGGCGCCAAAGTCAGAGTGAGTCCGGTCATGCTGAATGGCAGGTGCTCGTGATGGTGCACAACGGCAATGAGCGGCAGCATTGCGATGATGCGCTTGGGTACTGCGCGTCAGTATGTTTACAGACGTGAGAGGTGAAGTGGCAAGGTGGATTGCGCTGGGGTGGAATCTCGGCGGCCCGTGTCTTGGGATTTCCGAGCCAAGGATTCGGACACAACCCGTACAGTCGCTTGACTACATCTCTCACGTACCAATGCCATCTACGAACAGCTATTCCCCGATTACTCCTGCCACAGCGGAAGCCTTGCGTTGTGTCTAGATAAGAGGCTCGGTCGAAGCACTCGTGATGTCCAGCTGGCCGCCTGGGTCCTATCGAAGGAGGTGGTTTACTACGACGAAGCTGAAGCATATAGCCTCTGGCAAGGCATCCCGATGAGGGGAGCTGGCTGTTGTATACTGGCAAGCGGAAGGGGAGTGCACTGCTGTTGGCTTTATTCCACGCCCGCACTCGGAGCTGCCGTCTAGCAGTCACCTTGCCGCTGTTGGCACAGTTTGCACTCGCACGTAACCGGCCCGTTCTCCCCCCTCTATGGTTCGCTCAAAGTCATTGACTGCGAAATGTCAAGATACCTCCAATGACCATAACCCACTTCACCTTCCAGGTCGCTTGTACGGAACGTCCTCATCATTCTTGTGGACGATGAACTCCTCGAAGCTGATGCCGCGGGTTTTCTTCATTGGTTGGCCGTCCTTTGTCTTGTTGGCTCTGGGCACAAAGCTCACAGTTTCGGCCCACGTTCTCATCAGCCTTCTCCAATAACATGCAGTCGCAGCAGGGGTGGTGTATCGTTCCCTGAACGTTCGCTTCGCCTCATCTGCAATCTGCTGGGCTTCGCCGAGATTCTCGTTATAGTAGAGAATACTGTTCTACAAGTCAGAAAAATCTCGACTGACGTGAACGACGTTGACGCCATTCTCTATGAGATGGTAGTAGTGCGCGATCCAATCCACATCGTGTACGAAGAGGAGGCTATCGCAGTTGAAAAGATGGGTCATTCGCGCGGACCATGACCGGCCCTCTGTGTTGATTGTGTATCGGAACTTGCAGAACTCGTCCATCGGGATCACCGTATCCGGCTTGCCCCAGTCCATCGACTGCATCACTTGTCAGATCTGCCCCACGTCGGCCATTGACTAGAAATCGAACTTACCGACACATTTGCCCACTCTTTGTCAGCGGTGACCTGGAGCAAAGGCTTTCTCACAGCCTCATTCACCCACAGTGCGCCACGCCACACGACCTGGGGTATTTTCTCTTCCAACGGAGAGTCATGTCTCCTGAACTTTTGCTGCATGGTGCGAAAGCCCTCAGCTTCGGGAGGCGCGCCAAAGAAGTGAAAGCTGGGAATCAACCACAAATTGTCCTGTCGAGGGTCGGCAGATTTCCTCGTGAAAGACCAGAGCGCTCCCGGATTCTCCTCCTTGAGCACGGCAATATCGTCAACGACAATGCTAAACTCAATGTTCGGGATTGGCTCGCCCACTGCATCGGCAGCTGCAACAGCCTGCACAACTTGCTGAACGACAGCGATGATGCGATGTCTAAAGTCTTCCCGGAACAAGCCTCTCGTTTGCACGATGCGCACCTGAGAGTCAACGATCAAGAACTTCACTCCACCATCATTGCCGCCGGTCAGGGCGATGTCTTTCTCGCTGATGTTCTTCCCACTGAAGTGTTGCTGAGCACGGTCGATCTCATGGTAGAGGGCCGGAAATGCGGCATCACATTGGCTAGCAGTCAGCGCTTGATTGTTGCCATCGCGGGCCCAGGTATACTGCCATTCCGGTAATGCGGGCGGAGATGGCCAGACCGGCTTTGACTCAACTGAGCCAACTGTCGCGGAAGGCTTGGTCACTGCTGGCGCACCGAGATGTTGTTGCGCCCAATCGCTGGTGATGCCGGGATTTGTGTACTCTCTGAAGATGACCAGAAGCAGAAGGAGAGCGCAGCAAACTTTCCAGAATACAGGATGGAGGCTCCACCTATGGCCGGTGGGCAGTCCACCGGGCAGTGGTTTGTACGACCACATGCTGCTGAGAGGAAGTGGTGTTGGAAGTGAAGGTGTGGTCTGGAGTGTCGCATTTGTGTCGGCAGTTGGAGCTACAACCTAGGGTGCGGACAAGGAATCACAAACAAGCGCTGACTGATTCGCGAATTGATTTGCTGACGGTGCGACTTACTTGTGATGAGCACCTTGGTGTTTGCTCCTGCTGCCGTGACTCCGAGCCGCCAGCAGGAAGCTAACGGCTCCGCCGTACCGCAAGGCAGGAGCGAAGCGCAGTCCAGCCGCACTGTCATCTGCAGAAGTGCTCGATGTGAATGATGATACTTCACCTCACTGCAGCTGGTCTGCACGTGAAAAGGCATTGCAACTCTTCCCAAAATGATCGACTTGGTGCGCGAATGGAGCGTCTGCTGTGCAACCCCAATGCTAGCACGGCCGCGGCAGTGACCCGGTGATCGCCTTGGCTTGTTCGACCACCAAGTCTCATCATTTTTGATGAGATAGCAAACAGAGGTTATTGTGAAACGAACGACGGCGAACGGAAGTGGGCCAACTGCGGTAAGGCTGCAGATAAGCTTCCCGCAATTAGCCAGGGCTGACTTCGGTTCTTGCGCTCGCGATAGCTTCGCCCATTCATAAGCCCTCGAACAGACAGTTCGTTTCTGAACCCCTAGTTCTCACGTCTCTGAGCACGCCTTCCAGGCCATGGTGCGAATCAGGGGCCATCCTCGTAATTTTGTGCCAATCCATTGCCCAATTCTCTTTCACATTTGTCGTCTACAGTACAGTAGCATGACTGATTGAGCGGTATGCACTCCGCTCATTGTACATTTCACCAGTCCTCTCAGGCCAGCGAAGCATAGCTCAACCTTTCCCGAGTCCAAAATCCCCTCCTCGTGCTGGCATGGCGTGGTCGCCGTGGGAAGTGCACGCAGCTTGATGCAGAGACCTCGGGCACGCAGCGTGTTGCGGGCGCGGTCTGGGTACCCAACTTGGAGGCTCCAGTGACAATGCCTTTTCCTTGTGCAGGCCGTCTGAGTGCCAGGAAAGCGTCGCATCCATGTGCTTCGCAGCACTCCGCAGCACAAACTATCCTGCGCTGAGTCTTCGGGAACTCGTTGAGTCAGACGCCTCGAACATGGACTCGACAATCTTGGTTGCCAGCTTCTGGTGGCTATCGTGACATATTGCACTTGAGAGCCCTCCGTTCAATGTCAAGGCCCACGAGCATTGCTCTCTCACGAAGTTGCATCTTCACAACCCCTCATACCATCTGAACACCCTTTTTCGCTCTTCCACTCTCCTGTATCAAACTAAACACACCCTCTGGCCCCAGCCTCTCTACAACACCCTTCTTCAAACTCAAATGCTTCTCAATCGCCTCATTACTTCTGCCCTGCTCTCGAAACGTCAAGATTTGCCTGATGGTGTACACATCCAAGAACTCCCTCTTGTTCTCTCTCCCTCGCACGCCCGTCTCTGCAATCTCTGCGTCGGCCCTGTTCGCCAATTCCGCTCGAGCGGAGAGCACAAGGACTGCAGGGTTCGTTCGAGGATTGGGTTGATATGCGGCGGGGTTTTGGTTGAATGCTGATGTAGGTGAAAGGGTGGGATTCGGTTGGACTGGCCCTATGTTGCGGAGCGACTGAGCGAAGTCGGGATCGGACGCGTCGAGGTTGATGGCTTCACTTCTAGATCCACTTGCGCTCGGTGTGGGTCGTACTGTTGGGCCTGGTGTTTGTGCGGTTGACGGCAGTGGAGGTTGGGGTGCTGCATTTATTGTAGTCGCATTCGGAGGCGGAGCGGGAGAGTTGGTTGCCGCAGAGGCAAGGGGAGAGCGAGCTGGGTATTTCCGCGCTGCAGAGCCTGCTGCTTTGGCTGCTTTAGATGATGTGGACCCCATGATGAATGTGGGAGCGTCGATTCGGAAAGGAAGCAGTGTAGAACACGATGAATGTAGAGAGATCGTTGATGAAGTCATCCATTAGAGATCCAATGCCAAGACAATCACGAGTCTGACGCGAAGTCATTCAGACCTAAAGATCAAACACCAATGCAGTCAAGCCAAGGTCATGTTATGCTGCCCAGCTACGTCCAACTTGAACTTCGGAATCGGAATCATTCGAGAGCAATGACGACTATATTGCTGGCTCGAGTGACTGACCCTTCAACAATGGCCGCTGAAGCTTGTACCATGCTGCCACGTCTGCCCACGCAGCCCCTTGACCATGCTCTGTTGCACTAGCTACATAAGGCGCACGCTGTATGCTGCTTCCAGACGAAGTCAAAGTGAGCCGCAGGCTGCCGGTGATGTTGCATGCTGCGGACAGCCGAGCAGACCGCAAAAGGACCGCGACTAGCAAGCCTCTCCAGTGGAGCACGACCGCGTTGGACGGAGTGGAGTGCAGCGACGTCACACTTCTGGGTCTCAATGGCAAAGTCTGCGATGGAGAGGAAACACCAGCAGCAATAGATAGAAGAACAGGAGAGCACCTCTTCAACAAGTGCAACAGAGAGCAAGCTGTCGCACAAAACGTGGCAGTCGGTCCGGCCCAAGCCACGACGCGGGGAAAGCAACGATTCGGGCAGTCGAGCTCGCGGCGAGTAAGCAGCGCAGCAACCAAGCAGCGCTGCGGCATCATCACCACCAGCACCAAAGCTCCACACTTTGCATTTGCTTGGTCTCGATCCTCCCAAGACACTACACCTGCCCCATCCCTCCCTCCCTCCCTCTCTTTCCTCCTCCCCATTGCCCACTCTGGCTGCCCGACCCGTCCACCATCACCGCTCCCACAGCAATCCAGATCGCCCGTCCGACGCCTTTCGCCGCAGCCTCTCGTCTAGACCGCCGCCGCCGCCTTCCCCGCCCGCCAACGACAAGAACGACCTTCCGTTTCTCGTCGAGCTCCGCGGCAAGACACCGCTCCTCGCTCGTCTACGAGCTCGGGCTTTCGAGCCAACCACTCTCCTCACCCTCTTGACCATTGGCGTCATCCTCCTGCTACAATTAGCTTTACCCAAGGACCTCTGCCTCTTCCAGTCGCGCTATCACCCACAGCCGCCTCCCAGCTGTCCTTCGCCCAACCCTTTTGTCCAAGAGCTATACTGTAGAGCTCCAGCGCACGTCCAGGGAACTCTGTACGGCAATACCTCCAGCATGGCGTTGGCAGCAGCAGCCGAGCGCGTGGCCGCCGAGTTCGAGTACACCAAGGAGGATGTCAACAAGGGTGTGAAAGAGTTTATTCGCCAGATGGACGAAGGTCTCGGCAAGACTGGTGCGACCATGAGCCAAATCCCGACGTATGTCACCGCTGTGCCCAATGGAACAGAGAAGGGTTTATACATGGCCGTGGATCTGGGAGGCACAAACTTTCGCGTCTGCTCCATCCAACTGCATGGTAACTCGACTTTCAGCTTGACGCAGTCGAAGGTTAAGATCCCTCACGAGCTGATGGTTGCGAAGACGAGCCATGAGCTGTTCAGCTTTTTGGCCAAGCAGATTGAGCTGTTCTTGAAAACGCACCACGAAGATCACTATACAAGCCATAAAGAAGGCAAGGGCACATCAGAACATGAGGTCTTCAGTTTGGGCTTCACGTTTTCTTTCCCAGTGCAACAATTTGGCATTAACAAGGGTACTTTGATTCGCTGGACAAAGGGTTTTGACATTCAGGATACAGTCGGAAAGGATGTCTGTGCGTTGCTGCAGGCTGAAATCGATGCGCTGGCATTGCCTGTGCGAGTTGCGGCTTTGGTCAACGACACTGTGGGAACACTAATGGCACGATCGTACACATCGCCCGGCAAGACGGGAACGCTGCTTGGTGCTATCTTCGGCACTGGCACAAACGGAGCATACGTGGAGAAGCTCGACAAGGTCACCAAGCTCCAGAAGCTGAGCGCCCAGGAGGCTGGCGAGATCGATAGCTCAACGGGAGAGATGATCATCAACACTGAGTGGGGCAGCTTCGACAACCATCTCTCTGTGCTGCCACAAACGCCTTACGATGCCGATCTCGATCTTGAGTCAGTGAACCCGGGGATCCAAATGTTCGAGAAGCGCGTTTCCGGCATGTTTTTGGGTGAGATTCTGCGGCGAGCACTGCTGTCGCTGCTGCTCGATTTCAATGTGCCACTGTTCGCCGATGAGCACAGCAACCAGAACGACATCCACAGTACGACGAATGTGGCTCCAGACTCGCCATTGCACAAGCAATGGGGCTTGGACTCTAGCTTCTTGTCGATTACAACTGGAGACAGCTCTGCTGGATTGAAAGTCACACGCCAGACACTTGACCAGGATTACGGCGTCTCTGCAGCATCAGCAGAGGATGCTGAGGCTGTGCGCCTGATAGCGTCGGCCGTGGGAAAGCGTGCTGCACGCCTCTCTGCTGTCGCGATCGCCGCTATTGTGATCTCGACTGGGCGCCTGAAGAACCCAGCGGATGCCGCTACGACGAACGACGCAACACTGGAAGTGAACGAGGACGACGTTGTCGATATTGGTGTCGATGGATCGCTGGTGGAATTCTATCCTCGTTTCGAAGAGTACATCCGGGAGGCACTTCGGGAGATTCCAGAGATTGGTGCTCAAGGCGAGAAGAAGATCAGGATCGGCATTGCCAAGGACGGGTCTGGTGTCGGCGCTGCGCTCATTGCGTTGGTCGCCGACAAGGCGACGAAGGGTAAGTCGACTCCGAGTGCAGGATGTGCCGACCATGCTGATTTGGTGATAGGGAACTACTCGTCATCCTCGTCTGCCTCGACGTCCTCCAGCGGGTCTGGCTTTTTTGGGAGGTTGATTGAGAACATCAATCGCAGCGTACGCTACCGGGTGTAGAATGCCGCGCAAACCGTACGACCGAGAAATGAAAACGCTGCACGGCAGTCGATGCGCTGGAGGTAATCACGGCATTCCAGCGCATCAAGCACCGAGGATCTTGAGAGATCGCTTTGCGGAACCGAGTATTCAAGATTGCAACACTGAAGAATCAGAACGGAAAGTGTACATTGGAAGCCGTGGTATGTGAACATACAGTGCATGTATCTGTTCGTCGCAATTTGATGACGACAATGCGGTCATAGCATCGGAGTCTATAGGTGGGTAGGCGCAACTTGCAATTCGAAATCTATTTCAGACAAGACCTGTCTTGCGCCTTCTGGCGGCCTCAGGTGATCGGTAGCAGACTGCTTCCCGCAGCGAAACAGGACACCGGACGGGAAACGCGTGTAACGATTCGCTCAGCAACTTACATTGTCTCAGGGCTCTATACCTGCGCCCGAACGATAAGTACAGAGTCGTCAACATCACGACAATCGCATTACATTAGCAATCTGCTCATACACCGCAAACACGATCCCACCACTCAATACCAATCTCCCCAGTCGCATCGTACTCCCCTTCCAATACGCCCTCAAACCTCCCTCTCGCCACACCCCCACAATCGCTGGAATTATGTTCTCTCCCCTCGCACTCTGCGACCGGGTCTTGATCGTATCTAACGGCTGCGTAGCATAGACTGTGATGGTGCCCGCCAGCGCCCCCATCGCAAACGTCTCCACTACTCCAGCATTCCTGTTTGCACTCGAATACTGGCTCCGCATCGCATTGTACGCTCCCATCCGCACGGCGCTCGTTGCACTTTGTTTCGCCGTGGTGCTGACAAGTCCGCGGTAAAGACCTTGGATCCCTTGTTCGCGGAGTAGAAGAGTAACGCCGTGAAGAGTTGAACGAAAGCGTTTAGACCCCTTGGCGTCGTCACTCAATGCGGTTTTGATCCTTTCGGTCGGTGTTACGGCTACGAGACTTTCGACTGCTCCGGCAGCCATTCCGGCGAGGAGACCGTTGGTTGGGCTGAGGGTTCCAGTTTGCGGGTCTGTGAGGTGGGATTTTATGGCATCGAAGGTCATGAAGCGAACGCCAGCCTTGAGCGCTGTCCCGAGGGCAAGGGCCGTGCAGCCGGTGTAGAGAGATGAGAAGCCTTCGTTTTTGATGGCGTTGCGCAGGAGGTGGATGGGGCTGGTGCTGGAGGTCACGCCTGATGTAGCCTTGAGTTGCGAGCGAGTTTTGGCGTATTCGAAAGGATATGTGATGCAAGCCTCGGTTGCTCCGGCGAAGCCCCCGGCGATGAGTGATTGCAAGGGAGTGAGCTTCTTTTCGGGCTTGGACGATATCTTGGGAATGGGTGCCGCTGCCAACGGGATTTGCGATGGAGGATGGACTGACACTTTTGCCATCGTGTCTTGAAAGTGGTGCAGAGTAGCCTGACTGTGTAGTCAGAGCATTTGCGTATGGGAATGTCGCCGGAGATCAAAGATAAGTCTAGAGGGTGTTGTCAGTTCGAGTGCTCGTTCTTGTAGGTCTACTGGCCCAGCATTGGTCGAGGCACATCGAAGACATATAGTCTTCGTGCAGCATGTTGACTGCGGGCCTCGCAAGGCTACTACCAGCGGCATCTCATGCAGGCGTCTTGGTTCATATCGAGAAGGCGATGTTTGGACCACCTGGACGGTCCAAATGCCAAGACACATCGGTCTAACAGAACTGACGGAAGTTGATGTTCCGTAGGAAGAGGGGACGATTTCTTCCGCGGCAATCCTCTCCGCCTCGCTATCAACCACATCATGGCGACACCCTTCTTCCTCGCCCTGTGCACTTCCGCACATCCATGGCACTTCATGTCCACGCGAAATGGCGTCGGCGTCACCAGACAAAGCATCAGCCCCACGGAGACCACGAGCGGCACGGGCGTGCAGCTTCTGCAAGCTGAGGAAGTTCAAGTGCGATAACCAGGCTCCCCAATGCGGCAATTGTCGCACGTACGAGAAAGAATGCGTCTATCCGGAGCGAGGCAACCGTGTGAGACCCACGAATGCTATCATCTCGGCATTACGCGAAGAGAACCGTGGGCTGCGTTCGCGGCTGTCAATTGAAGCATCAAGCAGTGGCGATGATGGCAGACAACCTGTTCCAAAAGACGCATCGACTGTCGCATCTCTGCAAGACCCGAGCAATGAAGCAGGCCCCACAGATCCAACAGCTGCGAGCACTCCAGAGTCGGCGGGAAACAGAGCGCCTGCCTCCATGAGTAAGAACGCCACGTACCACGGGCCAACCAGCGCGCTATATGACGATCTCCCAAGTGAACGGCCATCGCAGCCGTGGTTCAATGCCGAGAGGGAGACCAGAATGTCTACACTGCTTTTCGCTGAAGCAGCGAAGCAAAGGCAAATGGAAGTAGTGAATTCTGCACGTGGGCTACTGGACTTCGACGGCGTCGATCCAGAGATGGGCCTCCATTTGCTGAATTTGCATTGGAACCGGCAGCACCACTCCTTTCTTGTGACATATCGCCCCGCCTTCATGCGAGATATGGCGTGCCAAGGACCCTACTTTTCTAAGATCCTGCTTAACGCCATCTACTTTGGCTCAAGCAAGTTTAGCCCGAGGCTCGAGCTGCGAAAAGATCCAGATGATGTTCGCACTGCAGGCTGGCGCTTTCGAGAACGAGTGCGTGAACTGCTTGGCGAGGCCATGGATCAGAGCAGAATCACTACCATCCAGGCCCTGCTGCAGATGACTAATTCTCTGTTCGCTCTTGGCGATGAACAGAGTGCTGCATGGCTGTACTCTGGCTTGGCCTTCCGTATGATCATTGATTTGGGATTGCATATCGATGCGACACTGATGCCAGGTGTTCGAACGCTCACAGACGAGGATCTAGAGGTACGACGACGTGTTTTCTGGGGTGCGTTTGTGATCGATAAGATCCAGTCCTTGTACCAAGGTCGACCAGCTACACTTCAAGCATCACAATGTGATGTTCCGATTGACTTCAAGGACGAATATGAGGAATTAGAACATTGGGCACCATTCGCTTACACTGATAGGTCGGCATCCGGAGGAACATGTAAGTCGTACTTGTGCCCAAATAGCGACGTCTCGCGTCTTTGTGATCAGCATAGACTTCTGATCACTGGGTATCCGCAGCGGCGACATTTGAACGTGATTCAGGGGGCACAAACGCTGACTTTGTCGGACGAAATTCTAGGCAGCTACAGCGTCTCCACCTTTACCCAGCTCTGTCGGTTGTGTATCATTCTCAACCACGTCTTGAACAAGGTCTACAAAGAGAAGAGAGCAGCCGAAGGTCCAGAAACCCCGAAACAGGAGCTGTCAGCATTGGACAAGGAGCTCGTGACGTGGACTGAACAACTTCCTCCACATTTGAGTATAGACATTGAGTCGAGAAGCACTTCTGACACCCCTCCGCCCCACGTCTTATCGCTTTTGTGAGTGGTTAATATCTACTCGAAATGTGCACAGATTGTGCTGACTGAATCAAACAGGGCAATGGCAAATGTGATTAGAATTCTTTTGCACCGACCTTTTGTCTCGGATGGACATCTACATTCCAGCTCACCGTCTGTTGCAGTGAGTTCATTCACACAGTGTGCCACCGCCGCTACTAGTATCGTGAAGATTGTGAGGAAGTACGACAAAACCTACAGTGTGAGCCGGGCGCCCTACTTGATCAGCTACGCCACTTACGTTGCAGCCACCATACATGTGCGCATTGCTTCGAAACGAGGTGCATCCTCGGAAGCTCACGCTTGTTTGCGGACTTGTCTTTCGCTATTGAAGCAGAACTCGGCGACCAACTACGCAGTCAGAAAAGCGATACTCGTCATCGAGAGTCTGATGACCAGGATGGGGGTGCAGACTCCCGACAAGCCTGAGGTGGCGACACGAATACAACAAACCACGACCACTGCCGCGGTTTCAGCGCCCGTGCTTTCTCAGCATACGTCCCCTGGAACCGACACATATTCACCAAGTGCCATGGGATGGGAACCGACTTTCGTAGCAGGCAACATGGCACCTGATCTGGATGTAGATGCGATCATTCGGAGTTTCATGCAGGAGCAAGGCGCTGAAAACGCCACTTTTGTATCGGGCGGAACATCCTACCCTGACTTGACTGGGGAGCTTGGATATCTGCCAACGAACACGCACCAACGATTCGATGACATGATCTTTGGCTTCAATGCAACAGACTTCGATTCTATGATGTAAGTCTACATGCGGCTACTGTTTGCCTCGAGGTTTCCACGAGAAATTTAACCTGAACCACGTTCGAGCTCTGGTCGACTCGGGTGCCACAACCTCTGCATTCAAAAGCTTCTCTTTGAGCAGAAAAGGCTCTGCATCTACGAGACACTATGACAAGAAGCAGACTTTGCCCTCAAACAGTCGCCGCGCTGTTCGCAGCAGCTTCACACTGCGAACCTCTTCGTCGCTCCGTAACACATCCGCGCCAATAGTACCACCAGGATGCTTGATGAGGACTTTCCGCGACTGTTCCGGCAAAGTTGTGAAGCTATCGTGGCGTGGCAGTCCTGGTCCCGATTGCGCTATTCTCCATTGTTCCGCTTGAAGAGCGATCTTGTTGGCTATTGTACCTTCCGTGCATATTGCAGTGGCGAGACATACAGCGCCGGTGAGCTGAAGACTGCCGTGGACCTTTCCCATACTCAAAGCGGTGACCTGCACATCAGGCAGCTCGTCAAAAGCCCCCTCTGGCACTTTTGGCATCGACAGCAGAGCAACCTTTGGAGTGCCGCGAGTCTGTCCAGCAGTCTCGACATCGGGAGCCAATCCCATGCGTACGGCACCATGACAGCGAACGGCTTCCAAAAAGTCCAGATAGTAGTCCGATGATATTGCAGCACTGCTGACATAGTCTGGTACCGAGGCAGCATCGACTAGTACAAAGGGGTTCGCCGCATCCACCAAGCTGGCCTGCACTTCGCATGACGGTCGAGTGATTGTACCCGGTACTTCCAGAATGTCTACAGGCTTACCAGTCGGGAGAAGCTTGCCTGTCATTGCACCTGCCGGCTTCTCGAAAGAGACGCCGATAGGACTACCGCTGGATTTTGTGCCAGCCAACCGGTATTCACCATCTTCGAGAAAATGTCCGTCTTCGTCAAGATCTAAGGATTCCACGATTGTTCGACCGGTATTGGTGTTCAATATTCGTACATCAATCTAGTCCAAGTCAGGATACAGGGGACTGGCAGTCAGTGACACTGCATCACTTACCCTCTTTTGGCCTGGCTGGACTCCTACTAGGCCCTCATCCACTGCAAATGGCCCCACTCCTGAAGCAATATTACCGCAGTTTCCAGTAAAGTCAAGCTTGGGAGAACCGATTGAGACTTGCACGAATGTGTACTCCACGTCGATGTCTGGCCTGCTTGAAGGTTCGATGACCGCAACTTTGGAAGTCGTACTCGTTGCTCCCGCAACGCCATTCAGTTGTTTAGGATCACCGTCTTGGGAACCCATAGCAGCGAGGATGACCGGTGCCCATTGCTCTCTTTTGGCAGGAAGATCACGTTGATGTAGAAAGAGGCCTTTTGAAGTGCCCGCCCTCATCCAGACTGCGGGGATCGTCTGCCGGTGCTTGCGAGGCCGCTGCAACGGAGGTGTCGGAGCATCGATAGCCATCGTGAACGGTGCAAGTGGTGTGGGCAAATGATGCGTTGTGCTTTGGTAAAGATTGAACAATCGAGTGGTCTTCTTCAGCATGCTTCGATGACTACAGCAGCAAAATGGCGCAAGCATGTACAGCCGACTTATCTACGATGCAAGCAGCTCTAACTAGGACCCATCCACGACATTGCACAACAGACACCCACTGCCTTCGTTTTCGGCATTTACAGCGTACATGGGCAAAGGAGCCCATGCCATCCGTGGAACTTGATGCCGCGTTGCAGACACGGTGGATACTACGAAGGAGGCCATTGCATCACGTCAAGATTCGACAGCTAAGCATCGTGGTCTGGCGTAATACCGCGGAGCATGACTTTCCGTTCAACCTCTTGGCTTTACGTCTTGGCTGCATGAGAAGCACGTCTCGGCCTTGTTCGATGCTATACGGCAAGCCCGAAGCGATCTACCGAGCGCTACATGGCGTCGTGACAGTACAGCCGCCACGCGAAATCTGCGCTTCTAGTCTCCATCTGGGGTTGCGGGGTGTATGGGAAACCACATGGCAGGTGTTAGCACATGGCGCTCACGCTGATGAGTGACATGTCTGGTACTTCGAGCGGCACGGGATTGTGGCTTGATGAGCCTATATAGCTTTGCAAGAATGCCTCATCTCAGCTCACATTAGGCACCTCGAGGATACCTCGCCAGCAGCACTTTCAGCTGAGCAGACCAAGACAATCGCAATGGCGTCGGAAAAGGTTAACACCACCCACCTGGAGGTGGACAGGTCAAGCCTCGACAAGGTCGATGCAGAAATTCAAGCAATCGAAGTGGTCACACCAGCCAGCATTCAAGCACAGTTTCCCACGCTCGTCGACTTGAACGAAGAACAGATGGCAGCCTTGGAGAAGAAGCTTGTGCGAAGGTTGGACTGGCGCCTCATGCCCACAATCACCATCATGTTCCTGATGAACTACCTTGATCGAATTAACGTTTCCAACGCACGTCTCGCTGGCCTCCAAGAAGATCTGGGCATGTCGGATACTGTATGGAACGCAGGCATCTCAACGTTCTATGTTGGGTACCTGATTGGACAACTCCCTGGTAATCTTTGGCTGGCTAAGGTCCGCCCTAGCCTTCTACTGCCTTCGATGATGATCGGATGGAGCATCTGCACAATCTGTATGCCAGCTGTGACATCTGGCGTTGGGTTCTGTCTCATCCGTTTTTGTACAGGAATTTTCGAATCTCCCTTCTTCCCAGGAATAACGTTAATGACTTCGTCCTGGTATAATAAGCACGAGAACCCTACCCGCATGGCTATCTGGCATGCTGGTAACACGATATCCAACATTGTCTCTGGTTTTCTGGCGGCTGGAATCCTCCACAACATGAAGGGCATCGCTGGGCTCACATCATGGCAGTGGTTCTTTCTCATCGAAGGCGCTGCCAGTATTGTCGTTGGGGTGGCCGCGTTCTTCATCCTCCCTGACTGGCCTGACAACACGCAATGGCTGAGTGAAGAGGAAAGTGAAATGGCTCAGTATCGTGTCCTGCTCTCCAATGGCGGCAAGCGGGAAGAGGTTGGAGGCACTTGGGACGGTCTGAAGGAAGCCATCAAAGATCCCTTCACCTGGATGTTCTGTGCGATGCATTTTAGCCTCATCAACGCGCAAAGCTTCAAAGACTTCTTTCCATCGGTTCGTTGAGCCCCAAGAGGGTAACAGCTGGCATCGCTAACATGATTCACAGATCATCAAGACTTTCGGCTTCGGTGAGCTGGAGACATATCTCATCCAGGCACCACCGTACGCTATCGCCTACATCAGTGCCTGCGTTCTCGCGTACAGCTGTGGCAAATTCCAAGAGTCGTGTTATCACATCCTCGTCCCGATCATCGTCGCGGCTGCGGGTTGCTCCATCCTGATTTCTACTCTCAACGTCGGAGCACGCTACTTTGGGGTCATTCTTCTCATCAGTGGAACCTACAATGGACTGAATCTGCAGCTCTCTAGGGAGACAACACTGGTTCCAGCACCACGTGCGAAAAAAGCCGCCCTGATTGCCATCGCCAATTGCGTCAGTCAATGTTCACATTGGTTCTCTCCTCACTTCTTTCCGACAAGTCAAGAACCGTTTTACCGTCTGGGCGGAGGACTCATCCTCTTTGGATGCTTGTGCACAGTTGGACTCTGCTTAGGAGTGAAGTGGTGGGCCAAGCGATTGAACAAGAAGCTCGATGAGGCAGAAGGCTACAGCGAGCATAGCGGTGTCGAGCGCGGATGGCGCTATGCTTATTAGATAGGTCTGAATGAAGTTACGATAGAACGGTAAGCAAGCAAATGTTTTTGAGGGCAGGCGGCGATCCTCTAGTTAGTTTTCACGAAGCGTACTGGAAAGACACACGCTCTTCTTGATTGTCATAAGTTCATTATCACCAGATGACTGTGCTGTCTAGGACACCCATCTCTGCTGCTAACATCAGGTTCTTCTTGCACCTTTCTCCTCTCCCATCTCCTCACGGAGTATTCGAACCTGCTTCTTGATCTCGCGCCAAAGCACATTATTGTCCAGATCAGGGTCTTGCTCATCCATTTGCCGCACGAGCCAAACATAGTCGTAAAGTCCCTTGAACGGCCGAATACTTTCATTCTCACATGTCCGCCCATTACTAGGCCGATCGTGCGCTTCGAGGCATTCCAGGCAAATCATTTCGCTGAAAGCATCCGCGTCCCTCGCAATGGCAAGCAGACTGGCTACCATGGCCTCTTGCATGTAAGCAAAGGAGAAACCTTGGGTAATCTTGGCCACCGCGGTACAGAGCTTGTCGGGAAAATCGACGTCTTCGTTGTCGGATAGCTTGGACTGCCAGTATTTCATGTATGCTACACGTTCTTTCTCGTTCGGGTTCGGAAACAGATACTTGCGGTCGAATCGAGAAGGTCTTTTAGCGATTCCTGGGTCTAGTCGATCGAGATGGTTTGTAGATCCGATCATGAGAATGCCATCGTTCTTTTGAATACCGTCTACGGCATTGAGAAAGTAGGACCGCACAGAGTCAGTCACTATGGAGTCCAAGTCTTCAAACACAAGTAAACATGGTGCGGTCCTTCTGGCCAGATCGAAAATCTGGGCGATGCTGTACTCTGGGCCAGCGAAGCTCGAAAGTGTCTTCACGTAGAGAGTGGGGACCGAATCCTCCCGTTTGTAGAGTGTGTTCATGAGTGCCTTGACACTAATCGTTTTACCATTCCCGGGGGGTCCTACACAGGACAATCAGCGAAGACGACTCTGATGTGTTTTGAATGTGCTGCTTACCATAGTAGATGATTCCACGCTTCCATGGCACCTTCAGTCGTTCGTATGTGCCACGACTGTCGTAGAAGTTCTCCACATCATCTCGTATAGCTTTCTTCATGTTCGGGTCTAGGATCACATCATCCCAGCTCGCTTTCTGCACGCTGTTGAATAGCTCCGCGCTCTTCTGCCAATAGCCACCATCGAACACCCATATCTCGTTGTGCAGAGTGTTTCCCCAGTTCCCAGCTTCGAGCACGAGCGTGTTTGTTGCCTCCACAGACGCCGACAAGATATACTGATTCACGACATCTGGATATGACCCTGTTCCATCTCTTCCGTCTACAAGGTAGACGATGAACTCTTTGTTCCTCCAATCTACCAAGTATTTGCCAAATTTTACTGAGTCGCCCGTGTAGCCTTTGCCATTCAAGCGTGAAGCTGGGGGCACATATAGGCGCCATGAAAGGCGATCTTTGGCATTGCCGAGTGGTAAGACTCCTGCGTGCCCAGCAGCAGCATAACCAAGAATGTTGCAGCCTCCTCTTGGGACGACAGCGAGATGAAGCTCTGGGTACTCGGCTCGGATGCTTTCTACGATGACGGCGTCGGTATTGACTCTGTTGGCAGAGGAATGCTCGAAGAAACGCTGGCTCGTTGGATTGCGAGGGCCAACTGGGCGTGCTCCAGCAGTTACAGTCGTGATGGACGAAGCTGGTTCGAAGTTCGCATTTGTGGGTGTCGGTTGGATGCCACGACTCCAGCTGGAGCTCGATCGTGGGTCATTTCTCATCTTGAGTGCTATGTCTATTGTTTGTAGACGAGCGATGTGCACATGGAGCAGGGCTATCCGTTGCTACGCAGCCTATGCCAGGAATGATGCCTGCAGCTCAGCTGCTGCCGATCCCCAGGATCATGGCTGAGATGTTAGCTTGGCAGAGTCGTAGCAAAGTACACGGGTTTATTGTTTCTGCCTTGAATCAGTGCATCGCTAAGCAGTGGGATGAACACAAGCAAGACTCGTAATGTCATGCTCCTGTGCAGACCTCGCTGCGTGCCCTCCGAGATGTCTCCAGCACGCCCAGCTTGCACCGGAGCTGGCCCTACGCTGACAGCCTTACGGGAGAGCTAGCTTTACCGGCACAAGAACTATGTTTCTCGGTGAACGTCCGCGGTGGAGTTCGCATAGCAGGCCATTGTTGGATATGTGCGACTTCTCCAGTAGCGACAATGGTACGACGGCGAGAGTGCGCTGCCAAGAGAGCTGCATACCGGAATTCTTGCGCCACTTTCTAGTGCATCTCGGATAGAAACGAGGTCGTTTGTAGACGCATATAATTTCATCCGAACGCAGGAATTTCGAGCTGAACCACAGCACCTTCCTGCGCAGCATTTCCGGAGTTTTCAACTGACTCGAAGTCCTTCGCCCTTGCCTTCTTTGAACCTGAAATTGGAGTCTGGATTCGGCACCGAACATCGAAAATCTCAACCGCATCAACATCCCAACGCCCAGTCAAGCACGATGGGACACCAAGGAAAGACTGTTCTCGTCACTGGCGGAGGCGGAGGATTGGGCAGAGCCATTGCAGAGCACTTCATCTCTCTCGGCTCCAACGTGGTCATCTGCGATATCAACGACAAACTTCTCGACGATTTCAAGCAAAAGAATGGGTCCGACAAAGTGCTCGCACTCAAGTCCGACATTACTTCTGAAGCGGACCTCGATGAGCTGTTCGCGCAGGCAGAGAAGAAGTTCGGCTCCTTCGACTACATTGTCAACAGCGCCGGTGTGATCGACAAATTCAACCCCGCAGGTGCCATGGAACTTCCAGAATGGAATCGCTGCATAGGAGTCAACCTGACCGCACCAATGATGATTACAAAGCGTGCAGTAAATGCATTCCAGAGAGACAATAAGAAGGGTTCGATCGTGAACATTGCTTCAGTGGCATCTTTCAAGGGCTTTGCAAATGGTAAGTGATACGAGGCGGATAATAACGAGGCAGACCAAACTAACATGTTTCAACAGGCGCTGCATACACCGCTTCCAAGGCTGGCCTGATTGGTCTCACCAAGAACACTGCAGCATTCTACAGGCTAAAAGGCATCCGGTGCAATGCCATCGCTGCAGGAGCAATGCAGACAAACATCGGCAACCACCTCGCGAATGGTGACTTCAACATGGAGGGCATGAACGTGATGAAGAAGACTTGTGAGTAGATTGAAACTGTACTGATTGCGCTGCTGTTACTCACACAAAGGCAGTCGGTGACTGGGAAGGTGGATATGCCGACCTTGCGAAGATGGCCAAACTCGTGGCATACCTGTCCTCTGAAGAGGCAGAAATGATCAACGGCGCTCTCGTGACTGCAGACGGAGGTAAGTCTACTTTGGACACATATGTGGCAGGCGTGCTTGCTAACCATGAACCCTCCCCGCAGGCATCACCGCAGCATAGGCTATTGAGATCTAGTTGAAGCATGCAGGCTGGCCTGCTAGTGCTTACTGCCAGAGCCCGAACGCGAACTCATGTCGATGGAAACTCAGCTCGCTTGCCTGCTCATGTCTCGGCTAGAGCACAGAACAGCAGGGGAGCTGTTCTCCTCGACGCCACGTCCTATTTAGAGCATACTAAAGCAGCGATGGATGCGATACAGTGCAGCATTCCGAACAAAAGCCACATTCCAGCAGCGCCCATTCCTGAGCTTGTGTCGTCTTGGTGTGCTTGATTTATCGTCGCTGGTTGATGCTGGCAGCAGTACACAAATTGTCGGACCCTCGGCCGAAGTCGGTGTCCGCTGGCTAAATGGTTAAAGGTTGATGAGGAACAAGCAATAGCGGCTCTGCCGCAACTCTATTACGCATATTCCGCGTTGGTTCTTGCAATGTTTTTGCTTGTTTACGATGACGAAAGCGTCGGGAACAGATGCTGTCATTGCGAAGAGCTGCTCAAGCCTTGAGCTTGCGGAGATGGTCTGATATGACTGCGCCCAGAAGTAGCCCAGAAATGCTCGATATTGAATATCAGGAAAGCATACAGGGCGCTCTTCGCGCAGAGAACACTGGCAGGGTGCAGGGAAATGGAGTCTCGCGTTGATTGCCATGCAACCGACACCCGAATGACTGGACTCGGCCCTCCGCTCCGCCGCAAGCGCGGGTTTGGGGAATTGGACGGGAGAGCATGTTGGCGACCCATATAATTCTGGGGGCCGGAGACTCGGACCACTCTTTGGGGGTGCCTCGGCCTATCGTAGAGTCGTTGGTGAACATGGGTGCTCTCGCATGCACGTTGGGTGAGGGTCCGATGAGACGGATGTCTGTGGTTTGACGAGCTACTGGCGCCGCTACTCTGTGGCCGATGTGCTGAGTGACAAATGCGTCAAACTCTCGCGTAGTTGATCTGATCTCTTCACACTCGATACCCCCTCTGCCGGCGCACAGCAGTCCACAGTCGAGACAGCGGTGCGCGCCAAAGCCATGCATTTGCTAGTAGAGAAGTTGCGAATCGCTCGCATCTCGTGCTTGTACCAGATCTGTGCATCCTCCAAGACATTTGGCGGTGCGAGAGTTCAGCCGCACACGCCAATCGGCAAGCCATCAAGAGCTTATATTTCTTGGTCATACGTCAGGCCAAAGGCACATGCACACTCCGTCCGGGGCCTCCACCGCATCATCATCTCGATGGCCAAGCGACGTCTTCTGGACCAGTCATTACGTCGATCGTAGCAAGCTGACAATTGTATTACGCGAATTGGTGTTGACGATGCTCCTTACGACCAGTGTGTAGAGACTGGAGATCGACTGCTGCAAGAGGCCTGCAAACACATGGTGTGTGGAGCAGAAACCTGAAAAAGCAGACGCGACAGAGCCGCTCCAGTAGAGCAGACTCCACAAGCAAAACGTCCACGGGGATCGTCGCGTGCGTGTGCAATTTTGTACGGCTTGCTAATCTAAATAATGACAGCACCCGATCGGCATGCGATTGGCTCCCTCCATACCATCTCCAGTTCTTCTGACGCTAGCTCCCTCGCGGTCTGGAGAACGGGAAAAGGGAGTCCCCACACCTGCGGCACCTGCTGCTGTATGCTTCTCGGAGCTATGAGCGCCGCATGCGATGGTGGACCGCATTGCCAGCTTAGCCTACGTATTTAGATGCCGTGTGCTCGCTCATCCTCTTTGATCCCTCTGCTGCACCCGGGTCCCATTGTTTGAAGGGCATTTTTCATTGTTTGTTTGTCCTTGCATCCTCTCCCACCGCACACCAAATCGCAAGACCTCATCATGTCGACAGCTCAAGAGCAGAACGATATCCGGGGAGGAGAGGCAGAGAAGCAATTCACCAATGGCAACTACACCAATGGTGCGAACGGTGTGAATGGCGTGAACGGCCACGACCATGCCAAGCAGAGAAAGCCATACGACTATGGCGGCAACCCGCTCTACCACGCGCACACCAACAGCGATCAGTCAGCGCGTCTCGCCGCCTTCGGTGGTGAGCTGCAGCCAGGTCTCTACAAGATCGATCCCAACCGCAAGTTCGCCAACCCAGCTCCACTGGGTCTCTGCGGTTTCGCCCTTACCACATTCTTGCTCTCGGCCATCAACCTCGGAACCCGAGGCTTGAGCGAGCCAAACTTGGTCATCGGTGCTGCCTTCGCATACGGTGGTCTCGTGCAGCTTCTGGCTGGTATGTGGGAAATGGCAGTCGGCAACACATTCGGGTAAGTTGAGACCACCGTGTACAACTGATTGATGCTGACCAAGTCTTCAGTGCTACTGCACTCTCATCTTACGGAGGTTTCTGGATTGGCACTGCAATCATCCTCACTCCAGGCGGTTTCGAAATCATGGAAAGACTCGAAGCCGAGAGCGTTGACCCATTCATGAACTCATTCGGATTATACCTCATGGGCTGGTTCATCTTTACCTTCCTCCTCTTCCTCTTGACTCTGCGCTCCACGGTAGCCTTCAGCTTCTTGTTCTTCACGCTTATGCTGGCTTTCCTGATGCTCGGCATCGCCTACTTGAACTTCACGACAGAGGGACCAAACATCCCGTGCCTGCGCGCTGGTGGTGCTTTTGGAATCATCGCCGCATTTGCTGCCTGGTAAGTTATGCAGTCTCTTCAATACATTCGCGTTGCTGACATCCAACCAGGTACAATGCGCTCGCCGGTATGGCCGATACCTCGAACTCGTTCTTCCTGCTCCCAGTTGTGCACTTCCCGTGGTCCGAGAAGGGACGCGAGAACCGCAAGAAGGTTGACAACAGCCAGGAGCGCGCTGCTCAACAGGTCTAAGATTGTGGATGATGACAATGATACCCAGAGATGTCCCATAGAAGGGCAACACAGAACAACATGCCATGGCTGTTGGATGTGACCATGTAGTAACTGTTTCTAATAATGATTTACGATCATCATTCCCGTCATGTACCACTCTTTCTGGCTTGCGTACGCACCAGAGTCAGACTTTTCGTGCTCCTCATGGGACGTGCAATGAATGACTGGTCATCGAGCTGGGTCGATGCCGCACTAGCCTCGAATGGTTTGTGCTTCACCATTTTCAAGAGCTTCCGAAGCGCAACATCCAACGCATGCAACAAGACGCTTCTAAAAGTATTCGTCAAGACCAGAAGGCCAATCACATCGACCAGACACGTAGGCTCTCAATGCCCTGTTGGGATTGTCAGAGATCCCTCAAGGGTCGTACGTGCGATCGGTCCCTGCCAGGAATCGAGCACAAATGACTGACTCCAAGTTTGCAACGACAGGATATAACGAAACCCAGCTTCTCCACCATATGGTAAGTCCCAGATCGCGTCCAAGACCAGCTTCCAAGACGCGATGCCGGACGATATTCGAACGCCGTAGAGAGAGAAGAACTTGAGCCTCTTGCAGCTTCGGACCCAGGCTGCGAGGCGCGCAGCATCAATCCGCACAGAGTTCAATTCGAGCATCTGGAGACAGGGCTGCTGAGAAACGCAAGAGGAGTGGAGACCAGCTGGCTACCAAGACTGGAAGTCTGGAAGTACGGTCGCCCAATACGCATCTGCTTTCAGTGTCCTCCCAATGCCATCCGGGGGATACTCTTCTTTTCTATGGCCCACATCTTCGAGTGCGATTCGCCTGACGTGCTGCGAAAGAGGGTCGTGTGCCAGCTTCATAGGCGCCTTCCTGTCCGGCTCAAATGCAACGAGAACGATATGCCCGAATAGCCGATGGAGCGGATTTTCCAGGTAGGCACATCTCGGGTGAGCCAAACGAAGGCTTTTGAGGATGTCCAGGACTTGTGCAGGGCGATAACCGAGCACAATTCCGTCGACAATCGTGATCAGGACCACCTCTGGTATTCGATAGAAAGCTTGATATGAGGCCGGCGTCATCTTCGACTTCGCACAAGAAAGACATATGCTATGATCTGAAGTGAATGCTCTGTTGGAGCTAGTATGGGAAAGTACAACTCCTAGACTTAGGATCTCTGACAATGAGCTCGCATCCGGTCTGCTGCCTGCCTATGTCGGCAAAAGTGATGTGCTTGGCAACATCCCCGACTTCAGCTGTTTTGGTGATCCATGATTGGCTGAGCTGTGGTGCTCTTCGACGCCATCCAAATGCCACGAACGCGGTTTGTGTCTGTATGATCGCTTGGCAAAACGATACTACTTACATGGTTCTGCGTGCGAGTACTCTGAGGGCATGGGGTGCTGAGAGAAAAGCAAATTGACTTGTCGGTATTCGAATCACACTCGAAATCTGAATCTTTGCGGCAAAGTTCAGATATGGTAAGAGAGCCGCGTTTTCGAAGTACTGCAGCCACAATTCAGGTGGCGCGCACCTTCATGACAATTATGCAGTCGAAACAGAGCCCCGCGTTATAGCAGTCTGTCATCCAGGTAACTGTAATTGGTCAGTTCTAACAAAGGAATTGAGGCTTACAGGATGTCTAGCATGCTTAGCAGTCTGGGCCTTGCCCAGGCCCTTGACTCTATCATACTTCGGATCAAGTTCAAGACTTGAAGAGAAAGAGAATCGATGCCGGCGTAATGCTTCGTTGCAACAAGCGTGGCCGTCTGTACCCGCCGTTGCAGCGCATAGGCAATGAGACACCGTCATGGAAATGCCCGGTACAAGCTTGTGCAAGAAGTAACTAGCGACCATGCTTGGAGTAACAAGCATTGTGATTCAAACATCAAGCCACGTCCACGAGGACTGATCGACATCTGTACCTAGATCTGGGGAACCGTCTCGCGTGGCAGCCAGGTCGCAGCTCTCCGTACCGACTGCGTATCGTAAAGGGGCTATGCCGACCTACTGCCGGAGCGGAGGCGAGACTCATCGATCGACACAATTCGAGCCTCGTTCGGAAGGATGGCGGAACAATAACCAGAGGCGTCGTGTCTCCTCACGGAACATGCCTCAAGGTCGTCAAATCGTGCCGTTCAGAGAGTGTTTTGAACGCCACTCGGCATAATGGCGTCGCATGAGAACGCGCGCCAGCTTTGCGGTCTGGGGTCGTGCAGCCGTCTACAGCACATCGCCGTGATCATTCGCGCAGCCTCTGAGTACCTGAGCAACTTGCAGTCGATCGGTCACTCAAAATTCGATTTCCGCAAGGCGATCTCCTTCAGTGACCATGGCATGCGGACGGGAACGTCTCATTCAGTTCGAAGCCGTGTCAGTTCGTGCCCGGTATAAGTAGGAGTCTCTGCTCGTGAGCGATCTGCCTTTCAAGTACGCGGTCGAGCCTCATCGTTCCCAAGCCCAGCATGAAGTGCTCTGCTCTGTTGGCAGGCGTCTTCGCCCTGCACGTGGTTGCCTTCCCGTTCGCACTCGAGCAATTTGCTTCAGAGCAGCTTGCTTCTCTCGACAAACGACAGACAGTTCCCTCTAGTACCCCTGGCTCTGCTGCAGCTCGGGCATTCAGTAGGAGTCGTAAGAATTGCGGTGTTCGGGGCTGCACTACGTTCAGTGCTACTGAACAGTACGTGTCCACCACCGGCACATATGCCTACGCCAGTCCAAGGCCAGATCAGATCAGAGGACCATGCCCTGGGTTGAATGCTGGTAAGCATGATGCTGAGCACAACGTGAGAACACGCTGACAGGAACTCCAGCTGCGAATCATGGGTAAGGCTCTCGAAGACCAATATCAGGTACATGTTAACCGTCCATCGCTCTCGTCCTATAGTTATCTGCCACGAGCTGGTTACATGACCATCATTGAGACCATCGACGGCCTCAAGGCAGCTTATGGTATGGGCGTGGACCTCGCCGGATTCCTTGCGGCTTATGCTGTCATCGTCGACGGCGATCCAAGTAAGATGGGTCGCACTTCTCACATCTGACTGCGCAGCTGATCAAGCCTTAGTCCTTGGAACCTGGTCTATCGGTGGTCCTCAGCCCAGCAATCTGCTCACAAAGTCGCTGCTTGGCAAGCCCCAAGGTATCTCGTACTCACATAACAACTACGAGGGAGACGCCAGTATTGGTCGTGCAGATGCCTTCCTTAATGGTGGCGATGCCCACTCTTTGATCATCAGCCGCTTTGAGGAAGCGTACCGTGCTACCGACTTCGCTGTGAATGGAGGACAGCGTGATCGCTACACTTTGGACGCTTTCGCGCAGGACTATGGCAAGAAGCTGAACCAGTCCATTGCCACGAATCCATTATTTTTTGCCGCTCCTTTTAGTGGCCTCGTTGCACCTGCTGCGTAGGTCCACTGGCGGAGGCAAATCAAGTCGGCTGCTGACCTCTCTCGCAGGTACAACTTTGTCATCAACTTCATGAGCAACCATTCTGCAGCCAACCCTACGGGCTATCTGGATGGTAACCAGTTCAAGCAATTCTTCGGCGTGGCTGGCAGTCCGGGTAGCTTCCGATGGCTGAAAGGTCAAGAGCGGATTCCAAACAATTGGTATCGGCGCCCATCAGATCCTGTCAATGCGTACAACGCCGTTGATGTCTTCCTGGACCTCGGTGCACAGTTCTTGGCATATCCTTATCAGGTGAAATTTGGAGGCAACACTGGCCGCACGGTATGTTCCGTACTTGGTGTCGGATGCAAAGTTAGCTGACCATCCATAGAACTCCTTTACTGGTGTTGACCTCAGCGCTCTTACTCGAGGAGCTTTCAATGGCGCCAACTTGTTGCAGGGCAACAACTTGCAATGCTTCTTTGCGCAAGCTGCTCAGTCCGCTATCCCGGATTTGGCTGGCGCTACACTGGCTGCAGTGAATGGTATAGTCGGCCAATACTTTGGTGCCTTCACCAGTGGCTTGAACTGTCCAACTGTAGGGAAGTACGACCAGACCTTGTTCAACAGGTAAGTCTCGGCCCGTTTCGTCCAGTCACGCTCTCTCTGACATGATATCTGGTATCCGGGAAGATACTACTCTCCTCAGCCACGGCAGGGACAGCCAAACAATTGGTAGAGCGGGTACGAGATGGACTCGCAGGCTGGGAGTGATGTCTCGTGGATGAGGTGCTGACGCTCAGGCATTGAGCCGCTCGACGGGGGCAAGTCAGGTAGTCCCTTCTGTATGGGTTCTGGCGTTTGCAGGTTGAACGCATCGAGCTGCCGCGAATTGAACCTCATATTGCAGTCTTGAAATGGTGTCGCGGCCTGAACGGTGTGAGCATGGAAGGAGCTCGACCGCGGCGAATTCGTCGCCGCTGCGCCGCCAAGCCACCGCCTTCCATCTTTGCATCTATCTTTAGCATCACAGTTTCCTCCCTTTCCCTTTCCCTGTCACTCCAGCTGCAGTATTGATGAACAGAGTCCAGATCTCGTTTTCCCATTGTCATGCTAGGCAAAAAGACGGTGCCTCGGCGGCGGCTCGGAAGACAATCGCATCCCCCAATCGACCCGTTCAAACGAGTGGTCAAAAGCCACTTTACGCAACAGGCAGAAGCAACAGCCAACCAGGCCAGTACAGCTTCACGACTGGTCTGCATCATGCATGCAAGCAAGCAAGGACGGAATTTGATAGCTTCCTCAGAGCAAATCGCAAAGCTCTACCTTCAGTAAAACGCCTTGAACCCCACTCATAGGGCGAGACCTGCATGGAGCCGTCCTGCAGCAGCAGAGCAAATGCAGTGGCTACTGATTGGAGCCTTATTGACTGCACATCTGCTCTCGACTTCAGAAGTGGTAGAAAGGGAAAGAGTAGCACAATCGTTGATGCTCATCGAAGAGCAAAGCAGTTACATTCATTTGTTGCTTTGTGTTACATGCCCTCGCGGTGTAGGGGTTGGGTATCGTCGTCTTATCCGCGTCTAATATTCTTTCGTGCGTTCATTGATGCCCGCATTCGCCTGTCCTGAACTCCAAGAATCCCATTCCCTGTTGCGGCAGACTGTTCCCCTGTCTCATTCCGTAAGATTCAAATGATCACCCACCCAGCGAACACCGTGACCCATATGCTACATGAAAATAAATCTTTTTGCTGTTGAGGTTCTTCTACTTCCGATGCGAGGCAGGCGGAGGACGCTTCTCGTCGCTGGAAACAGTGCCGCTGGCTTGATGGAGCACGACAGTCCTCTTTTTGGTGGTGGGGCTGCCCTCCGAGTTCGATCCGACTGTGGAGTATGCGGATGATGGACCGCCTTTCATTCCTGTCAGTTCTGCAATACAAAGTGATGTGGAACGCTTGCACTGACCCTCGGACTGGTAGTAGCATTCCGCCTTTCTCTCTTGTCGACCCATATTGATGGTGGTTTGGGTTGAGGACTTTAGTAGTGGAAGGAACTGAGACAGTGTCTCGTGAATATTATGGATTGCTCGCGAGGTTTTGTGTTGTGTGGTAAGGTCTTCTTGTGCAGTCAGATGTCGAGTGTTTGCAGTGTAATGTGGCGAAGTCGCTCCAGTCGACAGTGGTGGACGCCGCGTGTAGTGTGGGAAAGGGAGACTTTATGAGTGCGACGGGACTGTGGTTGTTGGTTGTTTGTGATGCCCGACAGGAGTATATTACATGCAACAGGAGTGTCAAGGTATATATACCGAAGCCTATTGCTGCCTCACGACAGGGCGAACCTGGTGTCATAGCCCCAAAATACTGGCGGCGTCCCCAGAGGCCGCCTGCTTTCGGGCGCGGCGAAGCAGTCTCGCGATGGATCCTACAGGCCAGGCAGCGCTCGCAAGAGACCATGGACCACGCCCGCTCGTTAGGATGACTCACCCAGTGCCGTCCATTAGGATGTCGAGCAAGGCCGCGAGCGCCCGCAAGTTGGCGCGAGTTGGAACCTGCGAACGCATCTGCACGCATTCCAGTGGTGCGGCCCACGCTTGACGCAGGCACTACTCCCGCTTCATTGGCCCGTTTCAGGCAGGGCTGACATGCTCTCAGGAGGTATACGTAGACGGCAACAATGCGTCGAGTCCAGTCGCGGCCTGTCAGTTCGAAACATTCCTCATTTCAGCGTCATGTCTTGCTTCGCAACATCCCACGTTGGGCTCGTGTCGCAAAAGGAGGGCGCGAAAGAAATCGCGCGGCCGGGCGGACGTCCGGGCAACGCCTCACTGTTCAGGGATGGCAGTTCTGATGCTTGGACAAATCTGGCAGCAGAATTACTTCGCAAAGGGGGTACACGATCCCGGAGAAGGATAAGTCTTGGTACGGAAAAGCCGAGGGCCAATCAAAGTCTAGTCTTTCGAAGTGTCGGGTAATGTACCTTGCAGGCCTCATCAGGACGCGAAGATGGATCAGCCCTGTGTCGTCATGCTGCCTTGAGATCATTCTCTCACGACACGCTTCTGGACAGGGCGAGACATTGCGGACATGAGCTCCGCTGTGGGTCGACCACATCTTCTGAATGGGATCTGGAAGCAGATTCAGACGTCAACGCTGTTTCGAGCACAGGGAGCTTGATGACACGCCTACAACGGCTCTCGGTCGACGCGTATCACGACGATTCTGGAACAGGCGGACGCGCCTTCGAGCCGTGGACCTTGGTCGCTTGGTTGCTTGCGCTCGGCTCCGACAAACTGCATTTCTTTGGTCTCCAGGCCCGCTGCGACAGCCTCACTGCAGGGAAGTTTGCAACTGCCCACAGCGACCGGGCAATTGCCAGTGTTCGTCTCCTTTGGGCTAGTGCACACACTGGTTTGTGCCCAACGTGTTGGGTTCTGATGAATATCCGTAAACACGCCTCCAGGATTGCCAAAGGGCAAGGTCGTCATTTCATGGAACAGCCAATACATTCTCTGCGATCTCGCAGAGCAGTGCAGTAGTCCACGATTCCGCAGAACGCCGCGTCGGTCTGGTTAGGAACTTCGTAAGATGGCGATGAGGATCCTCTACAGTATGCGTGAGGCGACGGGGCCAACTTGCTGAACCTCGCGTAGATAGGTACGTACCACGTATGCCATCAGCTGTCTCGTGAGCTCTTCCCTCACTGCTGACGACTGGCACTCCGTCACAAAGTTGTTGAGCGGAAGATGAAGCCTATACTGGATGATGTGCCTCAGCCTCAAGACCGACCACGTGTGTGGGGGTCCAGCAGTGGACAGCAGAATAGAGATCCGGAGGCACCGACGCTTCCGTGTCTCTCGTGACCTTAATCGATTGCCTGCCCTTCTCCGGTACGCAAGATGCCTCAGATGCCCCGCAGAATGCAGAGATACAAGGAGCAAAGACGTGCTTAGGTCCTTCTGGCAGTAAGTGCAGTATACAAGGCGCGAACCCGGCGGCGAGCTTCCCTTTTACTCTTTGGCGGGAGGGGCGATGAGCCGTCAATCATAGCTCCCTAGCGAGACTCGATAGTGTCGGACGCGGGCAACTCGTCGTCTGCTTTCGATTAATAGAATTGGTCCGACAAGCACAGCCGCCAGCGAGCATATACAGCATTCAAATCGAGGAATGTCAATGCCAAGGCCCGAATCTTCTTGTTCATCCAGTGATTCAACTGAAGACGAAACACGATCACCATCGCCATGGGTCTTCGACTGCCGGACGGGCACCGTCGATGCGATTTCGACATTCCAATTCGGAGATGTTGACGGGATGGCAAATCTGATGCGGGAATACTGAGCACCGCAGTCCCCAATGCGCAAAGAGTAAGGACGCTCGCGGGCTGCTCGTACCTGCTGTTCGGCCTGTTGTTGCACTTGCCGCCTGTGAGAAAGCACTAGTTAGCGCAGCGGGTAATGCAGCTAAGCCGCCACGCCAAAACTATTCCATCTGAACTGAACTGCACTGAACTTCACCAGACCAGATCTGCGACAATCCATCCACCGCTCGAGCGCGCTGAGCAGGATGTGCGGCGACTGGGCGCACGTCCTCGACGAGGCCGATACAGCAACTGCTCGACTGATCATTAATCTACAGCTCGATGATCTGGTATCTCTAGCAGCATGCGACCGCGCCAACAGAAGCGGAGATGTCCCAAGCGACGGAGAAGTGGCGCGTCAATTGTACGCTGAGGAGCTTCGCGAGTAAGTTCGAGAAGATGAGGGGTGCTCTGAGTCGCCAGCTGAACGCCGCACAGATGTCTTGCCAGACTCGACCCGGCGCCTTCTAGCAACGCTGTCTCGCCGCAAAGCATGGCCGAGGAATTGATGCAGATCCAGCATCAGGCTCTGAGAGACAGTCAAGCGTGTATGAAACGACATGAACAGAAGGCCAAGAGGGAAGCAGCCGCCTTGGATGCAAGTGAGCTTGCCGCTTTCGCGCCTGGCCTCGGTGAAGGGGCCTTCGCTCAGCCGACTATCAACGGCTTAGGCAAGAGGGCCAGAAGTGATGATGTCGCCTTCCAGCCCGCGAAGCGTCTTCAGGTCGACGACGGAGGGCACAGGAAACGTCAAGATTGTCCTCACGATGGACAATATTCCCTTGATTCAGCCACGGACTTCAGCAGACCGTCGCCAACCATTTCGAGTCCGGCACCTCCAATGGTCAGCTCGTTGACAGCGTGGAGTCCTGTGCCTTCAGCCGACCAAGAGCTTCTTCAAGGCACATCTAAGCCAATACCAAGAGTCAAGCTCCCGCCCGCACGTACCAACAGTGGGACCATTGGCACGCCTTTCCAAGCCACCGCCGGTGATGGCCTTTCCAATATCGAAGCGTCTCGCTTCCAGAGCATCACATTCCAGCAGCCGTACCAAGGCAAGAGCTTCGAAGAGTTGAGGGCCGAGGACAGTCTGCAAGGGATAAGATACGGCAGAGACAACAGCAACGGCGATGGCAAAGCAGGAAACTTGGGTATAGGCACTGGCTTTGGTTCACGCCCGGTAGTCAAGCTGCCGGACCCTCAAACGAGTCACTCAGCACGAGCTTTTGGGTCTTCTTCGTTTGGTGCACCCATACCCGTGTGGTGCAATGACTGCATGAAGTCAATCGCTCCGCTACGCGCACGCTACACATCCGCTTGCGCAGACAAGCATACCTACTGCATGAGTTGCGTTGAACAACGCTTCAAGTGGGCCATTGCCGACGATGCACTATTCCCGCCACGCTGCTGCGGTCAAGCTATCGATCCGGAGAAGGTAAAACTCCTGGTTGATTCGAAGACTATGGCTGCGTACCGGGCGAAGCGTCTGGCACAGCACGCCTGGCCACCGTCTGTCGAGTTGGGGAGGTAATCGTCCTCAAAATGTCGAGTACGTTCAGCGACATGCCTAGTGTTGAGAGACTCTAAAGCAGAGAATTTGTTCACGAGAACGAGCGAAATACTCCTTGATGGCACCCAAAGATGTATTTGACCAGAGGAGGGAGTGAACAGTGATAGTCTGTACTTCAAGAACGAAGTCGCTCGGCGGCCCCTTCTCTCCACTTCCCCGCGTCACTTCATGGCCCGTGCTTGACACTAGCAATGCTCGTCACGTTCATGTGCTTCGGTGTGTTCGGTTGCTCCCTCAACTTCAGCATCCACTTCTTCCACCACACCTTTGCAGATAACATGGATGTCGCTTACGATCACATCCAAGAAGAGGCATTGTCGCCTGCAGAACGCAAGAAAGCCGAAGATGCCGCATCATCATCCGCCGACAGCACGGAACAACAACCAGCAAACACTCTGAATACCGAGTTCCAACAGGCCTTCCAGGCGGTTTCTGCTTCGCCATGGGGCGCGAAACTCGGTGGATGGTTTTCGTCAGCCCGGAAGCAGGGCGAAACATTCTACCAAGATCTGTCTAAAGAGGCAGCCGAGGCGAGTGAGCAGGCTACCAAAGGCTTCTCGAGCCTCAGGGAACAGGTTGTACAAAGAACTCGGGGCATGAGCGATCTGCAAATTAGCAGAAGCGATGTTGACGGGCCAATACCCGGGCAAGAGGAGATTCCTGGTGTCGCAGCACCGGCGCAGAAGAAAGAGGAGCAGACTGAGGCTGGGGCTGCGAAAGATGCCGAGACGGAGAAGAAAGATGGGGAGAACGTACCAGAGAGTCTTCCTGCAGATATCGTCAAAGAAGCCGCGAGTCTGGTATCCATATTCCGCACCACAGCAGCGCAGAAGCTCAAAGACCTACAAAAAGCCGAAGATGCTGCCGACGAGGCTCTGGTCAGATACGGAACGAACCTGAAGAACTTCCTTCGCGATGCAGTGACAATATCCGCACCCGAGGGCGACGATCAAGCAACCTCAGAAGTGCTCTTCTCTACTGAAGAAGCTGGCACAGGAAAGAAGGTCTTCCACAGTACTCGTCTTGACGCTCAGCTACATGCTATCCACACCTCGGCTGCGTCTTTTACAGATGAGCCTTCCGGCGTCGAGTGGGAAAGCTACAGAGCAGGATTCGACGTTGACAGCAAGACGGATGCGATCGCGAAAGACTTGGACAAATACCCAGAGCTTCGAAAAGCAATGGAGAAGCTCGTGCCAGAGAAAGTCGGCTACAGAGAGTTTTGGATGCGATACTATTATCTCAGGAAAGCCGTCGAAGCAGAAGAGGCAAGGAGGAAAGAAGTGCTGAAGGGTAAGTCTCATTTCAACTACAGCATCCACCACTGCGGCATTTGTACTAACAAACCTCGCGCAGGCGCCACCGCTAACCCCGAGGAAGAAGTGAAATGGGACGACGACGATGACGACGAGAACGAAAACGACAGATCCATAACGCCCAACGCAAACGCTAGCTCAAGCAAACAAGCCAGCGCGTCTACCACAACTCTCAACGCAACAACCGAAAAGTCCGCATCTGGTAATGGAGATGGCTTGCTTAGTCCCACCGAAGCCCGACGAAGTGAAGACGGGAACAAATCCGTCGCCGATTCGGACGCAAGCTACGACCTGGTTTCTGGAGCCACGAGTCGTGCGCCGGGAAGTCCAAAGGATAGGAAGAAGGATGAGGATAGCGATGATGATTGGGAGTAGAGAGCCTAAGGCAGGATACTCAATCACAGAATTGTTCCAGGTGTTGGTTTGCTTTTGGCGCCTGGAGGCGTTATTATTGGCGAAGAAACTCGATCGACAGCGTTTACATTATGATACCATTGCTTTCTCCAGGAATTGAAGCTGCAGTGACTCTTGACAACACAATTGAAAGCTCCCAGTTCACGCTGCTCGCGAAATTGGACACTTTTTGAGGTGTTCTTTTTCATTCGTTCGTATCTCATCATTTCGTCCCTTCCCCTAAACTTTTTTGCACAAAAAGCCACCATAGAGAGCCTCTATCCCATAATACAACACAAGAAGGGGACAATCACTCCCACCTCTCTTTCCATTCCTTGGTAATCTTTTCCAAATCTCGATTCAGTCTCCTTTCATCATCTTCAGTGACGGTGCCTTCCATACTAAGTCTCTTAGCCTTAGTCATGACACCCTTGAACTTTTCCTGCAAGTAGACTTCCGCCTCCCTTCTCTCTTTGGCCTTGCGAACCAAGTACTTCATGTCGTTATCTTCGACCGCTCGCGCAAAGACTTTCCTCATATGCGGGGAATACAGTTGACAACTGCAGCCGATGCCCTCGCTATAGACAGGCTGAAGAGTGCGATTGAACTTCTTCGCGAGTGATTTGTTCTTTTTGATCTCAGGCTCCACAACGGACTCAAAGCAGTCTTCGCACACCGTGAAAGCGGGAGCGAGGTCGGGAATGTAATGCCAGAGAGCACCGATGAGGAGCGTATCCTTGGTACATTCCCTCAAGCGAGTCTTTCGCTCAACGAGATCGATCAGAGGCATAGGGTCCGCGTTCCTACGAGCAGCGAGTGCTTTCTCGTGCAGTATGACCAAAGCATCGAGGTAGGACGAGAAACGAGTGCTGTCCATGCGGATGGCACAAGTACTCTTGGTGTAAGATGCACGCTGTGGCAGTCGAACGAAAATGCCGGAAAGCGTGGGCAGCAGACACTCGATCTTCCGAACGTCGCCGTAACACAAGTGGAAGTCGCGAACGAAAAGCCCGTCTGGGTCGCGCAGGCCGTACCAATTTTGAACCGATTGTATTCCTCCCGGGCATGGGGCGCTGGTCTCCTCGATATCTGCAATGTCTTGCAACAGTGTCAGGTCCGTACGGTGCTGTTGAAGTGTGAGGAGCCAGGCCAGACGTATCCAAGGTGATCCAAAAGCGCAACGAACTTTTTCGCTGTAGCTCCTCGGAAGTGATCGACGAAATGCATTGCGGAATACAGTTCTCTCAAACAACGTATCTATACAATCGGGACAAAAGTCGATGTTGGTGTGACCCGTGATCGTGTACCAGTCATCTTTGCCAGCTACTGGTTCCTGTCTTGGGCACGCAGGTAGGCCCTTTCTGGACAGAGCAGCAATTTCTTTCTTGGTCTGAGAGGACTCAGCGAAAGATGCCTGTCGAGATGTGGTCATTCGAGGTCGCCCTTCCGGAGCACGCATATCTGTGGTGGTGGTACTGGTCGAGGGTGCGGCAGAGTGCATTCTGTTCAAGCTTGGCCGAGGAGGGTGCAAACTTGACTGAGCAGAGCTGCTGGACGCCGGTGTCGAGGTGCCAGACAGCTTTGCAACATCGGACGAAGAAGAAGGCGGGAAGGAGTTTTGCTTGACGGGATTATAGGCGTACTCTTGCTCAGTCGGCATGAACATGGTGGATCCCATAAGGCTGTGATCTTCCGGATATGGTAGACTTGGCGAAGACTGTGCAGGGGTGAGCTCCTTCGGAGAAGCTTTCCGAGGCCAGTCCACCGGTGGCGCCGACAGTGGAGCTGAAGTTGGCGCTGCATCATGTGGGACAGCAGATGACAGCCTTGAAGGTGGCTTGGTACGCCTTGCCGCATTTGCTGCAAGCAGAGCCGTCCAATCTAGATCTGTACGAGGCATGCGTGGAGCATCGCCTGGAGTCCGTGGAGAAGGCGAAGTGGGTCGCGAACTGGTTGCAGAAGGTGGCTTGGAGCCAAGCAAGCTGCCCTCGCGAGAGATGCGAGCATCCTTGGAGTAGTCTGCGCTTGCTACGGGCGAGCGTGAAGGCGACGGAGGAGCGCCGTTGGCAACAGATCCTTCTCTCGAGACCGGACGAGACTGTGCATAGCTGGACTCCCGAGATCGAGGGTAAGCCTCTGCCGATTTGGGGTCAAGTCTCATACTACCAAACGAGGAAGGCATGTCCTGAGCCTCACTCAACGACGTCGCCGCCATAAGTGGAGTAGGTCGACGTGACTTGTCAGCGTTGAGCTTGTTCATGGTCGGCAGGGTGCTTTGCGTATCTGTATTCCTCCTGGCATCCAAGGCTGACCGGCGGATTGGAGGTGCATGGGCAGAGGGCATTCCTGCAGTTTCGCTGCTCATAGTATTTGGGAGATTGGTGAAAGAGCCGCGGGGACTCTCAGTCAAAGGCAGCTCGGTCAGCCGCTTGCCACTTCCACGAAGGCTCTTCGCATCGGCCGGTTTGCGGTCATTATCACTGTCGTCGATGGCACTTTCATTGCTACTCCTGTCCGATGTGAAATAATCACGTCGTTGTCGAGTGCTTGGGCTTATCCGGCCAGAGTCTCTACGCGGCGACGAGGGTTTAGGCCCGCTCCCATCAAGGCGAGCCCCGCGGCCGCCGCTTGCGGCAGATGAAGGCGGAGTCAGATGGCTGCTCGAAGAGGACTGCTGTGACAGCTTGGTAGGCCTCGTATAAGCATATGGCGTAGCAGTGCGGTCGGTGGCCTCGGGCACGCGCTGGTCATTCTTGTTGATCTCCAACCTCGAAGGCCTTCGGCGAGCCTTGCGTACTTGCTCATCCTCACTGGTGGGCGGCGTTGGCAGAGTGCCAGTGCTGCTTTGGCTTGACTGCTTCAGAACGAAGCGACGTTCGTGCTGATTGACAAAGTCTGGGTTGTCGACAATGACGGGATCCTGGTCGATGGAGCCACGGGATGGCACCTCATCTTTGCCAATTCTCTTCAGTAGGAGCAGCGAGTCGGCCTCCTTCCGCAGGGCCACAGCCTCGTCTTCGGCACAGGGCTGAGGCGGCCACGAGCGGCGCTTGCGCAGTGGGGTGCGGTATGACTGAGACGTGGCGGAAGTCGAGAGGGGAGGCGGGTAGTGGTATCGCGGGTCATATCGATCGGTACTCGGGCGACTCGAGTATGTTCTGCTTGACTGCTCCGCCTCACTGCCCGTCACCTGCTGCACACGCGGTCGGGCGTACCCCGCTCTTGCATCGGTGGGGGAGGGCGGCGCGTGGTTTGGACGTGAGGGCCGCGAAGCAGCAGCAGGTGTGGTGGGCGCGTAGGGGTCGTGGTAGCGGCGGTCCATCTGGCAGGCGGGGCGTGTCAAGGCATCAGTCGTGAGTCGTGGCAGCGCGGTTCATATCAGCATTCGAGGCATGGCATTCGGCGGGAGAGACAGGGCAGCGGGAGGGGTCGTGGAAGAAGAAGAATGCGGTGGTGTCGCTGGTCGTCGCACCAAGGCCCACATGTTCGTACGGCCCTGGTTGAGGTGAAGCTGCTGCGGCGCCGAGAGGCTTTTCGCACATGTGGCGTGACGCATGCTCGACGGACAAGCTATCACCAGCGCGCGCACCAGACGCCCGTCTGCAGCAGCCCGCAGCATTAGTTACGAACGTGCGCCCAAACTTTCCCCTCGATCAACGACGACGGGAGCGGCCGGCCGTCGAATGCGAAGGGAGCGCTCGCTGGCCATGTCTCGGCTCGTCTGTCCCAGCAGAGTGGCGATTGGCGCGCCGCATCTTCACCGCCACGGCCTGCATTTTCCCTACATACCGTGAATCATTGTTGGGCGAGTACTCGGCCGCGATACCTGCACCAACACGCCAGAGACTGGAGAGCAACCAGCGCCAGGCACAAGAGCGCGACTCGTCCGCGCTATCCGGCGCGCATGCACGCCAACTGCACCCATCAGCGATCGCGCCATGATGGCCTGCATCGCCACGCCTTGAGGGATTCCAGTAGCTCCGCGAGCTCCCTCTGCCCAGCATCAGATGAAGCGCAATTGAGGCCGCCCTCGACTCCACACGGTGGATAGACGAGCATGGAGTCCCGAGAGCTTGCTACAGTAGTTAGTCGATGATGCTGGGCGAAATGCTCGGTCGTGTACTCATGCGCTCGATCGGCGGCCAATTCCCTAGAAGACACGTGGAGACGCTGTTGGGAACGCTGCCAACTGCTACAGTAGACTTTGGCTGGACGTTGAAGACCCTGGGTCTTGCCAGCGAGCCACCCGTCACCGTCACCGTCACCGCGACAGCCGCTGCAATTGACTTTCACAGCAGAAGCAGAATCTCACCCTCTCGACTGTGCTGGAGACCGTAGACGTCGCCAAATACCGTCGCAGAGCCCCAAGCCTCCTCAAGGACTGAACGAGAACGCGTGACGTGTTCCATCCACTCCGCAAGATTTTGGACGCGCCGAGCTTCCGATAGAGCATGACAGCTCTCTATGCGCGACTGTCCGGTACTTCGAAAACACGCGTTGCGTTAACTTCCACATGTTGCACAAGACAGGGTCTTCAGAAGCAAGTGGGCGAGCGAGCGTGCCACTTACTGCACAGCTCCGCAGTCACAACCGCGAGACTTCTGACAATACTATTGATTCGGACCGGAGCTGCCTTGTTCCAGCTGCTACTGACAGAATACATTCTCACATGCGGCAGGTGCGCGCGTGCCCAAGTGCTCCCACACCTTCACAATCATGGCCACGTCGACCTGGAATTGGTTGGCACAGCTCATTTACATTCGCATCTCAACGGCGTTGGCCCTACATCAATCAGACTCGACGCCTTCCGCCACGAGACAAACTGGCACCTCATGCAGGACTGAACTTTGACTTCGTGATCAAGCAAGAACCCAGCAGACGGGCACTGCCACCCTTCTCATCCATCATTGTGCATAACTTGGGACTGGACTACTGCAATAAGACAGCAACGTACTCCCGTCCGGCGATACAATGGTTTGCAGTCGACGCTCCACGCGGCTCGATCGACGGGACGGAAGCATGCTGATACTGCCTCTTGCTGGCACTGGAGACGTGTCGATGGGCTGTGTTCTTCCCCAACGCAACCTGATTCTCCCCATTCGAATGCCCATCGACATCTCGGTCAGTATCTCTGCGCCATTCCCTGCTGCATGCTATGTGTCGAGCATAGCAATGGATACATCGGACTGATCTTCGCTGCCGTGACCGCGAAAGCATCGCCACCAAATGCCATCCACAGTGCTTGGCTTCGTTGAAGAACTCGTTGAGCATGCATCTGTTTCCAAAGTTCCGCCTGCATTCCAGCATCAGCAGTGTTGGGAGATCTGGAACTTCTGCCGCTCTGCTCATCTCGAACAGCCATTCTCGCGTCGGATGGCAAGAAACAGCGAATGCCGTCAAGTGCCGGAGGCGTCTTCGCCAAGCATCACTATGCTATCCACGCGACCGGCTACGTCCGTTGCCGCCCTCGGTCTAGGCTAAAACTGTGGAAACTTGCTCAATGTCAAACTCTTGACCATTTCGCCCGCCCACTGTTGCGGTTTTCGTAGTTTTGAATGAATTGAAGCAGTAGGTGGACCAGTTGCACAAAGAGAGCGCCTTTCATACTTCTCAAACTTGCTCAACGAAAGTCTTGGCATCCTATTGACCTACATTCCTCGAACGACCAGCCTAGAAGGAGACAATGCCATTCAGGACCCTGTGAGCTCTGGAAGTGTATGCTGACTCTCACTTTCCATTCACTGGAGGACATAGCCACGTGGAAGTAAACCTTCTCGACCAGGTATCACGATGGCCTCCAACGACCACATCTTGGTCGCTCGACAACATATCCAAAACCACAGCGAGTCAAATACTCACTACTGGGGCTACCCTTCTCGAACATTACCCTGCACCAACGATGCTGGTTCTTGCGAGTACCTCGAGCAGGTCTACAGCGGCCATGTCAGATCCATGCTGTACACTTTCATCCTCTGGGGTGTGATCTTGGGTATCTTCCTCCTCTGGGGCATCGCAAGGATATGGAATTCTGGTCGAGCATCGCATGGCGCAGCAGCCCTATTCTTCGAATTCGCTTCAAAGTTTCAGCCACTACGACGACATCTCCTACCGGATGCTCCTATGCGATGGCTCTTCGGACGAGTCTCCAGAGTACAAGTCGCCATCCTCTCCGTCATGACGGCCTACCTCATCATTTTCTCCTTCTTCGGCATGGAATATCGAATGTGGAAAACGCCAGTGAAAGGCACAGATCTCTTCAACACTCGTTCCACGCTTGGAACATGGAGCGATCGTATCGGCGCCCTGGCGTACGCTCTCACTCCTTTCGCTGTACTACTCTGTATGCGTGAAAGCGTGCTGAGTCTAGTCACCGGCATTCCCTATCAGCACTTCAACTTCCTGCACCGCTGGCTAGGCCGCATCATCTTTGCACAGTCACTCCTCCACACCATCGGCTGGACGATCATCGAAGCCAAACTCTACCAACCTCAACCTACCGTGGCCGAGAAGTGGATCAAGCAACAGTACATGATCTTCGGCTGTATTGCCATGATCCTCATCCTGCTCCTCACGGTCTTCAGTCTGAAACCTGTGATACGATGGACAGGGTACGAGTTCTTCAAAATCACACACTGGTTCATCGCTATCTTATACATCGGAGCCTGCTGGGGACATTGGGATAAGCTGTGGTGCTGGATGGTGCCTTCGCTCGCGCTCATCGTAATCGATCAAAGTATTCGAGCATTCCGCACGCTGTACATCCACATGGGAGGGAAGAAGACTTCTGGCCTTGGGTTCAAATGTGCTCAAGCTGAGCAGCAAGTCTTGACTGATGACAATGGAACAGTCCTGCGACTGGATTTCGACTACGAACATCGTAACCTCGGAGGCTGGGAAGCCGGACAGCATTTTTATCTCACATTTCCGAGTCTGTCAATCTGGCAGGCGCATCCTTATACCGTGTCCAGCATTCCGGATGTGAGGAGCAAGATGCAGCATCACACATATCTCATTCGGGTGCGAGACGGACAGACGAAGAAGTTGGCCGCCCTTGGGCATGGCGCAACTGTACCAGTCATCCTATCGGGACCCTACGGCAACGCCTTCCCAAGCTACGAGGCACAACACGTCCTCGCGGTCGCCGGTGGCACAGGCGTGACCTTCACCTGGCCAATAATCATGGAAGCCGTACGACAATGTACTTTCACCGCTTCTGTCATCGACTTCGTCTGGGTCGTACGGAAAGCAGAAGATCTCATGTGGCTATCAAGCGAACTGGGTCAGATGAAGAAACTGCTTTCTGAGAAGCTAGGCCTGAGCATTTCCATCTACGTAACAAGAGACGTTAAACACACAATCAAAGGCAAAGAGAAACTCTCCTCTGATGAAGTCAACGAAAAGACCAAAGAATCCGGTATCGAAACCAGTGTCTCATCTCTATCTGGACGCTCGACACTCTCGCTTGACGAACTGCTTTCGAGCACAGACTCGAGATTCCGAGTGCATTGGTTGAAAGACCATCATCCTTCTGTAGCAGAAATCGTCTTGGATTTTGTAGAAAGAGCAAAGGACATTGGCGGCGGGTTGGAAGTCGTGGGTAGTGGGCCAGAGGCCATGGGATCGGATTTGAGAGCTGCGGTTGCGCGAGCCAATGTGAGAGAAGCTGTGAACTTTTATTGGGATTCAAGAGGTTGAGCAACTAGGTAAAGAGCATTTTGTTAGCGTTTGCATGAGATATGAAGTTATGGCATTGCATTGCTCTGGATTGATGAAGGACTTACTATCGTCGGTGAGCGTGCCAGTGTGGTGTGAGGTTGAGCGATCGATTGAGAACAGGAGTCTCGGCCGTAGCATAAGTATGCATCAATTGACCATCAATCCTTCAACTATGCTCAATCAACCAGGCCGGATCAAGACCTCCAGCTACAGGTCGCCAACGATTCAGGTCCGCCATAAGCTCAGTCCACGTCGCAGCTTTCGATGTCTGCGCCTGACGAATAATGGCCCAAACAAAGCTCTGGAAAGTGCAAGGCCGACGTAGACTCATATTCGTAGGCGTCTGCTTCGTCATATATATCCATCTGCACCACCTGAGAAGGTTCAGCCAATGTGGTTCCTTGGCTAGCTGATATTGTATATGGAACCCTTTATCGAAGACTTTTTGGAACTTGTACAGTCCCTTGACGTCGCAGTTACGAATGATGAAGGTGAATCCATTTTGCCGTTTCCACATCATTTTTGCTTCGCGTCGGGTTTGGCGGCATGTAGCGAGCAGACCTGGGAGCTTGAGGCTTGGGAGGATTTTGATTCTCTCCTTTTCGAGCACGACGTACTCGTAGATTTTGTTTCGCAACTCGGGTGGAAGGCCGAGTAGTGAGGCTTTCTCCTAAAGATGGATCAGTAATCAGCAGGGAAAGGAATTTCAGTACACGGCGTTGCTTACCTTCTTCTGCACGACAGCGCTGTTCGTGTCCGTTGCATTGTGGGCGATCTGCTTCTCGGTGGTCGTTTCTGGGGCTGCACAAGTGGCAGCACTTGTAGGGATCGGCTCTGCGTCTTTTCCTTTCTGGCGTTTGTTTGGACTCGATGATCCGTCTGCTGAGCGTTTGAGCGCCATGGTTGATGATGAGAAGGACAACTGATGGCATGCGCAAAGGCAAGTCGAAGATGAGTTGAAGCAAACTGCGGATGAGCAGACAACTAGAAAGCCGGCAGAAGAAGACTGCGGGCGGGTCTTGCCAAGCTTTGCCCATTCACTCGAGCAACTTCGTTCACCTCCCTCGTGTGACCAGCCAGTCACGCGCAAAAGAACAGCAATGCCAATATTTGCTACATACGAGGAAGATCCACCACCGTCGATGAGCTTATGTCTGCGTGTCTGACTGATTTGAAGTCTGGACTGCGAACATGAGGCGCAATCGTTTCTCCTTACTTGTACCCAGCTCTGCGCCAATAGAGTCCGAATGGCCAGTCCGAGTGCTTGACGTGCCAGACGAAGCTGTATTCATACGCTTCTACATTGACTGGACAGAGGACATGATATCGTGATCGGTAAGGAAGCAATTCTGCTGCAACCACATGTCTTTGGTCTCATGTCGGATCTGTCGACATGTGGATAGGAGGCCCGGGACTTTGAACTCCCAGATTATGTTTATATGATCTTTGTCTCAAATCCGCTGGCAGGCCGAGGAGAGATGGGCTATTCTAGACATTACTCAGCTGGGATCGTGCAAGTGCAGGTTGGCTCGAGAATACTCACTTCTCCTGTCGCTACAGCAGTGTTTAGGTCTTGCGATGATGCCTTTCGGTCTTCTGTTCCAATGGGACCGGGCTGCGAGAACGAGCTGAAAGTCAGTTTAGAATGAAGGCAGAATATGAGGAGAATGGAACAAGACCAAGTGGAGGTCATGAGCTGTCGTATCTTGTCCAATGATCTTGGTCGTGTCATAGAATAGAGGCATATCCTGTAGAGACTTTGCTGCAAGGTTCGACTTTAACGCGTGCGTATCAGTGTCTCAGGATTCCGTGCGTCATGCATGCGTTTACGTGTGACGGAGCAAGCAAGGCGCTCAGCTCATGGCAAAGAGTGAGGTCGTTCTGCGGTCTCACTATGGATCACTTCCCGTCACCCTCGCCCTCTGCCTCGGCCTGAGCTTCAGCTTCAGCCTCCTCCGCAGCCTCCTGCTCCTGCTCCTCCGCATAGGCCTCCTCACACATCTCCTCGAAGTGCTCTTCAGCCATTTCTCCCATCCTGTCGATTGATTTTGTTGCGGTCCTTGCTTGTTGTGACGATACTGCGGACAGTCAGTCGTCGATTATGCCGCAGTTTGAGGTCATACTTACATGGTCAGTGTCGATATCGATGGTGATGAGTGTATTTTGGTCTTCGTTTGTGGAGTACCGAGTGGGGACAGAGGAAGAATGTTGCAGCGAAAGGTGACCGCATTGATATAGTGGGGCAAATGCGTGTTTGCTGCGGCCGGAGGCAACAGGCCGCATGCATCGTGCCGCATTCACCTTGTCACTGTCCCGGATGACACAGGTGCACACAGAATGCCTTCTTTCAACCTCTCAACTGCGACGACCTCTCCCAATGTACATGTGCGATGCATGCACCTCTGCTGAAGGTCAAAGAGCCGCTGAAAGAAAGACAATTCGCCTTTCCACTGCAGGTGTTCATGTTTGCCCGAACTGCGCTCGGTTAACTGCATTTCAGCGCAGTCTCCTGAAACCTGGATGCAAGCCGTCCGAAGGTAAATCGGAACCCGTATCAATAATCTGTAGCCCATTCTGGGTGGACCAAAGCAGCCACAGGCCTCCATAGCTGTAAAGCACGGTTGCAATCATTCCAAGTAGCTGCGCGAGAGTCGTAAGCCATGAGAGTAGCCGCCCTCATGATCTGACGTCCGCTCGATGCATTTATGAGTCGAAAGCAGTGACGCTTGTGCTTGAAGACTAGTTTGCACCACTCCATGAGGGCTTTCCAGTTGAGTCGACCAGATGCATCGACAATGACGCGAACTTCCTGTGGCAAAGGGCCTCCATAAAGCGTGTGAAAAGCGTACAGTGGTCGAATATTGCAGTTTACGGCAGTGTACGTGAACTTGTTCCTCCAGAACCACATCAATCTCGTTTCACTTCGGATCTGGCGGCAAGTGGCTAGCAGCGCGGGCTGTTTGAGTCCAGGTGTGATCTGAATACGATCAGATTGCAAGAGGGAATACTCGTAAATGATGTTCCGCAGGTCAGCAGGCAGGTCGAGAAAGCCCATGGAGTACTGTTCAGTTGTCAGTTGGCTCTCTACCCGTGCAACTCTTGATGCATGGTGCTGGCAAGACCATCTCGAACCAGCAATATCTCATTGAAGGTCACAAGTCAGTGAGGCAGATGGTACGGAACTCCTACCTCCTGTGCGGGTTCTACCACTTCACTCGAGGCGTCCACCAAGTTGACCGAAGACTGCCGACAGTTTGCTGTTTCCTCTGCATCATCTGGAGGAGTCGCGACAGGTGACGGGCACTCCGTTGGCGTCGCACTTCGGAGAGCCTTGTCCTGGCGAGACTCGTCGTCCTGTGCTTTGCACTCGGTGGTGAGCATCATCGCGAGTGTGTGATGTAGACACACGTTTCGGCGGGTTGAGAGACTGAAGTCAATGTTGAAGTGGAACGTCGAGGATGTAATGTGTGTCGTACAGCAGCAGGAAAGAGCGAACGTTGACCTTCCCGGCAACCTACCACAGTGCGTTATCGCTCCTGCCTCTTTCTGAGCTGAACTGTGCAGAATGCACGCTGGCTGAGCTCCTTCCGCATTCTTGTTCAGCGTATGCTGTAGCTCTTGTGCGCTTCTCAGGCTTGTCCAATGTTTCAGAGGTATTTTATCACAACTCAAAAAGGCGGTTGATTTGGCCCGAGCGAGAGGATTACGCGTATGTCATGTTGTGAGTTGATAGATGCAGATTTGATGCCAAAGGAAGGAGAGGGCCGGGCCTTGGCAGCCCGTGCCTGTGCAAGCCCCACGTCAAACTTCCAAGTGAATGCTCTCCTCCTCGCAACAATGCAGCATGTAGAGAAATCTGCTTGCTAGTGTTGGGACCTCCCTACCAAAATGGCTTCCTCCAATGCTCAGTCGAGCTCCGCTCACAAGCCTTCGCCCACCGCGAACACCAAACCGAACCGGCTTCCTGCTCCTACGCTCTTCGTCGCTCCTCCGTCTCGCAATGCCTCCAACCTTAGCATCTCGCGCCAACAGCCCGCCGAGGCCACCGCGAACGCCAGACGCGACCCTTTGAACAGACACAAGTCTGCTCTTTCCCGTTCCCGGAATGCCACTGACAATGCTTCATCGCCCAGTGGGGAGGATGACAACAGCCCAAAGACACAAGCCTCTTATGGCACAGCACAGCCTGGGGTCATGAAGGCCTCTGACCGGGAAATTGAAGCAAAATGGCAAGAAATGCAAAATACGCTCAATGAAGTTGAGCTCACAGCACAATCTTCCACCCAAGTCTTCGGCGAGACTCACGCGAAAGCCCTAGACGACTTGAGGAGAGCACAGATCGAGTTAGCACGAGCTTGGGGACGTGGTGATCAGGACGAAAAGGATCTTCATCCTTTCATTCATGATCGTTACAAAGGTGCCGAGGACATTGCGCGAGACAGAAGCAACGTGCACAGGCGAGGACGAGGGGACACGAATGCATCGGCGAGCACGGCTCTGTCTGATGAGAGTTTGAGATCTGATGTCACAAGCAAGAGCGGAAGAAGTCAGCTGGAAGACGAAACCAAGCAAGACATCAAGTTGGCATCGGAAAGGCGCGCTGCGAATGAGGCGTATTTCAAGAAGGTGGACGGCGGAGTGAGAGAAGTGGTGAAGAAGCTGGAAATTGTCGCTGAGGCTATGCGAGGCGTGGAAGGTGAGAGCAGGAGTCTGTGGAGTGAAAGCTCCACTGACCTGAGCGGAAGCGGCAGCACGAGGCAGAGAGAGACAAGCGACGAGACGAGGAACGGTAATGAAAAGGGAGAGTCCAGTAAAGCTCCACCCGGGTGAAGCACTCAACCACGACCATTGCATGAACTCACCTGGACACGGCGGACATGTCTGCGATTGGAGTGCTTCGGCGTATGCGAGCAGACCGTCTACGCTACTGTGGTGCTGCACGGGCTGTAAGGACAGACCTGGACATTGATATCGCAAGCACTTGTCATTGCTTCCAACGCTTATGAGAAATGGCGTAGCTCACGCTCTGTCACGGCATCACGGGCTTCGCGCTGGGAACTTGATGCGTCGCCAACGCTAGCATGCAGTGTCCAGCACGGGAGACAGGTACCTGACAACTGCTGACACCGGCGCGCGGTATTCGCAATCGCATTCTCCCGCCCATGCCACGTCGAAGCGGTCTCTCACAAGGAGTCTTCACGTTATGTCATTTGGCAAGCTATAGCTCTGGGGATCGCGCTGATGGATCATCGATGGGATCGGCATCGGTTGCCGTCACCGCCGCCAAGAGCAACATCCATTAGCTTGGACGACAATGCAGCGCTTCACGATGGAGATGTGATGGCTGACACGGAAAGGCGATGCTGTGTTTGGATGGTGGTGCAGCGATTGGGTCGCTTTCCTGCGTTGTCGCGCGTAGGCGTGCAACAGGCTAGGTCGCAATGAGATGTTACTCCACTCTCGCGGTCAGAGTGATATATGACTTTGCATCATCTTGCGGGGTGAAACAGATTCAACGTTGTGTGACCATTGTCGCAAGTGTTGGCATCTCACGTCACTCGACGTCCATTGTCGACAGAGATCGCGAATGAGGTCGCACCAGTTCACAGCCAGCTCTCCAGAGATACGTACAAGCTTTGCGCAAACACAATGACACAAGCAGATCGCGTTTCATTGCCTCGGACCAGATCTCGTAAAGGCATCCTCATTGATCAAGCAGACGTGTTGAAGTCGACGCGGGTTGCCCAGTAAAAAGTTGGTCCTCGACGAGCCGAATCAAAGACATGAACTAGTGCACCAGACCTATCGACCATCCAGCATCGCAAGTCGGTCTCACTAATGGCAAGTCGAACTCTGCATTGCCCTTCTTCGTTTTGACAGAAGAACAGTTGCTGGTAGTAGAGGCAGCCGCCTGCGAACATGAACTAGCGTACCATACGCCAAGTGCAGCGAAGGTCTACATCCACGACACAGAGATATCAGTCAGCAATTCCTGAAGTATTCCCACAAGCAGGATCACTGCCGCATTTTTCCTACATATATGGCCTTAGCTGGCGCAAGCTTTTGTGAAGACTTCGCTTGCCCGTTCGCGGATGACAGTTGACAGCTTTCCCCTCGCCCAACTCTTGGTCCAAAGTACCGATTCGCCGTACCACAAGAACTCGCCTAGTCAACTGCGATCCGATCCCTCCACACCATTCAAGCAAATCCCCTCAATACAACCACAGTCATCTGCTAGTGAGCCAGCAACACAAGCCAGTCGGAGAGAACGCTTGATTATTCCCGGTGGTCTGACACAGCCAACAAGCTCAAAGACGCGTACCGGAAGGCGCGGCATACACGCAGCCGGTTCATCTGACAATGAGCAGGATCAGATTGGGTTGCCCTAAAGGCGACCAACCAGAAAACGTAAACTAGTGCGCCAAGCTACTGAGCCAATCTAATGGCAGCTGCATAGGTCGCCCAAAAAGGTGCTTCCAGAATCAAAAAGCATCTTTCGCACAGTTCGCAACCCCCTTGCAGCATTCGCGTACTTCAGCTAGCTTACCATGTAGAGCCGCCAGTGGTGAACTTCGAAATGGCCATTCACCGCGCTTAGAGCAGATCCCAACTTCAATATGCTTTCTACATATTTGGCGCCACGCGTTAGTCGTTGGTTCCTGAGCCACGGGCTTATATCGATTCTCTTCCATATGAAGCGGCTGCACAGTACCTTATTGAGATGGAAAATACGAAGACCTGGACAGGTATTTGGAACGCATCAAGATCCTGCTGGCAAGCATTCGCTGCTCGTTGACGGGACCTAGCGGTTGTTTGAGCAATGCGGTGCTCTACCACTACCGCTCCCCAATATACCAAGCGAGCGAACGTTCGTTCTGGGCGACCCAGATTCGGTCAAAACTATGCATCCTTCCATCGCAAGAAGGATAGGTGAACCAGCACTCTGGTGTCCTGTGGACGCTTTGGCCAGTGCATTGGGCCAGACTCCAGCCCACGAATCCCATCGATGATCTGCGCGAACCACTCTCGAGCAGGAGGCACGCTCGTCATATACCTTGTCTTGAGCCTGGACACCGAGCGAAGCTTAAGTGACCAGGATCCGAGTCATTCACTCCCATGTCGCCAAGACGTACATTGCATAGCGTACCAGGTGCACCACAATAGACCGGACCAATAAAGACACGGACGCAAACACTGTCAAGCGCGAACCAATGCAGACCATCAAGACCGTGATGCAGCCAGATCGTTCCATTCATAGCACTACTTTGTGCAGAACTGCATAAGATATTCTTAATCCCAATACTTCACCATACCATTCAAATCACCCGTAACCACTTTACTCGATTCTCGTGGGTGCCATGCAACAGACACAACAGCTGCATCACTGGCCTTGATCTTGTGCCACATCTTACAGCTCTTCCAGTCCCAAAAGCACACAAAGCCTCCGCTATCACCCGAAGCCACGATGCCACCATCCGGAGACACGGCGAGGTCGATGGCGTAGCCAGCATTGTTGTGTCCTCGGAAGTCTTTCTTCCGGTTCTGGCGAATTTTCTCGCCTGTGTTGTAGACTTTGATTGTGTTGTCTGAGGATTGCAGCAAGACGGCGCCCTTGGCAGGGTGCGAGGCTGACTTGACCATGGGGAACATGTATGGCTCCGCGATGAATTTGATGGGCACGGGAATGTTGTACTCCCAGGCTCGGAGAGATTTGTCATCGGACGTGGTGATGAAGCGTCGATTCTCGTCGCAGAAGGTGATGGTGTTGACAGGGCCAAGATGGTGGTCGTACTCTTGGACGGGGTTCTTCTTCTCCCCGTCCGCGGGTAGCCTCGTGTCCATTTGGACGATCTTATTATCGTGCATGCCGGCGAGAAATTCATGTCCGCTTGGGTCCTCAGGCTGCCATCGCACTACGTGAGGCGTGCTTCCTGTGCTGAAGCGCGAAATGCATTGTCCGGTTTCAGTATCCCACACTTTCATCTGGCGATCATAAGATGCTGTAAGGAAGCGTGTCCCGTCAGGGGTGAAGTCAACATCCACCACTGACTTGGTGTGTCCATTGTACGAACGCAACAACTCGCGATCATGGTATGCGTCCCACAAACGGACTTTGCCATCTGCAGCCGCAGACAGCAAGAGGTGGCCAGAGTTAGGGAAGTATTTGAGAGATGTGAGCGCCTTCTCGTGGGCATTCTTGCCATGCGCTTTGTATGTGTGCACAAGCTTCTTCGGATGGTAGCACTTGAGGTCCAGGTTCTCGAAATCGCCAATCAGATCCACGTCCAGATCTTGTGGAACATGCATATATGTCCGGCCTTGGTAGTCGTATTGCTGTGATCCTTCGAATGTGCTCGTCTCCTTATCCTGGCCGACCTCGTCGTAGCTCGTGCCAGCCTTGGAGCCCTTCGTCGGCACGGGCACGATCGCATCTTCTTCATAGACAACTTCCCCCTCGCCACTCTCGTCGCCAGAGACCTCAACCTCTATCTCTTCGCCACTGTCGCTATCGATGCGTCGTTCTTCGTATTTCGCCCATGGTCCCTTGTATGAGCCTGCACCATACACTTTGCTGCTGTCGCCCTTGCCCTCCCGTTTCCGCTTCCTTCCAGCAGCCTGTTGTTGCTCAACGTCGCGGTGTAGGCTGCGAAAGCTCTGCTCGGAAATTGCAATTTCTTCGGCGTATCCTGTTGGCACCTTGCCTTTGGTGGACGTCTTGAACTGCTTTGTTTCGACGAGGTTGGCAGCGCGAGTAGGCGGCGCATTCGCACCGTTTCGTGCTGGTACGAGAGACATGTTGTTTTCTGGGGCGGTTATGAGTACGAGTCGCCCAGCGATATCGTCGTGACTTACCTTGCGGAAGCACAAAATTGCTGTCGCGAAAGCAAGTAGTAAGTGACTGGATCGGAGTTCGGTTCCATCGGCGCCGATGATTGAGGCCTGAGGCACTCAATCGCGTCGACCATTCCGTCACAATGTGATAGTCGAGCCTGCACGCAATAACATCGATATGATTTTGACTCGTGAACAACCTAGCCTTTAAGGCAGTTGGCCTTATCTCAAAATGTCACGCCCTAGGACCCTACTTCAATGGTCGCGATCATTAGTCGCTGACTGGACATGCCACTTTCAGCACCGACCCTGCTCTCTAGCAGTCCCATCCAGAACCTACAGTACTTCCCATGCCACATTCCCTTTCAGACTGAGAAGACCCCCTTTCCCGGCTCAGAACCTGTTCTCAGCCCAACCTCGGAACATACAGACCGGCCAATATTTCGACAAGTGGCATCCGACCGCAGGAGCAGAGCCTGGACTCAGTCCAGTCTCTAACGAAGCTGAATGGAATCCGCCAGAAGCGGGACCAAAAGGGGAAATCAGGATCATCGACTATTCCAACCGACAAATTGAGGAGCACGATGTCAATGGCACTGATCTGGAAGTATTCCTTCGCGATCATCCCAAGCCTCAATGGGCCGCCACTCGTTGGATTTGGGTCAACGGCCTCAACTTCGACATTATCAAATGCATCGGAAGTAGCAAAAACTTGCACCCTCTAGCCCTCGAAGATGTGATGGACACTCACACGACGACCAAGGTTGATTGGTACGAAGATCACTGTTTCTTGGAAATGAACCTTGTCAAGCTGGCACATGGAGATCAGACACCATCCTACGCACCTTCGACCGATCCGCATTCACATGGCGAGATCAAAGAGCGCGGGAGCTGGCGTACCTTGGTTCCAGGCCGCTTTGGCATGTCAGTGGAACAGGTGTCGGCTTTCTTAACAAGTGACAACACAGTGATAACCATATTCGAACACTCTGGTAGAGACGTCCTGGACCCGATAATGACTCGACTGCGATCGACACAGACTGTAGTTCGATCAAGCAACGATCCATCCATGCTTCTTCAGGCAGTAGTGGATGCTATCGTCGATTTATCACTCCCGATAGGCAGAGCAGTGGGTCAAGCCTTCGACGATCTGGAGCAGGCTGTCCTTGCAAAACCGACCATCGGCCAGTCCAAGCAGTTGCATATCTTGAGGTCGGGCTTGACACAACTTATGGAGAATGCGAACGCTATCGGGATTCTGGTCCGGACACTTTGCGATCACGGCAGCGTGCCTGGGTCGGGACGCGCAGAAGGCTCACCGATCAGCCCGCTTAAGGAGCAAGTCAAGACAAGTGTCGAGATATCGCCAACTACACAGATATACCTTCGCGATGTCCAAGATCATGTCACTGCTCTTTCGAACAACACCCGCACCTCGATCCGCTCTGCCGAAAACCTGTCTTCACTCATTTTCAACACGATCGCAGCGAGCCAGAACGAAAGCGTGCGATCTTTGACCCTAGTCTCGAGCTTCTTCCTGCCGTTGACCTTCTTGACTGGCTACTTTGGAATGAACTTTGACCCGATGCCCGTTGTGAACAACCACAGCGATCAGTTTTTCTGGGTTATTGCGATCCCAGTAATGGCCAGCACGATGGCGCTGTTGATGAAGACGAGATCCCGAATTAATCGTACGGAGCCATGGGCTAGGCAGACCACACAGGCGGATCCAGCTTCTGATAGAAGGCTTCGAAGGTGAGATGTTTCAAATGGAACGTGGGGCGCGAATGAGCATGAGAGCATCTGTATAACATTATGTTGGATTATTCTGCTGAAGGACTAATTCTGCAGAACCTAAAAGACTGCGCCCTTGATCTGCTTCCGTTGCCTGGTATCAATGTTCCGCCACATGAAAACTGCGACGAAGCCCAGAGCAAGGATACCTGTGGCAGCTGCAGCCATGAGACGCTGTGCTTCACCATACGCCTGCTGAATGCCGTCGCGGGTTGGGGATCCAATCTCAAAGCTCAGCTGGGTGGTGATATCTCCGTAAATCTGCGCAACAAGAGTCGAGTTCGACAAGGTCTCCTCTGGCAGGTACTCATAAAGCTTCTCCTGGAAGTTGCCTTGCCAAATCGCAGAAGCGACAGTTTGGCCAATGGCGCCACCGATTTGCGAGGACATGCCTTGTATGGCGAGGACGATAGCAACGTAGTTGTGAGTTGTCGCCGCCATACCAGCAACTTGCTCACAGATGACAAGAGTGCCTCCACCGAAAGCGATGAGAATTTGGCACAAGATCATCCAGCCGACATCAACTCCCGGCTGCCTGAAGTGAATCATGAGCCCGACGCCGAGGGTGGTCACTGGCAAACCAAACAGGAGAGATTGCCACTTGAAGCCTCCAGTCTTGTACAGAATGATGCCTGCCACGAAAGACCAGAAACAAGATCCGATGCTGTAGATGTTGCTCACATAAGTCGATTGGGTGACTGTCAAACCTGCGACAACCTGGAGGAAGGAGTAGAAGAACGAGTTCCAGATGTAGAATTCGATGAAAAGCACGGCAGCCAGGATATTGGCTCCAAGAACGGTGCGGTCCTTGAGCAAGACCCACGGGACACAAGTGACCGGTGCCACGTATGCCTCGTAGAGACCGAAGACGATGAGAAGGATACCGCCGAATACGATCATGCAGATGATCATTGGAGAACGCCAGCCTTGTGCCTGTCGGGTGTAGAGGTTGAATGGCAACAGGAAGAGGGCCAAACCAGCGCAAAGCAGCAACAGTCCCAGGAGATCGTACTCGATCACGTAGTACTTGACGCTTTGCATGAATGTGCGACCGCTGTCGCGCTTTTGGATCAGGCCAAGCTTCTCCGCTTTCCTCTGGTAGTACATCAGGACGAAGAAGAGCGGCATACTCGTGACTGGCGTGATGATCGAGAAAGCGCCGAATGCCCATCTCCAGTCGATGTTCAGGAATGTCTGGGCGAATGGACCAGCACACCACACGGTGATGATGTACGGTGATGCGATGAGGGCGAAGAAGAAACCTCTGCTCTTCAAGCTGGATGTGTCGGCCACGAGAATGCCCAAGATGTAGGAGCGGCCATTACCACTGTTTCAACCTGTCAGTCGGTTCCTGGCAGAGATATCATATGAACTTACCCGAGCTGGTTGAAGACTTCCGCAGCCGCATATGTCTGCACGTTGTTGCAACCGGCCATCATGATCATGCCAATGGTCATCGAAAGAACCGTCAACGCGTAACCTTGTGGACGACCCCAAACGTCGATAATCTTGGCCAAAGGCAGCTTGAAAATACCTCCGATCAAACTGGCCATAATGCTCGTGGCGGCGGTAAGTCCATGCAGCTGGAATGAAGAGGTCACGTAGGGGGTCAGGGTTCCAGTCATCGTGCCCTCGAGGGCGTCGAGGAAGTAAAGGCACCAGATCCTGAGGTCGTTATCAGCATCTCGCATATACCCGCATGCACATTATATCCACATACATCACGTAGATCATGATCACGACCTTCTTGGAGAACACTTGGTTCATGATCTCGGCCCTCTGCACACCGGCTTGCGCATCCTTGTCGACGACCTCATCGTCGCTGTCCGTCTCGTGTGCTGTAACATTGGGCTGTCGTCCGAAAAGCCCTTTCTCGGGCTCTGCCTCAACCGGGTTCGTCTGTACCGGAACGACAGGATCCACGGCCTGTGGCTTGAGCTTACTCAAGAAGCCCATGGCTACGAAGTGCTGTCAGGGCACGGCTTTTGGTTTCAGCCAGGTGAAAGTAAAGATAAGACAGGATCGCAACAAAGAAGATGATCAGATAAGGGAGCAAGGAAGCGCAGTGTCTTATACTTACTCTGTCGCTTCACTTAGTAGCATCCGAGCTGCAACATCCGTGCATGGGTGTGGCGACCAGCAGCTGCAACATGGATTCCGTGAACCGGAGCTAGGTCACCACATGGCCGAGACTGCTGCATGCCAGTCGATGGTGTGCGGCGTGTATTCTCGTTTCTGCAAGAATTGTCTTCCATGCAGCGACTTCGCTCGAACAAGCTTTCTGCCACTGCATGGGCGAAGCAATGTCCAAGGATCAAGAGGTCCGAAGCGAGCTTGTTGGGATAATTCGTACCGAAGAGGATGCTAGCGATGAGCTACATGGCGTCCTATGGCCAATAGGAGCAACGCGATCAGATTAGATTAGATAAGATCAGAATTTTTCCACGCTGTGGCTTGATCCTTCGATGGAGTTGAAGGTTGCCAGAAAGACCCGCTGTGGATATGTTCGAATCCCCAAGCGATAGGTCGCCGGGAATATTGCCTCCATCGTCCAGAAACGCGGCTGCTGTCGCGCGTAGCCAGACCCTTCTTTCTTTCTTTTTTAGCGTTATCTGATCCGCGATTCGTCGCCGAAGTGAATGATCGATGGAGTGATAACTTTTCGCAGTTTAGCTCGATTGCCGCGGAGTATCCACAGTACCCACTGTCCCTCCATGTGCTGCTCTCGTTCTCCAGAAGGGTTCGTGCCCGGATTGTCGGGACTGTCGCAGCGTGAAGCACGACATCGTTACTACGAGACACTGTCAATCCGTGTGTTCTCACTCAAAACCTGGACATTGACAGCTCGAGCAACAATGACATTGTCTGGCAAATCAAACCTGCAATTTTCGTGTAACGCTCACAAGCGAACATCGCGTGAAGGATCGCCGAGGCCGCTGTAGAGCCAGCTTGGCCCGGAAGTAGCGGGCTGGGCGAAAAGGTGGCATAGAAGTCCACCAATTTGCTGATCAGACCACTTTCGGGAGCAGAGTGCAGAAGGGGTCAACAAGTGCGATTCGAATGAATGGCTGCACCAACACGTTGTGCAAGAAGGGTTTGAAGAATTTGAAAACGTCAAACGCCACATTTCCCACCAGAAATCCGTGGTAACCTTCGTACGAGCTGAGATGGCAATTCTTCGGCTCAACGTGGTCCACGAGCAGCGTGCCAGCGTCGTATTTGCACAAAGCTAGACCACTCTTTCCGAATTGTGGCAAGAGAGAAAGCAGAGGTAGAACTACTGTCTCGATGAGCGTACGTCAAAGACGCGTGGGCATTCCTGTCGTTGTTGTGTTACACTTTGGACCGCTTTCCCAATCACAATGTACTGTCTGTCGTATATCCTGTCATGCATCAATTTCTCATCAAAATGGGTCAGTCCTGGCATTCCTTCTTCCACGTTCCAGATCTTGTTCCAAATGTCTCTCTTGTCTGCTCACTCGTCGCGCATACACTCCCTCCTCGCTTCTCCTGGGAGGCGGGCTGAGAACTTTTCCATTGCTGGTTGCATAAAATTCCACGCTTCTTCTTAGACTCTTGGCCATCGATAGAGTCTCCTCTATTTGCCGAGTCTCGGCGCCCTTTTCGGCCTCGCCATTATTTGCCCTGTTTCTCTTCCACCACGTTCGTAGGCGCCACCCGATATTGTTGATCCGACCCACATTGAGAGCAACAGCGATGGCCGGCACAGATATTGCTAGTCCAATGCCGAAGATGTAAGAAGATGCGTAGGACAGTGGTATCTCGGCACTCGATCCAGCCCCTCCCGGATGGGGAAACTCCTCGATGTTGACTGCAAAAAAAGCCGTGATGAAGGAAAGTGGCAGAAAGACGATTGTAACGATTGTAAACACCATGATGGTCTGTCCTTGACGTTGTGTACCAGCGGCTTGATCGCGAGCGAACCGCGCCTCGAAGGCGTTGGCGTGTTTCTGTTTAAGGTCAAGCAAAGACACGATGCTCTCGTACACACGATTGGCTTGAATCTCCATACGATTGATGTCTTTGATGGGATTTGTTATAGTCTTCTCCTGATCGTCAAAGGCTTTCTCGGCTCTACGCACCCTTGCGTGAGATCGCTCCATATGGTAAACAGCTTTGACTGCTTCCTTCAGCTCCGGAAGAAGATGTTTTTGATGATCGAGCACCATCCGAATGATGTCGAGCTCATCTCGAATATCCTTGATCTCAGCGAGCAAGTCGGTTTCTGCACCAACGTCGAGCAGCTGGTTGATGAATGCTGGGTCATTCTTCTGAGACTCGTCTAACTCCTGTCGATCAGGATGTCTCTTCGCTGCATGTTCGTATGCTTTGGAGTCTGCTTCCAACTGCTTCGAGAAGCGACCACGCTTTTCGTGGCTCCTCAACCATTCAGAGGCCTGTCTGCTGGCCTTTGAGAAGCCTTGAAATAGCGATGCTTCATTGTCCATCGCAGCTCCGATGCTGCTCTCGAACATATCGAGAAATTGGAAATCGTCGTCACCTTTGCGATGCCTGTCGAATGTCCCGAAACAGCGTCCAGCGATAGTCATGGCGAGCTCATACACATCCTGAACAGGTTCTCTGGTTTTCGAATTGATATCTTCGATAATGCCCTCCAGTACATTCAGAGGATCATTACGTGGTTGACGCCATCTTTGAGGGAAGCTAGTAACAACCAAGTCCTTGCCCAGGATCCACATCCACAATTGATCAACCATAAAGATCTTAGGTCCGCCTTCAAGGTTCTTGTAGTGCTTTTCCTGGAATCGATAGACGACTTGGTCACAATCGCGATATGTGGTGTCGATATTGTGGTAAAAGAACTGGTCCAACGTGCGTCGCACATGCAGGAAAGAGGCGCTCTTGCTCAGATGGGCACGAAGTAGGACTTCATCTGCAACTCCCGATATTGCCAGCTTTTGTGGATTCTCCATGGCCAGCTGCATTTCTCGTCGTCGTCGATCTGTCTCGAAGTGAAGATAGGGCATGAACATGAAGATGCTACGAGAGTGTTGAAGTCGCTTCGAAGGTGAGGCAGCACCTTTGTCCAAGGTATTCTTGGAAGACTGGCGACCTGGTGGTTTGCGCGATTCCTTCATTGTTTTGCCGCCTGCATTCCCTGATTTTGCCGCCTTCTTGCTAGCATTCGTTGCAGAGGTAGCAACCGTCGAGTCTGTTTCCTGACGTTTTACTGGTGGCTTTCCAGGTTGAACATTTTGCTTGCTGGTGATGGATGCATCAGAAGCTGCCATTGTTGAACTTGTGTCTGTAGTACTTTGCCGCTGAGGTCTTGCCGATTTGCTCTTCGACTTTGGCGGCTCTGCAGCAGCGGGAGCATTTGAGTCCTCTGTCGCGAGCTTGGCTAATTTGTCACCACTTTTACTCCTGGTTGGTGTACCAGGAATAGGTGACAGTGAGCCTGGCTCTTCAACGATGACTGCAGGCGGACCAAGCTCCTCCAAATCAGCTTCTGTGCGATGCACAATCTGACACATCGGTCTCATAAACCGCGAATGGTGCTGTTGACCTCGATGCTGGTGGTTGAAAGCAGTCTCGAGCGACTTGTATCCTTCTACGTCCGCAGCGCCTTCTTCGATGAAACGCTTTGTGAGCAGCGCATCGCACCAGGCAATATTGTTGACAGGTAGATGAATCCACCTGAAGTGGGTAGCTTTGATATTGGAGGGCAGCGTGCTGATGGAGTGCTTGGTAGCATCTTTAACGTCTCGCGCATACAGCAATTCGTACACAGATCGTCTTTGCACTCTGTTTTCGTTTTTGAAGTTCCCAAAGTCGACTATAGTAGCATTGAACTGCTTGCAGGCTGCGATCTCATCCGGTGAAAGATCGTGAATGTGATTCCATGGCGCGAGCATCTCTACAATCTTCGTCTTCGACTTTTGCGCCGCGATCAGGAGAGGAGTGTTTCCAAAGCGATCTTTTACGGATCTCTTGATCCCGTGGGTCTCGAGTAAACATTCCGCAGCATCTACGCTGCCAAACTCCGCCGCGACATGAAGAGGTGTTCTGCCGTTCAAGAGTTCGCCATTCACATCTGCGCCAGCCACTATAAGCATATGGACCACTGCGCCACTAGCTGACTGGCATGCATTGTGCAGCGCCGTCCAGTCTCCATCCGATTTGGAATGAACGTCAGCTCCATGCTCAATCAACACGCTGACAAGATTTTCGCGGTTGTTCGAAACGGCCAACTGTAATGGACTCTTCATGCGCATATCTGTGGCATTGACTCGCGCTTGCGGAGATGCTCCGCCGAATCGTGTCGTGAGCAAAATCTTGAGTAGCTCTTCATTGTCCGTCACACATGCCCAGTGAACCGATGTTCTGCCTAGTTCGTCTTCGGCTTCAACATTAACTCCTGCCTGGAGAAGGTACTGCACAATATCCATCCCGCATTTCCGCTTTGGCCTCTGTGATGGATTTGTAAAGTGGCGCTTCTCGCCTTGATCCGCTGCGATGTTATGCAGCACATTTCTACGCCGCAGGTCCACGGTGTCGACATGGGCGCCGCGCGTGATCAAAAGCTCGACAATAGCTTTATGCCCTTTCCAAGCTGCAGTCATCAAAGCAGTCCGACCCTTCTTGTCCATGGCCTCCATATTAGCCCTATGATCGATTAAAACTTCGACCAGCTCTGTTTGGCCACGCTCTGCCGCACGCAGAATTGCTGGCGGTTTATTGCCGGACACATATTCCGGATCGGCGCCGCGGGTCAGCAAGTATCTAGCAACTTCGACATGACCTTTGTCGCAGGCACGGACAAGTCCGACAGAGAGCAAGTTCCGCCCAAAATGCCGTTCATGCTGGGCGTCTTCTATCACTTCTCTGACCTTGGACACATCATTCTGCTCGACGGCCTTGAGAAGCCTTGGCTCGGGTCGCAGATTTGCGCTGTCACCGCTCTGCAGGCTGACGGGTCTCCTGGGCATGTTTTGTGGTAAACCAGAGCCTGAGGCTCTCCAACATGGTCAACGCTTGCTTGCCCTAGCTGAGCTCGCAGTGGTGTTTTGAGGCATCCAGCCTCTCGACATTTTTGTCAGATGGCCGTGCTACTGTGGCTGAACGTTAAGCGAAAGCATGTTGGAGTCCGTGACCGTGTGAGAAGGGTTGCGGAAACTTCCACAACGGTGATAATTGGTTTTCAATGAATCGAATGGGTCCCAACGAGCGTGAGAAGACGGGCGTACGAGGAGTTGCAAGGTGTTGGCAGCAAGGTGTTGGAGTGAAGTGCGGTCCCAAAACATACCTGGTCATGCTCGGCAGCAAAAGTGGTAGGACAAGACCGACAAGCAAAAGAAGCATTGCTGAGCTTCTCGCCCACGGACATCACTCTGCGATATCAACAATCAACACTCAGAAAGCATCGAGCTATTGGACAATGCCATCAGCAGATTCCGCATCTCCAAGTCATTCACTTCGAGCATCATGAATCGCATTGTGCCTTCCGTGGGGCCCCGAACGACGCCGTCCGCAAATCGAAGCTCGGACAGGACTTCTTTGATCGTCTTTGGGTCACGTCTGTCGCTAAGTTAGTGCGCGCGACGAGTTCGGCAGCGCCATGTGACGTGCTGCGGGATACCGGTGCAACGTTCAAAAGCATGAAACGCATGCCGTCTATACCCTAAGCAGTATTTCGCCTTCTGCTTTACCAACAACATCAGCGCAATTGGCACATCCTCGGAATTGCCTCTTGCGAATTGACAGGCTGACCAGGGTGCCGAGCCCTAAGGCGTCCAATATTGCTTAACGCCTTCATCTATACAAACTCCAGCCAGCCCAGACGACAGCACATCCCGAGAGCAGTAGGACACAGTCTACCCGACAAGATGCCATTCTATCAAGACTACAGGCTCGCTGCCATACCAACCGCCATCGGAGCCATTTGGGGAGCATATCAGGCGTATCAACTCGCATCATTCATACAGCTCTACTTCCTGCGCAAGAGTACACTGAAGCGATATCTCAAGCCAAATCCTAGCGGAGAGCCAGCCTGGGCGTTGATCACGGGGGCGACAGACGGCATCGGTCGTGGCTTCGCGGAGGAGCTGTGTCAGCAAGGCTTCAATGTGATCGTCCACGGCCGCAACCCAGAGAAGCTTGAAAACGAGAGAAAGAAGCTGCTCTCGCGTTGGCCAGAGCGTTCGGTGCGGACGTTATGTATTGATGCAGCGAACGAAGACGGCAATGTTGAAGCTCTGGAGAAAGCCGCCGCAGAATACCGATTACTCGACCTCCGCATCCTGGTCAACAATGTCGGCGGAACAGGCAGAATGGTGTCTTCTGTCCCACTCCACCAGCGAACAGCCGAAGAATCGCGCTTCTTCGTCGACATGAACCTTCGTTTCCCAACAGAGATCACACGAATTCTCCTTCCACAGCTTCGCGACAACACACCATCACTCATCTTGAACCTCTCGAGCGTGACGGCGAATTTCGGCATACCCTATCTGTCCATCTATTCCGCTGCCAAGGGATACAATCAGTCATTTTCTCGATGTCTGACTGCGGAGATGAAAGCAGAAGGGGTCGACGTGGAAGTGATCGGACTCGTGGTTTCCGCTGTGGCAACGGATCATTACACCAGGCCCCAGAGTATGTTTGTGCCCAACTCCAGGAAGTTTGCACAGGCTGCATTAGGTGTTGTTGGCTGTGGTAGGACGATTGTGGTGCCGTACTGGGGTCATCGAGTACAGAGTTGGTTGCTAGAGCTTATGCCTACCAAGATCAAGGAGAGCTTGATGGTCGATGCTGGAAAGACCGAGAAGAAAAATGAGGAAAGTGGAGCAACTGATGTGAAGGCCCAGAAGAGCGAATAGAGGCAAGGGGCAGTGCACAGATTCAAGGATTCAATTCATCCCCAACCGACGACTGCTATTTTGCCAGATCTCGACCCTCATTGGCTCGGTACCGCTGGTGGGGACAGAGAGACTGCAAGTGAAGTGGCTCTCTCTGATCGTCGCTCGACTCTCGCTCTACCATATTTCCAGCTCTGTTAGCTCTACACTGCCGAGAAACTCAGAGAAAGCCAACGTAGCACTCATCTCTACGAGTTCAACAATACTCAGTCCGCCACATCTCTACGCCTGCGACCTCTGTCTGGTCGAGGAATCCAGAGACACCAGGTGCGAATTGACCTGCTCTGTCAATCGGTTGGCTTTCGATCCGCCATATATCCAAGCACATTGGTTCTGTGTTGTTTCGAAATTTGGAGACACTAAACATTATCTCGTCTTCTCTAGCAATCACCTGATACTCGTTCCACAGTCTCTTTGCTCTCGTTGGCTCTGCAACGCTCAGAAAGCCGGGGAGGTGGACGACATTTTAGTATTCCCAGCAAACAATCGATTCATCTTTCTACAGCCACTTTGCCCTCGTTGGCTTTGTAGTTCTCAAAACATCAGAGTAACAGACTCCGAATCGGCTGACTCTGACAACCAGTCGACCTCTGTTCTATTACGTCTTTGCTCTCGTTGGCCCTGTACTATTCGGAAAGTCGGAGAGACGTACAATATTCTGGCTTCTCCAACAATCTAGCAATTCTCTATTCTGATGCTGTCCTCGTTGGCTCTGTAGGTCTCAGAAATCCAGAGATACGGAGTATGGATTGACTGACTCCGATGATCATTCGATCTCAGTTTCACCAGGTCTTTACATTCGTTTGCTCTGCAACTTTCACACAACCAGAGGGACTGGTCGTGACATAACCTCCCTGAAAATCGATTGATCGCCAGTTCACCACCTTCTCTACTCTCGTTGGCTTTGCAGTGTTCGGAAAGTCAGAGAGATAACGTATGGAATCGCAGTCTCTGAAGATCAATCAATCCACATCTCGCCAGCTTCTTTACCTTCGTTGGCTCTGCAGCTCCCATACGACCAGAGAGTCTAATTCCGAATTTCCCGTCTCCAAAAATCGATGTACTTTCATTCCGCCACCTTTTTCACTCTCGTTAGCTTGAAAGTGTTCAGCAAAGCAGAGGGACAGATCTCAAATCGTCGTCTCTGAGGATTTATCGAATCGCCTTTTGCCAGCTTCTCTACTCTTGTTGGCCTTGAAAAGCTCCAATCGCCAGAGAAATGAATTGTGTTCAGTCGTTTCTAGAAATCAATTGATTCTCATTTCACCAGAATATTCACCCTCGTTGGCTCTCTGGAATTCGGAAAATTGGAGAGACAGACCATGGATTACCTCTCTCGAACAATCGCTTGAGTCTCGATCCGCTCCATATCTACCCTTATTAGCTCTCTAGGATCTCAAAATTCAGAGCGAAGCATCGCGAATCGATGCTCTCTGTTGGCCAAAGTGTTCCAGTTCCAGTCCATTTCCACACCTGTCGGCTGCGTATCAGTGAGATTTCCGGAGGAACAGACCTCGAAACGGTCTACTCCATTGCTCGAACGATTCCCCAACTCACCAGATCTTGACCCTCAGTGGCTCGAAAACGCATGGACAAGCAGAGAAACAGGCGGCGAATCCCTGCTCTCTGTCAGTCGGAATGTTCTGCGTCCGCGCCATATCTACCTCTGTTGCCTGCATATCAGCACGGAATTCGGAGAGACAGGTCTCTAATTGACTACTCCATTGCTCAAACAATTCACAACTCACCGGAATCTTCACTCACGACGGCAGAGAAGCACAAGAGAAAGCAGAGAAACGAAAAATTGTATCCCAACCACCAAGTAAAATTTCCTATAAACGAGCGTTTCTATCCTCACTTCTCCTCCCCGAATGCTTTTTTTTGTGATTTTTTATTTATTTGCCCCCCTTCTCCCCATGCTTTCTGCACGCTCCGCCCAGCCAACGCGCGCACCGCTCGCAGAGCGCGGCACGGCACGACAGAGTCGAGCAGACGACTCCGTGCTGGTGGCAGCACACCACTCCGCACTCCGAGCACTTCATGTGCGCGTCGAAGCGCTCCACACCCGCCGGAAAGGCCTTTCGGAGCTGATGCTCCGTGCTGTGGGCCTTTTCCACTGCCATCCGGACGGCCGCATCGCGAGCTTGGCCCATGGCCATGATGCTGAGCTGCTCGGTGTAGAAGCAGCACGTCCGGCGGCAGTGGTGACAGGACTTCCCCTCGAAGTTGATGTCGATGGAGGAGAAGGTGTCGTGGCTGGCGACGGGCGGGAGGGTTGCGGAAGTGCCGAATCGGCGGAGTGGTGATGCTTCCGTTGCATCGGAGAAGGAGGGAGAGGCGTCGAGGGGCTCGTAGGCGCCGCGGTGGATGCCCTGGCACATGAGATTCTGCGTGTCCCAGGTGTAGCGGTGGTTGGGATGGGGCGGTTCGCCCTCACGCTTGAACTCGAGCAGGGGCAAGCCGAAGCGGCGCCGCATCTCCTGAGCCTCTTGCATTGATGGAGTCTCGTCGAAGTTTGGTTTGTTGGCCAGACTGGGTGTGCGTGGACCATGCCATGCGGCAGCAACATCTTCCATTTGTGCTTCGACGGGAGACTTGGGGTTTTGAGCGGCACTAGCTTCTGGAGACTCGAGGCCTTTGCCTGGGCTGATATGCTGGCCGTACTTTGGAGGTCGAGGCATATGAGGAGTGACATCTGTTGGCGAATCTTCCTCTATCACTCTGCTAAGCGTACTGTGTGCTGCTAGACTCGACGGCTTTACCGGCTTGGGCGGCTTGGCCTTGGTAGGTGTTGGTATGTTGGAAGGACGAGTCTTTCCGATGTGCAATGGTAGCGAGGATGAGCGTGGGCCGAAGTCATCGCCAATTTCCAGGCGCAGAGCAGGATGGTTGGTAGATACTGGCACTTGAGATAGCTTCTGAGTGCGGCGAAGGGCTGCTGCTTGGATGCTTTGATTGAACTCCGCTTGCTGTTCCTGAGTGTCGAGCTGTGGCGAAAATGCTGAGCTGGTCGGATTGCGTTTCACAACGAGCGTACTGTTCTTGCGTGCCACTAGATGCGATGGGAGCGTTCCGGCTTTCTCAAACTTTGCGTGCATTTCTGGAGAGAGTTGAGGTGCTGCAGGTACTTGGTTCAATATGGCTTGGAACTCTCGCTCTTCTTGATCTTCTGCGTCTCGGAACTTTTGTCGCAGATCTGGAGTGGTACCACCGGTCTTTGCGAGTGCAATGAGATCGTCGTCGAGGTCAACTTCATCATCATAAACGGACTCCCAGTCAGATTGATCTTGGCTGGGTGCTGGTATGGGTGCTGGCACGCTGGGTAAGAGAGGCGACATGATATAGTTGCTCTTGTGACCTGGGGTGGGCTGGCGACTGGGTGTGGAGTGCTTGGAGGACCTGCCTTTAGGCACAATGGTTCGCATCGATGATGAGCCCGTTGGGGTGGTGCTTTGCGAAGGAAGCGGAGCCTTGAGAAGCGGCGACGATCCTGTGCGTGCGGTATCTTCAGCCTCTTTCGCAAGATTGGCTTCAATGGCTGCAATGCGCGCGGGATGCTTTGGCGGAATGTAATCAAAGCTGCTGGTCGAGGGCGAAGTGATGCCCAGACCTTTGACTTGATAGTGCTCTTCGTCAGGAGTAGATGCCAAGGGTCGATCAGACAAATCATCACGCGGTTCTTCCTTCTCTACCTCCTCTTCGTCTTTCTTGATGTCGCGTTCAGTAATGATGGGAGTGCTCGGATCTGTCCACAGTGGCGGCTTCGTCGGCGGAGGAGGAGGAGGAGGAGAGAACTGTTGCTTCACCCTGTTGAACAAGCGCTTGATCACAGTCTCCTTCATCTGTGGGTCGTGCTTCGAATCGTGCTTCTCCCACTCCGCAAGTTTCTCGTACACTGAGACGCCTTGTGGATCGGTGGACTGCCATCCGTCCTTCAGCATCAAGCCATAGGTGCTGGTACGGTCGACAAATTGCTTGGCAATCTTCACCTTGTCCTCGGTGCGTTCCTGCTGGCGCGCTGCAAAATCATCCATCTCTTGTGAAGTGCCGCCGTGCGGAGCAGGATCTTGGGCTTCGCGCGCGGCCTGTCTCTGCACTTCTTGCCTTAAATCCTCGACATATTTGGACCACTCACGCGCCTGGCTTTCTGCCTCCCTCATTTCTTGTTCATCGGGCATTCTGCGCTTCTCCGGGACTGGCGGAGCAATAGGAGATTCGATCTCTTGTCCGTTGTCATCAACAGGATGCCTATTAGCAAGCCAGCGCCCACTACGTTCCCCGTAATACGCGGGACTGAGAGAGCTGAAATTGCTGACATCTCTGCTCTTGCCTTTGTCTGGCGCGAGTCGCACTGGGAGCTCAGCAGGATCACCAGCCACAGCACCTGGGAAGGACTCGGCAGGTGGTTGGTTGGTGGAGGCATCTGGAGTGCTTGAGACACGCAGGGGTGTAGGCAAATGTGGCGAGCGACCGAAGGGTGAAACGGTAGCAACACTACTGACCGAGTCTGTCGACATCAAACTTGCCATGCTGTCCTGTCCTTGGATGATGTGCTCTTGCGGCGTCTTAGGAGAGCTCTTCCCGCGCTTCCGAGTAAGGAGTCTTGCCGCAGTGCTTGAAGATGGAAGTGGTGGCGCATCGTTAGTAGTCCCAGAAGAACCCTCCGTCTCCCATGTCTCCGCGCTCGTAGAGCGCCCCAATGCCGAGCTCGACTTCCTTGATCTAAGACCCAATGTCTGCATGAAGCTCTTCTTCTTTCTAATACCCCTGACCTCACCCTCGCCGCCTGCCTGCCGCTGCGCTGATGAAGAAGACGAAGAAGTCGCACTGACACTGACCTGATAACTGCCCCCTGAGTTGTGGATGTCCCGCCAGGTTCTGGCGCTCTCATCGTTACCTGAGGCGGCGGCGACTGTCGAGCTCAAAGCAGCCTCATCTTGCGGCGTTGCCAGAGGCGTCTTGGGAGGCATGTTGGTCGGCGTCGTCGGACAGCGTTCTTCGGCTATTAGCATTTGTCTTTGCAAAGGTTCAGGTCGATCAATACTCACTGCTGTCGCCGCCAAAAAGGCTGCGCCGCTTTTCGTCGTTCTTTGTTGGTGTGTTCTTCTCGCCGTCTGAGAAGGAGGTTAGAGAAAAAGGATGAAGGTGGTGGAAAATGGATGTGAGGTTTCACGTTTCACATACCTTTCACAGCTGCAACAGCGCTCGTTGTCGCCTGCGGTAGCGCGAACATGGTGACAATAGCGCTCCTGATTGGCTCAGACGTTGGTGTGCTGCTGTGTGAGGTTCGCGAATGTGAGCTTTCCGCTGCTGAGGTGGTGGTGCGAGTTTGAGTGAAGGCAAAATCAACGTCACGACCTCACCACGTCGGTGCGGAAGTGGGGCCACCTTGGGCGATGCGAGCACAGATGGCAGCGCGTCTTCAAATTTCACACGGTGGACACAGTTCTTGGAGTTCTCGCAATATGGATTTTCGACGATCTGAAGCCAGTGGAGGGCGTGAGCAGAATAGCTTCCAAGCGCCGCGCGAGGCCATGTCTACGCGGCGCAAAGAATAGCGAAGGTGTGTGGGCTCGTTGCTACTGCTACGCAGTGCCGGTGGCGTGCGCAAGTGAAGTGAAGCTCAGCAGCTCTGTTGGCCAGACCCCTGTCATGCACGATGCTGCGCCACCTACCGTTTGCTGCAGCTCTTCGATTTTCACTGTTCACCAAGAGAAGGAAGTTGCGAGATTGCCCATCGCCAGTCTGAGGCCGCTGGGCATCAGCATTGGGGTCCTCTGCTTGGCGGTTAGCGATTGACGTTAGGAGGTGGTGAGGTGTCTTGAAAGCGCTTCGTATTCATGCAGTATCATGAGCTCCCTCCGCCTTCTTGCACATGTTGTAAGCACTCTATGTCAGCCGTAGTTACGGCGCAATCATATTCGATCCATGAGTTCATACTTCGTGATCATTGCCGTGGAGCCGTCCGGAGACTGGCAGGCACAACCCTCTGTCTGGAGTCGACTTCGCTCGTACTCGTACCGAAAATGACATCTCTCGCCCCTTCCCGAGAACTCAAGCTTTGGGCTGCGCATACAGCGTCGTCCACTCCCGCGCGGTCTTGATCGCCTCTGGTTGATTCTCCTACATGACAGTCAGCATCCCTGTGAGAGGCAGTGGACATGCCCTCTCTTACCTTCCACTGCTTGGCGACTGCCTCGTTGAGCGGGTCCTCTGGGTTCGGTGCTCCCAGCAGTGCTTGTATACTCAACAGTATTGTTCTGATCTGGAGCGCGGGACTCCAGTTGTTCTTCAGCACATCAAGGCAGATACGGCCCAGGCGATCGATGTTGGGGTGATAGATGCGCGTGAGGAATCGTATACGGGGAGGACACATGGGATAGTCATCGGGCAGGAAGAGTTCGAGTTGGAACACGCCGCCTGTTCTCTGATCAGTATGTGTCTTCCGATCGTGTGAAGTACAGCCTTTCCCCACCTTCGTAGCAGCTTCCACCGGGTCCTTCTACGACGACGTCGAAGTATCGCGCATTGTCATCGTGTGGCGTGGCCGAGATGCCTGGAACGGGCTCGTTCTGGAGCCTTTCGGTCTCTTTAATGATTCGCTTCGGAAGAGGGGCAGCCATGACTGCGTGTGGTGGAGGATGGCGGGGTCGTTGTGTTTCTTCGCTGGAGAAGGTGAGGTCGTTTCGGGATGTAGGTGGCGCGCCAGGCGCTGTGAGGATTATTTGCGTCGATGGGCCAAACGGTGTATGGCGAGTGTGTGGTCAGCAAGCAGTCTGCGAGCAAGCCGCGCGACAACTCTCACTCATCCGTCGTCAGTCGAATGTTCTGTGACGTCCGCGTGTCAGAAGCCGCAGGGAAGGTGAGCCGAGCGGCGATGCTTCGGCTGTCGCGTGTCCCTCGACAACCTCACCGGGACACTGCACGTTTCTTCACTTTTCTCGCACTCAATGTATACGAAGACACCCGTCATCTCACATTAGCAGGATGTTATGCTGATGCTGTCATACAGATCTGAATGGTGCTCAACGCGGCTGGAATTCATCACTTCACAAAAAGTGGTACTCAGTCTCATCAAAGCTGTTTCCTTCGTATGACTTGGACAAGAACTACCTTCGCCAGCTCGATCGCAACATAATCCATCCTGATGGCTGCTATAGACTCCCTCAAGATCCATCGTTGGCGAATCAGTAAATTTAACAAGACCATTTTCTCCAGTGCAGCCACCCCTCGTTTTGAGTTGTCCACATGTCATGTAAATACTCTTCTCCCGGACTAACATGGAGTCAGCAGCCCGAGTTCCTCCTCCATTCTGTCTGGATCGATCACAGGCCAGTACTCTTCAAGACCTTCAGAGTCCTCCGGACAAAAGATATTCGGGCATTTGCCCATCTTAGTCCGCTGCGCGAGCACTCGATTGCCGACCTTGAACACTTTACCGACCCACTTCGCTGCTGTGAGTCCAGGGACCATACCCACTATGTCCAAAACTTGCTCCGTGATACTGAAAGCGTTATTCCACACAACGCAGCCGACGTATCCACCCTCTTTCGCCGCTTTCACAACAATGTCCGCCACCCACTTCCCATTGAGACATTTGCAGCGAGAATCGATAGGGTCCGAGTTCGCCCATGTGCTTTCATCGACGTTGCCTTGGCAGATTGGCAGTACATAGTCGGTCTTGATAATGTTGCTGCAATATGCGTTGCAATCTGATGGCACCTTGCACTGGGGAACGAGGTCCTGCTGAAGGCCTGGACATCTCGCCTGCTGGGGGTTGCAGACACCTGTCTGTTGTTGCTCCGGGAGTGGAGCGGCAGTAGCACCGGCGAGGATCTCTGAGACTACACTTCCTTGTCCTGCATTGGCGAATGCCTCTGCGAGAATCGAGGCGGCCGGGTTCATGACAGCGACGGCGGCGCCGAGGGTGCCAGAACTGTGGAGCAGCAAGACGGCTGCGTGCTTGACGTTGAATACCATATCGCTGAGTGGAGAAGATCTCAAAGACCGCTTGTGTAAGTTCACGATCTTTGAATATAATTTGTGAGAAGCTTTGTTGCGTTGCGAGTAGCAGATGCGATCTTAGTCTGCGAAATTGACTGTCTTAATAGCGAACGAAGCGAATGAAGGCCCTTTATGCACGCAGCCAAGAAGCATCCTGTCGCAGTACCCTTCGAACGAGGCCTTTCTGATCTGGTCATACCAAAATAGAAAAATTGCGCTGGGCTGTGTTATGGCCAGTGAGAAGTTGGAAGAGGATACCAAGAGATCAGGCTGACTTTGAGTGTAGGAAGAGCTTGAATGCTTAGACTTCCCATTGGCCAGCCTTGCAGCCTTGTCGACGACCAAAGCGCAGCGAGAGGGCGCAGCGCGCTGCGTTTGAACTCTTCTCTGGCCTAGACGTGAGGTAAGTGGAGGCTGTGTCAACGCTCAGTGCTCTGGATAGTTCTGATAAAGAGCCCACAGCGCTGAGAGATTCCAGCAAGGCCCTCCCGCCGTTTTGCGTCTCACCAAACGGCAATCCCTTGATATCGCCGTGTGCGCTACGACTGGCAGATTTCAGTGGACATTGGAGGAGAGCCCGAATCCTTCCAAAGTCTCGAATGGTCCCGGGAAAGCAATGCGCATCTGTTTCAGCCTCGCAGGTCTGGCACTACACAGCTTTCGCTGAGACGATGTACAGCTTAAGTGGCTGAGTCCGAGTCCTGGCTGTCGCGGCCAATGATCTGCTCGAAGTTTGGCACACAACTGAGCGCGCCAAGCTTGCTGTTGAACAATGCAATGGCAAGATGCAGCAGATCGTATCAGGACGAACCCATGTCATCAGTGCCCAGGAAGCGCCTCACAAAGAAGCTGCCAAGACGATCATCGCACCTTCTTCAGCGTCTGAGCCCACCTACAGCGCAATGCCGATAGTTCTTTCCATTCTGGTTGGTACTATATTATTATAGCGGGATAAATTTTTCCTGCTAGATGCACAGTCGGTTCGAGCAGCTCGCTTTTCGAGCTAGTGTTCTGGCTGTTCAATTGCCGTTCGGTCCGAGTTTGGAGATCTTGAGTAAAAATCGAGTCCTGTTTCTGCAATTCATCGTTCCTTGAATAACACTTAGGTCACCGTGGTTAACCGGTCATGCTTGGAGCTGAGATATATGCAGCTTGTAATGGGCCAGGTGAATCTGCTGTGTACATGAGCCGTCGACTCGATATTCAACACACGTCGAACTTCCCCTGGAAGAGCTGAATACAACCTAGAACCCAAGACCACAGTGCCGCAGAGCTTTTCTCGAGAATCGAGAATTGCGGATTTGTGTAATCGTCAAGTCAGATACCTGCTAAGTTACAACTGGTCATCAGGCCGTCGTCAAAGTCCTGCGGAAGGTGAGCCGAGCGTCCGTGCTCCGGCTGTCGCGTCCCCTTCGACAACCTCACTCCTTCTGTTCAAGACGGGTGGACATAGACACAACCTGGACATGAAGCCACGATGACTGGATGCCTGAACCCTCGGTAGCCCATCTTGATGGAGTTTGCCAGTCCACGATGGGCCGCCTACGATGACACCAGCGCTCTGCGGGAGACGAGCTCCTCCGACGCGACATATGCCGTGAGCGCACAGTATGCAGCCTACGCCAATCGTAGAGGCGTATTTGCCCGGAAACTCACCACCAACGAGCACTACAAACGTCTCTTCCGCTACGATGATGATCGTCCTTGGTTTCAGCCGCTCCTGGCCTTTTCATCCATCCGAGGCAAACTCTTGGCCATCGCGACCGGCGTGCAGATTCTCATTTTCGATCTCGAAACCAAGAAAGTGAAGAACGTTTTGAAGGGCAATGGCAGGATCATCACCTCCCTGGCCTGGGCCGAGTCGAAACCCGGGATCCTCGCGACAGGTGCTGTGGATGGCAGCATTTGCGTCTGGTCGCTCAAACAGTCTGCTCGGCCACTTCATCACGCTCGAACCTTGCACAGCGCATGCACCCACGTCGCTTTCCACCCCAAGAATCACGAGCTGATCGCCAGTTGCCACAAGGGCCGCGTATCTGTCTGGACACTCCCATCAACCGCGCCGTTTCTTGTTAGCAAGTCGAAAGATACTGACATTAGTGCTCTGCGCTGGTTTGCCACGGATCCCTCCCGTGTGCTGGGCATCTCTACTACTGGCTCGGTGTCCATCTATGACGTGAAACGGGCACTCCTGAACTTCGAAAAGACTCCACGTCGTGGAGCTGGCGATGGCACAAACGAAGACGGCCTCTTCAGAAGTTTTGAAGATGTCAAGTACACACCGGCCTCAACATTCGAACTGGGCCTGAAAATCAGCCAAGCCACCCTCATCGGACGCAATGGCCTCATTGTTCTTCCACGATATGGCCATATACTCTACTTCATCACATTCTTCGCCGACAAAGATGAGGCCACTGAGCTGTGGAGACTGCGACTGGATGATCTCATTGACTGCTTCTCACTCCGCGTTCGCGAGAGCAGTGTGCAGATTGTAGCTTGCATAGGGGTCGAAACGCAAACTTATGATGTTCCGGTTGCGGTGTTGCACGGCATGGGCTGGGACCAGTCCACCCACAATGATCAGTTGACAAACTACAACAAGGGCAGCTTTGATCGCGCAGAAACCCGAGCTCGAACTATGCGGCCTGAACAGATTGCATTCGATCGTCTTAGTCACTCACCACCGCCAAGGAAGACTTCAGTGCATGACCGCTCTCGACGTCCACACTTTGCACCCAAAGGACGCGAGGTCTCGCCATCGACGAGGAAGGCGAGGACAACCCTCCAGTACTCACCGCTGCCATCGATGACTTCGAGCCTAGAACTCCCCAAACCTAGTGTAGATACGGATGAGCAAGACTCGCCAATGCCATTTCTCTCGCCCAGCATCCCTGCTAGACGTACCTCCACCGGTCATGCCATTACACCTTTGGACGAGTCCATTCGCCTTCCGCCGCGTGCATCTTTCGACTCCATTACATCTACTGCCGGCCACGACAGCGACTCCGACGACGAGACTTTTGCCGAGCACATGCAGGGCAGTGGCTCATTCCTGCCCGGTGGTGTGAACGTCCCTCTGCCTCGCACTTGCGGTGCTTGCTTTGGTCCTAGCGGTCAGCTACTCATGTTCTTCCCAACTCGTGTGCAACCAACATCAGCAGACGAAGGGAACGACTTGGAAGAATTTGGCACTCGTGGAAGACAGAACTCAGAAGTTACCCGGTTGTTTCCTACCTTCGGCAATCTTTCCACGTTCTACCGCACCGACGTGGCGGTCGACTCCGACGGAAGCGTTTCACCCCACAAGCAAGTGCGTGCCGGGCCACGCCTCTCAATGCCAACATCGTCATTTGGAGACACACGCTGGGCTGTCAAGGTCTCGCCAGTAAAAACCACTAACAGTGGCCTTCCGGTACAACAGAGAATCAAAGTTTCGGTGCATGAGGTCAAGTCATTACAGTCTTCACAGCGATTGGCGTATGACTATCGTATCCTGCCGGCTGACGGCGAATCGGCCTCTGCACTGTGCTACGAGAACGCTGAGTACGCGATTGGTGCGAGTATGGACGAGGCAGCGGAGATGTGGCGTGCGTTGGCCATTCTCCTTGAGCAGAGAAATTGCAGCAGCTCTGACCTGGCATTGCATGAAGCCACGAGCAACCTACAGAATCAGCGGCCCGCCTTATCACGCAACTTGTCGCTGGCTTCCGACTATGCCGAAAGTACTGTCGCGCCTGACACCATCAAGCTGCACTGGCTGCAGCACCCCATGGGAAAGACCTGGGCTGTCGACCGAATCCTCCGCTGGGCTGAGAAGCAGGCTGACGTTCAACTACTTGCCTGCGTCTCATCGCTCTTGATCAAGGTATGCGAGGTCATACGCTCTGAACATACTGGAAGAAAGAGCGCCTCTCTTGCACAGCACGAATCATATGCAGGCTTCAATGGACTTCCTGGCGGCAAGATGGCTCTGAACATTCCACTCCTCCGAACAGGGACCGAATTGACTGAAGCCAGTCTGTTGGATGAATCTCCGGAGAAGCCGTACAGCTCGCGCACTTCCTCTCGCGATCCTTCTTTGCCGACGACGCCATATCTGGAGTCATCAGCAAGTACCCCTCCACTTGCATTGCCATATTTCAACAGGCATAGCACGCGAGTGTCTGCATCAGGATCCGCAAGTCCAGAAACTCATCGAGGAAGTATCAGCGCAGCAGCTAAATACTATGCGCAGACCCTTTCAGATAAATTGGCAGGGTACAGTACTTCACCGCCTGCCCGGAAATTGGGCACTAGTCCGGGAAATGAGCTTTCGACAAGTTTGCCTACTGCAACAGGTAGCTGGAGCAAGTCCGTCTCGTTTGCTGCAGCTTCTGACGCAGCTCGTGATGGTCGTCACAGCTTGAGTCTCACGCGGGACGAAGAAGCATACGATAGCGATCGCACCATCGACGAACTGAGCTTGCCTCGCACTCCAAATCCAGGTGCTGGAGTCACAGTTCGTGAACTCAATGGCCAGAGCTTTTGGAACGATCCTTTCGCGTCCCCGGGTCTGCCGTCACTCATGCCAAATCACTTCGCGACGAAGTGCAACATCTGGCGCAGTCATTATGCCGAACAGCTTCGATCATGGGATCTCATAATCGAAGCAGCCGAGCTGGAAAATGTATCGGATCTTGCTGGTGCAAAGCCTTCCGCACCTAAACCTCCAGCTGGCGACAAAGTGCTTCCGCAGCTTGACGCGCATTGTCGTGGTGCGACATGCTCCATATGCTTTTGTGCGATCAAAGCTGCCAAACAGCTTTGTCCGGCTTGTTTACACACTACCCATCCATGGTGCCTCGAGGACTTGCTGGCGCATCTCGATGCGGACGAGGCGGCTTTCACGTGTCCCACAGGATGTGGGTGTCAATGTCTCGAGCAGGCCGATGTACAGTTTGTGCTGGAGGACGGACTCATTGCCGAAGAGCGGGAAGAATCTCTCGCTGATTCGGGCTTGAGAGCCCAGTTTGCGAAGAAGAGAAGTCTGACTGATCCTAGACTTTTGCGTGAGAGGTTAGAAGGCAATTCCTGGTGATTGCTTCTTCCGCGAATGCAGCAAATGGGGTCTCAAGCCATTGACTCAAATCCGACCGTTATCGCTTTGACCAACAGCACTTCTTTTGCGACGTTTGCAGACCGTTGCCACGTTCTGTCCAATTTGAGATCTGACCACATGACGAACGTCGTTGACGGAACGTCTTGGCCATTGCGCCGCTCCAATTTCCTGCAATGGTCGATGCTATGAGACCCTGGAGTTACATACTTGCTTTCTCTGGTACGCGTTTCTCGTCGTACGCGTTTGCGTGTGGGAACGTAGAAAAGCTCAACCTCGCCGTTCTCTCGAGCAAGCTCAGCCCTGCGGAATGTTCTCAACGAATTCGCCCGTCACTGCGACAAATTTTTACAGTCCTTACCAGGACATGTCGGCTCGGTTACAGAGCAAATGGCTGAAGGATTGATGAAAACGGCAACTTCCATATGCCACACCGCGGTAGGCTGACGATGGGATCTGTAAAGAGCTGGAGCACCGTGCCAAGCAACATCGATCTCAATTATTGTCCCGCTTCTGGATGCAGGAACGGAGCCACCGAGCCAGGTACAGCATCTGGATCTACTGCTTGGTACAGTCACAAGACAGTCGAGCAAAATTGGCCGCGGGCGGACTGGAACACTCCTACTTTGAGTCTCAGCCCGAGTGCCACACGGAGCGACCCAGCCAATAGCCGGCACTAGCGATCACGTGGGTGGGTCTAGACATACTCCAGAAGTGGTATAGACCCACTTCTAGCTTTCTCAAGTCAAGCATGCTCCGCAAATTGCTTTCTTGGCCATGGTTCTCCATGCGGGGAGCTTATTCGACTAAGCCTTTTGTGGCATTTTGCGACTTCATCAGGTCCGCGCATGGTGCAATCGAGCACATGGAAGACTGGCCGAGGTCGCCTTAGCCAAGAATGAGGCTTCTGTCGTTACGTGGACGCGATGGTAGAGGAATCTTGGACGCGACCATATATCTAGCACAATACTTGCACGTTGGTTATTGTTCGATCTAACCAGACAAGACACTCATCCACTCGCCTAAGGACATTCGCTCAGCCCCTGCCCTCAACATCACCTTCACTTAACCACATCAGACACCATGAAGTTCACCGCAGCAATCTTCGCCGTTGGCGCTCTCGCCGCTGTCCGCCGCCAGGCTGGTGGTCTTTCGGAGAACATCCAGGCTATCACCACTGCCACCAACTCCGTCACCACCGCTCTTGAGGCTTACACTGGTGACATCCAGCAAGCTCTGGCCGTGAACGGCGCTACTGGCGAGGTCTTGACTGCCATCCAGGCCGCACAGGTAAGAACGCTGCTTCGATATTCCTGCTGTAAACCCAGAAGACTAACTCACTCGTGTAGACCACTGTCGATGGCACTCAAGCAATTGACGGCGACACTGCCCTCTCCCTCGTCGGCCCAATCGGCGATCTCAACACCGCTGTTGAGTCCTCCATCAGCGCCCTGATTGAGAAGCAGCCAATCTTCGCCGAGAACGGCCTCACCGAAGCCGTCCTCACTTCCCTCCGCACTCAACAGGAGGCCAGCACAGCCCTCACCGACGCCATCGTCAGCAAGCTCCCAGAGGGTCTCCAAGATGCCGGTCGCCAGGCTTCTCAGGCTGCTGCCGACGCCCTCGCACGCGGTATCGCCGCCTACGAGGGTGGTGCTACTGGCGGTGATGACAATGATGACGACGCTACTACCACTGCCGCTGCCACCACTGCTGCTGCCACTGGCACTGTCACCACCCAGGCTGTCGTCTACCCAACTGCTCCATCTGGCAACAACGCCACTGCTACTTCTTCCATGCCAATGCAGTACACCGGTGCCGCTGCCCACCAAGTCGTCGGCCTCGGTGCTTTGGCCATGGCTGCTCTTGTCGCTGCTTTGTAAGCATATGACTTGGGAGTGTTGACGAGAGAGACGGAAGATGTAATGTGAACATGAGAGACACAAAAGTCTTGTTCGGATATGAGCAATGATATCAATGAGCTGCTGCTGCGAGGGTGCTGAGCACCGTTCGTGAGCTAATGTACATATTAATCCTAGATGAGACAAGAACATATGAGAATGTCTTTGTCAGATCACTGATGTTTGCCACATGTGTGTTGTGTTTTGATTGCTTTCCGTGTTCAAGTATTCGTTCAGGGATGCTTCTTCTCCAGGCAACTCTCAGAACGCTACCTCCATTCACGTTCGGGCACCACCGGAGGTCCGCTTCTGGAGGGCATCACCAATACTACCACACCGTGCAGCACTATACACAATGCCAAACTCGACATTAACCGCCATGCTCAGCAGCAGACGGGCCAAAGCCTTGTCAGTCCACTTACTTGTTGACTAAACATGCAACGCGCAAATGCTCTGGTCTTTACCTCAGAAAATCTATGGCATGCTGCGCTTTCCAATCGACACTCAATTGGCTAATTGGCTGCAGTTGTGGGTCTGAGATAATGAATGAGCAACGTGGTGAATGACACTGTTGTTCGGCCAGTGGCTTGGCGACTGCTCCTCATTCACTTCGTCCTCACTGGCAGCTACCATACTTAAACACCCAACTTTCTTCGAGCTCCAATCCACACTTCAGGATTACTTTGACACGATACCTTCTCAAGCCGCGCGTCGCAACCCGCTCGTCTCCCTTCAAGCATTCGCGAACATGTCGACCGCACCAGCTGCAGCCAGCACTGGGCAAACTGCCGCTCCACCGGGGCCGTCCACAGACTTGACGAGCCTACCAATCGAACTTCTCCAAGAAATTGCTAAGCACACGGGTAGCGCCATCCTCTCCCTCCGTGCAGCATGTCACGATATCCACGACAAAGTCGACGACGTCTTCGCCAGAGGATACTTCAGCACTCGAGTCCATCTCACGACTCGACACTCGCTGGAGGCGCTAGCCGAGATTGTGAAAGTGTCACGCTTTCGCAAAGTCCTGAAGGAAGTCGAGTTCGAGATTGTGAGTTCATGGAGGATTGAGAGAAACTTTTACGAGTTCCCTCTCGAGCCCGAAATGAAGATCCTGGCCGAACTTGAGGTGGGAAAATTCGTTTACCAAAATTGGACGACGCAGGAGCTTGACTCTATTAACATCGAGAAGTCTCTTGCCGGCATCTTCTTGGACCTTGCTCAGCACAAAGTGGTGCCAGTCGTCACCATCACTCTTCCAATGAACCAAAGACACTTCACGGGCTTTGGCTCTCGCTGGCTTGTGCGAAACATGTTCCCCGGCAGTGACGGGTGCCCAGAGAAGGATGTGTACGTGTTCAAGCACTGCACACACATAATTTATGAGCGCGGACGCCGCCTACACGAGCAGAAACAGGCCATAGCAGCCGTACTGGAAACCGCCACAGCATCTCAGCTTGATCTGAAGTCGCTGATTCTCGACGGTGGAGCAGAGTTTCGTAACACCGATCCTACCGGAACCGGACCGTTATGCGACAGTCCTGGCGTCACTCAAGTCTTCTCCAAACTCAGAGCCTTGACAGTGGACCTCTCCATTGTCATCGCTGGTGACTTGCTCGAAATCCTGAAATCATGTCAGCGACTTGAAGAAATCAACATGGTCTTGTTGGGCGACTTGTTCCTAGACAATGAGGTATTGCAACATGTTGCGAATGCTTTGCCGGCGGCCACCACTCTCAAAAACGTCACTATCGCCCATGCGACGTTCGTATCTGCTAGGGACATCATCGATTTCCTTCGGAAGCATGAGAAGGTGTTGCAAAAATTGGTCTTGTCAAGTATCAGTATCGAGGGTAGAGGCGAGTGGCAAGTGCTGTTTGCGGGATTGTCGAACTTCCCTCAGCTTGCAGAGATTGACATCTATATGGCGATGGGTAACAAAGTCTACTGGCGTCCGGAAGAGATCATGGAGCACCAAGAGGTGCGTGGTAGCTGTATTAACCGAGCGATTTTGTGCGACAGGAAGAATAAGTTGGCCGCAGCGAACTATCGGATTTGCGGAAAGGACGCTGTGAAGCAGGAGCTGGAAGAGCTGGCATCCACCTCTACAGTGTTCGAGAGATGTTGGGAGAAACCAAGAGCGGACGGATCCCCAGAATTTGTGTTCGATCCGCTCGAAGAAGTGTTGATAGAATGAGCTTACCCGGGAAGGCGTCTAGGGGGCGGATGGAGTGAGTGTTTTTCAGCTCTGCAAGACCTGCACATGTTACTTACGCATGTTTTTCTTCTACTCCAATACTGAAAGCGACTCTCCACTCTCATAACTTCTCCTTCAATATCCCCTCTTTCAGTACATAGTACGTCTCCTGCGTACAAGTCGCAATCAATTCTCCTTCACCCCTACCATCAAAAATCCTCGTCTCCACAAACCCTCGCCTCTTCCCACTCCAAGGACTCCTCGCCTCAATATATTTCAACTCGTCAGCTCGAAACCCTTCATGCCGATGAAAGTAAATCGAATGATTCAAACTCGTATACCGATCAAAGTCAGGCGTCCTCGATGTCCGGTCCACATCTCCCAACGCCGGCTGACCCAATTGCAAATGGTGCACAATGGCAGGACAATTCAGCACATGGAAATCGGAAAGCGCAATAATTCCCAGCGCGTGCATCCTTTTATCGGATACCTGTACCTCGGGAAAGACTTTCGCAGCGAAAGTATGCACCAAATGCTCTGGCAATGATTTCTCCGGATCATAGCCCATCCTGTCGTTCGTGAGAGAAAGTCTTTGATACCGCAACCAAGGTCCTTCATCATGGCGCCCTTCATCGAGGTCATCTAACGTAATCTCGGATATGTTATCAGACGTCGCGCGTTGAGGAGAATGGGATATACTGGGTCCACCGAAAGCTGCAGCGCGGACGAAGGAGCAAGTGACGTGTGAGATCGTTTTGCCGGCTTGAGTGGTAGTGATAAGTCGTGTAGCGAATCGACCTCCGTCATTGAGACGTTGTACTTGCAATTGCATGGGTGCTTTCGGTGAGGGCCCCGCGAGGAATTGGATCTGAAGCATGTCGATGGCGAAGTCAGAGGTCAAGGTGTTGTAAGCTGCGTTCGTAGCCAGTGCGGCGAGAATGCCGCCTGGTACGACTTGAGAGCCAGGCCATGTCCAGGGAAGTTGTCTATTTTGGTATGTGTCCTATGAAGAATGAGTACGTTGTTGGCCAACATCGATGCGATACTGACTGTTCCGATCTCCTCCAGCTCCAGGCCTTGTTCGAGCCCGACCTTTGGTGGCGTGGACCTAAAGACCCTGCGCGAAGAGTCTTTTGCACCGCCGCTCATGGTTTCGGCACTTACAATGTCCTTATATGTCGGTGTTGCGAGCAGGTTAAAATCGGTCGCCGAACGCAAGTCTAGGGTTCAAGAAGCCGAGCGTCTCTTGATCGCCCCGTCGTCACTGCCTCGGCAAATCATTCGAATGCTTCACACTTTGCGAGACATTTCCCTGGACAATGCATTTGGGCGAGAATCACATTGAGATGAAGTGCAAAGTGTTTGACGTGTACAACCTCTGAAGTCATGCAGTGTTCACTTGGGCTGACTGGGGTCGACTCGGGTGCACTGCGGCAGTCCCGAAAATGGAAAGAGCTACTCATTACAATGCACATATTTACAGTATTTTAAACTCGAGCTCCTTAGATCAGATATCTTCCAATTCTGTTATTCACCAGCTCTGAGAACCAAATCGCATTCTGTGCTGCGTTCCAGTGCGAGGCAATATTACCAGCTGGAGGAAGATCTGGCAAAAGTCCTGGCAACAGGCTCACATCGTTATCTGGCTGCTTGATCTCGGTGAACTTGCCTGTTGATGGGGTCACATAGTTCAAGCTGTTGCTGAGCAGCGTAGAGAACCAGATGTTGCCTTTGCCGTCCACGGTATTCTCGATGGGCGTAGCGCCGGGTTGTGGGATTCGGAACGCCTTGGATTGTTTCGTCTCCATATCAAAGCGTCCGATAGCGTTACCGGCGATGGAAGTGAACCATAGATAGCGATTATCTTCCAAGTAAGTCAGTAAGTTGAACGCTGCTGTCTCAGAAACACACCCCGAGCAAGCTTACCTGTTTCCGCGCGCATGACAGATGGTGTCAGAAGGCTAGGCAACAACGGCCACTCATCAATCTTTCCGGTCTTCACATCCAAACGAGCCATCTTGTTCGCAAGCATCTCAACGAACCACAGGTTCCCATCTCGCTTTGCAACGATCATACCCAAAGGTCCAGCCAAAGGTGTAGGGACCTGCCATGTCTTGATCTCATTTGTCTTGTAATCGATCAGGTTGATAACGTTTCCTGTCGTTTGCGAGAAGAACATGCCCGTCTCGCCCGGCCATGCATCGTTGAAAGGCTGGAGGTTACCGAGAGGGTTGCCAGTCTCAAGAATTGTAACGTTGCCATTGCTTGGATCGAGGATGGCAAACTCGTTTCGCACACCTGTGGCAGCATATATCTTTCCATTCTTTCCTGGCTGCACGACGCAAGACAGTGCAACGCGACCTTGGAGGTCCGATGGCAGTACTGAGTTCCCTAGAACGGGAAGCTTATATGGGATATCAAACTCCCTGAGGTCGCCGGTGTTTGGGTTGATCTGGACGATCTTGTTCGACGTGAAGGTATCCGCCTGGTGGATATTAGCTTGTAGAGCAGCACCGATATTCATGCCAACTTACATAGATAAAGCCATCATTGCCAGTGGTGATGTCGCACGGAGATGCCAGAGGTGTCTTCAAAGGATAGAATGTGAATTTTGACGCCTGTCGCTCTGCTGGAGCAGCATATGCGGCCGAGGCAAGCAGTGCCGTGCTTGCAATCTTGGAATACATGTTTGCAACACGTCCTCAGTAAAGAAGACAATGAGATGAAGTCGACCTGAAGAGAAATTTGAGCTGCGCTGTCAGGACGATCAGTCGCGAAGGGATCTTCATCTTATGTATATAGGAACCGCCTCGATGAACGAACGGCTCGCATGGTAGCCGGCCAACGCGGCAAAAGCATTCGCCTAGGCTGATTATAGTGCAGCTTGTAGGGGCCGATCCTGCTTGTTTGAGCTTCAAGTTCACGGCAATGCAAATCACTAACACTTTCGGCGAAGAAATAGCATGCGGCGACTGTGACAACAAAGCGCCACTTACACAGCTTGAACATAATGTGCAGTTGACAATCAATCGTGCTCAGTCAAGGACCGGCACCTCCATCGTGATCGCATATGCATTGTGTGGCGGTCCTGGGGAGTGCGCCAACATCGCCGTCGCTTTGGGCTTCTAGTCACCCAAACAGATCAGGCGAGGACCAGAGATTGGCTCTGTGGTGTTTGTAATTGCGGCATCGTCGAACGCCGTTGCGGCGGTAGTGCGGAGAAGCGCCAACGCCCTGCAGATCTCATGCTGGGGAATATGGTATGACGTTCAGCCAGTGAGGATTTGCAGCGCCAAAGTAACGCCACGAGGCGCTGATCCGAGTACCTTGACGAGATGGTTTGATGAGAAATCATTTCACCATGTCTTCGTTCTTGGAAGCAGCATCTGTCTGATTGCTATGAAGTTCAAACGCTGTGGACACATCCCAAGATCAAGACAAGGAACCAAAGACTTGTCCCAAGAGTCTTGCGATGGTCGCCGCTGTGCTTAGTGTAAGCTTAAGAACGCCTCTTATGCTTGGTGGAGTGGCGTTTGGAGCTGCGGTTCTTGCGGTACTTTTCGGCAAGCTCCAGATTGGGAAGGGCGTCGAGACTGTCACCTTGACATTTGAAAAACCGCTCTGCCTCGATACAACAATGCGATGCGAGTATACGAGGGCCTGAGTGGAGCTGCTGAAGCCACTCACCAGTTCACAAGGGCGCGATATGGCTTGGGGAAGGAAGAGCTCCGGCCGACCCAGTAAATCTTGTGTCAAATCCCAAGCTGTTCTTCTGCTCGCGGGTGCTCCATGATTTCATGACGGAGCTGAGTCGACAGTGCTGGATTTGTTGGCGAACGAGCGGGTGTTGTGGGAGGAGAGGCAAGAATATTGCTCAGCTCAGCGTTCCTCTCGGCCGAGCCAATGCCATCCCGGCCGTAGACGACGTCCGCACTTCACTTGCTGACAATCATCATGGCCGGCCGATGCCTTCGCGCGATGCACATAAGCCGTGAGGGCCTTCCGGCTCCGGTATAGCGACTCTTCGGCGATACAGAATGGCCCAGCCAGCTGTTTCAAGCAGTCAGTATAGACTTCACTGATATATCAAGGTAGGCCTGTTTGAGACAACAACCGCAGCTGACAGCAGAGTCCACCACGAACCTCCTCGCACCACCCTAGACGGACTCGAGCCTACCTCGTAACATGGAAGGCCACATGCCCACTTCACAAGCAGACGCCAGCCCCGAGCTCCTGGAAGAGTACAAGCAATGGCTCGCTCTCGGCGAAGGAGGAATCGCATACAACTGGGAAGGCTTCATGATCTGCAAGCACTTCGAGAAGACCGTGGCACGAGACGATACCACCGATCCCTCACTCTACGACTCTACTGAAGTGCACGCACCAGGCTGGGACGAGGCAACGGAGGCACAGCGCAAAGCAACACAAGCCTCGTTCTTATCACTACCTCTACCCGAACGAGACTCTCCACGAGCAAGAGCAAAGCCATTCATATTCCCACAACGCGAGAGAAATGAGAAAGAGCCGCAAGATGAAGAGATTAGAAATGCATACCAATTCGCTGTCTCTCGCCTCAGCGAAGTCAACGACGACCTACATTGGAAGACGTCTGTCCTCGAAAGACACGGACCTGCACTCTTTCTGCAAGACAGTCTCCTTCCCGCAACTCCCTTGGCAAAACCCACACAAGGGGAGATATGCCACGTTCACAGATCGGACCTATCGGCTCATGTGACGTTGAGCTTTCCAGATGCAAAAGAGGTGTTGCAAAAAGGCTGGGGAGAAAGACACAGACTCAGTGGGACTGAAAGGTTGCATTTGGGGTACACGATGCTTTACGTGCCGAGAAGCGTGCAAGAGGTGGAGGTATTGGCGAGCATACTACAGGCTGGGATTGACTACATGAAGAGCAACAAGCATGAGTGAACATGTTCCAAGCAGCAATACTTCATTGGATATATGGCAGAGCGAATATCACTGAATCAAAATCTCCACAACCAGGCTCCAATCTGAGCACGCGCCACTCAAAACCTCTCTTGTTTGGGACGCCGCTGCGCACCGAGCGTCTAGCCCTCTCCTCTACCTCGTCTGGATAGCACCTGGGGCTACAGGTCCAGTTGGGCCACCATAGAAGGAGAAGCCCGGGCAGGCAGCCAAAGCACTCTGGTTAACACTTCCAATGCTCTGACAGTTCAGAGGTCCAGTAACAGCGTTAAGTGTAGCGAATAGTGGCGCGACCCTGGAGTCAGAAGCCGGCAGACCCGTAAGAAGAGGAATCTGAGCCTTGGTGAACTCGCTTGCGAAGCAGATTGGGTTGGCAGCGACTTGTTGGGCAGTGTACGCGCCACCAGAGAGCTGGGCGGGATCGAGAGGCGAGAAGCTGTTCACTCTACCCTTGTTGCAGCCGACGACAAGGAGTTCGGGGACGGTCTGGGCGAAGTACTGGATGTCGCTCTGGAAGTACGGAACAGAGTACTCATCGGACGGGTTGCGCTTGTACCAGTTGTCTGTGGTTGCCTGTGTCAGCAAGAAGTCGGAGCAGCAGTATATGTCTGCGAGGTCCACTTACTGGGAATGCGCTCGTTGCCTGGAACCCATCGCAGGTTGTTATCAGGACCTTGGATGGACATGAAGCTCTTCAACACCTCTCTGTTCAGCACGCCAGAGGGGAATTCAGCCGACTTGTTGCCCATGAAGCGGTAGATGAAAGTGAAAGCGGCCTGAGAGACAGCGATGCCACCGAAGGGCAAATCTGATGGAAGGTCAGCCAATGGACGATGAGTGGACGCGATGTGTCCTCACAAGCGAAGTATGGGTTCTTCTGGATCGATTCCGCATAGCGCTCTTTGCGGAATGCGCGAAGAACCTCCAAATTGTAGTTGGCGCTCGCACCGCTTTGGCGGTTGTACAGATTCCTGAACTGAGATACGATGAGTTCGCCGTTGCTACCGTACTGGTTGAGATCGGCTCTGCATGGGGACGAGTCTGTCTCGTAGTTCTAGAGCTTGGTCAGTCTCGCTGATGGGATGAGGTCGCTCTTGGGAACGTACGTTGTGGCTTCCACTGATTCCAGTTCTTGGACGGCCGCCAATAGACCAGTGGGTTCCGTTGCCATCAACGATAGCACCGTATCTCGCGAGGAAGCCGCCGAGATCAGGCGCCATGCCGAACACTCGTCGCGTGCCCTCGGAGAACTGCTGAATAGATGCGATTCCTGTCGAACTCTGTTAGACTGGACGAATGCTCGTAGTCGGACATTACTCACCATTGCGCGGAAGATATCCGCTGAAAGGTGGCACACCAGGTCAGCACAAGTCTCAAGTAGAGTCACTAATCGACACTCGTGGTCGACCGAGCAGAGAAGCGCGATGCTTTTGGGTCGCACTTACTGATTGGCCATTGCTACGAGAAGGGTCAGCTTGATCTCGCAAACCATGTTCGCTGCGTCTTACCATTCAGTCCCGGACATGGTCCTCGCTGATCGCCACTGCCTGGCGCAATAAATCGATTGGCCCCCGTGTTTGGCACGCGCTGCTGCTCGGCATTGAATGGAGGAGGAACCAAAGGCAAGGCGCCAACACCCTGGGGAGCAGCTCGGTTCTGCCTTGCATCGATACCACGAGCGTGAAACTCCTTGAAAGCGTCCGCAGTCAAAGGGCTCAACAAGTCATCCATGTTTGGGACAGCTGCCGACATGGCAGTGCCTGCCAAGAGGCTTGTGAGAAGAGTGAACTTCATGCTGGCGATACTGCCAACGACCTGGTCAAGAAATTGTGCTTGAGGGTTCAATGAACGTCGAAAGTGGTTGACAGAGGAAGGACGAGACTCATATAGCGCCGCGAGCGCTCAGCATGCCCTTTTGCGATCGTCGTATCAACTATGCTTTCGCGCTCATCAATAGTACCTTCACCAGCTCGGCCTACCGCATTCGCGTTGCGTATCACAGTTCTCTTGTGTACTTAGCGCAGCCGACCAATCACTGCATTAGTGATTTGCTCTCGCTACTGACCAAGCCCGAACATCGAAGCTCCAGACACGCAGACACGTGTCAGCGGCGTGTGAAAAGGCTTCGAGATGTTAGGAGGGGCGCAAATAAGGCGCGGAATATCCCTGCTGGCCGCGAAAACCTGATGGAATGGCTTCAGAGACTGCGGAGGTGGCTGTTCTGGCTGGATTCCTGGCTGTGATTACTACTCACAATTGGAGAAGAGCTGGAGAGTACCGCCTTGTGAGTTTCTTGTTCTAGGCCAAGCACACGCCAAACTGGAGATTCTAGACGGGCGAGGCGGGATTGCTGCAGAGGACGGCATGGCTTCAACGGAACTTGCCATCGAGAGGTGCCCCGCTGTCAAGCCTTTCCACGTTTTTCGGGGAGCCTCAAGCCATGATCGTCAATCCTTTCTGTCACTGCGGATATGCTGCAAGAAGTTATTGCGGAAAGGTCGTTGATATGAAGGTCCACGAATGTAGGTATGAGGAAGAGAGGTCGTTTTTGTTGTCACGACAGACTTTTGAGATCGCATGACAACAGTCGCGACTCCTCCATTAGCGTGGTCGAGGACACCGTCTTACGAAACGCCCAATCACCGACGTGCGGGTGCAGCCACGCTAAAACATAGTCGCTGTGGCTCATGCAAAAGCATCTTCAGGGCTTCAGATCTCTGACTGCTCCAGCGGCGGCCGCATAGTCGTACAGATCGAGACAGAAGCGAGTGTCGCGTCAGCTGCCACAACGATCACGATCCTGTCGAGCGGTCTTCTTGGAGGTAAAGAAGCCGACCACGGGTGAGGGCGAAGTCTGGTGAAGTCGAGAGTCTCTTTCAAGGGGACAAGAACCACACGGACTGCCATGCATGTGGCGCGTGTCGATCTTTTATTGGCATTCTTATACCATGCCGAGTTGGTCCAGAAAGGGTGCTGGCTTCAGCGCGAAGCTCTGCGTATGGCCAAAGGCTGTTGTTGATGAGCCGAGGCGCCGACGACTCAATCATGCTACCGCAGATGCAATGGCGTGATCAGGAGACTTTTGAGAAAGTGTTTTCCGAGTCGGGAAGGTGAATGAGATGTTGAGCTGTGAGCGAGGTCTGTCGAGGATATGGTGGTGGTGTGGAGGAAACCAGAGAGCTGAATGAAGGAGGAGGAAGGAGCGATGGAGGATGTCGCTTGGCGTGTCTTGTTCTCACAGGCGGAGCCTCGCAACCAGCAGAGAGCCATCAACATCGACACCATGAAACTCCTCTCATGCTCATCACTGCAAGGCACCTGATTCTGACCGGGGGCGAGCTTCTGCGACTACGATTGTCGGAATCTGGCAATGGGGGCCTTGGGCTGAGTGTGAGAGCGAAGAGCCATCAATATCGACATCGTGGATTCCTCTACCCGCTAACTCTATGCATATGTCAGATCTCTGTCGTTATCCACGTAATATGTACAATGTTCTATCATGTTTGAGAACAAATGCCATGCCCTGCCATCGCCGACACATGCAGAATCCGACTGTGCCACCGACTGGATACTGTACAGCGTAAAATGCGAGCCCAGCTCCTCCCAACTCCACACGAACCAACAAGAATAGACAATAACTCCTCGCTAAAATGCAAGCGACATTGACGCTCGTCTACCACCAAGTGCCCCATGACCAATGGTGAAGCAAACCCACTGTTGTACTATCGCCTCCTTTGCGGGGAAGATGCAGCCTCATCCTCATCCTCGTCACTCCCTCCATCTTCCTCGTCAGTAGTACTTTCGTCCCATCCATCTGCTTCTAGACTTGCACTCCGTATCCCCCAACTCATCAAAACCCCAATGAAAGAAATCCCGCCAAAGATGCCGAAAGCCATAGCTTCGCCTTTAGGCCGTACATGTGTGGCGGCAGTGAACAAAGACCCACTAATGAAAGGTCCAAGCGCTCGTCCACCTGCACTTAAAGTCTGGGCCAGCCCGTTCAACGTCCCAAGCACGGCATGAGAAGGCGCGCTATTGGTGATCAGTAGAAGGGCACTCGTCAGGCCTCCCACAGCTGCGACAGTCTTGATGAGAAGCACAGCTCCCAATTCTACCCATAGCCAAATCTTCCCCGCTTGCGTGGGCTCATGCGTGCCGTCTTTGCCATCTTTGTATCCGACCCATGGCATGAGGACGAAAGCGAGCACGAATCCAGCCAGTCCGCAACGATAGGTGACTTTGTTTCCCACTTTCTCGCGAAGTGTGCCGAAAATGCCAACCTGGAAGACAATGGTGATGAGACCAGCGAATGCGAGACTGGTGCCAATTTCTTTGGGTACAAGATTGCGTCCTGTAGGCGGACGTCCCTCGGAGAAGATTGGATAGAGTGAGTTGAAGCTGACGTTGCTGAGCTGAAAGATGAGATACGAAGCAAGTAGCAGTATTGTATCACGGTTGAACACGTCTTTGCGATCCAGTTCTTCGTGGTTGCTGTGGAATAGCGTGGTGTTCTCGTCTTCTTCATTATCGTTATCATCGTCCTCGTCAATCTCGTCGTGATCGTCCTGGTTAGTGCTATCATTCTGTCGTATTGTACCATACGCGTGCCGTTCGGACCGCTTGGCTGATCGAGTCAAATATGTTGGCTTTGAAGAGCTGGTGAATTGCCATAGTCTGGCAAAGAGACTGCCAAACCTCTTGCTCAATGGTGGTAGCTCGTCCGCCGTGTCCAAAGACTCCTCGAGGAAGATCGCAGTCACGACGAAGTCTATGAGCAGAACACCGGCGGAAAACAGGTTCGGAAGCAAGAAAGGATACGGGTTCGGCTGGCCCGGTTTCAAGGGATGCTCTTTCATGACCAGTAGTCCTCCAATCAAGGGTCCAGTTATGCCTCCGATGCCGTATATCACTGGCAAGTACGTGAAGGCGCGACTTTGATTCGAGCGATCCGTGATCTCGCCCAGGCATGTACTGATGACGCCCTGATTCCCGTTCACCAACCCCATCAGTGCCTGGATGAGCACAGCATGCCATAATCGTCGAGAGAACCCAAATGCGACAAAGCAAACTGCCGTGAACAACGTCCCCGTCAAGACTATTGGTTTGCGCCCGATCCTGTCTGACAACCAACCCCACATGAAATTCGTCGCGAATTGCGCCAGAGCAAACGCAGATGCGATTAACCCCACGTACATGCCAATATCGGCAGGATCGACTTCGGGAAAGGTGGAAGCCATCTCAGGCAGATATGGCGAGATACTATTCAACGCCGTCTGCTCTGCCAGCGCTATTACCGCCAACACGGCGAGCTGACCCTTTGGAAGCGGGGTCTCATGTTCGGCATCGGACTCGTAGGAATCGTGTCTGTCGTTCGGAGGAGGAGGTTGTGCGGCGCCATTGCTCTTCATGTCTTTGGGCGGAGGTCGTCCAGCGTTCCGCGGAGGAGCAGTGGGAAAGGTGGAGTAGTGGAGGGTGGAGGATTGGCGATGGCGCAGACTGGGCTTTCGCGCTCTGCGGTCTTCAGGTGACGGCATGCTGCTTCGTTATCGCTGGGAGAACACCGGGCATATGAGCAAGAAGCAGCACTAATTGAGCTAGAGCAGGCTGCTGCTGGCTGGCTGGCTGGCTGGCTGGATCAACGAGGGTGGGCGGGATCGATCGCGTGCGGGCAACGGGCGAAGGACCAGTATCAAAATGTTGACTGCTTCGTTGTTCTGCGGCGGAACGTGTGCCTCGCCCTACGCGCGACACCGTGGTTGTAGAGGATACGAGAGTCTGCCAGAGAAACTTCACATGATTGCGCGCGCTTTGATAATGACGTAGAACTAAATCTCGGCGAAACGTTCCTCCTCTCAACTCATCTACCTCCACTCTCCTTCACCATCTCCAGGACACTAAATGTCTGACCATCCAGGCGCTTCTATCTACCTTCCTGAACTTGCTTCGACAACATCTCGTGGACTGCGATACTGATCAGGTGAGCTTTCTACGCGTGCTGCCAGCTATCCTGCGCAACAGCTGAGCTGGACTAGCGCTGCCCGGCACCTGCAGCTACAGAACATCCGCCAGCCTGATCTGCGCCGGAAGCAACTCCTGCTCCGCGCTCGAAGGTATTTGAGAAGGCTTCCAGGCCTGTATAAGAGCAGTGGGCGGGTAGGGCACCGGCTGAGATCTCACGACTCGCCTTCTGCATCTGCCTCCGTTTTACTGCCGGTCTCTCCGCGCTGGGTTGCGATGCTGTCCAGAGGTATGGTACGACTTTCTGGCCGCGTGCATCATCGCGCAGTCGTGCGCAATTGATTCGATTTCTGCTGTGCAATGGGTAATGCACCTGCCGACTGCAGCTTCGAGAGCAGACTGTCTGCAGAGTCGAATAGTTGCTCATCCATAGGAGCCCATACGGTCACGCAGCAGACAACGAATAGAGTCCCTGGTGGAGGCATGCCCCCAACTCTCGTTGATGTCGAGTGCTGTACGACCAAGGTCATCCATCAGCAACGGATCTGCGCCAGCTTCCAATAGCATTTGGACGAGCTTCGGCTGAGGGATTCGGCCCACAACGGCACCGCTCACGGCCTTGTGCAGGGCGCAGCCGTTGACACCCTCTGGAGACTGATCTGCCACTGGCACCAGGTTCACCGATGCTTGCAGCTCCAACAGGTGCTGCACCATATCGATCTCCTGGTACAATGCGGCTAGCGGCAGCAGGCTGGCTTCATCTATGATGCGCTGCAAAGATGGCCTCTCCGAGAACATTCGAGCGCTGGTCCAATATCCAGGATCGTTCATTGCCATCTCATAGTCTTCCATCACCGGCACTTTCGCCCGTGGGTTGATTTTCTGTAACAATATTGCCAGCACTTCAACATCACCTGTCCTTACGGCTGCGAGCAAACACGGTACACTGACCATTCGACCACTCGCCAGAAGGAGCTCTACAACTTCACGGCCATGGCCAAGATTGTTGGTCATGCCTCGAGGTCCTGTTGGCCAGCCATGTTTTATCAAGACTCGGTAAAATTTTAGCGGTCTCCGTTCTTCTTTGATAGTTAGAGTGTCCAAGCATGGCTCAATTCTGGCGCCCAGGTCGAACAGCAGTTGCAAAACGCTGGCGTCGTCTCTGGCCAAGGCAATTTGTAGCATGGCCTGCAGCGGAAAGGACTTCCCTTCAGCACGCAGCTGAGTACAGGCATGTCTCAAAGCCGTAACATTGCCGTCACGGATCAGATCCTGCCAGTCGTCGAGAGAATCGGGGCTTGCGCTTCGACTGTCTGCTTCCAAAGCCGTGTCGTTGTCTGACAGCCGACTGATGTCCATTCGCGCGACCTGAAAAGCGCAGCACGAGTTGACTAGAGGTTCATGGGTCGTGTAAGCTTTTTCTTCATATTAGCACCGACTTGAAGCGAAGTGGAGCGAGTGCGAGGGGCAGCTGTCAATGCGTGCGGTCTGCAGCACTGGGCATCTTAGTCGCCGGAATTTGGTATGGAGTACATACCACGGTGCAGAGGCTACACGCTCGCCCACGGCTTCTGTGCCGCGACGGCTCCCGTGCCGACTCCCTTCGCTTGCACAGCTTGCACAGGGCTACTGACAGGGTGTTAGACCATTTGCCATATTTGTGACTTGAAGACGGCACCGTGACCTTTCTGATAGCCGACTTGGGCCCTGGGGTCCTCAAATCCTCCAGAAACGGTCCGTTATTAGCTTCGGCATGCACGCTTCTCGGGCTACCAGAGTTTGCCTCATCAATCTTTTCGCCTATCGCTCACAGAAGAGACCTAGACTGAAAGCCAATCTTCAATGAGTAGGCCCAGAATGCGGCAGCCCTAAGTTAGCCTGACTAAAACGACAATGACGCAGATAACTTTTCCAGCTTCGAGCATGCAACCAGACAGTACTTGTGCGGATTCTCCCACGACATGGCCTTCTATGGCACGGCAAGCGCGTTCAACATTGCGAATATCACGCGAATACTTTCAAGTTCATCACTTCATCGCGGTGCGCTCTCGAGCCAACATACAGGTCTTCAAATAATGAATCCTGATCTCGGAAAAATGTTCCGATCAGTCCCGGACGAAACTCCGACCGGCAGACTTGCAGACTTTCATGTCCTCCCACTACATACAAACCGTCCAAGAAGCTGCTTTCGGCGCCAACCTCCTCCACCAGGACCACCACCAGTCCCAGTGCTTAGTCACGCTCGGCCGCGGAGAAGATGCATTCCTTTGGGCCGGGGATATGCGGTCGACCCTTCGGCTACCTTTAGCCGCGTATAACGCGCTTCACCTCCATCTTGGCTTGCTTGAACCGCGTAAACCACTATACGCGGCACTGATGAAAGTTGCACGACGGTGCATTAGTGTTCCACCGAGTCTACTGGGAAGCATAGTCATTGCTGCTTGCTTGGTGCGATTGGCTTAACAGTGAGAAATAGCATCGAGAGGTCAAATCAGAAATCAGAAATCCGTCCGCATGTATGCCGTTTAGGGTGAGCTGGACGAGGTACCTTGTAATCCCGCAACACACCGACAGTCTCCGGTCCACTGATCTCCGTGCACTTTGCATGAAAGTCCCCATCGAAGCAGGTGTGTTCACACATGGTACCAATTTATATTGTCACCCACACCCGGGTCAGTGCCCGGCTGGCTTACGGCTTGCCGACTACCTGCAGCGGCCGTAACAGAACAGTGCTATTTCCTACGTCAGAACGAATAGTACCATGGTTCGGAACGACTGTTGCGAGTCGCATATGCACACTGCACGTTGTTTCTCGGAGAACGCTGGAGATCACGAATTCGGATGCGAAACCCCCACGCGGAGCACTAAGTCGCGCTTCCATAACCATCTTGTGGGTACTGGTTGCTCGTGCGGTGTGCCGACTACGGTAAGCAGCATCTCAGCTGGCTGCACAGCCATGCATGCATCAAACCTCACCTTGTTGACGCGGGGACCTGGTTGTCCTGCGCCTCAGCTTGGCAGGACCCCATCTCCCTGCAGCGCAAGAGCCTTCGTAAAGCTGTTCGCTTGTGCGAATACGCATTTCCCAATTGAGCGGCCTCTATGTTCCATATCATACATGCAATTTTCATTCTCATAACTCCTGGCAACCAAAGTCGATCTCTTCAGTCCCTGCATACCACAATTCCCAGCCGACCCAATCTTCATTCACTCTTCACTTCCGCGCCCAGCGATACCTCCTCCCTGCTTCCCCAAAACCCGATCATAGCTCTCACCACTCCATCCACGTTCGACAACACCAAATCATGGCCTCCATTCAACCTCATGATTTCCACATTCTCTTGCCCCAGCGCCTCCGTGGCGTCCTGGGCAGTTTCCTCAGGAGTAATGATAACATCTTTCTTCCCCAACAAAACGAGAACTTTCCTTTCATCAAGTCCTAGTCTTCTGTTCGAAGAAGATGAAGAAGTTTCCCAAGACATCGACGAAGCCGAGACAGTAGATGAAGAGACCGATGAGACGGATCCTGTCGTAGAATGTTTCCTTCCATCTTCACTGCTCCCACTTGCACCGCTCACGATCCGAACACGATGATGTTCTTCACGCTGCTGCTTCTTCGCTCGATCCCTTTCTCGACCTTTAGCGCATCGCTCGCCGATAAGTCTCCAATCTGCCCAACCGTCATGGATAGGCGCGTATTTGATGCAGCTGATGAAAGCCGGGATGAAACCAGGATGCGTTTCAAGTTGCCATGCGACGGCCGTCGCGGGCGAAATGTTCGGCCTGTCATCGAAGATAGGGGACAAGCTGTCTTGGCCTGGTGCGTGAGGATCTATGGATTCGTCTTCATCGTGATCGTCGCCACCATCGTCTTCGCCGTAATGCCCTGTCGTTTCGGCGTGGACAGCAGCAGTGACTGAGATGCGACGTTTGGTAGAGTGGGGTACTTGTGTCCAGTCGAATTTCTTGAGATTCTGAATTTGGGATCGTGAATTGATGGGAGCTGGAGCATTTGGATCTTTTGGTTTTGGCGTGCTGACTCTGAGACGACGGCCGACGAAGTAGTTCACGACACTGTCGGGTAAGAGACTAGAGTAGAGGATCTTGCTGCTTAGACTCAGTCTCGTAGGCCGAAGGAGACCACCTGGAGCGATCAGGACAAGACTTTCAACCAGGTCGGGATAATGTGCTGTGAAGCCTGCTGCGATTCCGCCGCCGAGGCTGTACCCTATAAGGGTGAACCCTTCCGATGTCCAGGATAGATGAGAGCTCGAGATGACTGAGAGAATACATGTTGAGAAGAGATTGATGTCTTGGTGATAGTGGTTTGTATCGGGACAATCGGAATAGCCTCGTCCAGGAAGATCAAACAGCATCACTCTACAGCTCTTCTTCACGAGGTGGCCCGCCACACGTGAGAGGGAGATGCAAGGTGTGCTGATGCCATGCACAAAGAGGACTTTTCGACCGGTTTCTGGACCCCATTCGTAGACGCGTATGTTCCCATACGGGGTTGCGACATTTCGTCCTCTCGGTAGAGCATCGGGTGGGTAAGGTACCTGTTCATATTCTTCCGCGGTGAGCAGCTTGGTTGATGGGGCCTTCAGGACTTTCGGTCTCTTTGGAATCCCATCGGAACTTGCAATATTGTAAAGATTTATTGCGGCTCTTGCAGCAAGAAAAGTGACAGCCGGGATCGAAAGTGCAATGTACAAGTCCTTCCGTGAAAAGAAGTTCCGGCGACTGAGCAAAGGTTGAAGGTCCATTGTCGCGGAGATCGTAGGAAACAATAAACTTGATATGAAATATGAGGCCAAAGTCGAGTAGAGTAAGAGAATGTCTGTAGCAAAGATGTTTATTGATCGGACTTGTGATGAAAATGGGCCTCTCACGGCATGACAGCCGGCGTGCTCGCAAGATCGTGGTACAGGGTGGACTGCATGCTGTACTTATATCTGCTGGCGCAATGCTTCCCACGTGCTCTGCCGTGTCGAAGCGACTTTGTGGCAGTATGTTTTTCGAATGTCTAGCATGTGGGTGTCAGAATGGAACACGATGATGCGAGCGTAAAGAATCGGGGCCGAGCCTCTCGGCAAGGCGGAACGGCAGGGACTTTGCCTCTTCTGGCCAGGAACAGCATCTATGGAATGGAGCAGGTCAGACACTGTTTACAGTACATCCTTTGGCTCTCGTAAGACATTGTCAATAGTGCGAACAAGGACAGTACTGATGATTGTTAACGATAGTCTGATTCGAGTGGAGTATGTCCAGAACTACTTGCACAATCGGCATGGGTATCTTTCTTGCAATCGCTATCTTCCTTCAAACGCCTTGAACGGTCTTCGAACAAAAGGAATCGAAGCTGTGACATGGTCGGGTATCTCGCATTCATGTATAAAAGGGACAAGCTCAAGGTTCATCTGCATTCTGCAGGTACAGTACAGTGCGCTGCAAGGGCATCTCCAGTCGTGATGTCAATGCTGCGCCAATTTCTCGTCGTAAATGTCCGATCCAGGCACCCGTCAGCGCTTTGCAGCGCTAGCGGCTCGGTTATAGTGGCCTTCAACGAAGGATGGAGTGCTGCCACTCTCGAGGTATGGTGGACCTCGATCGAAGCCAATTGGATCGCTCCTCGCCAAATGTTCGAACAGGATTGGTGTGGTGTGGGAAAGTCTTTCGTGGCCTGGGCTTCGTGCAAATGGCCCGCTGTGCCGGATGGGTGCAGTGCATCAGCTCCTAGCTCGCGTGCTCCGGTGGCCTCCCAGAATCTGTAGTTGTATCTGTCGCACTCGAATGTCGTTCTGAAACAAGGCCATACGGCTTATCGACTTCAATTCCAGAGTCGCGATCGCCCTCACTTCCCTCAAAAGCTGATCGACCGACTCCGCGCCAAACATCGAGTAAACCCTTGGCATTTTCCATGCCGTCGTCAGGAGCACCGCTGAACTCGTCATCATCGACCACAATGTCTTGCGTGAGGTCCTCTTCGTCCTCTTCGCCAGTCAGAATGCGGCCTCCAAGCTTGATGTCAGATACTCGGACGTGATATTCCAAAGCCTTCTTGCCGTCACGGATCATCTCATCCGTTGCGTACATGCAGCGCTTCAGGCTCTGGTTCATCGCCTGGCTTTGAACTAGCAGCTCCCTGTGGCGTTCAAGGTCCACTTTCAACCGCTTCTCGTCTTTCGCCAGGCGCTCGCTCGATGCGCTGGGCGAACGTCCCCCGCTTCCAGAGACCAGGCTGTCCTCCTCGGAGTCACTCAGTTCTGCATCGTCCCACCCCGGTGGCATGCCGTCGATATCTTCATCCTCATCGAGCGTCTCCAAGTCACCTGATAAGCTCCTTGGTATGCTGTGCGTTGCCGAAGACAAGCGGCCGGCGCGCGACAGTCGTCGAAAGCGTTTCAGCTCCGCTTTTTGCCTACGCAGTTCACGCTCAAGACTTGCGTTGATCGCCAGTAACGAGCTATTTGATATTTCCAAATCCAGGACTTTGCGTTCCCGCCGTGCGTCAGCCGCCAGTTGGGTGATGGTTTTGGTAGGGCTCAGTGCCGCGTCCGTCGGAGAACCGACTGTCATCGGTGAAGCCAGAGAAGTATCAATCGAGGGAATGTTGACGGGTGGACTGGTCATCTGGGACGTCTCGTGCGAGAGCGGAGAGCTCGGAATAGTGTCGTCCAGCGCTGTGTACGATCGCCTTCGTACCTGGTCGGTACCAGAAGTCATTGACGACAAGCTTGATGACTTGCGGTGCGTCAAGGTTCTACTTGGTCGCCGTGTTTCTTGCATCTCTGGCCGCGCTATCAAGTCATGTACAGAGGGCGTGGTTCTCGGCTGCGGGCGCATGCCGAAAATTTGTGATGCACCTTTCCTGTAAGAAAGGTGGATGTTCTCCTTGCTAGGTGAGGGCGACCGAAGCGGACTGAGAGGCACTGTGGGAGGGAAGTACGACACGTTGGCGGACGATTGGTTGAAAGCAGGTGAGAGCATTGGAGGGCTTTTCACAGAATTCAGCTCCATCTTGGTCGGTCCTCCAGGACATCGCTTCTCTTCAGCAGCGGCGAGTCGCGGAGAGGTGGGCTTGATAGGAACCCTCGTGCCATCCTCATGTCCATCCGCATAGAAGAAGGTAGGTGGTTTCTTCGGTTCTGGCTTTTTCGCTACAGGTTCTTGTTTCTTCACATCGCTTGCGTGGAAGAAGCGGTTCTCGAAGCTGTCACTTGCGCCGGAATGTCCAATATCTGGCGACCGCGAAAGAGGCGGAGATCGCCCGACTTTGGGCTTTATCTCGCTCACAATACTATTCGGTCTGCTCGTTCGTGACCCGCTCGACACGCCCGCGCTCGATCCCACGCCTGATCCGCCGCCATAGCTCCTGTTCGTCAACGCATCTCCCGGTGCCAGCCCGGTGCGTGGTCTTGTGTCGCTGGGAGTATCGTCTATCGCTGGAGAACTACGCCCGCTGCTCACACCAATCCGTGACGTCCGCGTCGAAGATCGAGGCGTGACATTGCTAGCCCCTGATGTGTCTTTTGCCGGCGTCTCCTGTGGTCGTACTCGCGGCGATAGTAACGGCCCCCGCCCTGCTACTCGCGGCGCAGCTGGTTTGGTAGTGGAGGGAGTCGTGGACGTGACGCTGCCAGCAACGCGCGGAGTCAGTGGTGCCCGCGAGGCTCCCGTTCTGGTCGAGGCAAGGGTTGGCTTTAGAGGGCGATTATTGCGGTCGGTCGTCGACATGCTTCCGCCCACCACTGCCACATTTGTACACACAGCTGCACCGCTCCTCCGCGGTCTGCGATTTTGCAGCGTCTCACCGCCTGAGAGCTACTCCAGCGGGAGACCGGGTTGACATTGATTTGATTCGCCGATGTGTTTTCGGAAGACGAGGCGTGACTTTCTTTTGCGGTGGCTAACGATTCGCAGGGCCGCGGGCGCGCGGTATGATCGCCCCAGGATGGGAAGGAGGAGCGTTGCGCAAGCGATGGCCGTTCGGAGAGGGCTGCAGGCAACACTGGTTCGTGGGGCAGACGCTCAGAATAGTGTGCTCGTGCACGAAAGCAGTGGATACTGTAGTGTCGGTGCAGTGTCAACAACAGGGCCCGCTTACTGGCTGCCGAGACAACGATTACGCGCTACTTTATTATTCTTCCCAGATCTCACGCGTCCTTCAATGATGAGCCGCATCCAAACCCGCTTCCAAGCATGCCAGCATGGACGGCATGGACGATGATCCCGCCTCTGCACTAACAGTGGTAACCGTTCCAGAGGACTCACACGATCAGCCACCGACTTCGAGCGAACACACGAGTCTGAAATACCACCTACTTGGTCCATCCCTCACCAAATCTGGCCAGGATGGCGTGGATCAGAAGAAGGTGTCGGAGATCATCTACAACGCGAGCAAGGGATCCAAGTACTTCAACAATGAAGAGACCAAGGACAAGACGCTCACTGTCAAGATCAACAGCATCTTGGCCAAGAAACGCGAATTGGAGCGAGTAGAGGCGCAAGGCGGGTTGAAGAAGGAGCTGAAAAAGGCGGACGACTACATTGCGAAATTGGAGTATGAACGCGATCTCAGCCAGGCCATCGTGCACATAGACTGTGACGCTTTCTACGCTGCAGTGGAAGAGCTAGACAATCCCGAGTTGAAGAATGTGCCTTTCGCAGTTGGCAAAGGCGTGCTCACAACATGTAACTACGAGGCAAGAAAGTTTGGCTGTAGAAGCGGTATGGCAGGCTTCGTGGCCGACAAGCTATGTCCACAGCTCATTCATGTTCCTCTGAACTTTGAGAAATACACAGCGAAAGCGAAGGAAGTGCGTGCTGTTCTGGAGCAGTATGACCCACGATTCGAGAGCGCGTCGATCGACGAGGCATATCTGAATGTCACGGAATATTGCAAAGAACACAATATGGACCCCGAAGACGCTGTCAGTCAGATGCGACAGCAGGTTCATCAAGAGACGAAGATCACGATCTCAGCGGGCATTGCAGCTAACGCGAAATTGGCGAAGATATGCTCGAACAAGAACAAGCCGAATGGACAGTTCAAGCTGCCTTCAGAGAGGACCACTATTCTCAACTTCATGCGGGACCTTCCAACGCGGAAAGTGAACGGCATCGGACGTGTGTTGGAACGAGAGTTGGACGCGATCGGGATCAAGACATGCGGTGACATATACCCTCGGCGCCACTACATTAATCGATTGTTCGGTGAGAAGACGTTTGAGTTCTTGATGGGCGTGTATCTTGGTCTAGGGCGAACAGATGTTAGGCCGGCAGAAGAGCACGAGAGGAAGAGCGTGGGAACGGAAAGCACATTCCACGACATGTCGGATCCACAAGAGCTACGTGACAAACTCAGACATACCGCAGAATCCTTGGAGGAAGACCTACAACGGACCGAGTTCAAAGGCCGAACTCTGTGTTTGAAGATCAAACTGCACACTTACGAAGTCTTTACGCGGCAAGTACAGCCTCCTAAAGCAGTGTACACAGCGGATGACCTGTACAACTACAGTCTACCAATGCTGCAGAAGCTCGAAAAGGAGATGCCGGGTATGAAGCTGCGATTGATGGGGCTGCGGTGTACACATCTCGTGTCGATGAAGAAAGGCGACGTCGACTTTTTCGGGCGGGCGCGACAGGCTAATACGTTCAAAGCATCTGAGAACAACACCCCAGAAGTGGAGCTCGACGAGGACGGTTGGCAAAAGTGGCCGGACACTGAATTCGAGGACGCGGCTCGTGAGGAGCGTCAGCAGGAGATGCACGAATTAGAACAGCTCTCACAGGAGTACGAGAAGAACGCACTGAAAGACAAACCACCGGATGCGAGTGACGCGAAGACCTTCCTGCAATCCAAAGGCATCGGCGTGGGAAATGACTATACCCGCTACGGGAACGGCTTCGCCTGGCGTGCTCTTCTGGAGGATGAGGCAAAGAAGGAAGCAGAAGCAAGTCCGCCCAAGAAACCTATCGAGCAGTGGGACTGTCCGATTTGCTCGTTGCCCCAAGCTGCAGACGAGCGAAAGTTCAATGAGCATATTGACGGATGTCTTTCGAGGCAGACGATCAAGGAGATTGTGAAAGACCCTGCAAGCCCGAGCCGAGAGCCGGACAAGAAGCCATTGCATCCTTTGTTGCAGGCGAGCACCTCGAAGAAGAAGAGAGGGAGGCCGCCGGGCTTGGCGAAGGGTGAGAGTAGTGGTGAGAAGAGATCGAAGACTTCGTTTTTTGGCTGAACGTGGGGTGATGAATCGAATGACTTACGAGCAGCATGACTTACAGGATTACCGCTGGCGACGGTGAACAATAGTAGTACTTCCCAGGTGAGCGAGTGTCTAGGCTTCCAATTGCCTGTCTAGTGATACATGGCCGTACGACTGTGTACGTCCACATCCTTCGATCCACTCTGGCTCATGTTCCCTCCTCTTCAGCCTCTTTCTTGGCCTCGCCGCTCATCCTCAGCTCCGCCAACATCTCATTGACACTCTTTTTGGATGCTCTCTTGGGCTCCGGATCTGGCAGTCTCTCGATGCGCGGCGGCGGGAACTTCGTCTCATCCAACTCTTTGAACTTCACAACAGCCCATTTCTTACACAGTGCCTCGTTCCAGGATTCTATGGTGCGCTCCTTTTGCTGGACTTGACCATATTTGTCTATGTAGGACCATTTCTGATCGAGCATGCGGACGAGTGCATCACTGCGCGGCTCGAGAAATTCGAGGTGCGAGATCGTGTGATAGCCAATGAAGCTGAAGACGCGATCAGATTTGCCAGTGCGAGGGATCTGTTTGAAGATTGCAATAGGGACCTGATCTGGCTGGTATTGGTGGCTTTCTGCTTCTGGGAGTGAAGCCACTGGTTTTGCTGTCTCTGTCTTCTCTACAATTTCTGCTGTCGGTACTGGCTCCGCTGACTCTGTCGTTTCTGAATCTGCGTTCTTTGTTGTTTGTACTGTATCTGTCGTCTCATTTGCTCCTGTGTCTGAGGCCTTCCTAGACTCCACATAGCCTGGCAAGAGACGCAGACTCCTCTTGCAGAAGATGATCTTGTCACTGTCCCAGCGAGGGTTGGCGGGACCGTTGCTGTCATTGAAAAGGCAGACCCATGCTAACTTTCCGGGAGTTGCTGCGGAATCCTGCAAGCTTCCGCTGACATTGGACGCTCGATGAGGGGTCTCGCTGCCATTGGGTGGTGCGGGGTCGAAGTGGTCCTTGATCTCTTGGGCCGAGTAGAGGTCTCTGTTTTCTTCCGATTTGCGAGAGTCTTTGTGGGATGGCTGACGCCTACCAGGTGGAACGTACTTGCCAATCATATTGATGTCGCCAGTATGTACTGTTGAGTTCTGGCGCTGACGTGAATGTAAAAGTTGCAGTCGGAGCCAGGTCCTTCGTTAGCGTCTCAGACCTTCTCAGACCTGCAGGGACTAGTTAGTTAGGTAGGACATTCGCGTCGCGCTCTGGCTGGACGCGTCGTGTGTGTCGAGCTCTTTCCGCTCTTCACTCGTGACTGCCTGGCACCTTTTATTCTTGCCGCAACTGCGATGCCCACCTGTCGCACTTGACACACAAGACAACACAAGGGAGCACCTCGCCACCATGGCTGCGCCGAGGACGGCGCAGATACGCGCGCTCGCTCTCAAGCATCAACCTGACGAATTTCACCAATTGTTGCAAGAAGACGGCCGTTTCTGGATCGCCGCAGTCCTCGACATTGAGGAAGAATCATTTCTGTTCTTGAAAGCGCAACAGCGAACTAAGCTCCAGAAGGTACACAACGCCATTCACGCACGCTTTCCCGAAAACAACAACATCGTCCTCAAAGTGGGCGACAAAATGGTCCCGCCGAATGGAGTGGTTGGTGACCTTCCTCCTCCAAAAGAAGGGATTCTTGTCATTCACGCGGTTAAGGCTGAGGCCATGGATCCAGAGTCGGAACCCTTCGCGGCGTCTGAGCGTCCCAGCACAGATGTTCGTAGCTCGCAAGCCTCAGCGCCGCCGAGACCACCACTCCATCCGCTGGATCGCAACCTTAGTATGACACCCAAAGCGTCTCCACCAGTCAAGCCAGAACGACAAGATTGGCCAGGCGTTACAGGACGCATGCCACCCTCCCTTCCAGTGGCATCCCCTGTACCATCTGCATCGCCCGCTCCGCAGATCTCGTCGGAAAGCTCGGCGACTCCTCTATCAAATGGCGTGAGGGATGAGCACTCGACCACCGCTACTGCGGCCGACCCCACTCCCGACGCTGCTGCTGACGAAATCGAACCCGAATACAAGCCGCGAGAGCAGGAAAACCTTTTCGTCGACTCCCAAGATGCCGGTCCCGCGCAAGTTCCCGAACGCGGACGCTTTCTGGCCCAGCTTGCGATGGAAGAGACACCCGAACGTCTCGAAGCTGGCGTTCAGGCTGGCCTCAAAGTTCTCTCGGAACTTGAGGTACCACTCAAAGAGTTGGGCCCAAATGAGGATGCTCAGGCCTGGCTTACGCATATTGCCCGCGTACGAAAGGAGGCGGTACAGAACCGCACTGTTGTCGGAGTGGTGGGAAACACCGGTGCCGGAAAGTCATCCGTGATCAATGCGATGCTTGACGAAGAACGACTTGTGCCCACGAATTGTATGCGAGCATGTACAGCAGTCGTCACCGAGCTCTCATACAACCATTCCACCGACGAACGAGCCAAGTATCGGGCTGAGATTGAGTTTATCAAGCCTGAAGAGTGGCAGAAGGAGCTGAACGTCCTGTTTCAAGAGGCTTTCGTAAGTCATCCGACAAGTATTGCCCAAACCTAACTGACACGCTTGAACAGGACGAATCCGGGAAAGTGAGTGCAGAGGTCTCCAATCAAGATTCTGAAGCTGGTGTGGCGTACGCGAAGATCAGAGCTGTCTATTTCAAAAAGACTCGTGAGATGCTTGCCAGGAGCTCCATCAAGTCATTGATGGCAGACAAGAAAGTGCAATCTGTCTTGGGCACCACGCGCAAGATCGTCTCCCCTGATGTTAAATCATTCTACGAAAAATTGCAGCAAGTGATTGACTCCAAAGAGAAAGGTCAGGAGAAGCGGGACAAGAATGGTGAGTTAGCCCGGAATTTCATCACTTGGATAGATCATTGACACAAATCAGGCAACATCACCCACAATGTCAAGCGCGAGTTTGAACACTGGCCACTAATCAAGGTCGTCAAGATCTACGTGAAGTCGCCCGCGCTATCCACTGGCGCCGTCATTGTGGATTTGCCTGGTGTCCACGACAGCAACGCAGCTCGTGCTGCTGTTGCCGAAGGGTACATGAAGCAATGCACTGGCCTTTGGATAGTTGCTCCCATCACACGAGCAGTAGACGACAAAGCGGCCAAGAGCCTGCTTGGCGACACATTCAAGCGGCAACTAAAGTTTGACGGCACATACTCTGCAGTCACCTTTATCTGCTCCAAGACGGACGATATTTCTCGGACCGAGGCAATCGATAGTCTGCAGCTTGGCGACAGAATGGTCGAGCTCGATGACCAACTCAGTGACGTTGTCATTCGCCAACGTCAACTTCGCAAGGAGAAGAGGCAACTGGACGATGACGCCGAAGATCAGGACGCAGTACGCGAAGAGTTGGACGATGCTCTTGAGACCTGGGAGCAATTGCTTGAACAGGCCGACGCTGGGACAACAGTGTATGCACCAGATCAAAGCAAGAAGAGAAAGTCGACGAGTGCTTCTCCTCAAGCAAGAAAGCGACGTCGTCGCACTGTTGACTCCGACGATGAGGGCGAAACTGAGACTTTAGGTGAGCTGTTAAGCACCCTTGAGCAGGATGATACGAACGACACCGGCTCGATGCGAGAACCACTTACGACATCCGCCATTGAGCGCAAGATCGAAGAGTTGAAGCAGCTGAGGAAAGAAGCCCGCCGTGCAAAGACCGCCGCAAAATTGCAGAAGGACGAAATTGCCAATGAGTTGACTGAGCTCGACGAGAAGGCAGCTAGGCTTGAAGCAGACAAGAGTGCAATCTGCATTGCTGGGCGCAACGACTATTCGCGAGGTGCCATCCAACAGGACTTCGCTCAAGGCATTCGAGAGCTTGACATGGAGAACGCTGAAGAAGAGAATCCAGACGACTTCAATCCGGACGAAGACTTACGCGACTACGACGAGGTTGCTAGGACCCTGCCGGTGTTTTGCGTGAGCAGTCGTGCCTACCAGAAGTTATCAGGCCGCATGAAGAAAGACAGCCCGGTGCCTGGATTTACGCACATCGATCAAACTGAAGTCCCGCAACTCCAGGCGCACTGCAAAAAGCTTACTGTCAAGGGTCGTCAAGCGAACTGCCGGCGCTTCCTCAACTCGATGAAGCAGCTCTTGCTCTCGCTGGCGTTGTGGTCGTCTGACGATGGAACTGGCGTCAAGCTAACAACACAGCAGCAAAGTGTCGAGAAACAGTATCTTTCGCGGAAGCTCAAGGATCTGGAGAAGCATCTCGAGGGCGTCGTTGAAGATACGCTCAAAGATGCCGTGGAGACATTACACGAACAGTTGTTTGCGAAGCTCGACCCGGCCGTCCAAAGTGCGATTACAGAGGCAGAACCCAAAGCGCAGAGCTGGGGATTGCCGAAATCTGCAGGTGGTTTGCACTGGGGAACCTACAGGGCGACGGTCAGGCGCTCGGGAGTCTTCTCTGGGTCAGCTGGTCCACGCGACTTCAATGCCGACCTCACGGAACCTATTTGTGAGTCCTGCCACTCTGTTTTGCCAACCTGTACTGACCGTGAAATTAGATCGCCAACTTGCCACAACTTGGGAGAAGGTCTTCCAACGCCGCCTCCCAACCATCTTGCAAACTTTCAAGCGGCAAGCTACGAACGTCGTCAAGCAGTTCCATGGCGTTATGGAAGCTCGCACACGCGAGAGAGGCAGCGGAGCAGCCCGCTTGCAAATGCTCACTCAACAGCTTGACCAGTACTCGATCACTTTCGGAGACCTGTGCTCTACGGCAGTAACAAGCTTGAACGAAGGTCAGCGAGAGATCAACCGCGAATTCGTGCCTGCTATCTTGGCGGCCATGGAGCCAGCATACAACGCTGCCGCTGAGGAGCGTGGAACCGGATCGTTCATGCGTATGAAGGGTCAGGTAACCGGCCACATTCAGGCCAACAAACAGCAGATGTTCCAGTCTGCATCACAGCAAGTCCGCCAGAGTCTATTGAAGCTCTGCAAGACGATCAGAGAGTCAATGCTGCAGAAAGCCGACGAGATCTATCTTCACATGCACAGAGATTACACTTCTGTCATGAATGGTGTCAATGTGGGCGACATCAAACTGTCGCGCGAAGAGCGCGTCGCGAGGCGTGAGGTCGATCAGGTACTCACTGCAACTGACAAGCATTTCCGCGAAGCTTTGGACGGCGAACTGGAGACTCAATTCGACACTGAGAATGATCAGAGCAACACCAACAAAGACGCTGCTGACGATTTCATGGACTTCGATGACTTCGACGATGTCGAGAGCGATGAAGAGGAGGAAGATGAGGAGGGTCGCGGCCATGATTCTGAAGCTGCTTTGTCCGGTTCCGAGCAAATCGGGGGCGCTGAAGAGATGTCCAACGCCAGCGCCCTGAGCGAACAGCATGACGACGATGGAACGTTTGGCGGAGACGTCTAGCTGACAACTTCGCTTCCAGTACATCTGGCAGACGAGATGATGTTCCTTGCCGGATCCCTTTGCTGGGAGATGCAAAAGTGACGCATATTACGACTTCATGCTCTTCCATTCAAACTTCGACTTTTGCACATGCGATACTTTCACCGCTGCATTCGCTCGCTTTATCAGTGCTTACAGTAGTGCTAATTTGTACATGTAGTACAGAGATATAATTAATGCACATCGATCAGAGCACGCCTGGTCAGCTTGACATTCATGCTTTCAATTGCAACTACACCGCTCGAAGATGTGGTGTGCCGGTACATGCGAGATAGTCCCGATGCCTGAAAGTTCTTCACACGGTTTCTATGTCTCGTCCTGGAGGAATTCGCTCAGCCTAAATCATGCCGACGTTAGCAAGGTGAAGTTGAGATGCGACACTCCACTCGAGGAACACTACCCTAGTCCACATGCCGCTTGCCAAGGCCCTCCACAGGACCAAAATAGCAGCATCCAGATCTGAGTGACGAAGGATCTGCAGCCCTGTCTTAGACTTCGACATTGAAGCGACGCAGATTAATGAACACCATGCCGAGGACAGGTGGTGAACCGTAGCAAGTGGGAGGGTACCGGCGGATGTTAGAGGTCTCGACAGCATCAACAAGGCTCTCCCGCGCGAGACGAAGGACCTGCGCGTCGGACCATTGTGTGGTGCGGACGACAGTCGCAAAAGTGGTACCTCTCGCGGCAGATGTTCGCCCGGAATACGAGCGCCGCCTCGTGTTTGTCCTTTTTTAAACCGCCGCCAGCAGTATCCTCCAGGTCGGTCGATCGCCGCATGGCCCACCGCTGGTGTAGCGCCATGCTGGATCGCTGCCTTCTTCGGCACCACAGCATAATCACGGTAGGACATCCGCGACGGCGTGGTCTGGTTCATCCCATCATTCAGACGTCTAGCGGGCGCCAGGGTCCTCAATGTGGCACCCGTATCATCTCGAAGCTAAATGATGCTCCATCCTCGGTCCTCCAATGCCATGCGTGAGCATCTAGCCTGGCTCATGAACTTTACATGCATTCTCCAAGAAGCGGTATGACCTTGTGATGCAGCTGCCACCAGCCACGGCGTAGCACTGCTGAGCACTATCGCCATTGAGGCACGGAGAGGAATGACGTTCCTTCAGATCTTTTCTTGAACAGGGCCCGCACTTCCGACAAGCAATGAACGCACCACAGCCTTGCTTTCAGCGCTGGCGCATGGTTTAGACGACAGGTGCGATGCAGGCTGCAGATCCTGCACCTTATACAAATCGCAGGCTAGGGCATGACCTCACGGCCATAAGCTATCAAAGGCTCCAGGAACCACAAGGCAAGGATCCAGGCATTTCTGCCTGGCTTAACGCAAAAGACTACATGGACCAGAATTACCATGGATATGACGAGGAACGTCCACACATGAATCGACAATACCAGAGTCGCTCGTGTGAACCTCTGTGCACGAGTTCCGCGCAAGCTTCGCGTAACAGCGCTTGGCAATATGAGCAACAACAGATAATATCTTCCGGATACAGGCCACAGCAATGGCACGACGGCTCAGAAGGACCGGTGTCGCCGATAGTACTGACACCACAACCACATGTACGCCCGTTTAGACAATTTCAACAGCAGATTGCACAACCTACACAACCAGCTCGCCAACGAGGACGACCAGAACCACTTTCAGGCATTCCTAGTCGGCAGCAATATGAGCAAAGAATGGGACCATCAGATCCCACGTTACTTTACCCCCAGATGAGTCCATATGATCCGGATGGCGTGTATGAGAACAGAGACGGGAGAATTTATGCACCTCGAGCTATTAGTCAACCAGTGACACCGAGCTTCCGGGGTCGTCGTGACTACGCAGAGGAACCAAATGAGATGCTGAATGGCTTCTCAAGGATGTCAGTCAGTCCTCAAACACAGAGATGGCGACCTTACAGCGCCATAAACACAACAGAAGCTCCCTTCACAGATGAAGAGGAGTTCCACCTCTTCGTGCAGGCCACGGCAGGCCTGGGACCAGCATCTCCCATGCGCGCCTCGCCAATTGTTGCAGCCAATGAAGAGGATCGAAGAAGACATACAATGCATTCACAGCCAGATCCTTCGCAGCTGGTCTCGCCTGTGCAGCAGACGCCAACCACAATGCTTGCGCTTCAGCATATGGCGCAAATGCCGCAGCAAGCTTTTACTTTGCCGCGACGTCCAGCTGATCAGCGGCCGGCTGTGCAACCAATACATGCTTCAGATGGAGGCCTCAATTTGTGGGCCGAGCCTGGGCGGCGAGATGCAAGTGAGGGTGATGTCAGCCCTGTGGAAGAAGAATTGCCAGGTTATGCTGAGAGCCAGGCTCAAGCACAAGCGGTGCAAGCGACAGAGGCGCGGAGAAGAGCACAGGAGCTGGCTCGGAGGTGGCATGCTGCTCATGGATAGGCTCTGACGTGGGAGTACGTATATGCGACTCCTGTGGCAGACCAGTGGAAACTGTACACACTGTAAGGAGATGGTGGAAGGCGTCGCTCCAGGACAAGGCGACGAGAGCATCAGGAAGCGCATCGGAGTTGAAGTCAGAAAGAAAGAATTTCATTTGATACCCAGCATGGCATTCGTTTGGACACCGATGAGCATAGCATAGCATTCGTTTGGAAAGCTTCTTTGTACATAGCAGTTTCGATCAAGAAAAAGAACGTTGTCAGAGCAACGGGGAATCGAAAATCCTTGGCTCCGAACAAAGCCAAAACGCCAACCTCGTACGTCACGACTCGAAGAAAGAGCACAAGCGTGCAACATGGCAGCTCTCCTTGATTCAGCGTCATGCGCGCCAATAGGATCACTTCTTTGTAGGAATTGCTTTGGAGTGCGGCTGGCGGAAGAGTGCATTTCTTGATGAAGCTCTGTCTCCACCGTTTTCTTCAGCTGTATCGGATTCATGCTCAGCAGGCATAGGAACACGTCTGAAAATGGGGAAGCCGCGTGTCATATATTGGTAGGCGGACTTGTGCGATGGGATATTGAAGTTGACTGATGATTGAGATAGGTTTCGGACTGATCTTCGACTTCATGATTCTCCAGCATTGAAGGCGGCGCTAGATCTGAAGCCCGAAGTATTATACCCCATATGGTGCTGGGACAGGTAAGTCGTTCCAATGGCATGCAAGACCGATCTTGAAGCTTATTAGATATTTAGTCACTACGTCTATCGAGCCAGAGTTGGCGTCAACAGATGGCAATTCCTCATTGACTGCCAAAATGATGTCTCACAGAGCATCACGAAGCTCAACAAGAAGAGCAAACTATTTGTCCTCCGTGAGCCAGCTGTAACACTGTTGCCCAAGTTATTCAAGGCCTGGAAAATCACGCACTTGGTATTTGAGAAAGACACAGATGCTTATGCACGCGAACGAGACGAACAGGTAATGCACATGGCTGGCGAAGCTGGTGTCAAAGTCATCGTCAAAGTGGGCCGCACGCTCTATGATTCCGATGAAATCGTCAAGAACAATGGCGGCAAGCCTACGATGAGTATCACTCAACTCCAGCATGCGGGAGAGAAGATTGGCGATATCGAGAAGCCTGTTGACACGCCAACGAGTTTACCTGACCCTGGAGACATGAAGCTCGACATCGAGCAAACCGAGCCTGAAGCGGAACCTGACATCAATGCTAAGCATCGGGAGAAGGACGCTGTCACGTTCAGCTCAGGCATCGCAGGACCAAAGGGGGACTTCTCGCCACCTACGCTAGAGGAGCTAGGAATGCCAGCTGCAACATCCCCTCACAAAGGCGGAGAGAGCGTCGTCCTGGAGCGATTGGAAGAGATCTTCAAAGACGAGGACTACTGCGGGACGTTTCAGAAGCCCAAGACTTCACCGGCAGCTTTCGAGCCCCAGTCCACCTTTCTCACATCACCGTACTTGCACTTCGGAGCCCTTAGCTGTAGATTCTTCTACCACCGTGTAGCGGAAATCGTAGCGAAGCGTAGCAAAGAGAAGAAGCCAACATCATCGCCGCCAGAAAGTCTTGCAGGCCAACTACTCTTCCGCGACATGTACTTCGCCGCTCAAGCAGCTCTGGGCTGGCAATTCGGCCAAACTCTCGGAAACGACCACTGCCGCTTCATACCCTGGCATCTTCCTTCAAAAGTAGACATGGATTCCAAACGCATCACAGGCGAACACGAAATTGACGAAGAAGAGAAAGAAATATGGCTCCAACGCTGGACAAATGGCACAACAGGTTTCCCCTGGATCGACGCCATCATGCGGCAACTCAGACAAGAAGGCTGGATTCATCATCTCGCACGACACTCTGTCGCTTGCTTCCTCACTCGAGGAGGCTGCTATATCAGCTGGGAGCGTGGCCTCGAAGTCTTCGAAGAGCTTCTTATCGATCATGAATCTGCGTGCAATATTGGAAATTGGCAATGGCTTTCTTGCACTGCGTTCTTTGCGCAGTTCTATCGCTGTTATTCTCCTATTGCGTTCGGTAAGAAGTGGGATGATAATGGCGACTACATCCGGAAGTATGTGCCTGAGCTCGCAGATTTTCCAAAGAAGTTCATTTTTGAACCACACAAGGCTCCAATTCAAGACCAGAAGAAAGCTGGTGTCCGTATCGATGGCGACGGGTCCGAGACTGAAAAGGATGGGTTGAAACTCTACCCAAAACCAATTTTCGATTTCAACGAGCGGAGGGAGATCTGCATACAGGGAATGAAGAATGCATACCGCGTTGGACTCTATGGCAATGACCCGAAAGTTCTCGATGGATCGTGGAAGCAGATGTTTGATGATGATGCCGAGGGGCCAACGGAGGGGAAGAAAGGTGGTCCGGCGGGGCTGCAGTCGTGGGAGAGTGCAGATGGGACGGAACACGATCATGTGGATTTGAAGGCGCCAGCGACTCCGAAGGGCAGTGGGTCTGGGAAGAAGGGGAATGCGAGTGCTGCTTCGTCGCCGCAGGCGAAGACGAAGGCTAGTCCAAGAGGGCATAAGAGAGAGCCCAGTCAGACGAAGCTTGATGGGGCGTTCGAAAAGAAGAGTAAGAAGTGAGCGTAGGGCGAATCGCATTTGCGACCAGATTCCCGGATATGCTCTCTTATCAACCGGAAAACGAGGCCACGGGTTCAATCTTGAGAAGGGTTGTAAGGAGGACAGAACTCGGAGATGGGCTAAAGATAGCTCTGTTCATATCTGCGCCAATATACTGGGTTAGAATATTCACAATCCGACAACAACGCATGCCCAGAACCAGCGCCTTGCTCGAAAATGCCCAATACCGAAAGACCCACGTCCTCTACTCCTTGTTCAAAGCCTCCGTCTTCTCGATCCTCTCAGCAATAAGGCTGTTGAACTCCTTCCTCAACTCAAATGGCGCAACATGCCCCAATTTCTCATGAATCGAAGTCGTAATGCCTGACCCCTCTCCTCCGAAATCCTTAATCAACATTTCTGCGTGCACGAAACCCAACATTTTGTCCTGTTTTCCATGCAAGATAAGAATCCGCCTTCGATCGATTTCGTCGCCGATCTTCTTGAGCTGTGCAGGAGATTTATGATGGAAGCCAGCGGCATAGAGTTGACAGATAAAGCCGGTCGAAGTGAAAGCGTCTGGGTTGAGGCGTTTGCTTAGTTCTCCAGCGGCAAAGCGGTCGCCGTTTGTGGGGAAAGGCTGAACTACGTATTCAGTTTCGTCGGGTTTCGCGAGCCATTCTGTTGAGTAACAGTCGCCTTTCACTTTAGCAATCTGGTTGTCGAGCGATTTTGGGATGACGAGATTGATGCGGTTCTTGATGTTGTCAAGGAAAGGAATTGTTCGAACGACTCTTGGTGCTGTTGAGATGAGGTTCAGACTACAAATTCTTTGCGGGATGAGAGCAGACTGGTCGTGTTAGTTGATGCCAGGCCATGATGTGCGGTGGATCTTACAAGTTCTTGGGATATCATGCCGCCCATGCTGATGCCCACCACGTGTACGCTGCGGTCCTCAGTCCAGCCCACGTGGTCGAGCAATTCGATCACATCCCGCGCCATTTCAGATGTGGTGTAACGTAGAAGTGGCTTGTCGCTCTCACCCATACCTCTGTTGTCGAAGATGAGACATGAATACTTGTCGGCCTGGGTATGTCCGAAGTCCCTGGTCTGCCGTTGCCATGTCTGTTGCTCGTCAGTTCCTGACCTCACTGTTCCCTCGTATGCGTACAGAATCGCCGAATGCTGCCGACACTGGAGAGCACCTTTCCAGGATCTCGTCAAGTATCACGTACCTTCATGAAGCCTCCCAGCCCCATAATCCACTGCCAGAAACGTCAGTTCCTGCATAAGTACTAAGACGTGATTGATAAGGCTGCAGCTCAGGAACCTACGACAATCTTAGATGGGCCATGTCCATGGATCTCATAAGCGACCTTGAAAGGACCGCCTCTCCCCTTCGCCACATCGATCTTCTCCTTCCGATCAGGCTTCAAATCCCAGTGCGTGTGCGGGAACTCTGGATGCGCGAGCACTTCAGCAGCAGTAAGAGGAGGCGGACCGAGCCCTCCATGTGCCAACTCGTGTGGTTTCCGCGAATCTGCTGGTCTTCGAACTAAACCGTAAGTTTGTGCTTTCTCGTGCAAGACTTCAGCCCATGTAGGGTCCACGCTGACTGACGCCATATCTTCAGCGCAGAGAAGCTCTGGTGTTCTTCTGCGGAAGTTCTTTCCTGCGGGTGGTCTCGTTGTCCTCCCTCACTTATCGGGCGCCCACTCTCGGCGGTTGCGGTTGCTATCGGCTGATTGCTGTCTTATCGCGTAGCTGGCTAATCGGACAAACGTCTATGGTGATACAGCATGAAGATAAAGATTGCCTGCAGACGCGGAGAAGCTGGGATTGAGTAACTGAAATACTGTATAACTGCCGTGCTCTGGGATTCTTTTCTTGCATGTGAAAAGCCGAGTGAGGACCGTCCACACGCGCATGAGGTCACTTTGAGTTCAGCCTTGTCGTTCTCGGGTGCCGACCACTTTGAAGGAGCACGAGAAAAGCACCATCAAATATTGATTGGCGCCGCCCATAGGAAACTACCCACCCAATCTCTGCCATCGCCGCTACATCAACTCCTCAATTCTACATATTTGGAAGGCACATGAGTGCAGTCTGGTCGCGAAACGATAGCCAAGCAAAATGTAAGAAATTCAGTGAACGAGACAACTGCTCAGCAGCTCATCCAGGACCAAGAGCTTGATGCCTGAGTGTATATGCGCCAAAGAGGCGCAGCGCGGCCTTGGGAGGACGCCCGCCATTGAGTTCAGAAGCCTCACTTGACACATCTCGCACAGACGACGCATCTCATGAGAGCCATAGTCTGAGATGCGTATCGCAAAGATAGGTATCACTTGATCGATTTTCTCAATGCCTGAGCTATCCACTTCGACTCCACCTGCTCGTTCTCTCGCAATCCAAATCTCAAACGAGCCCAGAACCTTCTCCATACCATGGCATAGTGTACCCAGTCTATATCATGTCATCGACACAATCGCCACTTCAGCATACCAGGCAAAAACACAGCATCTTCACTCTCATGGAGCCAAGAAAGCCCTGCCCGCAAACAGTGACGTGGAACGCAATGTCCCGCGGTTCCGGGCAAATATCACCAACAATCATAGGAGGAAATACCAAGTGCAGAATTTGATCTTCGCACATGAAGTGTGCAGTCCATGGGCCCTGAGGGCGATCTCCGATCGAATATTTGGATCTAGTGGAGACAGAGTATTCCAGCAAGCCACTTCGATCGTTAATTTGATGAGTAAGTCAATCACACTTCGGCATTGTCGAATGCTCTTGGACAGATCGCTGAGGCACAACACTAGTCGATGTAATATCTCGCGACTCCGTCGGTGCTTGCCGCGACTGGCTCTTCCTCGTCAGTGGTCGCGGTGATCCAAACGAGTCGTGGGATGAAGTATTCGACTAGTGTCTGGAGAACTTCTTAAGCGACTTGTCTGCTCCGGATAGACGTATCTTTTCATTAAGTCGAGCGAACAAGAATCGGCCATTCGCATTCTCACCGCATGAACATGGCCCGTCCAGAGCAATACAATATCAAAGGACGCAAGGTTGGATGTGAGGAGGCGCTGAAGTTGAAAGGTTTGATAGGGTATCGAGTAAGTGAGTAGTGACTCGTTGGATCTGGCATACATCAATCAATCATGTGTGGTATCTCTCGCATCAAAAGCTTCTCGCTCCTCAGCCGCTCATAAGAGCCGACGCTGCACAACTTGCCATTCGTCTCATCTTCCCCATCCGAAGAAGCCTTTAAGGTACTCCTCATCTAGCCAATGTGCTGTCCTTGCTGGTGCGGGCGGATGGATCGCTGTACTATGCATCATGCCAGCCGGCTCGCTCAATCCAAGGAATTCCTGCACCTCCAGCCAATTCCTTATGACCCAGTATGCCGCCGCCCCTAGGATACCAGCTCCGCTGACGATCTGCAGCACGACAAAGCCGCGTTGTCTCAATTTTTGACCAAGAGCAAGAACTCCCAGAGGATCGCTTGGATCAAAAACGCTAATGTCGCCACCTAGTCGACCTCGCGACGCTCGATATCCTTCTTTTGTAGCAACAAGCGCTTGCTCATTCTTCTCGATGTCGCCCGCGGGCCACGCTGGAACGTTGCAAGTATACATGTGCTCATATTTACGTCGTTCGTTGTGCAAGCTCCGTTGAAGATCTTGGGCCCATTTCGCGAGCCGTACTTGACGGAAGGGTTCAGCAGGCTGCTGAGCTTGTGTTTGCTCGTTGTATCGCGCGAGCGCTTGTGTTGATGCACCGGTGCCCTGACCAAACTGCGCAGAGAAGTCTGAGATTGCAGGAGAGGCCGACCTATAATAGCTGGAAGATGAGTGAGGGACAAGCACTTTGCTAGGATCGTCGATCAGACTCGCAGCGCTGGTGACACGACTATGGAATCCGAGTGAGGGTGACTGCAATGCAGTCTGTCTCTGCAGATCAACGTGCTCTCCTAGATTTTGCTGTCGCCAAACAAGGAATTTGGATGCAGTTGTGTGACGCATGCGGGCAAGGCAGGTAGGCTCAAAGAGTCGGTCTACCAGCAGGCCCAGCTCGCTTGGCACCAACGGCCTAAGGTACTGAGACGACATCAGTATGCTAGCATCGACCTCTTCTGAATCATCTCCAGGAGCAGAAGAGACGCCAAGGGGTAGAACGGCCGGTGCTCCACTCGATGGAGATTCCGTGAGCTCGAATTGTGGTACTTGCAATCGGTCCAGTATCTCGCAGACTTCAGTCTTACGGGCGGCCAGCGCCTCAGCTGACAGTGTATCCGCTTGGCCAATGACAGGTATGAGATTCGTCCATTTGCCCAAGTACTGCAACAATTCTCCTTCTGCAGCGCTGACAGACGTTGACGAATCCTTTTGATCGCCTGAAGTGCTCGGCGCAAACAAGTAGATAGTCGCATCGATCTGAACTCCACCCTCTCCGCTTAGTAAGCTGATAATTTCGCTATCATTCATACTCTCCATTTGTGCTGTTCGTCGGAGCGAGATTTTGACATGGTTGAGAATTTGCTGGACTTGGTCCTCGTCTTGAAGCCCCGGTGTGTCAATGAACGTCAGGTTCCGCTCAAGCACGCCTTCGCCAATGCTTATTCTCCGGTGCAGCATGCTGCGCCTCTCCGAGTCTATCCACCACGAGGGATATGATCGCGTCGATGCGCCAATTTCATTGAACATGGTCGTAGGCATGTAATGTGAGCTTTCCGTTGCGAAGGATGATTGGGTGGGGATGCTAGGAAGGACCTGATCCATGTGTACAATATGTTCACTGGTTCTGAACAGGCTGTGGATGAAGCTCGTCTTGCCAACACGTTTCGGACCAACAACCATAATTTTCGCCCTTCCAATGCGTTTGCCTTGCTCGGTGAAAGGTCGTCGAACTGGCATGGATAGACTGGGCATGACAAGCTGTGGTGTTGGCTGACCGTGCTGGCTCTGCTCTTCATCTCCACTGGAAGAGCAGATGGCTTGGCTGCCTGTATCGTCAGCCACACTGATCTCTTCGTCGCTCAATCGAAACGATTTCGGAGATCCTGATCGAGGCGTGCTCGGAGACACTGCAGCTCGATGCGGACTGAGCTTAATAGGCGTCAGTGGAGCGCTCATATTTGCGGAGGTGCCAGAGTGCCTTCTAAAAAGCAGATGTTTGGAGGGATCGTGTAGTGCTGTGGGCGAAGCAACAGCAGAGCTTCCATCGGATATGATGCGCTTCCCAGTCGCAAGGATCGTGGGATGTACTCTGTTTCCTGACTTGCGTTTCTTGCCACGAGGAGGCGATGCTTCACTATGAGAGTTGGACGATTGCGTGCTGCTGTTGCTGATTGTCCTGGATAGACTGCCCTCGTTTATGGCCTCATCCAGGCTTTGCACGCCAAACGAGCTCTCCGCCATGCTGCCCACGGGTGTATCTTCTTGCTCGTCAGCAGACGACACACTGCGTGACTTCTTCCTCCCTCTCTGGCTGGCTTGTTCGAGCTCTTTCTCCGTCTTTAGGAAGAAGGTCGCCGGCCCCGCAGATCTGCCTTGTGGTGGCAATCTAGGACCCGCGCTCTTCTTCGCCTTCAAGTGTCCCGAATCAACGTTCTGTGTCGTATTCATGGCAGCTTGTTCGCGCTGTTCTGAGCATGGATGTGTATGTGATGTCCGACTACTCCTCGCCAGCCTTATCGCCTTGAGCTGTGGCGCCGATATTGGAGTCAAGCACGGGTAGCGACTGTGGTGGTGTTCAGGCTCGTTCTGCTGGTGGCAATTTTCTGTCACCCACTTCTGCAGCCACTTCAGATCTCAGCGTCGTGGTCGGGTAGGATTGCGGATGTTGTCGTCGTCGATTCCTACACGCCCGCTGCCGAGCTTCGTAGTCCAATCAAGCAACCAATGGTCACGCGCTGGCCGTCGTCATGGGGTGTGACAGGCACGCGCATGCACTTCCCTTCACAATCACCACCGTGTTTTCCCTGTGAACCGCGACAGCAAACCGTGTATTTTGCCAGATGTCGGTGAACGAGACATGCAGCTCGTGCCTCGGAGGTTGGTGTTGCTATCTATTGCGTTATCATCACCCCGGGATCCACTGCGGGGCAGGTGGAGGTGGAGGGAGACATGGAGACATGGAGGCAGAATCATCCGACGGACATCACCATCTCCCAAAACATCACACCTCATCATCACCATCGAGCCGCGACAGGCATTCCCCATCATCGACAGCTTCGTATGGGCTGAGAGACGAGTGCATGCCAGCTCCGTTCCAGCACCGAAGCCAAGTCATCCTGCCGACGCGTCTCTTCACTCACTTCCAACAGATGAAGACCTGTCGCCAGTCAGTGCATGTCCCGCTGCCATTAAGAGGGCGTGGAGCGGACCATACGGGCCATAGCATTCGTGCAATTCTCCTGCGGCTTGCGTCCGCTTCTTGACCATGCCACAGCACCTGCATATTGTTGACTTCGCACACGCAGGACTTTCTCGCCCTTTTGGAGGCGTTCCTCCTCCACGACTACACCCCGCAATGGTACAAGATACTGCTCGTGTCGTTGATTTCCGGCATTGCATTTCTCGCAAGTGGTCCAATTTTGTGCTTGGAAAGCTTCATAGCCCAAGTGCGATTCAAAATTCCGGAGAGCGTTAAGAACAAAACACTTGTTCGTTCTATCCGCATCATTGTATGCTGCGGGCACCTTTTCGGCATTCCCAGCCATTTCAAGGAGCGAGTATCTGCGGTCTGGCTGAATTCTCGGAAAGAATTTTCGGACCAACCGTGCAAAAGATCACTGGCTACGTTCTGGGTGAAGCTTCCCAACGTCGACCCTAGGAAAAGGATACAAGTCGGCTTCATGCTGCTTTGAGATTACCTTTTCCAGGCTAGGCCGTCCTCACAGGTGTCCCAAAGTCCGTGATAGCGGACATCGTTGGAGGAGTCCAGGTCGCGGAGTGTTCTGGCCAGCTCATTGTCATTGAAATCGAGCGCGTAACAGTTTACGCTGAGTCGGGCATCTTCCAATGCTTGAAGCAATATCCCATGCTTCCTGGCTACCACTGCCGAGCCCAAGCAGAATCGAGCCAGGCTCGATACTTCAAGCGATGACTTGACCATACTCCTCCAGAAGCGATATCTCAATCCCGTGAGGTAGTACGAAGGACGGTAAGTCACTGCCTCGAAAAGCTTCAGACCTTGCCCATCCATGATAGAAGAGTGGGTAGATCGCGATGGCCATCTTCGGCCTTGTCTCCAACCCCACTCGTATGTCGTCGGGAAAATTCAACGAATACCCAAGCGGCGAATATCCTTGGGCTTCGCCCTCATCTCTATTCTGCTCCAGTGAAATATTAATCACAGAAAGGGCAAATGTCACTCGCAGGGTCTTAGAGGTTGAGGATATTTGTGAGACTTGACTTGATGGAAGAGCGAAGCAATACCGTCTTCTTGCTTTGATTCACCTAAGGCACAGCAAGAGTATACGATGCCCCGTAATATTAGCAATTAATTTATGTCTTCACGTGACAGCGCGATCCGTGACGTCACGCCAACGCGCTCGACTTCTTAGAATGGTATGCCTGAACTCAAGTCAGCGACAATGAAATGTCGTTCAGGCGCAGGCATCGCACTCATCGCCGACCTGCTCGCCGGCCGCAATGGGTGTCACGGGCTTGTGGCAGATTGTGCAGCCGTGCGCCCGACCCATAAAGATCGAAACGCTCAACCGTAAACGCCTCGCCGTAGATGCCTCCATCTGGATCTACCAATTTCTCAAAGCCGTCCGGGACAAGGAAGGAAATGCGCTACGCAACTCGCACGTCGTCGGCTTCTTTCGCCGTATCTGCAAGCTCCTTTTCTTCGGCATCAAGCCCGTATTCGTGTTCGATGGCGGTGCCCCGGCGTTGAAGAGACAGACCATCCGTGCTCGCAAGAGCCGGCGGGAGGGCAGAAGAGAGGATGCAGTCAGGACAGCGGGCAAGTTGCTCGCGGTGCAGATGCAGAGAGCTGCAGAAGAAGAGGAAGAGCGGAGAAGGCGAGAGCAGCAACAGGGCTCCAACGCCCGGAATAGAAGTGGCGAGGAAGAGGAACAAGTACCGGATGAGGGACTGGTCTATGTGGATGAGCTACAAATGTCCGCACAGGAACGACAGCAAAATCGCAAATTTCGCAAGAAAGATGCGTACCATTTGCCCGATCTCGACGTGAGCATGAGCGAGATGGGTGGCGCCAATGATCCTCGTGTCATGTCTTTGGAAGAGTTGCAGGCATATGCAGCACAATTCAACACGGGCGAAGAGCTCGCCATTTACGATTTCAGCAAGATCGATTACGATAGCTCTTTCTTCATGAGCCTGCCTGCTTCGGATCGATACAATATCTTGAATGCGGCGAGGCTTAGGAGCAGGTTGAGAATGGGTCATTCCAAAGAACAGCTAGATGTGATGTTTCCTGACCGCATGGCCTTTAGCAGATTCCAAATCGAGCGAGTTGCTGAACGCAATGAACTCACGCAACGACTGATGCATCTCAACGAGAGTGGAGGCGCAGAGTGGGGCGGCGGAAGGGTGATGGGTGAGAAGGGGAGAGAGTACGTTCTGGTGAAGAATGATGGTGTCGAAGGCGGCTGGGCGCTTGGAGTCATTGATGATGAGGGCAAAGAGGAGAAACCGATCGATGTTGACGCTGCTCCGCCAATGAAACATGAGGACGATGAATGGGAAGATGATGTCGACTTTGAGGACGTTCCCGTGGAAGGGCTAAATAGACTTCCCCGAGCAAAGTCGGGCAACGAGGGGGCAATCGATGCTCTACAGCAACAAAGAAGATCCCTGTACCGATCGCGAGCTTCGAATGGGCGAACGAAAGATGTTCGAAGACCACCCCGGCGGAAAGAGCCGAGCAAGAAGGCCGCCGCGCACGATCCGGAATCACTATTTGTAGAGCGCAGTGACGATGAGGTAGAGGACGAAGAGTGGGAACAAGTGGATGTTGATGAAACACCTGCTGGGCAGGATAATCAGAATACCGACGACGAAGACTTGCGCGCAGCGATCGCGCTGTCGATGCAGAATGACCCGGCTGAGAGTGAGCCTGCAGAGCACGATGCGGCAGACACTGACATGCTTGACGCATTCCAACAGCATGCCACGGAAGAGGCAAGGCCAATTCCACGCGGGAGCGCGAGGGACATTGCTCACGTCTTGAACAAACGGGCACATAATACTGCTTCAGAGAGGCAAAAAGCGACATCTTTTAGCACGCCCGCACGACAGACAGAGAGTGATGACGAGAGTAGCGATGGAGACATTTTCGACCTTCAAGCTGCGTTGGCTGAAAGTGGCAGGACGAAACGAAAAACGAAACCAAATCAGCTGAGCACACAAAAGACGTCAAAACCTGTGGAGCCTTCAACAAAAAGCATCGCTCAAAAGGCCGGGTTTAGTGGTCCCTTACCTTTCGAGAAGCTGGATCTTGGAACGTCTCTCCTGGGCAAGAACAAGATGCAGCAGCGAACGGAAGACGCAGCGGGTGGCTTCGAAAATCCTGAACTCTCGGAAAAGAAGGAGAGGAAAGCCGAGCCCCTGCCCCCATGGTTCTCCGGGGACGTGGAAAAGGATCTGGCCGCACAGAGGCGAATCGAGCTCGAGGATGGTCAACGGGCCAAGCAGTTTGATCGGAACCGCTTTCAATTCCAAGAGCGTGATGACACACTTCGAAGGGCATATACAGACGAGGTTATCGACCTCGAAGCGGATGATGATCAGACCAATGGAAAGGAGGCCGTCATTGATCTTTCAGCGGAAGCGCCAAGCCCTGATGCTGGACAGATTGAGTCTCAGCAGGCCGTTGACAGTACAATGGAGGACTCAGGCATTTCACCAGGCCCTAAGGTGGCCATGGAGCCAGCACCGACTGCACCGTCGACTTCGACTTCGACGGGCAGGAACCACGGTAGCACTGCAAAAGGTCCTTTCACTGAGGATTCGGATGACGAAGAGGAACTGGAACAAGTTCCGAAGTCTCCTGCGAAGTCGATAAAGTCCTTTGCAGGGCACGACCAAACGCCTGCAGGGGATACCCCTCCCAAGCATGATGCTATGGAAGCAGATAGTCCTGGTTTCAACGTCGATCAACCCAACTCAGCACCTTCAATGACTGCAGTTTCAACGACACAGGCGCAGTATGATGAGCAGGATGAGATGACGGCGGGAAGTGGTGAAAGGGAAAATGCTGAGCAGAATGAGCCTGCTGCACAGACTTCAATTGATGATCAGGAGCAGAGTCTAAGATCAAGGTCGCCTTCAATGGAGTTTGAGGACGTCAACACGCAAGAACGAGTCCCTGCACCGGCGGCAGATACGAGTCTCGTAGACACTGGCAGTCCTGATGGCATTACCTTTGAAGATCTGCCAGGGGTAGACGAGGAACCGGAAGACAGTCACCATCTAGACAACGCCGCCGACTCCGCTGCAGTGGACGAAATGCCTGGGGATGATTTCGGTGATTTCTCAGATCCCGAAGATGCAGAGATCCTGCGAAACCTGACTATCGAGGCTGAGGAACATGCTCGCTTCGCCAGCGCACTCAACAACAAGCCACAGGCTCAGAACATCGCAGACTACGAAAATGAGCTCAAGAAGCTTCGCAACCAACAGAAGAAGGACCGTCGCGACGCAGATGAGGTCACGCAAACCATGGTCCAGGAATGCCAAGCACTGCTTGGTCTCTTCGGACTGCCTTATATTACTGCACCGATGGAAGCTGAAGCTCAATGCGCCGAGCTTGTGAGGCTCGGCCTCGTGGACGGCATCGTGACAGACGATTCAGATTGCTTTCTGTTTGGCGGAACGCGGATATACAAAAACATGTTCAATCAGGCCAAATTCGTGGAATGCTACCTGGCTTCGGACCTGGAGAAAGAGTTTGACCTGACACGGCAGAAACTCATTTCGGTAGCCAACTTGCTGGGTAGCGACTATACTGAAGGCTTGCCCGGTGTCGGTCCCGTCACGGCACTAGAAATAATCAGCGAGTTTCCCAATCTGGAAGAGTTCAGAGACTGGTGGACTGCTGTACAAATGAACCAAATTCCCAAATCTGAAGACGCGGCCAATCCATTCCGCAAAAAGTTCCGGCGAAATGCATCGAAGCTGTTCCTTCCTCACGGCTTTCCCGACAAGAGGGTAGAAATGGCGTATCTCGAACCTGAGGTTGATTCTGATCCTCAAGCTTTCCAATGGGGTGTCCCAGACTTGGAGAAGCTACGCTCGTTCTTGATGGCTACGATTGGCTGGACGCAGGAGAGGACAGACGAGGTCTTGGTCCCCGTGATCAGAGATATGAATCGGAGACTGGACGACGGCACACAGTCGAACATTACTGCGTTCTTTGCAGGTGGTGTTGGTGTAGGCGCCGCTGGTCCAAACAGCAACGGCGAGGCCTTTGCTCCTCGTAAGCGGGTTGAGCCTAGTAAGAGGATGGGCAGTGCGTTAACAAGAATGGCCGAAAGGGCAAAGCAGAAGCATGCTCCACGGACGCAAGAAGCTGACCAGGAGGAAGAAGTGGATGCTGATCACGCAACCACGTCCGCTCGCACGAAACGCAAGCCTGCCGCCGCGGCAGCAAACGGAACAGCGAGCGACACAGAAGGTAGCGAGTTTGATGGTCCAGCGACGAAAAAGCGAAAACGCAGACCAGCGGCCAAACGGCGCGGTAAGGCGAAGGTAGACACTTGATCACGCTCGGCGATGATCAAAAAAGAAGTACATAATCACATGTAGCATGAGCTGAATTGAAACAGCTTCGCTTATTGGACTCTGTGCAAGCGGTGGCTGTGATTTCATGCTACGAACGAGTACGTTCCCCTGTCTTCACGCGCTGGCGCAGACGCGATGATGCATCATCCTCGCTTGGGTTCGCATCCAAAACAGACGCTTCCCCAGCAGCATTGCCGGAATCTTGAGAGGAAGCTGCGTGCCTATTTGCCGCCTTCTTCGCCCCACGTTTGTAGTTTTGTATCGTGAATGAAAGCAAATGCGGAGGCTCAGCCCTGGCCTTCTCACTGTGTTCCTGTTTGTCCACGCTCTCATCTTGTTGCTTCTTCTCCTTCTTCAGGTCGTCGTCTGCACTGCCAAACAGCTCTGCCCATAGCTCAGCGAAGAAGCCCTTGGACGGTTTCGCTTCTCCTTCCTTTTCTTTCTCTTTGTCTTCAGTGGCTGCTTCGCCTGTGATTTCTTCACTGTATTGCCACATGTCTTTCAGCTCGCCACGGACTAGGCCGGTGCCCCACGTGCTGATGAGGACTCCAGGGACAAGGTAGAGAAGAGCCGGCTGTGCGTGTTGGAACACAGACATGAATACCAATGTGGCGACCATGCCAATAGCATACCCGATCATGGCGGCTGTGAAGTAGGGCTTGCTGAACCTAGTAGACAATGCAGCAGGAAGAGCTTTGTGAGCAGAGCCCATCGTCCACAGCCTCTCGCCCCAATTGCCAGTGACAGGGACGTACGGCACCTTCTCAACCTCGGTCTTGAGCGTGCACACATCGCCCTCACAATGCTGCTTCTGGACCTGCTTCTGTTTGCGCAGGTAGTGCATGAAGAGATCGTACCTCAGACAGAGACCTATGTATAGTCCAGGCAGAACAATGTCGCCAAGACCAAGCATACTGTAGCCCTCTTCTGGTCTCGGAAACAGCATTTTAATCGGCACGTCAAGATTTTTCGCGACCGTGACCATTAATGGAGTGCAGAAAACTGCCCATATGTCATAGCAAAACAGACCAGATAAGATCAAAGTGCCGGTCGCGAATGTCGTGGGTGACATGAGTTGCAGTGCCCCATAAGAGACGGCGAAACCTTGTAAATTCGTCAGCCACCATGTGCTTTCGAAGAAGAGGCTGTACAAAATGGCCGAGAAGCCAATGACTGCTGATATGGCATCATGTCGAGTAAGCACGACCTTGAAGTCGCATAGGCCTTTTGCGTAGCAGACGATCTGATAACGATGCTTGCTCAGTTGACGCAATGACCACGAGAAGTTGCTAAGTGCTTCAGGAAGCGGCAATCGGCCGAGGAGGCCAGGAAAGGGGCTGTCTCTGCTCAATGTTGAGCCTTGATCCAGCGAGAACACTTTCTGCTGTTCATCTGAAACCTTCCATAGCTTGCCCTGGTCCGAAAAATAATCGGGCATGAGAAAGGAAGCAATCATCGTCCACGAGTCGCTGATGAGTTTGGCAACACTGTACGTTCCGATTAAGCTGAAATATAGACCGAGGATCGTATTGATGATGTCGGCTCCGTATGTGTTGATCAGCCAGTACAGGCCTGCAAGGACCAAGCCTGCCATGAGGGGAAAAATGACGGCGTCTTTGGGCGTCAGACCCTCGATTTGCTGGACGTCCTCTTCATCGTCGTCTTCTTCATCGTCTTCTTGGGAGTCGGTTGTGCTGGTTTCGCTCTTACCAGCCTTGGCGGCTGAAGCTGGCCGAGAGAGCGAGGCGTGAGCACCAGTGTAGATGGCAAAGACGGCAGAGAGCAGAAGGTGTGCGTACATGGGCAGGAGCGGGCGGTTCCGATGCCAGTGACGAGCGACCGCTGCGAGCATCTCGCGCGTGTCGACGGCGGCCATATTGTGCAGCTCAGCGAAGTTGTTGTCGTGGAGGTGCTTGTGGCAACGTTGACGCTAGGTCGTTGCAAAAGTTCGCGTGTGTCGCGAGGCAGGCACGCGCCAACGACCCGCACATGCGTTCTGCAGCACCGTTCGCAGCTACAAAAAAACAAGATGACGTCGGCGGGTTTCGACAATGGAATGCCACATATGAGGTACATGTACTGTTGATCAAGAACCATATTCTCCTATCTCCCGTGCACAACATACTGCACCTCACAGCACCCATGCCAAAAGCTCAATCAACCACTCGCAAACGCACCACCCATCATGACCCTCTGGCAAAGCCCAACAAATCATCGACATCATCATCATCATCGTCACGCACCGGCCGCAACTCACACTTATACACAGACGACAACCCCAAAACCACAATCCATGGCACGGGCTTCAAAGACCGCGCAGCCGCAGAGCGCACCCTCAAACTCATCGAGCAGCGCTCTCTAATCTATCAATTCCAAACCGTCAACACAATGTTCAATCGAGCCAAACACCATCCGTCCATGAAAAAAGCCGCCTCCGGAAGTGCCAGCACAGCAGACATGCGAGCCGCAATGGACGTCTTCCGGAATTGGCTAGATGTTACGTACCCCGAAGCTCAAGCTTCTCTTAGAGCGGGAGGTTTCAAGCCTCTTTTGTCGAAGAAAGTCGTTGAGCGACATTTGTCACGGATTCAGGATAGTGATGTTATCAGTGAAAAGGCTAAACAGTTCGCGAAAGTTTACTGTGAATTGCCGAAAGGTAAGAAGCTTGGAAATGTGCTTGTTGATGATTCGAAACCTATGGAACCTGATTGGGAGAGGGCGCGGTATATGGAGTTGGATCAATTGGTGCCGCCTGGAGCTGGAAAGGAAGATGGGCAGGATGCGTGGAAGATTAGTGAGTTGTGGGTTGAAGATGGTGTGCTCTCTGATCAGCACTTACACCTGTTCGCGTGGGCCTGGAGCCCAGTGCCGGAGAAGAAACTTCCGTGAATGCGAAGAGTTGTTCAGGGAAGGAGCTCAGGCAAAAGGGACATGTCCGCCTTTCCTCGTATCGTATTTTACATCGATTTACTTCACGGACCCCAAGGTCACACGGAGCTCTTTCTGTACAGCAGGTCTCCGAGAGACAACAATATAGATATCACATCTTACGAGCCTCCCGCCTTCGGCTTCCCCTCCTCTTCCAACATCGTCTTGCGACTCTCCATCGTCAGATAAAGGTTCGTCGAAGCCGCAGACAGAGCAGATGTAATACCAGCTCCGAACCCTTGCAGCATAGCCACCAATTGTCCACGAAGTCCTTCCAATCCGCCTTCAATGCTGCCAACCCATCGAGCACCCTCCATATCAAAAGCCTTCCCTTCTACTCTCGCTCCAAGAAGCATGAGCTTCTGCAAGCCATTCTGCACCGCAGGTTCATAGTAGCTCGGATTGGTCCGTCGCTTTGGCGCAGGGAAGTCCGGAGACGGTGCCAGGATAGAAAGTGCTGCTTTCAAGTGCTGCGGCGAAACGGTGGGGAGTGTGAGGACAGCGAGTGGCCCCGAGAGTAGAGGTTCCAGCCCATGTTTCTTCTTCTGTGATTTTGCCGCCTTGTAGGCTTCTGATGACAGCCCAGACACAGTCTGTAGCTTCTGTGTATGCTCCAGTGCTTCAGCTGCGGCAGACTGCTGCGATTCGGCCTCGAATTGTGGAGTCCAGAACTCCACGACCTTGAGAGCAGAAGCAAAGATGCCGGTCTGGACGACCTGGAGCTTTGCGTCTGCTCCTACATTTCCAACGTTGCCATTCTTGGCCAACTCTTCATCCACCTTCCTCAGAGCAGCGGCGAGTTCCCTTCTGATGCCCATGAACTCAGTCGACTTGAGATTGTTGTGCTGGAATACGATCATGAGCGGCGACGCACGAAGCAGCGACTGATATTGGCGATGCAGTTGCGATTTGCGGAACTCGGGCGGTTTATGCGAGGGCGGCTGGGTCGACGGTCGTCGCATCACAGGTGGTGCTGCTGCATTGCGGAGGTCCGCCTCGATGGGTGCAGCAGGAGTCGTCGCGGCGGCGACAGAGGCGCGTCTGCATTGCCCGCACACATAGTTCTGCGCGGACTGATGAGCTGCAGATGGTGACCGCGACAGCTGTCGGGTGGAGATGGGTATTCGAGGAGGCATTGTGGATGTGGTGTTGTTCGAATGTCTTCACCAGCAGTCAAGAGCGGAAGTCGCGACCGACCGACCATTGAGTTCTTGGCAGAGCCTGGGGACCTGGGCCTGGTGCACAAACATACTTCAGAGTCACAGTCAGTCGACAAGTGTACAAACAGCACAGCAATCAACGATTGAACACAAGCATAGACGCACCTTGCCAGACGCTGCAATTCGCTCCGCACTCAATCGTGCTGCAAGAAAATGACTACCGACGTTACCGGCTTCGTGTCGATATCAGCGCTGCTGAAACGGCTGTCGACGCTGGAACAGGCCAGAAAGGTGTCTGCTGAAGAGATTGCCGCAGCAGTGGCACTTATCTTCACCAACAGTCTCTCACCTGTGCAGTTTGGCGTGTTGTTGTGGGCATTGCACACCACGAATCTCGATCATCAGGCCGAAGTTTTAGCAGCATGTGCGAGCTCTATGAGAGATGCCGCCGCTCAGGTTGACGAGCCGGCACTGACGGAGGTAATCAAACGACGAAGTCGACAGGAGGGAACATATCAAGGCGGATTGGTAAGTTCACTTAATACATTCGAGTGCACGCCATTGAGATACTAATCATGTTCATGGCTCAGTGCGACATTGTGGGCACGGGAGGCGATGGCCATAATACATTCAACGTGTCTACCACATCTTCCATTATTGCCTCGGCGCTGCTCATGATGGCCAAGCATGGCAACAACTCGTCCACATCTCTCTCCGGGTCTGCAGATTTGCTGCAACATGCTCCACGACCGCCCATCATCGCAGCGACGACTGCTACCAATCTGCCACGTATCTACGAGAAGACCAACTACGCATTCTTGTATGCCCGAGAATGGCACCCGGGTATGAAGCATGGAGCTGCCGTACGTCGAGAAGTGCCGGTCCGTACTGTATTCAACCTCCTCGGCCCACTTGCTAATCCCGTTCACGACACTGGCCTGATGGAGTGCCGAATACTGGGGGTGGCGCGGAAAGATATTGGGCCCAACTTCGCAGAGGCTTTGCGACTCAGTGGCTCGAAGAAGGCATTGATTGTCTGTGGCGACGAGAATCTCGACGAACTCTCATGCGCCGGTATTACTCACTGTTGGTATATCCACGAGGTGTCAGGCCAGGGTGAGGGAGTAAAGAGCACAGCGGAGATCACTTCCTTTGAATTGTCGCCCGAAGACTTTGGCCTGCCTCGACATCCGCTGGACGATGTGCATGGGGGCAAGGGCCCGGATGAGAACGCCGATATACTGATGCAGATCTTGCGTGGGCAGCGACCAGACGATGATCCCGTGCTTCATTTCGTGCTTCTCAACACGGCTGCTTTGATCACTCTGTCCGGGGTGTGCGACGCTGACAGCAGCGATATGGGACCAGGCGACGACGGCAAGGTTATCCAAGAACGAGGTCCCGGGGGTTTGCGCTGGAAAGAGGGCCTCCGACGGGCGAGATGGTGCGTCAAGAGCGGTGAAGCACTTCGACAGTGGGATGCTTTTGTGGACATCACGAACACGGTTCCTTCGTAGATTTGCGGAGCGGTGTGCAGCGGCGAATGTGAGAGTGCAATGCACCAAGATGGAAGAGGTTCTGCCACGGCGGCAGTTGGTCACGGCGGCAGGGTGGACTGCGGTGTGCCCTCGGTGCTCATTGGTAGCAGCGATGGTGAAATGCGAGCTGCACACACGACTCTAGCTCGTGAATGGATAGCCTCCGTAAAGTCAGTCCTTGATTTGCTCGGCTGCGAAGTATTCCGCAGGCAATTAGCACGGAGGTGGGAGATGGTGATGTGCAAGAGTGCGGCATCATCATACAGAGCCTTCCTCGCAGGCGTCACAGACGAAGTCGATGGAGTGCATGCGCATATCGCTGCCACACCGTCGGTGTGATGCGTGCTCATCCGAGTGTCGACGCTGTTGAGTGCATCGCGTCACGTCGCGTCGCTGTGGCCGCAGCTCAGCTCATCAATGGTGCGACTCGCGGACAGGTCGGTTTCATCACAGCAGGGGAATTGCTCAAAGCGGTTTAGCCACCCGATCCAACTTTAGACGCTCGCGTTGTTCCTGCAGCACGCGCGCGCAGGACAGGACAAGCTCGTCGTGCAGCCGTACCGAACCTGCCGCCACGACCGCATGCTGGCCGCCGTGCAGCAGCCTCCCTGGCCGATGCAGCTGGCAGCGGTGATGAGAGCGAGCATGTGTGAAGTGATGATGCCTGTCGGGGGTGATGAGACGGAGGGAGCGGCAATGCGATCGTCGCGTGCGCGTGCGCTCCCTGAAGAGGGCCAAGAGTGGAGCCCACCGGTGTTCGCGAAGAAGTCAAACAGCATCAGCATTGGCGGCGGCGATGTGGGCGCGTGAGGCAGCGTCGTCGACGAGGTGCACAGCGGACGCCGACAGCGCACTCGCGGTGGTGGCATCATGTCTGTCGGTCGTGCGTGTGCAGGCGAGCGTGTGCAGCGGTCGTTTGTCGATACGGTGGTGCCCAGGCCAGGCGATTGCCGTATGGTCCTAATTTACTCCTGGTCTAGTCGCCCTCACCCGTCTGGCGTCGTCCGTTGGTGTGTGTCGTTGTCGCGCGCATCCTCCTCCTCCTCCTCCTCCGCCTCTCTTCCCTCCTCCTCTTCTTGTCCATTGCTGCTGCTCCGCCCCGCTCCTCCGCGCCGGCATCGCGTGCTCTTCGTCGCCCTCGCTCCGCCCTGGACGGCCGCCGCTCGCTCCTGCCTCTGGCCGCCGAGCCCTTCCACTCGTTTGTCTGATCTCTGGCGTGTTTCAACACCCTGGCCCGCCTGTCTGTCTGTCGCACACAGCCCACCTGCTGTTGCTGCTACCACTGTCGCTTGCGCACACGCACCCACGCTCGCTTCCTTCTCTGCTCGACGACCGCGCGATTCGATTCCACCACCACCACTACCACCACCACCCGTCGCCTGGCGCGCACATGCTCAGCATCACGATCCCCTCGCCCTTGTCCCCACTGCTGAGGCCGGCCTTGCGCGCACACACACTACCACTACTCCGCTCGCTGTGCTGACCGGATGTCTGTTCCGCTCCCGGACCACTCCCTGAGCGGCCACTGTTCGGGAATCTACGAGAACACACTTTATGTGCTCAACAACGATGGCCGACTCCAATCACTTCCGCTTAAAGAGAACGCAACATGGACCGAAGAACAGCGCGCCGAGACAGTACGAAGCCCGGCTTGTGCACAGTCAGCAGGTCGGGATGCTGCGCTGTTCGTGATCGGAGGCAGCAGCCAGGACGATGAATACATGGGCTTGCAGAAGTACTCATTCAGCAGTGCGACATGGGAAAGCCTGTTTCCAGTTGTGAACAACCTGCAGAACCGAGTAAACCATAGTGTCGCCTATCTCGAGGACTCGGACTCCATTCTCGTATACGCTGGCTTGCAAGAGACCACGGGCTCCGATCTATCCTCACAGACCTTCCTGATCTCCGCCCAGCCGCCGTACAACATTCGTTCCTTTACTTCCAATGCCCCTCCTGCCAACAAGCCAGTTCTCACGGCCTGGAACAGCAGTCATGCGGTCATGGCCGGCGGTCAGACCTTGTCCAACCAGATCTGGCTGTTTGGACCTGATGGAGGCTGGACACAACATCCGACTGATCTTCCTGAACCGCTTCACCCTGCTTCTCGAGCCGCATTGATCGATGGTGACGATGGCAGCAAAGTATTGCAAGTGTATAATGTGCACACGTCGCCCAATACTGCCCAAGGACTAGTTCTCTTGAATGACGATGGCCAGCCCGCTCGCACCGGACAGCTTGTCGGTCGACCGCGGTCTTCAGGATCAGACTCAGAATCGCAAAACCAGAAAAGGGACCTGAGCTTATCCGATTGGCCTTCGTACAACGACACAAACGCTCCTACTGCCACCCGGACCGATTGCTCAATAGCCCAGGGGCCAAATGGAACGATTATCATGGCTGGAGGCAACGATGAGGAGCCTATCGTCATGTACAACCAGGAAGAGAATTCTTGGATCGACGTGAATCGATTCTTCGAATCAAAGCAGCAACAGATTCTCCGGCCCTCCTCTACGACTTCATCTACCACAACGCCGACATCAACGACCCAGTCAACAGCTACAGAGAGTTCTTCGGGCAGTGGTGCGGCCGGCACATTAGCACACGATCGCACGATGAAGACTCTTGGCATTACTCTGGGCACTCTCTGCGGTATCGCTGCTCTCTTTATTCTCATTCTCTTGTTCTTGAGGTGGAGGAGGCTGAAGCAAAAGAACAAGTATGGCGGCAATTTGCACGAAAAGCAGCGCGACGGGGCTGGAGATGGCATGGGCAACCGCCTGAGCTTTGCGGATCGAGGCGCTTCCTTCATGAAGGAAGCTGGAATGTCTACGCATGATTTATCCCCTCCGGACCGGACGAATCTTGAGCGCGCCAACGCCGGGTCGCACAGCTCTCTGGCGATTATTACCAACAAATGGGCTGGCAACAAAGGCAATCCGTACGGCCATGCACAGAAGGCGAGTTTCGAGAGCACTGCTCAACTTGTTAAGGACAGGGAGGGCAATGAAGTTGCCGCCGAAAATCACGAAATGATGGATATTGGGACGAAGAGGGCGCTGCCAAACTCGACTTTAGCTGTTCCTGGGGCAGTTGCTAATGGCACTGCTCTCGACAAGGATACGCGTATTGAACGAAAGCGGAGCTCTGGCTGGTCGAAATACTTCGCGACCAGCGCGCCAGAGGGACCTAATGGCTTATCGCATATCCCTTCAGCATACGTCAAGCCCACTTCAGTTGGCCGCGACGTTGATTCAGAGTATTCCATGGATGGGCGGCCTTCGACGGCGTCCAGGATACCGTCCTCCGCTCTCGTGCCGCCTCTCGACATTGACTTCACCAAGACCATGGACGGTCAACGCCTCTCTCACGTGGCTTCCAAATCGCCCGCGTTTATGGATTCTCGGGAAGACCTTGCGAGAACGGGGAGTGCTGGCGTTGCCTCAGATGGTCAGCAAGGGCAGATCGTGGATCCGCGCAGCTCGCAAGCAACGAGTATCAATTCATACGACAACCGCTCCACCATTAGCAGTAACGTTACGAGCGAGTACTTCCACGAGACACATACGCCGTGGACGCCGATGAATGGAGACGTTGCCGACCGCGGGCGTGCTACAAGTAGTGTGTACACCAACAGCGTTCGCGCGCCTTCCCGTGGCCGATCGACGGGCTTCTTTCCTGGCGCTGGGACAAGTTACAAACCTTCTACCAAAGTCAAGCTCAGTTCCACGGCTGGTCCGTCATCTGAGTGGGCTTCGCCGAGGGCTCCCGCGCTGTTCGCTAAGCCTGCTGAGGACCGTGATAGTACCGTAACAGTCTTTCCAGGAGCTCCAGCGGACGATACATCACGCGCGCATCCAGGTCTCGCAGACCTTCCCCCACCGCGAGCGCCGGGCCTGTCAAGTCGACCCGCAGAGGCACGCGATAGCACTGTGACAGTCTTCCCAGGGGCAGACTACCTCGACAGCCCTCCGCGAAAGCGAAATCCCCAAGCTACAGCTGGAGCGCAGCCAGAGTCTAGGCCGACCAATACAGATATGAGCTGGCTGAATCTTGGTCTCGGCAGTAAACGAGAGCCTTGAGACAGTTACCACCGCGCTCATTGAAACGAATTATTGTTCCCCAGCAACAGCTTTTACGTACAATTTGCTGCATGGCGGAGCGACGGCGCTGGTCAAGCCATCCGCCACTACAGACAGGATACCCACGGCCTTCGTCATCATGTCACAGCTACTAGATAGGACCACTCTGCAGCATCATTTTTGTCATGGGGGAACGAGAGATACCATAGTCGAGATTTGTCTTGCTTTTCCAACATGTGTTCAGAAAGTGTACATAGTCCATAATGTCTCACGGTGCAACGACACCCGCAATGTCAATCGGCATTGCCGTTAAGGAATACAGATCGAGCAAGTTCGAGACGCGCATATCACGAGCCATCAGCAACGGTCGTACCTTCTAGCTTCTAGCTTCGCACATGCAGAAGCTCACGAACAGGCATGTGCTGTGGCCAATCGGGATTTAGCTGATTACCTGCGGACCTTTTATGTACCCTGCACTACCTCGTTACTGCTCACAGCTTTACCACAACGCCTTTCACAAGACAACAAATTACCACTGACGGCTTCAGTTGTCAACGCAGCCAGCATGGTTCTCGCATGTCTCAAGAACGTGCTCTTTCCCGCAAAGAAAGACGGAGAATATCAACGCTTGCTTGATGCAGAACACGGCCCTCGACAACACTCCATCGACACCAATACCACCCTCGACGCTCTCAATGATGAGCAGAACGAGAAAAGCTCGCAATCATCCTTGTTCGCTTTCCACATTTCTCCCAGAGTGGTCTCCGATGCCACGATTGGTCTCTCAGACGGTTTGACGGTCAGCAACTTCCTCAACTGAACTTCGAACGAAGTAACTAACAATCGCCGCAGGTACCCTTCGCATTAACAGCCGGTCTATCAGCCCTGGGCACCACCGATCTCGTCATCTATGCCGGTTTCGCAGAGCTCGTTGCCGGGGCCATCTCCATGGGTCTTGGCGGGTACCTGGGTGCAAAAAGTGAAGCCGACGCGTATTTGACGACACTTCAGAAGACCAGGAACATTGTGGCTACCGATCCTCAAGCTGCTTGTGATATGGCTCGATCGACATTTCGCGAGTACAGCTTGTCTCACGACTCGATGGATGCTCTCATGAAGGATTTGCAGTCTGAGGGCAGATTGGTGGATTTCTTGATGGCGTTTCATCATGGGCTTGCTGAGGCCAACTTTCCATCGTCAAAAGCGTATACTGCAGGTTTGACAATCGCCGCTGGATATTTCCTTGGGGGTCTGGTGCCGCTGCTTCCGTATCTGTTCCTTGATCGCATCAGCGAGGCGTTCAGGTGCAGCGTCATCGTCGTGGGAGTTGCATTATTCGTGTTCGGTTGGCTGAAGACTTCGGTTCTTGGAGAGTGCAGTCGCTGGGTTTGTTTACAAAATGCTATTCAGGTAGGCATCTCTCAGATAACATTCTTGCGTCTTCATACTGACACTGTGCTCCAGATGCTCGTACTCGGAGCAATCGCCGCTGGCGCTGCAATGGGCTGCGTGAAGGCTATCGGAGGATGAAGCATGAACAAGCTCATGCAGTCTTTTCATGACGATTTTTGGAATGCGCTTGGAGCTTCACGTCCTCTACTATGATCCCCAGTATCCAACAATTGGCGAGGAAAAAGAGGATGCCAGCAAGCCAGAGACCAGGAACAAATGTGGAGTTGCCCAGGAATTCGAGCTGAAAGCCCTGCTGCAGCCAGAGGGCTTGACCCGCCACCCATAACAGCAATGCCGTGATCCCAGTCCGCGGCTCGCGTAGTAGCGATGATGAAGGAAGGTAGAATGGCAAGAATACCATGTACCATAGAAAGTACTGTTTGAGATCAGCTTACACTGTCTTGCAAAAAATTGATCTCAAAATTACCTGACTTGTGCACACTTTATTGAAGGTCACGAAGGCAAAAGTTTGTGCAAGCATAGTACTCGGCAAATCTGCCTTTGCCAGCAGCAGAGGAATCGCTACCACAGCGAGCACTAGTTGAGGCACGAAAGCCAATGATTCGATGTGGAAGCCAGAGTCTGCGGCTTGCGAAGAGCTCAAATGCAAGAGTGTATTGTAGACTGAGAAGTTATGTCTGTGGTCGATTCTGGTGAAGTGGTAGGTGAAGCTGTGCTCCACGAAAGGATATCCATATCTAATATCCTCAGCGACAAGATCATGCACAGAGGAACAAGGGAGGCTTACATGTAGAACATGACAATATTAGAGGCCATGAAAGTGATGAAACTGGAGCCTACGAGATAGACACGATCTCGATTGATCAGAGCTACAAGCTCGGATAAAGAAGTAGGCAGCGTGCTCCCAATTGGTGTGGAGGGGGCGCTGCCGAGCCACCAGAAGATGCTTGCTGCATAGATGAAAGGGTAGATCTTGAAGTGAACTGCAAAGCCCAAGAGAGCGCCTGCTAACACGATGTGTCTGCACAATACAGCCCACAGAGTGGCCACAACAAGCACTGCTAGCAGTCCTTCAGAGCTTCCTCGCGTGCTGATGTTGGCAACCATTGGGTTCAGCAGCCATATGCTAGCGAATTTGAGGGCGCGAGTGCTGGTCAGCCCCTGGCTCCGCAGGATGCGATAGGTGAAGAAGCCCGTGATGACATCTCCGGCTGCAAAAAGTGCTTTGCCAAATTCAAACCAGAGGCCAGACCAGGTGGTGGGCAGCAGCAGCCATGCTAACAGAGGCGTATAGCGATAGGTCGCGCGGTCATAGGGTGAGCGGCCACGAGCGACGTATCTGGCGGCGTCGGTGAAGACCAGGTAGTCAATATCGGTGTACTTGATGGCACGATTCGCGTCCTGCCAGCGGCCGTAGAGCAGCAGCACAACTCGCACGGCGATGGCCAGCGAGAAGACGACTGCCGGGCGCCAGAAGCCGGCGGAGGGAGCGGGGCGGCTGCTGCTTTGCATGCTTGGGGGTGGATTGTTGTGATACCAAGCCAGGCGAGGGCGCGACGACATTGCGGAGACGCGCCGGGCCCAAATCTTTTGTCGACGCCGCCCCCTCCAGCAACTCCGCTGCACCCAACATCGCCGCACACCACAATCATGACCGTGGCGTTTCCATACTCACGCTATGCCTGTCCGTGCAGCGACCTCGTCGGCGCTCCCACTGCCACGGCGGCGGAGGATGAGGGCGACGACGAGACTTTCAACCCGCACGCGCCACGCGCCGCCTACTCGCTGCACCCACTCGAGCAGCTACTATACTGCGACGAATGCAATGCACCGCGCTGTCTGCGGTGCTGCAGCGAGGAGATGATGTGCTGGTATTGCCCAAATTGCATGTTCGAGGTGCCCAGCAGCGGCGTCAAGGCCGATGGCAACAGGTAATGTGCGACACGGCGATCATGCGCTGCTGTTGACACTTGCCACAGGTGCGCACGACAATGCTACGACTGTCCCGTCTGCCACGCAAACCTCGCCGTCACTGTAGCTGACGCCTCCAAGAACCGCTCCGCCCAGCCGCATCTCAAGCCTGAGGACGCGGCGGCGGCGGCAAGCGAGTCATATTTCCTGCTCTGTCAGTACTGCCACTGGAGCTCGCTTGATATTGGTGTGCGCTTCAGTAAACCGACCAAAGTCACCGAACAATTGAGCAGGCTGTGGAAGTCGCGTATAGCTCAAAGCGCTGAGCAACACGATCAGCAGCCAGGTCCGCAACACGATGCCGCATTTGCCAGCTTGACTCGATTCTACAAGGACCAATTGAGTGAATCAAGCGACCAGGCGAACCTCTATTCCAACAGCCCGTACAGCTCTCCGGCGAATCTGGCTCGCATTATGAGTCTCTATGGGGGACTGTCACACAATTCGCTCAAGAAAAGCCGAGAGAAGCCCCAACCCATGCGAGAAGCTGGCAACCATGCAGAGGGCATTTCTACTTTCACAGCGGAAAGCGACAATGCAGACGACGAAGCGATTGACAGGATGAGGCGGCTCGGTCTCAAGAGCACCTCAACACAGTCCCAACGCCTACAGTCACCTTACAACTTCGATGCTCGACTCATGGAGCACACCTGGCCCGTTGCTACAAAACTCCGAGTTCGAAGGGGGAAACGATGCAGGACATGTCGACAGTTTCTCGTCCGCCCCGAGACGAAGCCGGATCGACTGCGATACAAGATTCGGTTACTTGCATCCCAGCATATCCCGCGACTACTGGCTAGACCTCTGTCATCTACAGGTCCGACACCGAACCCAGCCTTTCGAATACGCACTGAAGCCGTGGATGAGGTTAGGCTACAGCCCTATCAGACGCTCCAGTATGTTCTGACTGTACGCAATCCCATTTTCGAGACAGTGAAAATCTCGCTTGCGACTCCTGCCACAACTCCGGGTCGAATACAATCCAAGGTTACAATCCTGTGCCCTTCATTCAGCGTTGGACCTTCTGGAGACATGTGGGACGAGGCATTGTCTCACTCTACAACTAGTGAGGGTGGTAGACAGGCAGCCATGGCATCCCTAACAGGCGCAGCTGATGGCGACCGCCAGCCCGAAGCAGGCAAAATCTGGGAACGTACGCGAAACACAACGTCGGTAATATTGGAAGTTGTTCCCGGCGGGCTACAGCGACGTCCCAGTATCGTCTCCACCTCTGATGACGGCCAAGAAGGTGAACTGGCGGAGGACGAGGACATACTGGAGATACCAGTTTACATACGAGCCGAGTGGGAAGCAGATGCCAGCGGGCATGAAGCGTTGCATCATGAGGAAAAGGCCAAGCCTAGAGAGAGAGTGACCAAAGAGCTAGCATACTGGTGTGTGCTGGGACTGGGGAGGATAACGGTTAGCAGATGAAAGCTGACTGCGCGGCATGATTTCGATCTGCGAACAGTCAGGCTGCATGAAGCATGTGTAACATGTGACGACGACTCGGCAAAAGTACCGACATCGTGGAGTCGAGCGGACCGAACAGGACACTCCCATTAGCGTCTGGATTGCTCCGCCCAATTGCAGCGCGATAGCCTGGAAGCAGAGACAGATCGCAAACATTTGTTCTGCATGATGCGACATGTCACGGCACTCTGTCCAAGGTACCCCAGTCACGATCGGATCGACAGCTGTGAGTTCATGGGGTCTGTGCCTTGAGGTATGCACATTCAAGTTGCCTCACAGCAGCTATTCACGCCTTCGTAATGTGCAAGGCTTGCGAGAAAGTTTGCAGTTCTCAGACAGAAGCATGACAACCTCGATGCGCGGCGGCAGAGTCAATATCTCTCACTTTGGGAGCAGAGTCATTCAATTCACCAACCAGGACAATGTCAGCTCTCTTCCTTCGTTCAACATTCCCTTCTCTTTCACCTGTTGCAAGTGGCAAAGAACACTATTCCAGGCACGACTGCTGCACCGCTTTGAGTGAATGTTTCTTTTTTGGTCAGAATGCGCTAAATCTGTCTCTTTACAAAGTTGCTCAAGACAGCTCAATGATGTAGAAGCCGCGCAGATGCCACGAATCAGTCTGCATCTCGTAGGGTCTTGGTGTGTAAGGAGGTCTCACGTTCCGCAAGGTAATCCTGAAAGATATGGGATAAAGGCAAAGATAGAATGGAGTGACGAAGTTGAATAATGATCAACAGAACAGTTGTGTGCTGTATTTTGTTGGTGCGGCTCTGGCGCCGCAGATGTTGAGACAAGCAAACGTCTCAGGATTTGCCATCAATTGCCGCAATCACGTCGCATAGATCGTTCATCTGGGCAGGGTATTTAGTTTCACCGTCATCCGCCAGATGTGGAAAGACTCGCAGATGTTATAGACAGCATAGAAATGGAGGAGAAGTGCGATCTCAAACCAGCAAGACCCACCACGATAAAAGTGATTGCGTGGGCAGGATACGACGCAGTGGTTCGCTTCGCTCGCGCCTATTTTGCAAGCTCCGGCCACTGCCTCGACCACCATGCACGCACGCGCACCCCCTGTTCGTATTCCATCCCAACCCGCACTCTGGTCTGTTCCATTTGTTCATACATCCACTGCCTGACTCTCAAATGCGCAACTTCATCACCACCGCCTTGATCGCAGCATCGTGCTTTCCGCGGACGCACAAGCTCATTTAAGCCACTCCTTGGCGCTGCAGTGCGCTCGGCACGTGTGCCCTTCGGAAGATGCTCCTGACACGGCTCCCGAGAGCCACGAAAGCCATTGTCTTCGCGGCTGCTGTATTCGTCACTGTGCTTGCCGCTCTGCACCTCAATGGCCCGACATGGCGGACTTCACCTGGAACACAGCCATTTGCCTACGAGCCTGCCGACGGCCTGGTGAGCCATGATACCACAGGATCTGTGTCCGCCGCTCAACAACCGGCGGACCCCGTCGACAGCCCTCATCAACTTCCTTGCCAAGGATTAACAGGTGGCGACGATGTACTCGTGGTCATGCGAACTGGTGCGACCGAAGTGAAAGACAAACTACCAGTGCATCTCAACACGACATTTCAATGCTACAAGCATCTGGCCATCTTTTCCGACTACGCCGAAACATTTGAAGGCTATCAGATTCACGATGTCTTAGCAGATATTGCAGAAGACATCAAGACCACTCATGAAGACTTTTCACATTACCAGCATGTCCTGCAAGTGGGTCGCGAGAACCTCGCAACTGAAGAACTCTCTGGCAAAGTCAGCTTGGAAAGTGGTCCCGTTGGGAAGAATGATAATGCAGGATGGCGGCTTGACAAGTGAGCACTGCTCACCCACGCAATATATTGTGAACTCTATTGACTTGCTATGCAGATGGAAATTCCTCCCCATGCTCAACGCCACATACGAAATGTACCCCAACATGAACTGGTATGTTTTCGTAGAACCCGATACATACGTGGTATGGAGCAACATGTTGCAATGGCTCTCGACAATGGACCCCAGCAAACCAGCATATTTCGGCAGCGAGGTCATGATCGGAGATGACATCTTCGCCCACGGCGGTAGTGCATTCGTGCTTTCATCTGCCGCTCTGAAAATTGGCGCAGAGAGCTACAGGCAGCATACTCGAGATCTGTGGGATTACACTGGTGGTCACTGGGCCGGAGATTGTGTGCTAGGTGTGACACTACACGACGCAGGCGTCGATCTGACCTGGAGCTGGCCGATGTTCCAAGGTGGGTGCTTTCTGTATTCGTCTGTCACCAATACTGATTATCGTAGGCGGCAACCCATCTTTAATGGACTGGACAGAAGACAAAGGTGAAGACCGCAGACTCTGGTGCCTCCCAGCTCTCTCATACCATCATTTGAACCCCGACGAAAAGCGTCACCTCTTTGAGTTCGAACAAGATTGGATCAAAAAGCATCACCTGGGCTCCATCTGGAAAGACAGTTCGGAGCAGATTTTACATCACCGCGACCTCTACAAGACTTACGTCCGTCCACAGCTGGAGTCTGAAAAGCAAGACTGGAACAATTTTCCTGAAACGACCTTGACAGAGATGACATTCCATGAATGCCGTGAGCATTGCGAAAGGGATTCCACTTGTATACAGTATGCTGTCGATGCAGAAGGCCGCTGCGCAATTGGCACGCAGTTCCGACTAGGTCAAGCCCAAACTGGAGTCCACTCTGGCTGGATCGTGGAGCGCGTGGACATGTGGGCGGCCAACTTGGACGATTATTGCTCGGGAAAGAATTCGTGGACAGTGCCGTGAATGCTGTGCGCTGTCGACGCCGCCTGGTGGACAACCTCATTTGGCCATATTTGGAGTATATCAAGCATGTCCTCTCCTAGATTGGCAGGGAGACGAGTCTCAATGCCAGATTCATCTCGATAACAGCTCGGCTCATATGTCGGGCCTGAACACATATACATTGGAAATGCGGCAGTCGATCTGAGCGGCTTCAATGAGCACCTCATCGTGACTGGACCCCGCGATGACGAGGACGAATTGCCGCAGCTTGCCACGGGCACGTCAAGACGTGTTGGAGTCATTGCGAGGGAAACAGACACAAGGAAAAGTCATGGTGACATGAAAGCGCTGGGTCAGGTTTTGACGCATTCTATTTGCTGCGCTAGCTCACAACTCGATCAAGCTCTCTTCCTTCACCGGTAAAGCGTGCTGTGGCGCATTGGGCAGAGCTGTCAGCTGCTGCGGGGGTGGCATCGCTTGCTGATAGTAGTATTGCTGCGATGGCTGCGAGGGCTGCCGCTGCAATGGAGGCTGCGAAGGCTGCTCCGGCGGTTGTACTGGATGTGACGGATGTGGCTGCTGTTGCGGAGCTTGTGGGGGCTGTTGCTGATGGCCGTCACGATAGAAATTAGCCGCCGGGTCTCCTTGGAGATGTGTCGGGGCTGGTGCTTGTGGATGATGGCTATGTTGCTGCTGGGGGACATAGTGCTCGACAGGGGCGGCATTCTCGGGCTGACTTTGGTAAGGTTGGTCCGTGCGGTACAGACTCTCCGTAGCCTGCTGCTCGTAGGAAGGCACGCGCTGCCTATCAAACGAAGGATAGGGTGCTGACTGTGTTTGCGGCTCAGCGTATGCATTCCGTTGCGGCACGTGATGATATGAATCCATAGGCGGAGCATTACTACTGTAGTAATTTTCGGCGCCGTATTGCGTGTCCCCGCCGACAGGATTGAGCTGAGGATATTGAGAATACATTGCTGGCGCATGTGAGGAAGCGTGGTACCTGCTTGAATTGTACGCACTCGCCATTCTTTCTTCCAGCATGCGGTCGTAATAGCGAACCACGGTGGCGAGCTTTGAATGGAGATCCAGGAGTGTGTCATGCTTGCTCATGGTCTCGCCATACGTGCGCGCGAGCTTCGGACGCAGCGTACCGATACTTTCGTACAGCTCCTGTATTTGTGGTTCGCGAAGAATTGTGCCGGGAGGCTGATGCTGTAACCGGTCCACTAGCGTCGAAAATAGGTTGATGTTCTCAGCTTCGACTGGAGTGAGTTCGAATTGCGAATTCGCTCGATATTGTGACGGGCCAGGCCCTGACTGCGAAGCCGCTTGCTCTTTGAGCTCGCGTGCATGCCGTGTCTTTTGTGCTTCCATATCCTGCAAACTTGCAGCAATGGCTGCTTTGAGGTCCGCATCTTCTTCTTCGCTATCCGCTTGTGCCGTGTTGTGCTGTGCCTTGGTCGTCGTCTTGCTCGCTGCTGCTGACTGCGACTGCGGAACGTAACCCGCTCCCTTCTGCGTCTGACTCTCCTCCAAGCTCATTTCAAGTGCTCGTTTCAAATCGGCATCGAAACTATCATCAGTGACGCGGGCGCCTCGTGGCTGCATGCGTTCCCCCGCAGCGTATCCGTTCGGAGCTTCAGCAATGGTAGCGGAGCCCGCGCTGGATCCTTGCCACAATGTTCGTGGTGCAACATGCGGACTCTGTGGCATACCCCGGGCTTTCTCTACCAATTTTGCGTAGCAGCCGTCGTCCACGCGCACGGGCTGCACAATGCCCAAATGAGGCAGTGGGAGACTCTTGCTCGAGCAAGTGCCACAGAAGACATTGCCGCAATTCCGACAGTGATGCTTTCGATTCGTAAAGGTGAATTTCTCGCGGCAGCGCATGCACACGTCGCTATCGGTCCACTCAGGCGGAGCAGACGAGTCGAACATGCTGCTGGCAACGTTGTTTCGGGGCGGGAAGCGGAAGCCTTCGTGCTGTAAGGTGCGATATGTCTCGGAAAGGTAGCTCAGAGTGTCGCGGTGCTGTGCGGCTGAAGCCCAGTCTTGCAGCAGCTCGAGAATACGGGCTTGCACGTCGTGGTTCGTTGTGCCGGGCGGGCCGCGCAGAAGGCTGGTGAGGTTGTCGACGAATTCGCGCGAGGCAATCTCGGCGAGGAAGTGGGAGCCACCGTTCTTGACGCATGTGTCTGTCAGGCTGAGGGCAGCGAGCTGCACGTTGGGATTCTTGTGGCCGATGCGACGCTTGAGGCTGCGCATGGCCTCGCGAGGCGCCACTGTCTTGCTGCGAATGACATCGCTAATCTCGAGGTTGAGCGCGATATCCTCGAGCGAGCTGGCCGTCGCCCGCTCGATCTGCGCATCGAGTTCGGCGTTTGCCGCATTGCCAAACCACGATGCCATCTCCGCTATTCTGTACGTGAACCAGGCAGAGATGGCTGCCTACCACATCCTGTGGAGCGGGCAGCTTATCTGTAAGGGCGTTGGCGGTGGTGATGGATATTGCGGCGGCGGTGAGGGCGGAGTGTGATAGACGTGGTGAGGACTCTCGGGCGTGGATAGTGGACAGGGAGAATTGGTAGAGAGATGTTGGTAGAGAGCTAAGACGGGATGAGGAAGGGACATGTGAAGTGAGAGAGCTCCGACGTCACCGGACTCATCACTGCGGCCTGCACGCTTCACCACGCCCACTACAACTGCTTTGTACACGAACCACGTCTCAACTCTGTCGACCGCGCACGCCTCACTCGCCACCGCTCTCCGACGACCGATTCGCACTCGCTCAACTTCTGTCCGCGATTCTCGATTCCACCGACTGCTCGAACTGCAGCGACTAGCAGGCCGCAAGCGCACACCCAAACGTCTGCCTGCGACATGCAGTCGTGCGACTCATCACCGCCATGAGTGCTGCTCCGCCGCTCCCTCCTGCACCCCCTAGCCGCCATGTAGAATCTTCGGGCCACCATAGTGGCATGGGCACGGGAAACGGACCAAGCAACGGGCAATTGAACACTTCTGCCCAAGCAGCAGGCGGCGGTAGCAGTGGCAATGGCGGCGGCGAACGTGTCTACTCGCACATCACCGATCTGCAGGCCGAAGCGCTCGCCAGTCTCAGCAGCAATGGCCAGTCCATCACGCAGCTTCTCGCAAGCGCAGAGAAATCTTTCAATGATGCCAAGTTTAAGATCGACTACCGCCGCCCCGATATGGCCTTTGTCGACTATCTACGCGCTTCAGAGATCGCCGTAGAAGTGGTGCCGCGCCACCGCGACTATATACACTTCATCCACGACCAACATGGGCAGCAAAAGCTGCAGGTATTGCAGAGGCGCATCACTGGTCTCGCGGACCAATTTGCCAGCATTAAGCAGATTATCGTCAATAACAACAGTCGCTATGGCACGGTGCCACGATCACAGCGGCAGAATGCTGGTGAGGTATTAGGCGTCGAAAATGGCTCGCCCAAGCCCAGCGGGCACAAGGCAAAACCTTCAGTTTCTCCCAAGCCTGACAATCTGCAAGGACGACCGATCTCTGCAATCGGTGGACGTACTCCGCAACCGATGGGCCAGGACTTGGACGATCGTTTTGCGAAACTGCGCATATCTGGGTCAAACACGCCAGGATCAAGAGCCTCCCTATCCTCGCTGCCTGCGGCTTCGATGCCATCTGCCAGCGATTATGGTGGGGCCTCAGGTGCACTCCCTTCCAGAGTCAAACCTCAGGGGCCTCGCTCAATGCTTCTCGACACCGAGCTGGCTGTTGCGATGCCCAAGGCACCCAGTCCCACCTACAGCCCAGCCAGAAACATGCAGACGACAGGGGACATCGCCCCGCCTCGACACAGTGTGCGTAGCCTAGCACCTTCACGCAAGTCAACACTCACATCAAATCCGTATGCCGTAAATTCAGTCGCACCGGCCGAAACGCACGAACCTGCTGCCGCGAGGTCCAACGGAGCGCCACCTGTACCACTGCCCCGGCGGAAATCAGTGCACATGCCCAAGGAGACGCGCATCACAGCAGAAAAGCTGTACGACTATCTTGAACGCTTCAATATCATGCTGATTGATTGTCGGTCGCGCATGGATTTTGATCAGGGTCACATATACTCACGGAACGTCATATGTGTCGAGCCGGTGGGCCTACAGCAAGGCATGAGTGCTGAGCAACTCGCCGAAAAATTGATCCTATCGCCCGATGACGAACAAGATATCTTCCATAACCGTGACCAGTACGACCTCGTGGTCTACTATGACAATGATACTAAATCTGAGACCTTTCTCTCGCGACCCCACAACGAAGCAGAACAGCATCTCAAGTGTTTGCATGAGGCTCTTTACGACTTCAATCAGGAGAAGAAATTGCAAAGACCACCTATCATTTTGGTAGGAGGCATCGAAGCTTGGATAGACTTGGTGGGAAATGCAGCCCTAGTTAGCACTGCCACACAGACTCGAGCCAAGCCGGGCCGTCCGTTGCAGCGTCGGCTTGCCATCAGAGATGGTCAACAGAGGTTGCCGAAACAACGCTTGCGGGATTACAATCCTCTTGATGCCGAAGAAGAACAGAAATGGCGCGATCGCGCTCAGAGCGAGAGTGTGCCTGAAGCATCATCGTTCGCTCAACACGAAGCGAACGAAGGCGAGAGTGATGATACAGATGAAATTCTCAGGTTTCCAAACATCGACGAATTCAACGCAAGATTCCCAGACGCTGGGACGCTCGCAGCACAACCGCCCGCACGCCCAGCATCTACGCCCGTATCGTCTGGCTTCGATGTTCCCAAGTACCCTCCAACCCCGGAACATTCTGTCTATCCACATCCACCTCCGCCTGCGCGGCCACCACCAGCAGCGCCAAGAGTCAGCTACACTGGCGTCAGCGATCGAGCAGTCTCTCAGAGCACGCCTATTCCCAGAACTTCGAGTCAGTTGCTACCCTATGTGCCACAACGCTACCTGGCGCAGAACCTACGACTTCCAAAGACGGGCATTCAGAACTTCGGCAACACTTGCTACATGAATGCGACATTGCAAGCTCTTTCTGCGACCACGCCCTTGACCATCATGATGTTGGATGACCAGTACAAAAGATTGGTACAAAAAGACAACTGGAAGGGCAGCCGTGGGCTCTTGCCTGAGATATATGCCAACACGGTTCGGTCGCTATGGGCGCGTGATGTGGACTACATCAAGCCCACCACGCTCCTTACTTTCTGTGGGCGCTTGAACAGCACGTTCAAGGATCCGAATCAGCAGCAGGATGCTCAAGAATTCTTCAGCTTCATTGTGGATTGTCTGCACGAGGACTTCAACGCAGTTTGGAGCAAGAATCCTCTGCGCGTGCTCACTGACCAAGAAGAGGCGAAACGAGAGCGCATGCCGGCCCTTGTGGTGGCTAAGACGGAATGGGGTCGCTATGTACATCGCGAGAATTCGTTTCTCACGTCGCTGTTTTACGGTCAGCACTCTTCTAGGTTACGGTGTTCGCATTGCAACTTCACCAGCACGACATACGAAGCCTGGGCTCTGTTGCAAGTGGAGATTCCGGATGCGCGAGACGCACAACTACAGGACTGTCTCAGGGCGCACTTCAGGGACGAGCTGCTCGACAAGGAGAATCAGTGGTCGTGTCCCAAGTGCAAGACACCCCGCAGGGCTGCGAAGAAATTGACCATGACCCGTGCGCCCCCTTTCCTGGTCGTAGCCCTCAAGCGCTTCAAAAGTAATGCGCGAGGTGACCAGCGCAAATTGCGTACGGCCGTGCGCTTCCCGCTTACTGGTCTAGATATGGAGGAATTCATCCTCCCCCAGCCATCACCTCAGGAGGCGCAAGAGATTGCTCGGAATTATGGGCAAGACGCGCTGAAGGTGGAAGATTCGCTTACGCCACCGTACGTGTACGATGCTTATGCGGTGGTCCGACATCTGGGTGATTCGACAAGGAGTGGTCACTACACCGCACTGGTGCGTGACAAAGCTCGATCTTGTTGGCGGCATTTCAACGACACTAGGTACCAGGACTTCCAACCCGAAAACATGCGGCCGGATCAAGCCTTAGACAATGAACAGGCGTATCTCCTTTTCTACCAGCGCCGTCCGGTCAATGAGGCGAATGGCAAATAGCATTATGTAGCGTTCGAGCGATCAAAGTGTGGCTTCAGCCGGTGTTGCGGGGCACACTTTTCACGACCATATATTGTCTCTAGCACTTTTTCTGATGGCCGTGCAGCGTTGCTCCAGACTTCTTGGAGCTTCCAACTTTGTTGATGTTGTTCGCGGTGTTAGCACGGAGATAGGGTAGACGGGTAGCAATCGATGTGCAATGATGTATGCAACGTCACCACGGCTGACCCCACTTCGCTCGTCCACTTCAATGGCTTCTCCCATCTTCAGACCAGCATTATTACTCACACGGCTCACGTCTTCACTTTGCAGACCTCGCCGACCCCTACCTGCCAATATCAAACCCCGTTTCTGCATCCAGCCCCGCTTGAACGAGTACGCCACCATGTCTCAATCCCACGCGTGCTGCACTGTGCCCCCCATCGTCACGGAGGGGTACAAGGAGAAGGGCGAATGGATTACCATCGAGGGCATGAAAACTTATGCCACAGGACCAAAAGATGCCAAACAGGCCATCCTCGTCGTGGTATGTGTGCCATGTGCTCCTCCTCAGCCTTGACTCTCAAGCACCATTCGCTGACACGCAGCTTCCCAGTACGACATTTTCGGATTCTTCCCTCAGACTCTGCAAGGAGCCGATGTCCTCGCTCATGGCGACAAGGAGCGCCCATATCAAGTCTTCATGCCAGACTTCTTCGATGGAGAACCAGCGGACATTAGCTGGGTATGATAGTAACTTCCCTCTAACTTGACTGCAATGCTCATTCTCACACGTTGAACAGTACCCACCAGACAACAAAGACAAGGAAGCGAAGCTCGGCGAGTTCTTCTCGACCAAAGCCGCACCACCAAAGACCCTCGAGCGAATCCCAAAGGTCGTCAAGGCGATCAAGGAGCAACGTTCTTCGATCAACGAATGGGGTGTTCTCGGTTACTGTAATTTCATCTCCAACCCAATTCTCACATATAACCGCAATACTAACACAACTTTCCAGGCTGGGGCGGAAAAATCGTAAACCTCTCTTCACAAGAAGGAACACTCTTCAAAGCAGCAGCTTCGTGCCATCCAGCAATGGTCGACGAGAATGATGCTCCAGGCATTACGATTCCTTTCGCCATGCTTCCGAGTAAGGATGAGCCAAAGGAAGATGTTGAGAAGTGGCAGAAGGCGATCAAGGTCAAGAATGTTGTTCAATGGTGGCCTAACCAGGTACGTTGAATAATGTGTTTTGATCGTATTATTGTAGCTGACCAAAGTTCTTTTGCAGGTCCACGGCTTCATGGCTGCACGCGGTGATCTGAGCGACAAGGCGGTGGAAGCTGATTACCAGAAAGCATACCAGGTAAGCACCAATCCCGAGATCGACATGATGTGATAATGCGATACTGATCAAAAGCAGCTGCTCTTGAATTTCTTCCACGAGAACATGTAAACAATCGGCTGACTAACTTCTCATGCTGGTATGCCTGAGCTCTGAGCGGAGCATTGTGAATCGTGCTTGGTACATGTAGATAACAAGCCCAAGATCCACGAAGAAGCATGGAAATGACATAGCCCAAAAGTCATCGTACTACCATTCAATTATACATGTACATACCAAATCCGTGCACGCTTCATACGCCAAGGTTCGATTCGAATTCCCCAACCATCTATCATGTTATGCCTTCGTCGGAAAGCAGATCTAAACATTTGACATAAAAGTCAAAATCATCTGCAACTGACGGAAAAATCCAAAGTCATCAGCCCAGTCTATACACAAAATGTTCGAATTTCACCAACGCCTCGATCCGAGCATCGTCGCACATAAAAGTCTCTAATGAGCACGCAGGCTCGGGTATCATCGTGTCACTACCTCCCGCAAGCCCATTGTATAGCTTGCCACCTCCTACTCACAAACTCATGGTGAGCCACTCCCACTCTTGCGGCCCGGTCAGCATGGAAGGCGGAATTCCAGGCGGTGCCGTGCCATCGTTTCCAGAAGCCGATTGGGGTGCCTGTTGTCCGCCGCCGCCTTGCGGGAACATGGACGCGTGCATAGGCGGAGCGTTGCCTTTAGCGGATAGGAGATTGGAACCAATGTGCGCAGTCCTGGTCAGATCACGCTGCCCGTTTGGTTCTGCGCTGTTCGCAGCGTCATCAATGTCGAGCATGTCCGCATCGTGTTGCGGTATGGCGTTCGAGGCCCTGCTGATCTTACGCGTCCGTCGTGGTGCCACAGGGCGTGTAGGCGCCGACAGAGGAGCCTGAGTAGCAGGCTTAGGTGGCCCTGGAGCGATGGGCACGACCGTCTTGACAGGTTTCTCCGATGGTCCAGAACTCGTTGGAGTGTTCACTGCAGAAGCGCCGCCTGATTTGGGCGAGTCTGATTCATTTGCAGCGTTCTTGCCAGCTGCTGAACTTCCACCATGTGCAACAGAATTCTTGCGGCTTGCTACCTTCTTCGAACGTGAAGACCCTACAGGCACAGAATTGCCGCTGCCACGATTCCTCTTCTTGATAACGTCTGTTTTCAAGCTCAAAGGCCGTACTACACCATGCAACTTCAGGAATAGACCACATGCATTGCACAAGGGATGACCCTCCGGATTGCGTCGCCACAGAGGGGTCGTCTGCGTGAAGCAGTTCGTACAGGTCGTTGGCACACCATTGTTGTCGCCACCCGGTCTGGGACTGCTGGGTCGCGACGGAGCCGCAGACGTGAAGCCAGATTCGGGAGGAGACGTAGGTGACGATTGCGTTCGGATCGAGAACATGCCCGTGGCCATGCCTACAGTGTTGGGGGTTGATGTGGTGCGAGGAATTTTGCGCGTCCTGGGATCGCCGCCTCGGTTTCTGATATCGCTGACAGAAGCTGCCGAACCATGGCCTCTGCTCAAGCCACCCTGGTCCCAATGATTGGGAGACGGAATGAGTTCTGCACCACCTATCTGGACACCTTTCCTGCCCAAGCTGCCAAATCTGCTGTCTGGCTGACTGATCTGGGACGACATGGATTGATCCCAATGGTAGTTCCCATGCATATCAAGTGCTGAATCCTCTGGCGACAGACCCTGTGACATCAGCATATTGGTGTCGTGATACGACATCGGATCATCATCCTCGTTGTCCGAATCACCTCCAAAGGTGAACATGTTCTCGTGACGTGGCATGGGCATACTCGTGTTTGCGTAATCGTTGGCCATGGTACGTTGGGGGTCCAGAGAGCCAGGCACTTGAAAATTAGGGGCATGGAATCCGTGAGAAGGGGCACTTGCAGATATAACGCTGAACATGGAGTCACTGCTCGGATTGAACACGAACTGCTGCTGAGGCTGAGGCTGCACCTGTCTCGTAGGCAAATGCTGGAGATGTTGAGATGAGCCATGTTGGTGCTGAAAGTTGGGTACAGAGCCTGAATGCAGCTGGTTGCCGAAAAAGATCTGCTCGCCCTCCGGAATAGGTTGGGGTGTCGAAACTGTTGATGGATATGCCGAGGTGGGTGGAGACTGGAAGCCGGACACGCTTTGCGGGTGTGACATGTTATGGTGGTACATATGCGAGAAGCCGCCGGTCGTCATCATCGGAGACCCGACGGGGGAGAATGAGAACTGTTGCTGCAGGGGCCCGGCGGAGTTGAGTATCGTGTCGTTGTCGATGTTGAAGGTATCGAGGTTGAAAGGCAGGGCATTGTGCGGCGCGTGGGGCTGAGTATCGAGAGTGTAGTTGTGGAGAGCAGCCTCTGCCACAGGGTCCTGCGCTGCGAGCGTGCTGTTCTGTACCGGAGGGACTTGCGGCGAGGCTTCGGCACGCCGTTTTGGGGGCTTGTGTGGACCGTTAGCAGCAGTTCTAGCAGATGCAGAAGTGGGCATTACCCTTCGCTCATCGATACTGGTCTTGCGCACGTGCCGCTGCACGTAGGAAAATTCGCGGTGGGTTCGATTCTGCTCGAGCGGTGGGACGGAAGGTGCTGAGGCGCGCGCAATGGACAGCTCGTCGCTCTGCAGGCGCTGCTGCTGTCTGATCGGAATCGCGGATGCACTGACAGTCGCCGAGTGCTCGGGCGTGGGCGAGGGCGAAATGCCGGCGGGACTTCCGATGGACGACGGCTCGAGAAAGTCGTCGAGGTTCATGTGGTCCTCGCTGGGCGCCTGCTGCTGGGCCACTTGCCCGATCTGTTCGGAGGACTTACGCAGCTGCGCGATACCACTTGGGGCATTTTGGGCAGGAGCGAGCGGTCGGGAAGCCAGCCTGCATCGGAATCAGTTATTATGCCACTACCACCACCTGCTTGCCTGACGCACCCTTGCCTCTCGAGTTCTTTCCGCTTCAAGTTCATCGACATCATCCGCCACGACAGGTTCTCCAGGCGCTCCGAGTTGGGCAGTTGGCCCTTGGTCTTGTGATACAACTTCCATATCTGCGTTCCCAGCGGATCATTCTTCTGCATTTCCTCAGGCGTCTCGGCGTCGGTGTCGGTGCGGCTGAGGGCAGCGGTAGCAGCGCTGGCGGGGTAGTCGTCCTTGAATTGGTCGAAGAAGGTCTCGCGCAGCAGGCCCTTGCGGGCCTCGCGCTCGGTGGGAGACAGATCGAGGCGGGTGGGCAGCGTGTCCAGCGTAGACGTCGAAGTGAGGGAGCATATGGCGCTCGAGTCGCTCGAAGCGTGGTTCGCTGCGCTCACTGTCCGCGGCGAGGACGGGCGGAACGACATACGGGTTTCGGTCCTGGTCAATCCGTGCTTTTGTCAAAGTCGTCATGCGCGGGGAGCGTGGCAGAGGGTAGCAGGCGCAGGCGCACGAGCACTGCAAAGCATAGTACGCCGGGCGTGGCAGAGGTCAGCGCGGCAGAGAGGAAGGGAGGGCGGACCAGACGAGACAGTGACGAGACGGGATGAGGTGGTAAAGGTAGGGTATGATCCACTTGGAGTGGTCGTCGCACGTACGCAAAAGAGTAGCAGGTTGGCCCGGGTGCTGGTCAAGCCTAGCCGCACTCCACCCGCTACAGTATGTACAATAATGCAATTCACTCGCACCCTGCGCAGTGGGCGGCCTGCATTCCCCCGGCGCGACACTCTCTGTCTGTCTACGTGAGTGTGCATTGCTGTGTGGCTACGGTACACATGGCTGTCCATCGACGTTCATGCCTCTCATCGACCATCCCACGGCCAGCCTGCATCTGGCAATGCGATGGAAGAAGTGGGGCGGACAGCTTCGGCTCACGCCCAGCGACCGATGCTCACCTGTCGCCGCCTCGAGGCTCGAGGAAGCAGCGATGGCAGCGTCGTCTGTTCGAGCTGCCTGCTGCGTGTGCTGCCAAAGCAGGCGAACATCGTGTGGATCATTACTTTCCGCGCAAGCTCAGATCCATACCGACGAAGACATTCCGGGTGCTGCCAAAGGGTCCGTCTTCACCATCCGCGACGTGCAGGCCGCTGAGGGACCCGCCGCATCCAGCACCCGCGCCACCAGCCCGCTAGGTCAGTGGGAGCTACAGTCCGGTCGTTCCCTGTTCCATGCTGTGGTCGACTACTGGCTGCGTAGACGCCTCGCTTCTGCACCTACGATGCGCGCTGCGTATCGGCCGACATAATCCTTCGCCAGATTTTGCTCATCTCACGGGCGCGACATTGAATTGCTGGTGCACTTTCATGGATGCAGCAACCAAAATTTCAATGTGGCAAGCCACCCGCACGCTGACTGGATTATCGAGCCCATGATTCCTGCGGGCGGGTGGAGCGCCATGCACGCGAGCATTGTCTCTTTCAGCGACGAGACTATCGGCACGTTCTGAGATGCAGCAGACAACTCTCCCATCGTCTCTGAAGCACAACGCAGTGCTGATCTCGCCGAGATGAGCACGCCGACAACACGCCTTGCGCTGCGACAGACGATCAACCAGCCGCGAGTCGAAGCTGCCGACGCAGGTAGGGCATAACCTACGCCGAAGCTCTTCCGATATAAGACCTGCGATACTCTCCCAAGCGGATGGTCTAAGTAGAGCCGAGACACGCCGCACCCAAACTGCGAGGCGTCGGAGAGACGCCTGGAACAGCAGGATAATGTGGACCAGCCTCGCACGCAATGTGGAGGAGCTTGCCTGAGTGTGCAGTGTGAGCCAACGAGGCCTCCAATCCGCCTGCTGTGGTCAATGGAGCAATATACAGAGACATAGATATGAGGCAAAAGCCATATGTAATAGACAATCACATGCGCGCTTACCGCTTGGGGAAGGGAGCAGGGATATTGCGGTAAAATTCAAATCCCGACCCACGAGGGTCTGAATGAAGGGAAGGCTCGCGTGCACCACACACGACAGCGACGACGTGGGGTGTTTCTGATGCGCCCGATCTCCATCTGCGACCGTGGTCGTGTTTCGGGAAAGACGTTGTTTGCGACCGTCTATATCCGACGAGCGGATTGCCCGTGATGGCAATTTGTGGTTGGTGGTCAGGAATGTGGCGTCGTCACGCTCATTGCGTTGACGTCGATTGGTTTGTCTCGCTCCTTGGCAAAAGCTGATGAGTATTCAGCAGAAGTGGTTGTTGGTGGGTGTGGTCCAGAGCTGCCACAACGCAGGTGCAGTGATGCAGCTAGCGCAGATAGACGTCTCATCACGGTATGATCCGTGATAGAGCATGAAGATGGATCCGTCAGGCCAGAACGCGTCGCGTGCTACAGTCGCGAAGGAATTCCATCGGGCCTTTCGACTCCTTCGTGCTGGTGCACGGAGTCGTCGCCTTTGCAGTGGCACGTCCCGGGGTTGCCAGAGTGGAGTGAAGTGGAATGGCGGAGGCCAGAGACGGGTCCAGTGTTGCTGGGTCCAAGATCAAGACACGAGGAGAGCGAGGAGGGCACTCCAATAAGGCAGACAGAAGGACAACGAACAATGAGGGCGAGGATGGCGGTATATGTATTGCCATGCTGGACAAGATACGTGCTTCACTCTGATATGGCGTGCAGGTAAGATAGGGAAGGTGTGATTGCGCGTGATCCTGGTTGTGGACAGCAAACCGATAATCCGCCAATGTTTCCACTGATTGGTCTCTCGACGCGACAGCGATTCTGTGCCCTTTTTGCTTCGATAGTCGGAACGCCTGTGATACGCTATGGGAGGCAGAGATACGAGAAGCAAAGAAGCACTCGAATGTCGAGGGTAGAGGACACAGTATCGGAGGCGTGAATTCGAAGTTGTAGTTTCATCCAGCGCTGGCTGTCCCTCGCGCTTGTGTCGGCGCGACATGGCCGGTCGGCCGATGATTTCTGTGACAGGGCAGGAGCAGCAGCGCTTCGAGTACCTCACAATGAAATCATGCTCCGTGGCGGCGGAGGGTGAAGGCCACACATGGCGGAGGGAGGGGCGCACGAAACGCGGGGCTCATTTATTTTGGCTCGTTGCTGTGTTTGGAGCCGTAAACACGCCAGATGAAACGCTCCTGCCTCTTGCAGTAACAAACACTGCCAACGCCCACCCCCATAACTCCGCCGCCATCACCTCCTCCGCGGGCACACGTGGTCCCACCGTCGTCTTCGCGCGCCTGTATTCGCCGCGAGATCGCCCGCCGGCCTGCTAGACGATGACGACTCCGCTCGACTTCAAACTCCCAATCCCTCCGCCGCGTGCGGCGCTGAGCGCCCATACAGCTCTCGACGCCGACGACGAAGCGTTCATATCCCCGGCACATACTCCGGCAGGCAGCCCTTCCAAATCTCAATTCCCGCCAGGTGCCCACGATCTCCCCCATGTCTTCGAAAGTCGATTGAAACTCCTTCCTACCCAGGGCCAGCAATCTCCCTCGCGCCCTGTCCACCACGACCCCTTCGCCTCTCCCGATACCAAGGCCGGTGCGCTAGGGCCAGGGAAGGAGAACACGTCCCCAGCACAACGCCCCCAGCCGCAGTCGACACAGAGCTTCATAAACCAGGCTGCCGCGAGTAGGCAGGAGCCATATCGCCAGCGCGATGACCCTTCGCCCACGCGTCACAGCAAGACGATTGGCGGCGGCCTCACACCAGAGCAGCTTGAGAAGCTGCAAAAGCCCAGCGTCAAGAGACTGGCCAACGTCACACAGCTCTACTTTCTCGACTACTACTACGATCTGCTGTCGTACATCCACAACCGCCAAAAGCGCCTCCAGGCATTCAAAACCCATAACCCGCCGCCCACACCTTCCAGCCCTACTACGGACGCGGATCAGTATGACGAGCTATGGAAGCAGTATCTTGGCCGCGAGAGGGCGAATCTCCGCCAGCGCAGAACGCGCCTGCGACATGGCGACTTCCAAATCTTGACGCAGATCGGGCAGGGTGGCTATGGTCAGGTCTACTTGGCATCGAAAAAGGACACACGCGAGATCTGTGCGCTCAAGGTGATGAGCAAGAAGTTGCTGTTCAAGCTCGACGAAGTACGCCACGTGCTTACGGAGCGCGATATTCTCACCAATGCCAAGAGCGAGTGGCTCACTCGCCTGCTATACTCGTTCCAAGACGATACGAGCATCTACCTCGCCATGGAATACGTGCCGGGAGGAGACTTTCGTACGCTGCTCAACAATACCGGCGTGCTGCACAACCGCCATGCTCGATTCTACATCTCCGAAATGTTCCTGTGCGTGGACGCACTGCATCAGCTTGGCTACATTCACCGTGACCTGAAGCCAGAGAACTTCTTGATCGACGGCACCGGGCATGTCAAACTCACGGACTTTGGTCTTGCTGCTGGCTTCCTGGCCCCTGCCAAGATCGAGAGCATGCGAATTCGGCTGGAGGAAGCGGGTAACATACCCGCCCACGCAATCCCATTCGGGAGACCCATGGAAGAGCGCTCGCTGAAGGAGCGTCGAGAGGGCTACCGGTCTCTGCGTGAACGTGATGTGAATTACGCCAAGTCGATTGTGGGTTCTCCGGACTACATGGCGCCTGAGGTTCTGAAGGGAGACGAGTACGATTTCACAGTCGACTACTGGTCTCTAGGATGCATGCTCTTCGAGGCTCTAGCCGGCTATCCGCCTTTCGCTGGAGCTTCTGTCGATGAGACATGGCAAAATCTGAAGCGCTGGCAACATGTGCTGCGGAAGCCGGAGTACGAAGATCCGAACTACTTCTTGTCGCGCCGCACATGGGACCTCATCACGAGACTTATCAGCGGGAAGCAGAACAGACTCCGCGGTATCAAGCAGGTCCAGAGCCATGACTACTTCCGTGAAGTTGCGTGGGACCGTCTGCGTCAAGAACGCGCGCCATTCGTGCCAGAACTTGACTCGGACACAGACGCAGGCTACTTCGATGATTTCGGAAGCGAGAAAGACATGGCGAAGTACAAGGAGGTTCTGGAGAAGCAGGAGGCGCTAGAGCGCATGGCAGATCGGGGTGGCGAAATGGGTCGTTCCCTCTTTGTGGGCTTCACGTTCAGGTATGTTTGGCCACACACTTGACGTTGTTGGTGTGAGTACTAATGATTTCTAGGCATCGAAAGCCGGCTACCGACGACAACGGTGCGCCCAGCAGCCCGCGAAAACCACTGACGGACATCAACGAGAACTTTGGCACTATGTTTTGAGCTGGCGGGACAGAACACGAGCTCATTTTCCTTCTTTCGTAAAGTTACATGCAGTACGAGTCAAGCATGAACTAATGGTAGACCAAGCTTCAAAGCCATCTCAGTTGGCGCGGACGTTTCGGGTTATGATTTGTGGAAGCGTGCGTGTTTGAGCGTACTGCGACTACGTGTACTATAGTGTCCGATGGCGAGTATATGAAAATCGGCTTCGGCATCAATTTTTTCAATCTCCTTCATTCGCTTTCCTCTGTTTGGGTGTGACGAGTTGCCGTTTTATCTAGCAAGTATAACACATCGAACCATGTTCGTTTCGCAACTTCATGTTTGGCTTCGTGTGAAGCGTCACCAGCAATACAGCAATGCAAGGCAAGGAAATATACCTCAAGCAGGCCCGACTTTGTTTGAAATCATTCTAACGGAAGCATGGAGAAGCAAGGTAAAGACGCCATCAGTCTTGATTATCCAGTCTAGTTATAGCAAATTTGTCCAGTCTCAGTGGGCTTCCTGCCCCAGGTGTGATCCATAATCGCCAAGTTCTATTGACGCCTATCTACCAGCAAGCCGCTCAGCCTGCATGAAAATCCAATCTTTGGCCCTGACGCCTTCTTCATCTTCGTCCCCAGCTTCCGGCACACCGCTGCCCTTGAGTGTCTTCAATCGACACTCATGAGCTGGGCGGACGAAATATACGATGCCTGCAAATCACGCAAGGCCCATTAGCAATTGCTGGATCATGCATGTGACTGATTTGACTTACTGTATCGTGGCCATTTACCCTGTTCTCCAGGAGACGGAATCACGCGATGACGACCGGAACACAAGACGCCGTTCGTGAACTTGACAGCAGCGTCGCCGAGGTTGACGATTGCGCAGCCCTTCTTTGGTCTAACCCATAGCCATTCTGCGGTATCATCGTCGTAGTCTAGATTACCCAAGACACGGTTAGGAGAGCCGTAGACTTGGAGACCACCTGGGATCAACTAGTTAGCGAGCTCTACCGACTGACAATATCAAAGATCAACTTACCAAGCCAATTCATCAAAATCGTAATCGTCCCAAAATCCGTATGCGAAGGCGTTTGAATCTCCGGCATATCAGCCGTCTTTCTCGGAGGACCCCTCGTCATTCTAATATGATCTCCAGAAAGCTCTTCGATTTTATGTCGTTGATGAATTTCCTCGGGATCGATTCCCAGCTTCTTGGCCAGAACTTCTAAGATCTGGAGGCCGACAGAGTGTGCGGTCTTGCAATATGTGGCGAGAAGAGGTTTCTTCTCTAGAACAGGCTTCGGCCATGCTCGTTTCATTTGATCATCAGGAACGATCATGTCGTTTTTGGCTACGTTGAAGAATTCTGCTGTGTCGGGAGTTTGGTTCTGTGGAGGGTTAGCTAGAGTTCGTTGGTCTTGCATGCTTTGGCTTCCTCCATGTAGAGGGACATCGAGACTTGCCTTGTCCACTTTCGTTTGGCCAATGACCTTGTAGCTAAATGCGATTAACACCCTGCATCACTCCATCACTGGAAGCACTTCACTCACCCAAAAACCTCTCGATTCGCAAAATCAAAAGGATACTTCATCTTCTCCTCCATAGGCAAAGCCATCACATCTTCAGCAACTCGAGCGACATCCTCAGAGCTGTTCGATATGATTTCGCCTTGCTCAGAATCACTCAGATCCAGATAGAAAAATCCCCAAGCCTTGCACGCCTCGAACATGAGTTCTTGCTCATCCCTATCGGCATCTTGGATCTTGCGAAGTGAAATAGTCTTGAGCTCGATTTCCTTGAGACCATCAGGGAATTGTGGATAGCGCGAAGGCGTAAATTCCACGTATGATTCTTTGTGAGGCATTTTGTTCAGATCTCCGGATCAGCCGGATGACTAGAAGTCGTAACGACAATGGAATAGGTGTGAGACCGAAGGCAGGCGAAGTTGGTTTGCTGATATATCGAGGCGATCCAGGATAGTTATGCTTTGTTGGTGTTCAACCGCGCTTTGGTTCCGCATACCCTGGTGTTGCGGCGATCGCCGGCCTGCATGACGTTTCAAAACCCCTCACGACCTGTGCGGTTTGGACGATCTGCCGACACGGCATCCTCTCATCCTTCAAGCTAGTGCCAGGGTTGGCTCTATATGTGTACGCAGCTTTCTCTACGATGGGAAAGGAGTTTGTCAAGTTTATGGTGCCACCTGGGGTCCGCAAGAGCACAGCGGGGAGTCGGCCACTCATGGGCCGATATAGCCTGTAGTCAGCGTAGGTCAAGCATCCCTGCCTTGACTAGTTACCTCAACTGGCGGCAGTTGCGCGAAGGCTTCGCCGGTCGCGGGTCTAGAGTCAAATCGTTACAGACCGCCCGTTCGATGCTGGCCATCTTACAAGCAGCGACGGCGGATGCGGCAATGACTGCGTAACTCATACTTACTCGTCTTCCGGTGAGACAATATTGTTTTCGTGCTTGAGGGTCATCAAGGCGATGAGAAGTGCTTTAATATTGCACGGGCCGAGGCTGCTGTGCAGGTCAGCTTGTACTACCATATCCTTTTGGCAACCATTGTGTAGCGATCAACGTTATCAAGCTTCAACGCCGTTTGATCGGCTTTCTGACGGCCTCTGCTCTCCTTCTCTTTGAGCTTAGCCAGATTCCCAGGATCATCTTCGTAGATCCAGCGACGCTTGTCTTCATCGACCTCCACCGCTCCCCACCCGCCAACCCTTCGACCGTAAGTGTCGATAGGTTGATCCTCTCTAGTCTTCATGTCACGGTAACGGTTCCGGGAATACGATAATAGAACCATCCCCAATATCAGCTTGAGTGCCAGGAAAACGAGATAGATGACCAGGAAGAATATGACCATCGTGGCGAGCGCTATGAAGTCGTCCAAAGTCCACCAAGCGTATGTCGATCCTGCGTGGTTTCCGGCCCCAAAAGTGGATGTACCGAGAGCTCGACGCAGCACATTATCAAAATTGTGCAGTGCAACCATGATGACCGACGACGTATCTGTGGTCTCAGCCTCGAGGGACAATGATGTCGCACTGGCTGGGATTGGCGGCGGCATATGAGTGGCCAGGAACATGTGGTATGTTTGAACCATCGATCGGATGAACAGACAGCTGAGAGGGATGATAGGTAAGCCGAGCCTCTTCGTAAGGTTTTGGTCCACGAACGCATGAGAATAGTAGTCTTTTGCCAAGACATCTAGAAAGCGCCCGTATATGTTTGGTTTCACGTTGTTGAACTTCGAAATATAGGCATGCTTGCACCAATCGACCAGCGCCTCGCTGCCAAGCACAATGAGAAAAGGACCGAGGACTTCTCCTGTCCAGGTAGGCATCAAGGTGAAGGCCTTCGGAATGACGAGACCCGAAAGCAGCGGAAACCCAGTCGCGTTGTTGCTTGACGATGGGCTAGCAGAGCTCTCGTCACTGAAGGCGGCACTGAGACTGATGCTGAGGCCACCAACTTCAACGATGTTGCGCAACGCTATAATCAGCAGCATAAGCCACAGTTGAAAGCGCTCCACGATATCGGCGCAGGTGAGTTGGAATAGGTTCTCCTTCTCGAATTTCTTGAACACTGTGCCCTTAATTTCGACAAATTGATTGCTCATAAGCAAGGTCAGGAGAGCGTTAGAGTAGGAGTTGACTGCAACGTTCAGGGTGACGACCTGGTAGAACAAGGCCGTGGAATGGCCGATGACATAGAGGAGAGCAAGCAGAAACATCCAAAATGGCCGGGAGATCTTACTACGGCCATCGGGATTGCGCTCCAGGGTCTCGCGCGAGAACAAGCACTCGAGAATGTCTTGACCAACTGCAGACAGCAAGCGGTCGAAGACCTCGAGAACATTGTATATGACGTAAAGTTTAATGGCAGCCTGTCCTCTAATTGAGTGATATGTCCGGCTTGCATCAAACCACATGAGCGCAACGCAACTGGTTACGATGAGGAGACCCTGAAGTAGGTCGGCCTTGTGACTGGGAAGAAGTATCGATGGCGTCGACCGTGTACGCCGATGGCGGAAGACATTCGATGGCTTACGAGCCTTGCGTTTTGACGGCATGGGGTGATCGTGGTCTGCAGTCGGCTGCGAGACATGAGGGAGCCGGGCGTCGCTCGGAACGCCATCGTATGTATCCTTGCTCGATTGCGCGTCTCCGTCATTGGGCCTTTGACTGGAGGAAGAGGCTTTCCGATCGTGTTGGTCTAATCGTCGCCGACGCCGCCACATCCGCCCCAACCCCTCATAGACGAATCCAGCTATATCTTGAACCTCTTGGATGGCATTACCACCCATCCATTGTAGCAGAATCATGAGGGCATTGAGGAAGCGGAGTGGCAAGATGGTGAAGGTATAGAGCCACGCATCTAGACACGCGATAGCGCCAAAGACCAAGACTTGTTCCAGCTGGGGCGGAAGCATGAGAAAATTGTGCAGTCGCTCAAACTTGACCGCCGACGTCTCGTAGGGAAAGTCACTTGTGGCGGATCGGTGAAGGTAGAGAGCGGAAGGCCGCTCCGATGCCAGCTCGAGATGTAAGTGCGTGGGTAGGGACATGGGCGGCACAGGCAGCACGGCCGGTATGGGCGAAGTTTGACGGTGCGTATGCGACGATCCTCTGCGCAGACCGCTGCCTCTGGGGTCCGCTTGATCATCGATCTTGAGCGGAGCAAGCTGCGCTCTCGCTCGCGAAGTCCGCACCGATGAATGGCGGCGCTGCGTGGCATGTGGCGAGGGCGCAGGCGAGTCAGCCGCCGACGGCGAAGATGCACCGGTCGACGGTTGTGGTTGAGGTGGCTGCTGCTGCTCCTTAGCCTGCTGACGGGAAGGTGCGTCGTGCCAGTGGTCGCTGGCCATTGCCTCGTCCAGCGCAGGGAGCGGAGTGTCATCGTCGAGCGAGCGCAGAGGTAGTGAGTCGGGTGACGAGGTGAGATCGTGTAAAGCGGCAGGGCTGAGAGCAGTGGCCTCACTGCCTCTACGGACAGGCTCCGAAGGCTTCACCGCGCCGACGCGCCATTCGTGCTCGCCATTGCGTCGTGGCCCGCTATCCTCTCCCTCCGGGGCTGGTGAAGGGGGTGAGGATGGAGAAGGTGTGAGCAGAGAGCGCTGGCCGGTGCCGATAGCATTGCTACTGCTGCTGGCTGCACTCGTGCCGGCGAACGACATCCCGGCAAAGGGCACAATAATCGTCTCTCCAGCAGCTCTCTACAGCGCCCTTTCGCTCGTTCGGTAGACTAAGAGGCGAAGGACACTCATGGCTTGTCGAAGGAAAAACGCCGTATTGCGGCTTTTCGAGTGGAAAGCCAGCCCGTGGCCGACCTCGCAACTGGGAAGCGACTATTTCATCTGCGAAAGGTATGCTGTCGACAAAATGCTTTGCGAGACTGGTCCTGGTCGCGCTCCCTGCTTCTTGTTGTGTGTTCTTTACGTTGTGTTCGTGTGGTCCTGATGCCGCGGTTGCGCCTGTTATCATCAGGCCGATGCTGTTCAACCGGGAAGGAAAGCATCGAGGCAGGAGTAGGAAGTGGACACAGACATAGACACAGACGAAGGAAACAAGCTTTCACGCTCCGAGCCTCCCGTAGTGTCCGCGGCAGGGAGCAGGGATGTCTCGTGCATCTGCATTGCAGATCGAGCGCGGGATGGAAGGTGTGTGAACAACGACGCCAACATTAACACCTCCTTACGCGTGGATGAGTCTTGCATCTTGCATGGCATGGCAACGGGCATAGCAAATTATATTGCATTGCATTACCGGAAAGGACGCATTGAGCTATGAAAACCACCAAGCCGACCGCTGCGTCGGCCAGTGCCAACAAAACGGCAGCACCGTCATCCTCGTCTTCGACCACCACACCCTCAGCACGCAGCAGAACGAGTGCTACCGCCTCCACCGCCGCCTCTACCACGCGATCCAGTGCGCGCCCTTCTCTCGGCACGTCCTCCAGCTCCACGTCGACCGCCCGCCGGAGCACTGCCTCGTCGACAACTACCGCACCCTCATCGTCTGCAACTTCCCGCTCCGCTGCAACGCCAGCAAGGCGAACGACAACTTCTACACCTACAGCCAAGCGGCCTACCAGTAGTTTAGCTACAAGGCCGACTGCCTCATCCTCGGCCAGCGCCTCTACTTCCCGCTCATCGACCACGAAGCCTCGCTCCACGCCACTCTCGACCAAGAGTCCGCGCACCTCCACTGTCCCTCCCAGCAGCAGCCCTGCCAGTAGTCGAGCTTCCGTACGGCCTGTGTCGCGCGACACGATTCCGGAGGAGACCGCGTCCGGCGCGCAGTCCGCCCGTTCGGACGCTCCCACCAAAAGCGACGGAGAGAGTGAGGACCACGTTGGCGTCACAGACGATGACAATGCACCAGAGCCAGGGCTGCAGGCTTCTTCGCCTCGCAAGCTCGAAATTCGCTCCTTGAGATCGCAGGCTGTCTCTGACGCCGAGGTTGAGCGTCGCCCTGCGAAGCTGCTCGTACGCCATGCCCGCGCTCAGTCCGAAGATGTTGGAAGACCAAACACGGCGCCTGTGCCCAAGCTCTCTGAACGTGAGCAAGGAATGCGAGAGATGGAGGTTATGCAAAGCTTTTTGCGCGAGACCGTTGCCCGGGATGCCCTTTCTGCCGAGATTAAGGACCTTCAGGCAGAAATTGGACGCCTAGAGCAGCAGAATCGGCAGCTCAAAGACAAGTCCACGGCCGAGACCGGGCAGCCCAAGTCTGATTCCTCCGCACAGCGGGCTGCGCACGAAGCTGAGCTCGATGCCGTACGCCAGGCTCACAGAGCAGAAATAGAGTCACAGCGACAGAAATTAAATTCCGAGATCGAGACTTTGCGGACAGACTTGGAGAGCCATCGACGGCGGTCGTCCCGACTGGAGGGTGTTGAGGTCAAGATTGAGGCGGTGGAAGAAGCACTACGAGAGAGCAAAGAGCGAGCCTCGCAGAACGAGCAAGAACTACAGCAAGAGCTGATTGAGAAACTTCAAGACCGCGACTCGCTGGCCAAGGTTGTAGAAGAACTGAAGCAGGAGATCGATCGTTGCCAAATGAAGCTGGACGAGGACAGTCAAGCGCAAGTGCAGAAAGATGCCGAGGCGCAAACGACGTTGGAGCAGCTTCGCCGAGAACTAGAGGAGGAACGACAGCGCAGTGAAGCAGCCGCAGACAAGGCTGAAAAACTTTCGGCTGAGCTGGCAGAGAATCAAGAACGCTTTCACAACGAGATGAAGGAGTTGCAAGAACGGGCAGACCAGCAGACTGAAGAGCTTCGAGCGGCGGCAGCAGAAGCAGAGCAAGCTAGCAAGAGGTTGCGAGATGAGCTAGCGATCTTCCGTGCCGACGATGAGGCAACTGCGGAGCGGCATGCTTCTGCCCTGGAGAGCTCCGCGAAAACCATAGAAGCACTGCAAGCCGATATGAAGAGTTTAGAGGAGCAGCATGCAGTACAGCTGAAGGCTCACCTTGATCGTGTTGGCGAAGCTAGTGCAGAGAAAGATGATCTCCAAAGTGAGCTCGATCAACTCAAAAAGTTGCGTGAGCATGATGACGGACAGAGTCGCGAAACAACGGCAAAGCAAGAGGAACTTGTCAAAGGTCTACGCAAGCAGATAGAGGAGCTGACGGGTTCTGCCGACAGTGGGCGGGACGTTACGGATCGATTGCAATCACAGGTGCTGGAATTGCAACAGCTAAATGAGGATCTCAAGCTACAGCACAAGGAAGAGGTTGGCCGACTGCAGTCCGACATTCAGCGTCTCAATACCAGTGTCGAAGAGTCCACCCGTGCTCAAGTTGAGCGAGAACAGCGCATAGAGCAGCAAGATAAGGAGTCCACCACGGCTATGGAGAGTCTGCAGAGCAAGGTTATTGAGCTGCAGCAACAACTTGAAAACGTCAAAAATGGCAATGAGGCGAGCAAGGAAGAGCTGGTAACCGCTAGATCGCAGCATGTCGAGGAATTGCGACTCGCAAAAGATGCCATCGAGAAGGAGGCTCGCGCAGAACTTGAGAGCAAAGAGAAGGAGCTCAATGAAGTGATTGCGAGTCTGCAAGCCAAACATGAGGAACAGCAGCACAATGCTGATGACGCCAATAGTATGGCTACAGCAGAAGTCTCCACACTGAAGGCGACCATCGAACAATTGCAGAATGCAGTGCAAGTCTCGCAGCATGATGCGGAGGATGCACGGAGCGAGCGTAATCGATTGGCTCGCCAAGTTAGCGAGCAGGAGAGGCTGGAAACGCAGCTCAAGACGACTGAACAGGAGCTGGCTAAAGCAAAGACTCAAGTTGACGAGCAAGAGGTATTGCAAACACAGCTCAAGGCGGCTCAGAATGAGCTGCCTGAGAGTAAGGCTCCGGCTAGCGAGCTAGGAGAGTTGCAGACGCGGCTCAAGACGACTGAAAATGAACTGTCTGAAACAAAGGCTCAAGCGAACGAGCAAGAGGCGTTGCAGACACGGCTTGAGACGACTGAAAAGGAGTTGGCCGAAAGTAAGGCTCGGGTCAGCGAGCAGGAATCGTTGGAAACAAAGCTTAGGGCAACAGAGAAAGAACTCGCCGAGACCAAGACTCGGCTAGATGATCATGAGACCTTGCAAACACAGCTCAAGACAATTGAGCAGGAACTTGCCGAGGCCAGAGCTCAGCTCAGTGACCACGATGCTCTGCAAACACAGCTCAAAGCGATCGAGCAGGAACTTGCCGAGAGTAGGGCTCGAGGTGATGACAAGGAGGCAACGCAAATACAGCTCAAGGCGATTGAGCAAGAACTTGCCGAAACTAAGGCTCAGGTCGCCGAGCAGGAAGCGTTGCAAACTCAGCTTAAGGCAACTGAAGAGGAGCTGGCCGAGATCAAGGTCACGCTTGGCACCCAGGAAGCGATACAGACCCAGCTCAAGGCGACGGAACAGGAGCTGGCCGAGACTAAGGCGGCTCAGGCCCTTGAGCAGGAGGCGTTGCAGGCGCAGCTCAGGACGACTGAACAGGAGTTAGCCGAGAGCAAGGCTCGGATCAGCGAGCTCTCGACTGCTGTGTCAGACATTGAAGCGCTCAAAGTCGCTGCCGAGCAATCGCTGACTGCCATTCGTACAGAGCTGGCTACTGCTGAGGCGACGCTCGCACGCGTCAGACAAGAAAGCGCAGACAAAGAAGCAGATGTGGCCAAGGAGCTGGAAAAAGTCAAGCAAGATCATCACGCTCAGATCCAAGAAAAGGAGACTGCGCATGAAGCAGCTGTGAAGCAGCTTCAGTCAGACTCGGCGTCAGGTGTTAGTGCCGAAAAGCACGATGCTCTTAAACAGGAGAAACTTCGTCTCGAAGAGAAGCTTGGCGAGATGACTTTGCAGCACAATCGAGAGCTCGAAGAAGAATCGCAAAGGCATGATGATGCATATCGCGAGCTTCAAGCGAGTTATAGGCAGCTTCAGGAGAATCAACAGCGCTCGGTTGAGCAAGAGAGCGAGAAAGTCGCACTTGTTCGCCGGGATCTCCAGTCAATCATCAACACCCTGCGACAAGAGCATGACCAAGCAATGGCAGACCTGTACCGCATCGAGGAACAGTCCAAACAGTCTGAGATGGTGCGACATGGTCTACAGAAGTCACTCGCAGAGTTCAAGGCTGAACACGAGAGGGCAATGTCAGAAATGGCAGAAGTACACGCTCAGAGAATGCTGGAGGCAGAAGCTGCTCACATGGCGAAGATGATTGATGCGGAAGCAGCAGCGGCGACCAACAGGGAAGCATCTCTGAAGGACCAGCATGAACAAGCCCTGCGACGACTGAATCATGAACACATGCAAAGAGTGCAAGACATGGTCGAAGAGCATGCAACTCGTGTAGCTCAAGTGGAGGCTGCAGCGATCAGAGAAGCAGGGATGGCAGCCGAAGAGCAAGCGCGGCAGCACCAGGAAGCCTTTGAGGCGCTGCAGAAACAGCATGCAGCTGCGATCGAAGAAGCCAGAGCTGCAGCTGAGCAACAGGCTCGTGAGCATGAAGCCGCCATTGCCGCCATTCGGGCTGAACACGCGGAGACGACGCGACAACAAGGCAGCCCAGACCGCTCTGGCGTGGCGCAGGACCAACAACATCCTGATGTGCATCCGTCTGCTCCGTCATCCGAAGGCAGTGAAGAAGAATGGGATTCTTCAAGCATTTCTCATACCCCTTACGAAGCGCATTGGACCCCTGCCCAGGAGATCGAACGCCTCCAAGAGGACAACACGAATCTACGACTCGCGCTTCAGAGCGCACGAGACGATCTGGAGCTTGCGAAGCGGAACAACATAGGAGCAGTAACAGCATCTCACATTGGCGAGCGTGAAGAGCCCTCGGACAACCCGTTCCGGTCTCCCACCACGACCGTCAATGACGAAAGTTTCTCCCAGTTCAGTGACGGCAACACACTCGACGACGACGCCGTTCCCGTCAGCAATCTTGAAGGCACATTGGAAAGTCTTCGCATCCAGACAGAGCAACTTCTCGAAATCAATGAGGACTTTATTGCAGAGCAGCATCGCTGGAGTAGCAGACTGGGCTTGGGAATAGGCACCCGTGGTCCGCAGTTGGGAGCTGTGTCGTAGGAATTTCATATGACATTGGTAATTGAGGTTGCAATCAATAGAGGTGACTGACTGGTCGCATGAGAGCTGATATTTGTGAATGACGCATGCAAATTGGGTAATCGGCATTTGTAATTTGAAGCATTGTAGAAACATTGATACCCCTATGACAATTTTATGCTTGAAACCAGAATGACTTGCAAACAAAATGACTCGCAATCTTAAAAACCTCAGAAGAGCTTCCGCATCGACTGGCAGGGCGGACTTTGTACAGCATTTGTGGTGCGTTGTAGGCAACTCTCGTTCACATCACGCTCTGAGAGTTCAGTCAGTTCATCCCACTCCTCATACTCAAGAATCTTCCGTATCACGTACGCATGGAATGATACAGCACTGGCAATCATCTCCGCACCAGCATGGTACTTTGACAGGTCGAGTCGTTGTCTTTACGGCGGTCGAAGAACCAGAACTTGTTGATGGAGGCATGGTTGCAGTAGTCTTGTGGGGTAAGTGGGCCGGTATTGATCAGAGTCTCAAGATTCTTGAATTGCAGTAGGGCTGAGGCTTATGCTGAAATGTGATGTCGATGCTGTGGTTCTCGGTTCCAAGTGCTGTTTGGATATGTAGTTGAGTTCGTGGGCTGGTGCTGGTGCTGGTGCCACTGGCAGGCAAGCAGGACAGGGCAGGCTGGGATGGAAGTTTTACACGTCATCACGCACGAGCCACATCACATGCATGCTCAGCCACGTGACGTGTGCAAACATAGCCACGCGCCTTGCGGGTGTGCAATTCTTGGGAGGTGATGCTACCTAGTACGTTCAATTTGAATTTTTTTTATTTGCCCTAGGGCTAATGATGGGCTCATGGTGTGGCACGAGAAAATGAGAATCATGGAAAATTCATGAGAAGTTTGGCTGGCTCCAACGCACTACTATTCCAAACGCCTCTACTCGCAAGCAGCCAGTGAAATACTCAGACTTCCCTCCATGTCATCCCTGAGGGCTCCTGGAAGGGTGTATGCACAGCATTCGAGTCACCAAACGGATTGTCATCATCTTCGCTCTCGTCCTCGAGATTAGACGCTGCTGAGGACTTAGAACCGCTTGCCGGTACTAGTGGTGGCATGGGAATATTTGCTGGTGGTCTCGGTGGCTTCGCCGGAGCCTGCTCAGATAACGAGAGTCCTGCCAATTGCTGCTGCGTACTCGTGCCAGCCGAGCCGCCCACAGCTTCCCACGCATCGCTGTCACTGTCATCATCGATACTGCGATCCATGATTTCGTATGCCGTCAGAGCCTTGACAAGCTCATCGTTGGCATTGACGAGACTGCCGATCCATTCGTCGGATTCGACGTGCTGGATGTAGTATAAGATCTTACGCCTGAGTGCTTTGCAGGTCTGGAAGCGTTTGACGACCTCGGCATTCTCGGAGATGCGCTCGTTTTCGCGGTTGATCAATTGTAGCCCATTCAACAAATTGGTTGACGCGATTGAAGACTGGGCAATGGCATTAGTCATGCCCTCCTTCTCTTTGCCGAGGTTGAACGGCTTGTGCGAACCTCCCTTCTTCTCTTTGAAGAGCTTGGAGGATAGACTCGATGATGTTGGCGTGAGAGTCACTGGTCGAGATGGAGTGGCTTGCGGCGGCTTCTGATACGAGTTGGAGCGAGAACGCGACTCTGGCTCATCGAACGGAGACTCAGCAGGCTGTGAATCGTTCAACACTTTCTGACGTGCTGCGGCTGGGCGCTGAGTCTTTGGAAGCTCTTTGTAGAGAGTAGCGATCCGTTCAAGGCCAGATGTGTTCTTGTAAGCATTCGCCCATTGCGAGAAGAGCACTTTGCATTTTTGGCGAACATGAGGATCGACAGTCTCATCGCGTGCCATTAATCGAAGTCGTTCGAGTAGTGGCTCGTCAGCGAAAGCGCGCTGGAACCTTCCACCTGCATTTTGTATAAGCCCGTCGAGGATGACAAGGGCTCTAATCTGACGATGAGGATTGCCGTATTTGCTATAACAGCAAGTCAGCCACACATACCGTTCGCTAGCCAATCTCGCTTACAGCTTCTTGCGTAATGCCCTCGCGGCTTCAGTGGGCCCGGCAGATTGAATGCGAATCACCTCAATAAGCTCCACGATACCGCTGACATCGTCTTCTTCATATTGCTCGCTTGTAAGGCGATCGACTTGTACAGTGATGGCCGAGTATGGCTTGCGCTGGGAGCATTTGACGTTAGCTCGCGTCATGCAGNCAGCAACGCCTCGTGACAAGATAATGCTGATATGGCGGGGGATCATTCACGATCTCGCGTCAAATGTTGGCTAACGACATAACGAGTACGTGATTGTTGACTTGAATCAACGAGACTCATCACCAGCAGCCTGAAGGCAAGGAGCACTCACCGAGCCGCTGAACATGGCTGCCTCGTGCCCTGTCCTGCTCGTTTGCAGTTGCGGGGTTGCCGCGACTCACTCTGCAAGTCAGTCGGTTCGGTCTCGTTCGATTCGTCCCGGTGGGTAGCGTTGCGAGCGACGGAGCCTGTTGTCTACAGATGCGAGTAGTTGGGCGGAGTGGACCAGCATATACCGTGACGTTTGTCCTCTGTGAATGCGTGCTGGACTAGCTCCAGCGAATGGTGGTGGTGTGCGAGGTCGCAGCCAGCAATCTCCCCGGGGTTTTGCCGAGCACGACTTCACGTCTTCCCGCAACGCGTGCACCTACACTTGTCACACGACCACTAAGCACACTCGCAGCATTACCTGGTGCATCTGCTCACACCACTTTTGAGCCTGCTGGAAGTCCGCAGGACGTGGCGTCGAAGCCACATGTGCAAGCACCAGGATGGCAGGCTTCACTGCAATCAACACGTCGGGAACAGCAGTGCCAGAAGTGACAGAGTGCAACTCCAAAGGGCAGCCGGTTTCTCTCACTCAGAACAGCCATGTTGACACATTCACGGCCGTCTGTGACTATCTGGGTCTCGGCTCAGCCGGCCACCAGACAACGCCCGCCTTTGCAGCTGGTGTGCAAAAATGCTCTTCAACAAGCAAGAAACGCCCCGCTGCTAATGCCGGCAAGCGGCGATCGAAGCGTCGCAAACCCAGTAATATCAGCGATAATGGCCACGAAGTCCATAAAATCGCTTCCCACGGCTCAGCAGAGACCTTCCAGCCGGCTGCACAGGAGCATCTGCCGGCTGAAAATCCGACAGATCCCGGCCGCCAAACACAAAAGGTGAGAGACGTTGACCGCGATCCGGTATCTTCGAGTATCGTGCAACCTAGACAGTCTCTGCATGAGTACCTGGCGTTCACTCCGCCAGTGACAACAATGGATGCGCACTTCATTTGATTCTGGAACATCTCGTGACACCATAAGTCGTCCGCTGTACCAGAGCGTGCAATCCGAACAATATCAAGAAGTTTCGAGCAATTTATCGACTACACAGCTAGCCTCAGCCTTTCGCTCGCATATTGATCCTCATATTGAGGCAACAGGTACGACCGGGTCCAGTCCGCCTCAGAAGTCAAGAATTGCTCGTCCCGTCCAGCGGCCATCGAGGAAGGCTAAGGAAGATGCACTGAACAAAATTGCTGGCATGCCCCGCAAGGCTGCAGATGTTTCAATGAGGGCTCCGACCACCATGCCCGAGGTAACTGCCACTCAAGACTCATTTTCATTCGATGCGGAGGCAGCTTGGAGTGCCCAGGACGTGATAAACAGCAACGCGCATGAATCATCAACTTCCGTGATACCTTCGACAACGCTACAGCATAGCGGGGCGATGGAAGAACCGCAGCTCATGTCCGAGGACGAATTCGAAGATACCATAGAGTTTGACGAAGATGCGGAGCGTCGAGCGCAGACACCGACTGCGCGGAGCTACAAACAGAACATTCGCGAAGTGGACGAACACGAGACCTACGACGGGGCACTGCTCTCCGACGCTGAGCGGCAGTTCCTGGGTAAGCCAATCATGGTGCACGACCTCTTCTTTGCAGCCTACTGACCGCATTCCCGTCATAGATCAGCACAGGCCTACTTCTGCCTCAGAACAACGCAAAGCCATTGTGAGACAGCCATTCCCGCAAGCGGTCCTAGATCGGTCCCCTATTACTGGCACCTCTCGTGCAACAGTATTGCGCACTTGTTTCAGGCTGGGAGAAGCACTCAATGTGGGACACCAAGCCGTGCGCATGAACATCGACGTTACGATTGAGCTATATGCTCGCGTCACGTCGTCCTGGCGAGAGGAGCCATCCGGCAGAAAGCAGCATTTCGTGTTCGCCGACCTGTTCCACGGCAAATCGCCACAGCTCGAGGGCGTCTTTGAGCTTCACAGTCAAGCCATTTTATGGAACACTGACTCCGAAACTTTTCTCGATGCCGTAGGGTCGAGCACAATGTGCCGAGCCATTGGCAAGATGAAGCGAGATGCGGATCGAAAGTGGAGGCTCGAAATCCGCAGTATCTGGGAAGCAAGTTGGGAGGATGTAGATTGGGCTGCAGGTATCGCAGACGCTTCAGCATAGCAGAGGCGGTAAAGCGCATCACAAGACATGTTTGCTCATTAGCTCAGGTATCCAGCGAATGCGGATTGATGAACGAGTGTGAAAGTCTGCAGCTATTCCCTTCATCAGTCATGTAATCGCTGAGCATTGGTTGCTAGTTAGTGTGGTCGCGATGTCCAATGGCGAACAACCGGAGTGCGGTCCGCCACGGCGCCCCACCTGACGTAAAGGACGGTAGCGAGCCAGGACCAGGGTGAAGCTGGAGCTCTTGAGCGAACTGTCACCCGCTCCCTCTCATCTTGTCTGCTGGGCGTGACCATGAAGCGCGTGTGTGTGTTCATACTTCGACATTTCGCCCCGTGACGGCCCTGCTTCGCGATACGATCCGCATCGCGGTCACATGGCAGGAGAGGATGAGCACTTTGCATCGCAAGTCGCAGGAGATGGGTGCCGCAGGCGAGCCCTTCGACGACACAACAGACAACCATGACAAGGCCGAGCTCACCACTGCCACCGAGAGGAGCGACCATGATCGCAACGCTGCCAGTGATGCATCCACGCCCACGCTGCCGAGCACACCGCGCCGCCCCGATCTCCTCTCGCGCTTGACGCTGCAACTTCCGCCATCCGCACCTGCTGTCTCCGTCCCACTGACTCCTGCCATTCCGAGGCATTCGCGCGGCATGGACTTCAGCCGCGCTTCGACGACGCTGCACCATTCGACTCTGGCCGAGAGCGACGCGGACTCTTCTCCCATCATCTCGCACAAGGGCATGCCGATTCCGGCGCGTCGCCTATCCTCGAGTGCCATGGCTGTCGACTCGCTGAACATGGGCAGCGGTGGAGCCATGCCGTGGGGCTCTTTGGCGCTGGGTCACGAAAAGAGCACAGTGAGTAGCTCGGTGGGCAGCACCAATCTCATGGCTTCGGAGAGCGAGACCTCGAGCAGTGATGATGACGCGAGTATGGGAGGAGATGATATCGAGGATCCGGTGTTCTCGACGCCCCAAGTACACAAGCTGCAGAATTCGTGTGCCCCGACGCCTTTTCAACAGTCTACCCAAGCGCCGTCAACCCCGACTGCCTCCACATGGGGCACCGGGAGCCATTTCTCACCTGCCCAAGCATCCTTGCTGAAGACTATTCGGAGGACGAGGTTACACAAAAGCAGCAAAGGAAGGAGCAGGAAGAGCTCTAGCAGTGCGAGTGGAAGTGGCTACAGCTCGGTGGCTTCACCTAGAACTACGTCGCCCCCTCCCATGAGAAGTATTGAGACTGCGGGCGGAGGCTACTTCGCTATGGCCAATGCTGCGCGTAGTCGACGCGAGAGCTTGGCTATGGGTACGGACAGCCTCCACCTTTCAAGCGGCAACGACAGCGGTGACGAGGCAAATGCTTCGGCAACTTCAACGCCAGGCGTGGTGCGACGCCCGGTAGTGCGGCGTGGCAATCTGCTACCCAAAACCAAAGGCTTCGCTCGGATTCGCGCCGCGCTGATCGAAGAGGCTGCACCGGTGGATGCAGAATCGAGACGAGAAGCTGAGACGATTCGCCAGGTACGGGAACGCGACAACAGTGTCACAGACTTTGAGTCGCACGACCGCCCTCAAAGTTCCACCGCAGCATCATCGCCGAACCTGCTCCCCGCCGTGCCCGAGTCGGCGCAAGAAGACTTTGGCCGCGACCTGGATGGTGACTCTGGTGTCAGTCGTGGTCTGGGCTTGGGCACAAACTTTTCTGATCATGCGACTCGCAACAGCGGTGGGCTTGAGTACTGGAATCGGTTCGACTCGTCGGCACGGACCCCTCCGCCTGCTACTTTTGGTCGACAGAGCAGCAGTGCCGTCTCTGACACCAACATGGACTCACCATTTGGAGACTTCACCATGTGGCGGCGGCCACGAGCACGATCTTCGGCTTCTGATGCATCTGAAGCCATCATGTCCAATGGTGCAGGGGCTGTGCTGAGCGACGATATGCATCTGCAGAAATTCAAGAAGCGACCACGCGAGGACGACTTCGACATCGGTACCATCAAGAGGCGCGCTGTGTCTCCAGGAATGAGCACTGCACAGAATAGTCCTGTGCTCACGAACTCGCCGTCGTCGCGCGATACGCACGGAGGGGGCTGGGGTCAGCCGCCGGAAAGGCTGCACAAAGCACCTTCGAATGGTAGCGACGCGGGTTCGCAGGCTCCCCCAACCCGAGCTGGTAGCGGAGGCAGTATAAGTGGGGGAGCGAACATGGTGAGCCAGGGCAAGAAGTTGGGGTTGCAGCCAATGGCGGATACCAGAGACGAGCTGATGAAAATGAGCATTGAATAGCTTTGGGGTGATTTTGTGATTGTTTGAATTTAGCGATGGCGCTGCGGGTAGGATGCATATACAGCGAACTTCAAAAGCACGCGTGACAGGTTCGAAGTAGGTTGGTTCACATACTTGAGGAATACAATACATGAGCTCCAGCGAGCCTGCCTCTAGTTACTCCCTTCACGTCATTTCACCAGTCGCGCCAAGCATTCAAGCGGGCACCTTGCCGATGCTGGCTTCATCACTCCGTGCGCTCAATACCGCCGCAGCAACTCCACAGTCACGACCAACTACAACATGTCCAGCAAAGAGGCCACTGTGGCCGCTTTTATAGCATCGGCCCCGCCAGGAGAGGTTGGTAGGCGCCAGCCCGCATTCAACTTGCGACACATGACATTGATGGGCGATGAGCTGACCTGCGACGCGTTGTACAGCTCGCCAACGTGGTCAATGATATCAAAGTGCTGGCCGGAGATGAGCCCTCAATCCTGCGATCACTGGATCCCGCGTTCGCTCAATACAACGAGGAGCAATATACAACACTGAAACTGCCAGGCAGCGGGGACCAGGTCCTCCTCAGTGCATACAACTCCCTCGGAGACAACCGCTACTTTGATAGTGCCTCCCAAACTTCGTTCGCCGTCGACCACGCTACACAGAAAGCGTCCGATGCCCAGCCTCACACCGTCGAGTCCGCTCACGCCGACCTGATTACATCGCTGCACAAGGCGTTCGCCGCTGCTGCAGCCGAGCACTTTCCCTCGTATGCGGTAGGCGTGTATCCCGCCGAGAACGACAGTGCAATCGCATTGTTACTGGTTGCGAACAAGTACAGCCCACAGAACTTTTGGAATGGGCGCTGGCGCAGCACCTACATCTACAACCCCTCATCGGGATCGTTGAGCGGCTCAGTCAAGGCCGACGTACATTACTACGAAGACGGCAATGTCCGCATGTCCACATCGAAGAAGAGCGAGCTCAATGTCGCATCGGGCAATTCAGACCAGATCGTGCGCGAGGTAGCCAAGGCGGAGAACAAGTTCCAGGAAGATCTCAATCGCTCCTTCACGACGCTTGCCGAAGGCAGCTTTAAGGGACTGAGACGCCAATTGCCTGTCACAAGGCAGCGGGTTGAGTGGGAGAAGATTGGAGGCTATCGGGTATGCACCTCTCGCGGATGAACACGCATTTGAATGATCGCTGACTGCCAAATAGCTTGGCCAAGACATTGGAGGCGGACGGTCGAGATGAGCGCCTTCATGCGCATTGCTTGCCAAGGGCTCTGATCAAGTCTCGCCGCTCGCGTTCTTGAAGGCCTTCGGCGTCTATGATCATGGCTACTGTGCGACTCGCTGGCTCAGGTGAATCTTCGCCCTCTGTATGCGTCGGTGATTGCAGCTGCAGCCCACAAACTCGTTCTCGGGCGAGACGATCTTGAGGATCGCATCAAAGGTCCTGATAGTCTTGCCAGTCTACAACACTCCCAATGAGCTGTTGGCTCGATGCCCATACATAGTTCTCTGGATCACTTGATAGACCGTGCAACGATGTGAAACGACAACGATCACCTCAGCCTCAGCCACGACCACTGTTCACAAGCTGGCCGGCTCTCTGCAGCGCGGACCCACATCCGCGCGGAGAGGCGCGTGTTTAGCTGCAGGGCCAAACTTAGACTGACCCCCATGGCGTCGCGCTGGAGGACGTTGGGAGTGTCCAGCAAGTTGCAACAGCACACCCACGTCTTATCGCACCGCGCATCGCCTTCACGATTTACGCTGCCCGCCTGCCGGAACTTACGTACCTACAGCGCAGCAACAGCGACGCGCCACCTGTCTCGCCGCTGCTCCAGACACAGCTCCACCGTCCAACGAACGATTCGCATGCTTCGTATTATTCCTTAAACCGACCATCGCTCTGTTACTCCAGCCTCGATCGTACAGCCAGCCCTCATGACGCTCGGGAAGGGCTCATAACAGCGGCGAGGAGGAGGAGCGCAAGCCTTCATGGACGCCGATGATGCGAAGCACCGCAGGAACCAGTCGGCCAGCACTGCCATACCACTGCGAGATCTCGGCCGGGAAGGTGCCCCAACACGTGCAGATGGATTGGCGCGCGAGGAGCCCCATCGCCGCACCCTCAGCGATAGAGGCCGCGATCTGTTCAGGCGTCTAAGCAATGCACCACAATACACGCCAATGCCTCAACAGCTGCCCCGCGCGCCCTCATCCCCCATTGCCTTCGTTACCACTCCTTCGGGCTTGCACCAGCGCGTTCCCGATGACGACGACGAGCAACATCCTATATCACCCCTTGCCGACCGGGGTGCATTCCAGTCGGCCATTGGCTTCGCCGGCCTCTCATTCACTCCGCGCTCCGACCACCATCATGAGGGCGATAGTTCCAGCGATTGGGATTCGGATGGCTCAGATGGACCCACGCGCACGCCTCAACGTGCTTCCCGGGCGACACTAGATACACTTCCTCCATTGCGCACACCAGCGAGCAGCAAGAGCAAGAGCAACATAGCACCCGTTGAGCTAGATGACGGGCCGGCATTTGTGTCTCCTGGAGGCGCAGATGACAACGACGACACACTACCATTGACAGATTCGATACGGCTACAGCCATTGTCTGCTGGCAAATTGAGCACGCCCAGTCGTGATGGCAACCGGAGCACATCTGGCGTGAGCGGGCTGAGTGCCCGTTTCTCGCCCAGTCGAGGGGACAGTCGATCGCGGAGCGGATCAAGACTAGGCGACGACCTAGCGAATGCAGAACAGGGCTCGAGGCTTTCCAGTCGTCACTCCACGTCTCTGAGTGCAAATGCTGAGTCACCACTGGCACGGACAGGAACTATGCTGCGCAAAATGTCTCAAAGAGTAGTCAATTTGAGTAACGAGGCCGAGGTGCTCGACCGAGATCGTACTCCACCTCGACGCTCATTCGTGCAGGAACGAACTATTCCAGAGTCTGAAGAAACGCCAGGACTCACTCTAGATGGAGCTGCATCGTCCAAATCGGAACCCAATGAAAAATCCAAGGAGCCCACGTCCACTGTCAATGTTGAAATGCCAGAACTACCCAGAATTGACCGGAATCCTCTGCGAGGAAAGTCGCTGGGCGCTTTCTCGCCTGAGAGCAGGATACGGCGTGGGCTGCTCGAATTTCTGGTGCATCCATTTGTCGAGCCGTTCATACTATTACTCATTGTCACTCAGACGATCATCCTGGCTGTTGACGCGGCACCTAATGTCTACACGGAACCACGCCCAACGACATGGGGCAACAACTGGACAGACTGGTTACTCTTTGCTATCTTCGTGGTTTACACTTTGGAAATCGTTGTCAAGGTGATCGTTTCCGGATTTATATTCAACCCCGTGGAGTACAGTACCATCGATCGAAGCGTTGGAGTCAGGACAGCACTCAAGAAGAAAGCCGATGCCCTATTTACGCTTCACAGAAGCTCTTCCAAAGCAGGGTCCCGGGAGAACGCGCTGCATGCGTACCGTGCCCCTGCTCCCGATTCACTTTTGCGGTCTTTCACCACTCAGAATTTTGACGACATACCAGGGGGCTCAAGACAAGCTCAGAAGAAGCGCTTGGCTCACCGAGCGTTTTTACGCCATTCATTCAATCGCTTAGATTTTGTGGCTGTTGTCTCCTTCTGGATCAGCTTCGTTCTGGGATCTGCCGGCGCAGAGTACCAGTATCAGGTCTACGTTTTCCGTATGATGAGCTGTTTGCGGATCCTCCGTTTACTAGGTATCACAAGCGGCACATCTGTCATCCTTCGCAGCTTGAAAAGGGCGATGCCCACACTCTTGAACGTTGCCTTCTTGATAGGGTTCTTCTGGTTGCTCTTTTCCATCGTTGGCGTGCAGAGTTTCAAGTCAAGCCTCCGCAGAACGTGCGTCTTCGATGGTAGCCTCGCATATCCTCCCCTCGAAGGACCGGAAAGCAACAACACCCAAAACCAGCCGCCGCCCGCAGGTAACTTTCAATTCTGTGGTGGGTGGTTGGCACAAAACGGTTCCAAGATGCCATGGCTAAAAGAGGATGGCTCTTGGGGCGCTTCGAAGCATAAAGGTTTTCTGTGTCCGATAGGCTCATTCTGTGTTGAGGGCGACAATCCGTACAACGGCACGATTGGGTTTGACAACATCCTCTATTCAGCGGAGCTCGTCTTCGTGATCATGACTTCCAACACCTTCACCGATACAATGTACTACCTCACGGACTCAGATTACTTAGCCGCAGCGCTCTTCTACGCACTTGGAATCATCATCTTGACCTTCTGGCTCATCTCGCTACTGATTGCAGTCATCACCTCTTCGTTCCAGGTCATACGGGAAGAAAGCAAGACCAGCGCATTCATGAACGCGATCGACCCAGCGGAAGCTTTGTCGGAGACGGAACCGGCAGACTCGGACAACCGTAGAGCTGGCGTAAAGCGCGTCACAGGCATCAAGCGGGCCTACGAGAAGACCTACTGGTTTTGGGTCATTGTAATCGCATTTGATCTGGTCGTACAAAGCTTGCGCACAGATACCATGGGCCGTTTCACGAAGCACCTCATTAGCAACACTGAGCTTGGTATAACCTTATTGCTCATATTCGAAATCGCGTTTCGTTTCGCGTCCGACTGGAGGGACTTTCGGCACCATCGCCGGAACTGGTTCGATCTGTTTTTGGCAATAATGACTGGCATTATCCAGTTGCCGCCGATCAAGCACTCTGGCGATCCGTACGCGTGGCTTACGGTCTTCCAGATTTTGCGCATATATCGCGTTGTTCTAGCAGTCCAACTCACAAGAGACCTGATTCTGCTGGTGCTGCGACACGTCTCGGGTGTATTGAATCTGATCTTGTTCGTGTTTCTGCTTACGTTTCTGGCGGCGATATTTGCATCCCAGCTATTCCGAGGTCAGCTCCCCATACTGGATGGCGAGGGTAACTACATTGAGGTGACCTTCGCCACCATCTTCAATTCGTTCCTGGGCATGTACCAAGTATTGTCATCGGAGAATTGGACCGATATCATGTACAATGTGGGCAGGTTTGATGCACAATACGGCACGGCATGGATCGCATCCATATTCTTCATTATATGGTTCTGTCTCGCGAACTTTGTCGTGCTCAACATGTTTATTGCTGTCATTCAGGAGAACTTCGATGTCTCTGAAGACCAGAAGCGAATGCAGCAAGTTCGAATGTTTCTGCAGCGGAAAGAGCTTGGAAGTGACGGAGGCGGCACGCTCTCACTGGCAACCATTTTCAAGTTCGGCCAAATGAAGCGCCAAGATCCCCTGGATTTTGGCTCAGCTGCAACTGAGATGTTGCTCAAGGATGCAGTAGTCAAGGACTTTTTGGACGAAATCCAGCAGGAAGAGAAGGATTTTCGTCGTGCACCTACGGCTGGTCTGACCTCAGCGTCGACTCTCAACCTCATTCGACAACCGGCTGGCTGGGCTTCCAAGTTCGAGGAATGGTTCGACAAGCATGTCTGGAATAGACAACCCAATCCTTTCTACGCGCGAATTCAGTTGACCAGACCGCACGAGGAACTCAACCCGCGTCAATTGGCGGAAGAAGTCGTCGCGGCGGCTGAGCGGCGAAAAATCTCTCAGCGCGAATATCTTCGACAGCACCCCAACTACAACACCACACTTTACATGTTTACTCCAGAGAACCCACTGCGTAAACTGTGCATGCGAATTGTTGGTCCAGGGCGGGGCCAGCGTATCCAGGGTGTACAGCCAAATCCCACAGTCTGGTATGCCTTCTCAGCATTCATCTATGCCGCCATTGTCGGTATGGTCTTGCTAGCGTGTGTGACAACTCCACTGTACCAGCTGGAGTATTTCAAAACGCACCCCAACATCAGCGATCGATACAATTGGTTCATCTGGACTGACATTGGCTTTGCTGGGCTCTTTACGGTCGAAGCTATCATCAAGGTCATAGCGGATGGCTTTCTCTGGAGTCCAAATGCGTACTTCCGCAGCTCGTGGGGATTTATCGATGGTATTGTTCTGATCACGCTCTGGATCAATGTGCTCACTTCCCTGTACAGCCCTGGTAGTGGATCGCGCGCTGTGGGGGCATTCAAGGCACTGCGAGCACTCCGACTTCTCAATGTCAGCGACAGTGCACGCGACACATTCCATTCCGTGATTGTCCTTGGCGGCTGGAAAGTGTTGAGTGCAGCATTCGTCTCGCTGAGTTTGCTCATTCCATTCGCCATATATGGTCTCAACCTTTTTGCCGGAAAGATGGCCTGGTGCAACGACTGGCAGCAGTATGATGTTCACAACTTGACCGATTGCGTCGGCGAATCGGTCTTCTCGCCAATCGGGTACGACATGATCATGCCCAGAAGGGTTGCAAATGTGAACTTTTCGTACGATTTCGACTCCTTTGGCGACGCACTATTCATTCTTTTTCAAGTCGTATCGCAAGAGGGCTGGGTGGACTTGATGTGGAGTGCGCAGTCGATCACTGGAGTTTTCACACAGCCTGCTTGGTTCTCACAGCAGGGCAATGCAGTCTACTTTGTCCTCTTCAATTTGTTAGGAGCCGTGTTCGTGCTGACCTTGTTTGTGTCGGTCTTTATGCGCAACTATACCGAACAGACAGGGGTCGCATTTCTGACAGTTGAGCAACGCTCTTGGTTGGAGCTCCGAAAATTGCTGCGGCAAGTCGCGCCATCGAAGCGTCCAAATCGACAGAAGCAGCGACAGAGCTGGCAAGAATGGTGCTACCGGCAAGCTGTTACCAAAAAGGGCAAATGGCAACGTACCATAACCGGAATACTCATCGCTCATCTGGCTTTACTGTGCATGGAATGGTACCCGGAACCTTGGGCTTGGACTGTCGGCCGATTGCTCCTTTTCTTCATTTTCACCCTGTTCTACATCGCAAATATCTTTGTCCGTCTGGTTGGATTGTCGTGGACACGATTCAGGAAAAGCGCCTGGGATGTCTACTCATTGATCGTAGTGAGTGCAACCTTTGCAACGGCCATACTGGTTTTCGGCAACTTGCACAGCAACATCTACTCGCAGACACATAAGCTGTGCCTGGTGGCTGTAGCTCTCATGCTCATTCCTCGTAATAATCAGCTGGACCAACTTTTCAAGACTGCGGCAGCTAGTTTCAGCGCCATTGCGAATTTACTGGCGACATGGTTTGTGCTTTTCCTGGTCTACGCTATTGCATTCACCCAGACCTTTGGACTGACGCGCTTTGGGGAGAATGAAACGGGCAACATCAATTTCCGCACAGTGCCAAAAGCTCTCATCCTGCTGTTCAGAATCAGCGTGGGAGAAGGATGGAATCAACTGATGATGGACTTCGCAAACATTCGTCCACCATATTGCACCTTGGCAGACGACTACTTCAAGACCGACTGCGGCAGCAAGCAGTGGGCCTACGCGCTGTTTGTTTCGTGGAACATCATCAGCATGTACATCTTCGTCAATTTGTTCATTTCGCTGATATATGAGAGCTTCTCGTACGTATATCAGCGAAGCAGTGGCCTGTCCATCATCAGTCGGGAAGAAATTCGGCGCTTCAAGCAGGCATGGGCGGAGTACGATCCAAATGGTTCCGGCTACATCACCAAAGAACAGTTCCCTCGGTTCCTGGGGGAGTTATCCGGCATATTCGAGATGCGTATTTACGATGGTGACTTCACAGTCAAGTCATTGATAGACGATTGCAGGGTGGCTTCTCATAGAGCCTCGCAGCTAACCCTCGACGGCGAAGGGTCTAATCGTGGTGTCAAGATTGACATTGACAAACTGAACCGCCGACTGGCCGAATTGCCGGTGCACGAGATCCGCAACCGGAGAAGAAGGATGAACACTTTTTACGAAGAAGTGCTGGTTTCCGCAGACCCCGATCGAGGCATTGCATTCAACGCGCTATTGATGGTTTTGGCACACTACAAAGTGATCAACGACAGCAAAAGTCTCAAACTGGAAGAATTTTTGCGCCGACGTGCGCGTTTGCAACGTGTGGAGGAGGCTGTCAACCGCAATATCGTGATGGGCTTTTTCGACACACTGTATTGGTCCCGCAGATTTAGAAGGAGAATTGATGCCAAGAAGTCCGCGCGCATGACGGCGGTACCATCATTCGGTGTACCAGAGATCTTGGTGGAGGATGAAACAGAACACGAAGCGAAACAGAGCAGAAAGGTAGAGATACCGGCACTCAGCATCACGCCGGTCGATCCTGAACCGGACGACTCATTGAGGTCGTACGACGCAGAAAGTGGACCTTCTGGCGCGAGAGGGCGTTCAAGCAGTGGTGCTCTGCCGCAACTGGATCTGGCGCGACGCTCGTCAATTCAATTGACGCCGACATCGTCGCCGATACGAGAAGAATTCCATCTGAGTCCAGAGGCACGATCAACTCACCGGCCAACGGCGAGCAGCAGCAGCATCCAGCCCGATTGGCACTTTGCTGCGGCCTTCGAAGGAGGGCGGAACTCCCATTCCCCTCCGGCAAGCCCGGGAGAGCCCCCTGACCCATCGCGAAGTCGAGCCAACAGTGCCGTCAGCGAGAGTTTCTCCGAGAGTGCATGGGGTCAGAGTATGCGTAGGAGTTACACGCAAAAGGCGAGAGGGAGTGGATCGAAGGACCGCAGTAGCGGGGGAAGGGATGCTTAGTTTTGGCGAGTCACGGCTTTGTTATGACAGGTGCAAAGCGTCGCGGTCCAGACACTTCGCTAGCTGGTTTATGATAGATGGAAGGGTGGCCTTTTGGGGGCCTTTTGAGTCGCACCGGGATTTTATGATCGACTGCATAGCGATGGCGTTGAACTAGGTGTATAGAGAGATACCAAATGCCATGTCCATGAATTTACTTGCTTGCCAAAATTACAAACAATTTGAGCATTGGACTTTGAAGCACTTGCGTCGCATGATTCCAATTCTATATATGGAAGCACATCTGGTTATGTACGCGCATATTCCTCCGCATCTATCATATCCCCTCTTCGTTGAGCTAGATATATTCTCCCACTTTCATACACACCAAGGTATAACCCACTGCCAACCATCGTCCAAACACCACGTAAGGCACCACCTCGAAATAAGCCTTTGATGCCTTCTTGCTGAATGACTTCTCGAGCGATTGTGATACTCGATTTGTTTCCTGGTTTTGCTATGTTCTTCACGGCTTCCAGAGGACTTTTCTTGACGGCTTCGACAGTTTTGCCAGTGGCGTCTACGAGAGCGTTTTTTGCTTGTTTGACGCTTTCTGTTGGAGTTGGAGCGGATTTTTCCTGAGGATTGTCGATTGCTGAGAGCATGAGACGGGTTTTCACGACGTCTACTGGAGTTGTGATTACTGCGGCGATGCTTCCGCCCGCTGTGAGTTGTGTTATTGCTTGGTTCTGGAAAATGGTACGGTCTTCACTTACCGCCTGCGCTGACAGCAGTAATCATGCCGCTCTCGAACAACGTATGCGTTCTGATGCCACGCTCATCTCGATAGCGACGAATTTGCTCCTTGATCTTCTCGAACATGGGAAATTGCATCGCAGTGAAGGGGAGGTTGCGTCCGGCCAGCGCAGTGTAGCCACGCCATCTGAAGAGCGCTTGTTAGTAGAGGATGAGGAATTAGGAATGTGTGATCTACTCACAACGCGAGGGGATTGGATCGGAAGCGTTTAATAGTCTGCAGAGTCGCATTGACACGCGGGCGATCTGTACGTGAGTTGTCGACCATTTGGGCATTTTGCTTGATGACTTCGGCGGGTGTCAGGATGGCGCAAGAGACCAGCTCCGCGGTGCCAGCTGTGAAGTGTTAGCATCTCTCACAGCTCACGGTATGCATGTGTGTCATTGGTCATTGCCCAGGCATTGGCGAGGTAACTAGTAGGCTTGCTGAGAACTGCCTCACTTACATGCGGCCGCGTGCACAAGAGCAGCAGGGACGTAGGTTCCAGACCCCTCGCCGTTGCCATTGCCTCGTTGGTTGGCGGTCGTCAGGATCGACTTGATGCCTTCGTAGGTAGTGAAGAAGGCTCCGGACGAAGGCAGAGTGGCGATTATGACGCTTCCCACGCCTTGATAGACGCCTCTGTACAGCTTGCCATTGTTTTGATACAGGCGCGCGTAGTCGGGACTTTGGAGACGAGTCTTTATTGTATCGAGGGGGTATACTGTGACAGGGCGCGTAAATTAGAGGAGAGTCGTGTATATGGCTGCTGTGGATGACTTGTAGATGCATACCGACTAGATCAACACTGAAGGCCTGCAGGAACGAAAAGTCAGCGGGATGACGGGACGATCAAATGGACATAGGAAAGAACGAACGGCAAAGGCACCAGCGATCCAGATGTCGGCATTGGTGTTGTTGTTGCTCGACATCCCATCCACCTCGTCGTCTCGCTCCTGCTCTGCTCTGCTTCACACTGCCTCAGGTTGGGCGAGTCCAACGCATCATCACATCAGATAATCTGATACGAGTCACGGACTTCACTCCCGAGGTGCGGCGCGTCTTGGCACTGGCGACACTTCCGATGAGCCTCTGCCACGACCACCGCCTGTCGACTGCCACCATTCATGCGCGTGAGTACTCGTCTCCGGGAAGTGCTGTCCTGCGACGCTCCTGCTGCTGCGAGAGCACGCCTCGGTGGCTTCCTGGCACTTTCCGCTGCCCGTACTCCCACGAATCGTGCATATCACTCCCCGTCGCCGACCTCCTGGAAGACACTGCAGCTGCAGGGTCATGAGCGCATCGTGGGCAAGGGCCGGAAGCGGCAGCGCGTCGAGTCGGCCGAGCTGCAGCGCAAGGCTCTCAACGAGGCCACCAGCGTGATTGTGCTCCGCGATGCTCAGGACGACACCATCACGCCCGCGCCACGCCCCGGGCACAGCTCACTTAGCGCTCGAGAGGTAGAGGATGCCATCACCGGTCAAGGCCCCGCTCCGGACGAGGTCGAGGTAAATGCATCGATCGACTCGTTGCGGCCGGATTCATCTATACTGGAAACCGCACAGTTTGAGACTCTACGAGAGCGCCTGGCCCATGACTACAAACTGCCCCAACTTTTGCAATACCTCAGAGCCAATTTCCGCCCTGATGCTCGTCTGGCAGCAGGTTCTGCTTTAAAGGCACATGGAAAAGGCTTGCAGGCATCGCCGTGGCAACCGGATCGCACGCCTCTGCAAGTTCGCCGCACGAAGCTTGTCAAACCGAGCGTGGCGAGTAGGAAACTGCGCACTGCCGAGCGAGTCCTTCGTCTTGCCTGGGGAGTGACTGTCTTCTCCGAAGAACAGGAGGTCGGAGAGCTTGAGCTCGCTCTACAGCCATGGCAGCTGTCAATGCTCTTCGACCTCTCAGGTACAGATGACAACTCCTATTACCAAAATCTGATCTCTGCTCCCTTTCTTTTGGAGGCTACAAAGATCGAGCAATACCCGCCAGACAGCATTCTGAGGATCACTGGCCGCAGAAGGGACGCGGAAGAGGTCGCCTACCAGCTCGAACTGGCGTTGTCCGCTGTTCGACCAATGCGTATCAATTTCGCCGATCTTGGCGTGCCTGCTAGCGCGTACTGCAGTGATGAGGAATTGGCGCTCGTTTCGAGAACTACCAAGTCTGTGATTGTCAGCCAAGGGCGTAACTTGATCACCATATACAACAGGACTGACGTTGGCGCGAATCATGCTCGCCGTCTGCTCCTTTCAATGCTGAATCTGTCCACATTCTCTGCCGCAACGACCACATCTGCATACATTCCATCATCATTCTCTCGAGGTGACAAGCGCAAGCCTTCCCTGTTGCCAGTGGACAGCAGCGTCAACGGACTGCACATACGACAGAGGAGCGAAGATCTCGCTCGTCAAGTACAAGCATACCAGGAGTTTCCTGCGGGTACTGAGATGTCATCTGCGCAAAGACATCGCATTGCTACTGAAATTACAGAGCGACTCCATGAAGGTGAATCAATGCTACAGTCGGAAGCAACTGAAAGCCAGCTCTCCGGCTATTGGAGAGGAAATGGAGGATTATCGAGCAACTGGCGGGCCGATTTTGTCAAGTTTCTTCAAACAGATGCACAGCCGAACAACCAGAAAGCAGTCAAGCACAGAATCACGCAGTATCGTCTTCCGGGCATCGAAAGTGCTCTATCAAGTATCGGTACCTATCGAGCACCACATCGCATCCACTCAGGAGATGCCGTCAAAGAGACGAGGGCGCCTATTGACCTTGGAGCACCACAATTGAGGGTCCATCTTGTTCCAAAGCCCACCCAGGAGAAAACCTCACATTCCCTGCCACAAGTCCAGCTTCTCTTCGGATTTTCAGCAGATGAAGAGCGCGAACTCATGTTCGCTGGAATGCGAGCCATCGTACAGACACGGATAATGCAAGTCCCGTTGCCATGCAATGCCGTGGACCTCCTGTTCACACAAAATCAAACACTATTCGCCGATCTGGACGCTGCTCGACAAGATCCAGAGATCGCGAATTTTGCGCGGGAGGTACAACGGTCGATGCAAGCAAAGGACGAAGTCTTGTCTGCACCGCCAGAATTGAACATTCTTCTGCCATCATCGCTTGTCAGCGGCCAGACACAAACACCAGGCGCAGATCAACAGATCCCTGTCACATATCTCCTGGAGAGGTTCGAGCAGACGCAGAGTCGGATATTCGGTCTCAAAAATGACTTCCTTGAAGCTCAGCAGCAAGAGCTACAGGGTGCAAAGTTTGACACACCCGACAATGACTTGCGACTGGAGTACAAGGAGGTGGACGGTGGCACCGTGTTTGGCCCGAGCACTAAATTGACATTGAAGGCTGCAAGGAAAAGAACCGATCATGATGGCGACAGTCAGGATGCCAACACTGACGGTGTGCCCTCCACGGCCGGCGGCGATGATGGTGCAGCATCTTTGAATGGCTCCAAATATTTCCTCGCTTCTACAGCGTTGGCTGTTGCGGACTCGCTGACAAAAGCTGCTCAAGGGTCTCTCAGCAAAGTGTCATCTGTATGAGTAATAGGGTGCATAGCAACAGTGTAATTCTAGTCTCTTCTCGTCTATGCCGTTTGGCTGAGCATGTGCTGCAGATATGCACTTTTCTACTACACCAAGTTGTGGCAATTGTCGGAGCGCCAGCAGTTTTCTTTGGGTATCAGCCACGTTGCACCATTTTCCTCATCACAATCGTCATGCCCCTTCCACACAAGCTACCCGACTCTGACGGCAGTGCTGCAGTGGTTGCATCTATGCCAATGGACGATCCAATACACAGTTGCATAGAGGGGAAGTTGAGAAGCTGAGGGGAACCTCGCATCTTCGATAGATGGCTATTCGATCACTTGTGCGCTACAAATCGTTAGCAGCTGCTTGGAATGTGGGGAGTGGTTCGTTGCTTACTGATTCCTTCCACTGGCACAGGCTCGACGTCCACCACCTCAGCCGCCTTAGGCTTTGGAGCCTGAATTTCATCCTTCTGTAATACGAGTCAGTCAATGCAACGGAGAACTCCGAAGGTCACATAATAATCATACCATGAATGGGAAGGTGAGCACCTCCTTGATGCTGTAATTGTTCGTCAAGAACATGACCATACGATCAATTCCCATACCCCATCCACCGGTAGGTGGCAAACCATACTCGAGTGCGTTCAAGAAGCCTTCATCCAGTGGCTGTGCCTCATCATCTCCTTGAGCCTTTTGGTTGGCCTGCTCCTCGAAACGCAATCGCTGATCGAATGGGTCGTTCAACTCGGTGTATGCATTCACAATTTCCTTCTTGCAGACAAATGCTTCGAAACGTTCGCAAAGTCCGGCATTCGCGCGATGGTACTTGGCCAGAGGACTCATGACTTGTGGATGCCCAGTAATGAAGGTAGGATTGATGCACTTCTCTTCGATGAATTCGCCCACCATCTTGTCGATCATGCGCGCGTTGGTCAATGGAGGCGTGCATTCGAGGCCAGTCTTCTTGAGCATGCGTCGCAGGAATTCGTTGGTCTCTGCTGTATGCAATTGGTCTCCTGGAGGGAACTTCTCCCCGCACGCCTCCTCAAGTGCGGGAATCATCTCTATCCGCTTCCAAGGCTTGGCCCAGTTGACATCGTACACCTCACCGTCGACTGTGGTGAACTTGGTTTGAAGTCCGCCTGTTACGAACTTGACCATTCCTTCGACCAGCTCCTCGGTGCGTTCCATGACATCGTAAACATCAGCGAAGGCTTCGTAGTACTCACAGGTGGTGAACTCTGGGTTGTGAGTCAGGTCAATGCCCTCATTTCTGAATTGGCGACCGAGCTCATAGACTCTGTGAATACCACCTATCACGAGCTGCTTGAGTGGCAGTTCTGTGGCAATACGCAAAGCGAGAGTCATGTTCAGGTCGTTGTGATGTGTGAAGAAAGGCTTGGCTGTGGCGCCACCAGCAGACTTGAGAAGGATGGGAGTTTCAAGCTCATAGAATCCATTGTTGTCAAAGTAATTCCTCACATATCGCACAATCTTGGATCGTGCGATGAATGTGTCAACCGTGCTCTTGTTCATGATCATGTCAAGGTGGCGGTTGCGGTACCGCGATTCCTGGTCTCGGAAGCCATAGTGCTCAGAAGGAATTTGGTGCAGACACGGTGCCAACAATGTGACCTCTTGAGCGAAGATAGAGAGCTCGCCCGGGTTGTCCTCACGCTTGGGGCTGGTTCGCCCTGGGTATCCTGTCACACCAATAATGTCGCCACGACGCAGGATATCGTGCTGCTCGGCGAAGGGTGTAGCGCTCGTGCTCTCCAGATTCTGAGCCATGATTTGAATCTCGGCGCCATTGACAGCCACCTCGTAGAAACGCAAGTTCTCCCCAGATGTACGAATATTGTAAATGCGCACGCCCACGCTAATAGCCTTATCCTTGAGCACATCGCCCTTCTTGAGGTGTCCGAAGTCCTTCTCAAAGTCGCGCAGATCGTAGGTGACGTGGAATTTGTGCGGGTATGGGTTGGGGCTGCTCGTCTCCTTCATACGCTTAACAGCACGGGATCGAATCTCGAAGTACTGGTTTGGGTTGAGCTGTGCCTCGTCGTCCTGTGCACCGCCGACCTTCTTCTTGCTGCTCGCTGGCGCTTGCTTGGGCGGTGCGGCAGCCTTCTTAGCCTCCTTCTCTCTCGCCTTGATTCGCTTCTTCAACTCCGACTTGGACACCTTCTCGCCAGTGACCTCGTCCAAGACCAAGTTCGGTGTGGTGCCTCCGGTGTTGGCATTGTCCGTGCCATTGTCGTTGCTGCCAGCGCCCGTCGTGAGCGACGACACCTTCTCGGTCACGGTGTTGACGGCATCCTTCACCGCGTCTGCTGCTTGCTGGGCTGCCATGTTGTGGTTGTGATGGAGTGGTGCAGACACAAAGTCACTGCTCCCACAATTTCACATGTCTGCCCGCATGGGTGACTCAGCCGACGCAGACCCCACATTTTGCACAGTGGACAACCCCTCTGCAACATGCACAGTCATTCACGTTGCAAGACACAATAGAGATACTTTGATGCTTGCATTTGGCTACATTGCTACGTGGCGCGAGCCATTCATGCTGTTCTCATTCATGCTTCCTTCGAGGACAATTTTATGTACAGTTCATGCCTATCTCATCCTAGCTTCTTCCCTCACATTGCAGCCTCCGATGGCCGCAGGGAACTACAGTGCAACTACTCGACATTGCCAAACTGAGTCATACCATGGGTAATAATTGCAGAAACTATCTTCCGCCAGCATACAGCCTTCGAGTTAGTGCTTCGAAATCTGTTCGGGCATTCACATCTTCTTCCAGAATGGCACGCAGGTTTTGCAACTGATCAGTGCTGATATTGGGGGCCGAATTGAAGATGAGCTGCGCTGTCGGCGCGTACTGAAGGTCGCCTAGGATTTGGCTGACGAGTGGGTTTGCGTGCGGCTGTTGCTGAACGGGCTGCGCGGGAGGCGAGTGGTGCTGCGCCTGTGGTCCGTACGGATTTGGAGGGAAAGCCGGTGGGCCGCCATACGCAGGTTGCGCTTGAACAGCATTGGATGGCGAAAAGTTTGGGTGCTGTGCATTCAACGGGGATCCTGCCGGTCCACCGATGCTCTGTCGCACGTGTGGTGGGAGATGTCCGTTCGCCGAAGCCTGCTGAGGTCCGGCGTCTTTGATAGGACTGTCGGGTGCACGCGCTATGATGAGCGTGGCGAGCATGGTGCGCTCCTGGACCGGCTTGCGCAAGGTACAGTGCTCGAGCATATTAATGTGACCCGGAAGAGCCTCGCCAGCTTCCACGGGTATGATGTATAGGTCTTTGACCATCGCCGGCTTGTCCTTCTCCACGACCGCATAGCGTTGGCGGCTGTGGAAGTAGTCAAAGACGCTGTTGAAGGCTTCGATATTCTCGCCCGGCGTGAGCTGCAACACTGAGACGTCGCTGCTGGAGCTCCATCGCAGCCCGCACAAATACTCTTCGGCTTTCGGTATTTGAAGCCTGCCATCGATAGAAAGCGTTTGAGGGAGTAGATTCTGCCACAGCGTGACCGGCTGCAAATCACGTCCTGCCACGAACCGTGCGTTGACAACAGGAGCGCTTTCTTCACTGGTCTGCACTACCTTTCCCCTCCACACGACCGTGCTCCCCTCGCCTTCTGCTTGGGGATACGTATCATCGTTATCTTGCAGCATCCGATCGACATCAGGATCATCCTTAGCACCATTCTGTGGTGCTTGCGGGCGATGTACAGAGCTGCGACGGCGTGTCGACGCCTGCGCGGGACGTGCAGGTCCGCCTTGTCCGGTTGGCAGCGTCGGCGAGTTTGCAGTCTTGGCCCAAATGTTGTTCATGTCAAATTGTTGACTGGAAGAACGACGATTGCTTGCTGTTTGTTTGCTAGTATCGACGGCCAAAGGGGCTTTGGCCGGCTGTGGTGGTGATGCGCTTTGCGCAACTGGGTTCGAATCCGCAGCTTGCACAGGCGGAGCAGTCTGACCTTCACCCTCGATGAGATGGTAGCCCTTGTGGTCTTGTGCATATCTTGGTCCTTCCGGTTGATCGACCGTCGCTTGGCGATCAAGCATTTCCTTCATCTCAGCTCGCTCACGCTGAAGGTCCTCACTGGCCATGTCGCTGCTACTCATCGTTGCTATCTCGTCCGCGGACAGCGAGCCTTTCAGGATACGCTGCACCAAGACATGGTTCTTCTTGAGATTCGCGAACAAAGCTCTACATTGAACACCATATGCTTGCGAGTTGCCCTCATAGTTCATGTGCACGGCATATTCGATACGTGCGCCATGCAAAGCACCCAGACTCTCCGCGGTTTCACCTTTTGGTATCTTGAAGTCGGACTTGACACGATCTCGCACAGCCGTAGTGATGATATCTGCCAATGCCTTTGCAGGCTTCTGACGATTCGGGGGCAGCTCGTTAATGTTCACCAAAGCGGTATCCGCATCGGCAGGCGTCGCAGTGGTTGCTGTGGCAGCTTTTCCTGGCGCAGCGGACGACTTGCGACGTTTCTCCTGTCGGCTAGGGCGAGTCGGAGCGTCGTCTGGAGTTGTTTCGTCGTGCTTTGCCACAGCTCTCTTGCGCTTGTTTCCCACCTCAGGAGAGCTCTCCTTCCCGTTACCATGCTGCGGAGCACTGTCTGCTGTGTCCTCTACAGAAGGCTTGACCTCTTGTGTCTCCTGTGTCTGCTTCGCTTCTTGTGTGTCTTGTACTTCTTTGGCCTCCTTCGTCTCCTTCGTCTCCGGCTCGGCCTCGGGCTCATGGTCTCCTTCTAGATCAGCTGGCTCTGGCGGTACGTCCTTTTTGAGCCAACCGGGCCTGAAGTCTTCGCCATTCTTGGCTTTGCTCTTGCGGCTCTTGCTCATTTTCTTCTCGTTGTTGAAGATTTTGTTACGAGTTTCCCAAATCTTCTCTCCACGACGAATGGCCTGCACGGTCTCGAGATGCTCTTGCGGCCGACATTCTTCGCAGAAATAGTGCTCAGGCACATCATCCTCGTCGTCGTGCACACCCATGCAGACGTTGTGCTGCCATACAGTGCATGCATCACACCCGATGAAGGCGCGTTTGTCCTTGGGATTGTCATTGCCGCAAATACAGCGAATCAACTCCTCCTCCTCTTCATCGTCCGCTCCCTCATGATTTTGCTGCGTGGCTGGCTCCCGCTCCGACTTCTTACTGCCCTTGGGCTTGCTTCCTTTGGCCGGCTTTGCACTTGGTGCAGGAGAGGAAGAAGCATTCTTGTGCTGCCCTTTGGTGGCCCGACCGGATCGACGTGGTTCGTCTGCAATAGCGTCAGTAAGTGACCCACTGGACACATAGCGCCATAAGGCGCCGTCGGAGACTTCGAGGCTGACGGTCGCTGTCGCCGTGCAACAGGCGCCGAACAGCCTTGGGTCGTGTTTTGCTTACCTGACATGTTTCGTGGCATAGAGCGGCGACGCGCGCGCCGTGATGCGAGGTGACGGCAGAGAAATACGCAAGGACTTAGACGCTCTCAAAACTTCACAGGTATCTAGCTACAAGTACAGCAGTCCAGCCGACTGCTGCTGCTCGCCCAAACACGTCCTCTGCCAACAGTGCGCAATGCGCGTCCTCGCTCCAGATGATGCCGGCTGCCCGCCACTCGATTCAGACCAGGCGAGTTTGTGCACCACTCACCTGCGGGTTGCGATGCGCCGCTGTTGCGACAGCGGCACGCGACGTTCTGGTGAATGGTTTGGAAGTTTGCGCCGTCTGCGTGGTCCAGCTCCTTTGCGCCGGCGCCTCCGCGTGCGCGGTAAATACACGGCCAATAGTCCAGGAATGATCGCCAAATCGAGGCGACAGACGGCGCGCAGAGGTGCGCGTCGGTTTCAATGTGGTGTAAGTTGGTCGTTCAGTGTGATGATGCAGAAGGAAGCGAGGGTGATGGCGATGGAGGAGAGTTGCCAAGCTCAACACGGCTAACGTGTTTGATAAGCGAGTGAGCCAGATAGGCATGTGAGCCAAGCCAAAATCGATCGATTTTCGGACGTGCGGCACGACAACGCAAGCAGGTAAGATTTCTAGAGAAGTACTTTAGGAAGCAAATTAGGTACGCATAAGCAGAATCCGAAGTTGAAAGTTTCCCCTGCCTTCTGGTACTTCGTCTACGATAACTTTTGATAGTCCCACTACTTTTAAAGTAGCGATTTCCTATCCTATATATCATAGCGCCTCCAAACTTCGAAATATCATAGAGCCTCTAGAGCAGAAGGTATCTACGTATTCGCAAGTCGATAGCGCCTAGGGGTGTCGAGATTTGCATTTTCGCAGAATCTCAAATCACGTGGTATTTCGGCTGGCTCACATGCCTATCTGGCTCACTCGCTTATCAAACACGTTAACGGCATTACCCGGGCCGGCATACTTGCCGACGTTGGCTTGGTTGGCTCGACTGTCACGGAAACAACCACGTCCATCATGGCCGACGTACGACTGCTTCTTAAAGAGACAACAGCAGCAAGAAACCAAAAGGCCACTGCTGAGAGTAATGGCAAGAAACGCAAAGCGTCTGCAGGGCTGGACAGTCCTGGTGGCAAGAAGCCCAGACCTGCATCACCTAAACCTCAACCTCAAGCACTCGATCTGGAACAGGAGCCGTCCGAGCCCCCAAACAGGCACACGGCTGCAGACAGCACGGAAAAAGAAATCCAAGTGGACAGCGAGGAGCATGCTGCCGAATTAGCTGCTTTGGACCGCGAGCTCGCCTTGATGGAAGCAGAAACTATCAATCAAGCCACAGCCACCATCTCAGCTCCACCTATGACGGCGGATGAAATCGCCAAAACGGAGCAAAGTGCGCAACGTGCATCGCGAGATGCTGAACTGGAGGCCGAGCGCGAAGATGCTGCGAAAGCGCTCGAGGAAGAATTCGAGGCCATGGACGGACTCGAAGAGCGAGCGAAGAGACTGCGCGCTCGACGAGAAGCGTTGCGCCATGCAGATTCCACAACGTCTCTGCGACAGGCAGATACGTCTCAAAGCATCCCTGCACGACGGCCGCCTGGTCAAGCAATAGACTCATCTACGTCCTCGCTGCCCCGTGCTGCAGACGACGTGAATAGGCAGGAAGGGAGGGATGACGAGGACGATGAGGACGGTGATGAGGACGACGACGATGACCTAGGATGGAATTTTGGGCGGCATTCTCGGTAGGTCGAACTATATGCAAATTACGAGTGAAGCTGTGGTTGTAGTGTCCGAACACGACTGTGCAAGCCAGCAGACGTCACGTCGTCGGCACCAGCCCGCGACGATGTATGAGTATGTAGCGATGGACCAAGACCTTTGTGCTTGTAATAGCGTCACGGGTCGCTGTCGGGGACACACGTGAGCCGTCTTCTCCTGACTCCGTGACAGACGTTCGCGTTCGCGTCTGTGTGGCTTTACTCCGCCACGAGTGGCGCGTGTAGTGACGAATGACGATGAAAAGTGGGCGCGGGATGTTCTTCCCCGGCTGGCTCCTCTCACCTGTCTTTTACCACTGCGACGGCTGACCGCCTCTTCCCCAGGGCGGGTCGTTGGGCGCTCATATCGAGTGGGCACGCTGCCGCGGCCGTCGCAATGGCTGGGTTGCCGTGCTGTGGACAAGGTAAGGCGAGCCACACGAGGGAGAAACAATTGCTTGCTGCCAGCGCATGAGCGTGGGTGCTCTTCTTGCCGCTGCCGCCCAAAGCACTGCAGCGCCGATATAACGAGCGAATCGCAGGCAAACGCCGACATCGAGCTGGCTGGCTGGCTGGGCTGGGCACAGCGACGGCGCTTTGCTTTGTTGTCGTCCCCAAGCGCCATTTCTGGTCTTTGTCCAGCTCTTATCCAGACGCACTGCGCCGCCGCCCGCCCAGAGCGCCCGCGTGCCTAACCTAGATAGATGCACCTCTCCCGACCTCACTTCACGACACCAGAACGCAGACAACCCACTGCCACCCTCTTCTGTCTGCCGCACCCACAAAGGGACGTGGCTTCGTCATGCCCGCGGCCAACCAGACTATCACGATCGTGAACAAGGGCGGCAAGATCGTCAGCACATCGAAACACTTGGTCAACGTCTTCACCGAAGCCAAGAGCGCCTACAACGAGCGAAAGGCGGAAATCCAAGCGCAGCGGAGAGGTGAACGAGAAGCTCGCAGTAGAGAGCGCAAGGTCCGGCAGCAGCTGGATGCTTTGGCGCTTGAGGACGACAATCAGCCTTCTAGGCGGAGCTCGCGGAGAGGCAGTGATGATGGTCGTTCGGTGCGGCGGAAGCCCGTGCCGTCTCACCGGGATGGCCGTCCTCGTGTAACACGTGGTGCTACCGACAGCTTTGTCGTCAATGATCAGACGAATGGGACACAGAACAATCGAGCGTTGGTTGGTGGACAGAACTCTCTCGAAGATGATGAGCCTCGGGTGGGAGAGCTCGCACGCCGCCACACTGATGGCATGGAGCTACGTCGTAAACATCGCCCCAAGGTTCGGAGCACGAGTCTTGACGACATTGATATGGATTTGGCTTATGGAGAGCTGCCGCCTCCGCTGCCTGAGAAGAAAGCCGAGGACGAAGTGGTACTTCGAGACAAGATGACCTACCTGCAACGCCTGCTTGACGAAGGCAACTGCGTTCAACATTCGGCAACCGCAATGATCGACAATTTGCAAAAGAACCCCGATGCAATGGCTGCGGTAGCGTTGACGTTGGCCGAAATTTCCAACATCGCTGCAAAGATGGCCCCTGGCGCTTTGGCAGCCATGAAGACATCTTATCCGGCGATTCTGGCGCTGTTGGCGAGTCCTCAGTTTGCCATTGCTGCCGGCGTTGGCATCGGAGTAACGATAATAGCATTCGGCGGATACAAGATCATCAAGAAGATACAAGCGAGGAACGACGAGGAGCGTTTACTTGAGGGGCCTCTTCCGGCCGAGGCTGGAGCCAACGGACCTGAAGAAATGGAAGAACTCCGCGAGCTCGATCGCATCGAGAAGTGGCGACGAGGCATTGCGGATGTCGGTGCAGAATCTCTCGGCACCAGTGTCGAGGGCGAATTCATCACGCCCGTCGCTACACGGACTCTCATCGAGGAAGGCAGGCTGACTGAAGCTGACTTCAAACCACTGGAGACCAAGCAAGAAAAGAAGGAGCGTAAGAAGAAATCTAAGAGTGTTGTCAGCTCCACCAGTAGTCGACGGAGCAGAAGTGAGAAGGTGAAGAGCAAGCCCAAGAAAGAGTCAAGCTTGTTGCGGTCTTTGTTTAAAGGGCACTCATAAGGAGCAATCATATGATGTTCATGTTTGTATAGGTGATAGCGTTCTGTAGATCTCATGACAATTACTCGCTTCGGCAGCGAGACTGCGCGGATTCGAAACAAAACTTTTCGACTGAGATATCATTATCGTCAATGGAGTTTGATGTCAGGTCCTTGTTATAATGGTCCAGGCACGAACCACGGTCCTGGTTCTAGGCGTGTGTTTGGGCATAGGGGTTGGGGAAGTGGGAAAGAGCACTTTGGTAGGTACAGGAAATATGGAGATATAGCAAAGTCGACCAGAGCATCTCGAGCACACATTTAAATTAGCCTACAAATGATGGTCTCACGAAAACGGAAACAGGTATGCATTGCAGCTGCCACTCACGTGCAGTTGCAGTGGGGTCGGAATATATTGATGTGGTGTTGAAAGACGCTGTAACCCTAACCCTAACAATCGAGATCACCTTGGACAGATTCGCAGAGCTCCACGATCGCGAAATGTTAATCATGCCGGCTTGAACAATGTAAGCACGGCTCCGCATGCAGTAAAATGATGGCTTCTCGATTGGGCAACAGCTGGAGCCTTAGTCGTCAACCTCTTCGAATCTCCTTTCCACGGGATTCTTGACATCAACGACCCCGGTCGCTTTTAGCCTTTCGAATAATACGAACAACCTCTCCGCTTCTCTCTCCTTCTCCTCCTCCGTCATCGGCTCAGAGCCATGCTCCTCGCGGTCTTCAGCCGACAATCGCTGACCTGTAATGGGATTGAAGTCGTTCGCATCCGCGGAACTACTAGCATCTGCAGCATTCGCAGGAACTTGAATGTTTTGGCTCGCCAGGAAACCGGACGCGAATCCGTAGCCAATGTTCTGGACGAACTTGTTGGCATCTTTGTCGCTGAGCTCGAACAGCAACGCCGAAATGTTCCCTCGTAGAGTGGGCAGGTTTGGCGAGCACGAGAGCCGGAGTAATCGAGCGGACAAAGTATCTCCCTGGCCGAGGGGCTTCTCCCGATCCTTGGTATTTGGCAGAAGCAGCCAACGCATGTAAGCCTTCATCTGAGATGTCGCAAGCTCGTATAGTCTTCTCAGCAGTGTGCAGAGCGGAGCGGCGGCTTGGTCGAGATCCCGTTCTGGTTGTTTGCGAATCGCAGCGTCCAGAATGTCGATCAATCTATTGACGAAAGATTCGGTATCAGAGTAAGGAAACATCGGGCTCGACCGGGCTTCACGACCTAACGGAGTCCTTCTCTCGGCAGCTTGCAGATCAAGATTGAGCAAAGCATTTATGAGGTAGCTGGTCGGTGGCTGGAGTGGCGGATCGGGTAGGTCGTGAAGTCGAAGGATATTGATAATTGGCTCGATTGCTGGTGTGAATTTTGGTACCGAATCAGGATAGTAATGTGTGACATTGAACATCAACTTGCATGTCTCACTCATGGCTGCTTCGCGGCTGACAGCCGTCGCTGACTTCCGCTTCGCAGACTTCGAATAGGCATTAGCATGACGAGAGATGTGGCGATTGATGTTCTCCGCAAGGCTATGCTGGTCGAGCAGTATTTGGAAGTCGAGGGTCGTATTGTAGGTCATGTAGAACAGTATGCGTGCGATGAGGAACTCGTCATCGTGATCGTCGACAGTTAGGCGATCGGCGGCCTTGTGCGCATAGCCTAGGTCGACAAAGACCTGTCTCGAAGGTTCATGCAGCAAGAAGGCGTTTGCGAGGCAGCGAAGCGCTTCTCTCGAGGCTTCGTTTGATTTGTGCAGATCCAGAGCATATTGGGATAGTGTAGAGATCGCCTAGGGCCGTTGTGAGCATACTATCAGCCACGTGCAGCCACATTGTCCGTACCTGCCGTGTGAAGATAGGGGTCGCAGTTTGCGGGTTGCGTCCGGAAGTTTTCACCTTTGTCAGGGCGTCCTGTTGCTCTGCAGCGCACGTTGTCAGCGGTGAGCGAGTGCAGCTGAGCATTCGCTACGACGCACCTTGCAGAGACAGCTTGAGAGTCTCGAGGTTTCGTTCCAATTCTTGCAGCAGGCCTTCGAGTTCGCGGAGAGCAGCTGCGCCAGGCGTCAGCGAGTAGATCCGGGTGAACATGGATATTTGTTCACCTGATGGGGCGCTAGCGCCGGCTGTGCTTTGGACCTGCATGTTCCTAAAGTGTGTGCGTTCGTGGTGACGAGACGAGAGCGGACAAGAAGCTTTCCCCACAATCTCGAAGTGAACGAGAAGCACGGAGCACTTGCTGGCGTAGCGTCAATCACGTCGCGTCCCTTCGCTTCGCTTCGCGTCGCGACGCGGCGCTATAGACCCGCCACCGACTGCAGTTCATTGCAGCACTGGCAGCAGCGTGTTCGACGAGCACTCTGCACTCGCTTTCTACACAGCAATGCCGCCTGGCAGGAGCGGATGAGAAGGACTATGTCGTCTGTTCCGCCGCCCATCATGTCTCCATCACTGCTGGCTTCGCTGCCCGCCCGCTCGCCCACTCCACCACGAGATGCCTCTTCCGACGCGGTTGGCGATGCCCTGCGTTTCCTCGAGCAGGGACACGACGAACCCGTGGTGGAGAGCACCGACGCACAGCCCACGATTGTCACGAAGATAACGACACGAACGACCGATACGCCGCCATCGAAGAATACCATCGTCGCCGCAACCGTTTCCCCACAACCTCGAGGATCTGCCAAAAAGGTCGACTTCTCGCCATGGCCAATCTACCACAAAATACCGGCACTGGGCCAGTCCAGCTCGCCTGGGCTAATACAACGGCCACTGCCACCACACAATTCCTCGCCTCTCGCCCAAACTTCAGGCTCACGTCCACTGAAGTCGATCCTCAAGCAGTCGACATTGGCATCTCCAGAAGAGACGGGTAGCACGACAGCCGACGGCGCGTCCGAGATACAGCAGCCTGCCGACTTTCGGCAGATGCTGCAGTCTGCTCTGTTGCAGTTAGAAGGTCCATCAAGAGATGCCCGCCGTGATGCATATATGGCCCTCAACAACTCCATAAAGGCATACATGCGCGTGCCCGACCCTCAACCGCTGGCCGAGAAGATGGCACGTGTGACACAGTGTCTGTCGCGGGATCTTGCGTGGAAAGATGCCACTGGCCGTCTGGATGCCCAGATTGTGCAGCTGGCATTGAGCTTGACTTGTGCGATCCTGTTCGATCCAGAGACGCAAGGCTTACTCGATCCCGACTTCCAAGCCTTTGTCATTGATCGTTCGATATTCGTGCTGGAACAAGCAGACATGGCTAAAGCTTTAGTCAAAGGCCATCTGCATCTGCTCTGCGTACAGCGCTTCCCTCGGAGTGTGTTTGCAGCGGGACGCGCGGAACGACTCATTGCGGTCATGCAGAACATCGAGGCTCGGAACAGCATTATCGCCGCTCGGCTAGTTATCTACCAACGACTGATCGAGAGAGCTCCTACAGCGATGCTCAACAAGATCAGAGATTGGATCGAACATGTCTTCCATGCTCTGCTGAGCAACGTGAACGACGTCCAAAGACGCGCCATTGACGTCTGTATGCAGATGGGTATGTCCCTCGGTCAGTATCCTCAAACGGCCAAGGCAATATCAGAACTGTGCGACAAAGAGATTGAAGAGGGTCAAAGCTATGGCGACTACCTAAACATGCAATTGATCGCAATGACTTCAGATACCGCCAAAGCTCCTCTCGTACCTGAAATATGGGTAGCGGTTGTCCTTTGCTTCCGGAACAAGCGATATCCCATCGGCAAATGGCCCAAGTTCAGGGACTGGCTCCTGACCATTCAAAAGTGCCTCAATTCGAGCGATATGGCTGTGAAGCGACCTGCCAACGTGGCCTGGAACCGCCTCGTCTTCACCATCATGCCGGATTCGTCTACCTCGGAGCTACTGAGGTCGATGCTGAAGGTGCCTATCCTGGCCGGCCTGGAAAGGCGTGGTAACAGTGAGCTGTCCCATCAGCTACGACAGCTCGCCTTGGAGAGCTACTGCAACCTGCTACATTATGCTATGCGTCCTGAGCTTGATTACGAAGAATTGGATCTCGCTTGGGACATGTACGTGGGTCCAGTTCTCATGAAAATCTCGAAAGCGGGAAGCAAAGGTCGTAACATTGCCTTTCGGGTCCTGCACGGGCTGCTGAAGAAGACTGGCGGAACGTGGAACGCCAACGCTGCGAACGAAAATGAGCCCATTCACCCCCGTGACTTGCCGCGACTGGATGTGCGCTGGGTACGATCCCGATTGGCTCGCATCATGACTGTCATGGAGCCCATTGTCATTGCGGGCATGACACAGTCGACAGATGTACAGCCGGCAATCGATGAATGCTGGCGGACCTTGATGACAGCAATCGCGGAAGCTGGCAGCCAGGAAGTCAAGGCTTCCAACGAGCTCAAGGATGCCATCGCTGGATTGATCAACTTCTTCCGCCGACTGTGGGCATCTGCCTCACAACTTTCACTCGAGCAGGATGCGACAGCCTGGCTGAGTAGGTATCAGACTGTGCTGGAAGTCACCGTAGAAAGCTTGGGCTCTGGACATTTCGTGGACGATATCCTCAGCCGCACAAGCACAGACGAAGTCGAAGCTATACCGAATCATCGAACATCGAAGTCAACGCCAACCGCATGCTCACCCTTCGTGCTGCTCTTCGCTCTGTATTACGAGCCGCCTCAGCCTCTCCGCACGCCGATCGTTATTCAGAACTCCGCCCTCTGGTTCTTGCGACTACTCGCTGGTGCCAAAGTGTCGACATCGGGGCTTCTTGGTCTCTTGCAGCGGTCACTGCATGCCAGCAAGGCATCACGCTCCGAGCAGAACGAAGATATCCATGGACAGCTGTGGAGTGCGGTTGCCGATACAGCCACCCATACGCTGACCAAACAATCTACTCTTTCTCCACAAAAGGACACCTTCGTCATGGGCGTGGCACTCAAAAGCGCAGCCAGCATCATTCTTGAAGGTCTGAAATACATCGATGAGGATTGTAACGCCTCTATGATTCGGCTGTACAATGCCGCATGCCAATCTGCACGACATGTCGCTGGGAACGGTGGCATAGTCCTGGCTGTGATGGAACCGCTTGCCGGACTGGTCCACGAGCAGGTCTCACGCCTCTCGCTTGTAGCCATACTGCGATTGGCGAGCGCCATGGCGGAAGGTGGTGTCTGGCCCAGCACTCGTTCTGAACTTGATCAGAGTCGCAAGGCACTATGGACCGTAAGCCTTGAGCCTTACAAGATGCAAGCCTTCGACCCATTCGACCATGTGTACAAATTTTTCGGCCGCATTCTGGACCTTGCGTACGAGCGATTTGACAAATTACATGGTGATCATCGCAGTCTGACATCGACACTGATGTCGTCTGTAGCTGACTTCCTCCAACGATGCCCATCGCCGCTCTTCCAGGTCGCATTTCTCAAACTGCAGACTGGATACATTACTTGGGCCGAAGATTTGCAGATGTCGGTGTCCTCGCTATCCCGAGACCTACACCCTGCGGATAGAACAATGCTTGAGGACCTACAACACAATATCAACCTCGTTTGGCTCCAGCTACTATCCCAGATCTCTGAAAAGCTGCCACAGAAAGACAGCCAGGCTCTTGAGCTGCTCGAACCATTCTTGGTCGCTGGCTTCTCGAGTTCCAGCCAGGCAATCGTGAACACCACCATCGATTTCTGGAACTCTTCCTTCGCTTTAGCTCCCAGCCTGGACTATCCAGCTAAGTTGTTCCCAGTGCTTCGAGAGAGGCAAGTCCAAACTGAGCTAAAGCTACCCGGTTTCCCCAATCCAAAAGAACAAACCTCACCATCCAATCTGCGCGATTTGAGCTCGCCACAATCAATTTCGCTCATCGACCGACGTGCTGCTGCTACCGCTCATCGATCACGTACGCCACGTATTGACACTTCCGAGAACATTTACATCAACCAATTGCTTGAGAAAACCAAGAAGTCCATGGGCAAAACTACTCTCAACACCACGAGAAACAGCGCTTCCAAACCAAAACCGCGTCATGACGACTCGCAAGTCCATTTCGCCCCAATTGAATCAGCAGAGGAGGTCTTGACAGCTGACTCCCAGGCCCTGACCGAACATCAACGGGACGTGAAAGACCGACAACGCTTGCAAGCTCAGGCGTATCCTGGTATTGCCTCTAGCCCATTGACAACTTCCCCAATAGCGAACCCTCAAGGCAACGCGAAACTCAAATTCATCTCGGACCTGCGCCGCACTGCAGACGGCAAGATTGTCGTGAGTCCAAGAACCGAGACACACGACGCACTGCCTGGCGATGATCTTCCGTCCTCACCTACCCCAAGGCCCAAATCTAAAGCGGACAATGGTATGATAGCGCATGGCACCGATGCAAGCTTGTCACGTGGAACGCCAGCATCTGACCCTCCGTCCTCTCCTCCTCCGACGAGTGAGAACAGTGCCCTCCACCCTGGAGATGATACTCATGAAGACGCTGAGGACGACTTGCCACTTACGAGCGACGGTGATTTGCACCATCAACGTGTCAATAGCTCAACGTCAAGCGATCAGGATGTCGTAATGCACGACAGCGACTTGCCTTCTGACACTCAGCTGTCGAACGCGCAATTACAGTTGGAAGACGAGTTAGCATCGAAACAAATGACTGGCACCGATGCGACGAACGCTGCAGTGCGCGCCGCTGCTGAGCCTGAAACGCCTTCAAGAATTAAAGCGACTCTTCTGAGTGAGGGCTCCGGCGTTGCGAGTACACCAGAGCACAGCAATGCGGAGAACTCACAGATACCCCAATCGTCAACGAGGAAGCGCAAGCGAATGGCCGACACGGCACATGTAGCCCGAAAACGCAAGTCGCAACCGCCATACGCCAATTCGTTCCCTGGCTCCAGCAACGGGCAGGAAGAGGGCATCGAGGAGGAGATCGTGGTCGCTGCCCGCTCACAGTCGATCGCGTCAGATCTTGACTCCGCGCAAGAGGGATACATTGAGTCGGTGGAACATTCAGATGATGCCCTTGTCGAAGCAGTGACCGCATCTACAGGACCGTCAAGCACGCAGCCTGCGAAGAGGAAACCGGGACGACCGAGGAAGATCAAGCCTCAGGAGAAAATCGAACTTTCGCCCAGATCGGCTAGACGTTTGAAACGGTCTGCGTCAGCTTCAAGCCTTCGAGAATCAAAAGGCACGCCCACAGCGCAGCAATCACAAGACTCTACAAACGATCTGGACGAGCAGCACGATTCATCTCAAGATGGAAGCGCGGCACAGGATGGTGTACAGCGGAAGATAGCACAGCCTCAGAGCATTCTGTCACGCTTGCGTGGTATCTTGGCTGATTGCAAAAACATGATCATCGGGTCTCAGGAGGAGGAACGGGAATATGACGATGTCTTGTTCGGGATCAGACGAATAGTTCACGATGCTGCTAGTGGCGTACACGGCCGATGAAACCGCATGTAGATATAGCGCTGAAGAGGACGGAAAATGTGATATGAAATTCATTTTTGACTGCCTATAAAGCTCCCAAGTCCTCTCGTCCGAATATGCCTTGGCCTAGAGACGTCAAGTACCCGTAGCGTGTGATCATTGTGGGGTCGAACTTGGGCTCGACCACACCTGCCGCTGCATTGGCTAGGTCGTGCAGTCCATCGCCATACTGCAACATGGCTTCCCTCTTCTTGTTCACAAGTTCACGTACAGCACCGTCCCAGCCTTCACTTTCTAGCTTTCCTGCCAATCCGCGCCCGGTGGAGAGGCTCTCTGCCATTTGCTCAAGACCCTTTGCTGCTTCGGCCCGAGTCTTCGGAACGTCTGCGAGCTCGCAAAGTGTCATAGCAGCTAGGGCACCGAAATGGTGATTGAGCGGCGTCACTGGTGTCAGCCGACTGTTGAGCATAGTCGCCACTTTCACCGCATGACCAACCAATTCCGAGGGCTCAGTCGTTGGGTTCATGCGCTTGATGAGCAAGTGACAGTGATGGTAGCTGAGATGTACCAGATTCAGCGAACCCCAGACAGACTCCACGGACTCGCGGAAGCGATCAATTTCTCCAGCCAGAGTGAGACCAAGCAATGACGATGCAGGGTTAGAAGGCGCCATGACATCTGTTGAAGGTGTCTTGGTTGTTGTAAGGATTGCTGCCAAGTGTCCAATGATGAAGGAGAGACGAGCGAGGTTATACGTCGACTCTCCCAGCAAGATTTGATCCTCGGGCAAGAGCACTACACTGTTCTCGGGCAACTTGAGGAGATCGGCAGTCGAAGATGCGTGCCAACGATCCAGGATGAACAGTACCCACCATACTCTCCTCGCTAGACGCTCCTCGGAGTCCCTGTCACCTTCTACTAATGACTGGCTTGTAGTGCGAATGACGTTGATCTCCAGCTGGCCCGCCACACCCGCGGCACGACCGAGCCACTCTGCGCGGCTGGGTCCTGCCTGGCCTCTGATTGTTGCTGGGCCGTGGTTGTCGCTCTCTAAAGCCATCAAAATCAGAGTCTGCAGGTAAACCAGATTCGTGGCATTTGTATGTGTGCTTGGGTTGTCGAAAGGATACTTGGCTAACAGTTCCGCGGTACGCTTCAAAGCCTGCGCATAGTCGGAGGCTGGAGTCAGAGTTGTTGTCGGGAATGTCCGCATGAGACAATCGAGTGCAGCCAAAAAGGCCTCTCTGAGTGAAGCTGGGCATTCTGCCAGACGTTGTCGAAGTCTATTCTTATTATTGGCAAGAAGTGGAAAGGTCTGGTGTATAATCCGGTAGTATTCCTCAATAACGGCTTCATCCCAATCAAATTCTGGCATCGCGCTGTTTGGTGCCTCTTGTTCATAGGCTAGGCCTACTGTCTCGCGGCGGTTATCGTTTGGTGCACCATAGCGCCAGAAGGGTTGCATAGGTCCGGGGTTCACGGGAGGTTGCATCTGCGCGGGGTATTGTGTCTGTTGCATGTGTCCCATTGGAGCTGGTGGTATTGTCATCTGGCCATTTTGTAGTGATTCTGCCAAGTCGTGGGGCCTCTTGTCGCCCGCACGAGGATCACGCATGAGTCTTGGGTCTTGCGGATAGTGTTGCAAGCCATCTGACATAGCTTGCTGCACCTGTTGAATCTCATATCGGTGCTGTTGTTCTAGATGAGGAGGATGGACCTGCTGCTCAAGGGTGTTCAATCGTTCGGCCAGCTCTTTGATATATCCCTTGCTCGGACCACGTTTCATGGGCTGCCGGCTGAATGCGCAGCGCGCTCCGGTCCTACACATCGTCAGAATGGGTTCCCATGTTACAGCCGTGGCTACACAAAGGCCTACCGAGCACAATTGGTACATGGCACGCTGCCCGTCTCGTCTATAGCGTCGCAGCGGATCTTCTTACGGCGACACTCGTCGCAGGCGCGGCTGACCTTGGTTCGCTTCTCTTTGTGCTTGTCTTGCGCTGAATGTGCAGCGTCTGGAGAGCCACTGGCTTGCGCAAAAGCGATAGAGCCTGCAGGTACACCACCCACTGCGCCGTTCTGGCCCATCATGGGCGTACCCCAGGCGCTGAAGCTGGCCATGGCGGAAGAGTCGGTGGCATCGCCGGAGGGAAGCGGTGCGTGCGCAGGCGCTGGTGTAGCGACCGAAGCGCGCGCGTCTCTGATGTCTGCGCCGAGCGACGACGGTGTCGGCGCATGATGGTCGCCGGCGCTCAGGTCCGGCGG